TTATGGCCAACAAGATCAGAGAAAGGGTACACGATCCAGTGGTGGCGGAGAAGCTCATCCCCAAAAACCACGGGTTTGGTACACGACGCGTGCCCTTGGAAAGTGGCTACTTTGAATCATATAACCGGCCAAATGTCCACCTTGTCGATATAAAAGAAAACCCCATCGAAGCCGTGAACCCTCAAGGAATTTTGACCTCCGACGGGCAGCAATATGACCTAGATGTTTTGATCTTTGCCACAGGATTCAACGCCATCACTGGTGCATTCAGCGCTATCGAATGGAGCGCCAAAGACGGTAGACCACTCCTCGGCAACAGCGACACCGAGAAAGGACGGCGAGCCATATGGGTGGATCATAGGCCGCAGACCTTCCTGGGCATCACGGCGCCCGCCATGCCAAACATGCTCATGGTACTCGGGCCGCATCAGCCATTTGGAAATGCTACTCGTAGCATTGAGCATGCCACGCAAGTCGTGACCGATTTGCTACAGCACTGCAAAGATAACAATTACACATATGTCGAGCCGACACCTGAAGCTGTGGAGCAATGGACCGAACACGTCTTTGAGTGCGGCAAAGGGTCATTAGCCAACGAGGTGGACAGCTGGATGACGGGTATCAACACTAATGTTGCCGGAATGCAAACCCGAAGCGTGGCCAGATACGCTGGAAGCGCCCTTGAGTACCGTAGGCGTTGCGCGGCTTCCAAACTTGCTGGATGGAAGGGATTACAATTTGCTTGAGCTTGAGCGGACTTTCATGGCGTGTCGACCTTGTCTGAGAAAGCATGCCTTTCTCCGTCATCGCTTCCATCTTATGTTGTAGTGGTGACAGGATTTACCCAGATAGCTGGAGGTTCGAAGTAAGCTTAGGCTATAGAGAACTTCAACCCATTCAAGAACTTTGTCCATCCCGTTACGATCAACCCCTGCCGTGACAAACAGTGATCAGCCCTTTCATCCTTACAAGGGGTCGAGCTTTCTCTTCTCCTCCAAAAATGTGCTCGAGAAGTTTGAACAACACTGCAGCGAGCGGCGATTATTGTGAGGGGGTTGTCACACTATACAGTTGAAGATCTGATGATATCCGACAAGTTGCTTGATTCCAAGGGTTTGCGTTATAATTCCCTATGTAAATGATGCAGATCACTCGCTCGAGCTGCAGACTGGGCGCCTTTCCAGGTTTTTGAGCGTGGTTAAAGAAGTGACAAATCAACAGATCCAGCCCCCGTCCACATTATATACAGCGCCAGTCACGAAAGATGCCTCGTCGCTTAACAGAAAGGCAATCACGTTGGCCACTTCGACTGGCTCCGCCCTTCTTTTCTGTGCCGTTTGTTGTAAGCCACGTTTCACATCATCTGGATCTTCGCCAGCAGACATTGGAGTGTTGACAGAGCCTGCGAATGCGTGGTCAGCCTGTCTCACCTCCCCCTACGCTGAAATGATGTCTCGAAAGCGTTTCCAGCATAGCTCCAGTAGTCTCAAGAAGTAAATTTGGCACTTACCTGGTGCGACACAATTGATCCTGACGTTGGGGTTCTCTTTTGCTGCTGTTCTTGAAAGCCCGATAACGGCCGCTTTGCTGGCACAGTATGGAGCAACACCGGGTGAGCCCATCTGGCCAAAAGTGCTGGCCGCAGAGACCTGTACGTCAAAAAAGGTCAGCACATGATCCAAATGTGACCGTAAAATGTGCAGCTCCGAGAATTCGCAAGGGAACTGACAATGCTGCCACCTGCTTTAAGCATCTCCCGAATCTCAGCTCTCATGCAGAAAAAGACACCACGCGTGTTCACGGCAAAGTTGAAATCCCACGTCTCGTCAGTTTCTTCGGCGACCGGTTTGGCAGGCGTGATGATGCCGGCCATATTCACAGCGCCATCCAGCTTACCCAGTTTTTGCACCGTGGACGCAATCCAGGCATCGACTGACTGGCTCTCGCGGACGTCAATAACTGTGTACATGTGCTTATCGCTATTTGTCAAAGACCTGGCTGCGGCTTTCACAGCAGCCTCGTTTATGTCTGCCAGAGAAATGATCGCGCCTCGCGATGCCAGGAGCTTTGCAGTCGCCAGGCCCATGCCAGAGGCTGCACCGGTGATTGCAATCTATAAAGGTGAGTAATGCTGGCCGGGGTGCCTATCATGTCGGCCAAGGGCTGGGGGACGCACCACTTTCCCCTCAAACGACGCCATTCTCTAACCTTAGGGGTTCCTTGTCTGTGAGTCTTCTAAAATGATGATTTTGTGTGACGACCCTCCTCTGACCGAATGATGCTCCCGACAGTGACATGTTATCCAAGTAAAGTCTATCGCCAATCAGTCCTGCCGACGCCGATCGAAGGATTAGGGAGATACGAGGGTCGTCGGATACAGGTAAGTATGCCCAAGATGACCTTGCCACCATCTCGAACTCTACGAACTTTCTGCCAAAAAGGAAAGCCATACCCGTGACCCCTCATCATGTGCACGATACGCCCGTTGAGATAGGAAAGTGACCCCTCCAAAGATTCCAGAAAGCCCTCAACTCTTATTTGCGACTTTCCTAATTCCACTCGCCACTCTCCTCAACCATGAATTGATTGTCCGTCCTGGCCATGGCCCCAGGATTAATTCCTCACTCGTGTGCCCTTCTCCGCGCACCGTGATGTCGATCCAACCAGATAGGCAGCAGGCTCCAGATTCGGGCGGTTCCAGAAATCGTTCGTTCAATGGATGCGCCACTGTATGCACGACCCCCGTTCCAAAGCTGCGGTTTTTTTTGTTGTTTTTTAGTTTTGTTTTTACTGATTATTTGAGGCATAGTGTCGCATTCGACATGTCAAATGCGACGAAGGTCGTCCCACATGTTCCATGTGCAAGTATTTTGGGCTAGATTGTGCGGGCTATGAGAAGGGCATCTTTTTCGATTTTGAAACTGCCTCCAACGCTACGGGCGAAGGAATCGCCCGCTTTCGCCGGCCTTTGCTGACCGAGGATGAACGCAAGCGAATGAGTGCATGGCTCGTGTCGAGCGTCCACCCCAAATTGACTTTGCGTGTCCTTTCTCAGATTGACGACGAGTGCGAGCATTCAGCTGCTCAGCAGCAGGTTCAAATTCAGCGCGGTCCGTTCGGCGCGTTCTCATTGAGTCGCCTTCCGTGGATCCGTTCCAACGAGAAGGATACGGGGGAAGAACTACTAGAACAGGGTTCTTCTACGGAAGATTTGGTGCGGCTCAGCGACGAGTGTGTTGTGTCTGACGACGCACCTCTGTCGCCGTGGACCCAAGATCTAGTCCAGGCCATTTTCAGTCAATCCGAGCAGATCTCGGTCCCAGCATCTTCAGACTTTTGGAACACTACCGTGGACTCAAACTGCATTCAGGAGATCTTCGACGACCAGATCCCCATGTCCATGTCTGCAACTCAGGAGGTGTTCAGCACCCCATTGTCATCCGAGACCTACCACTTTCCACACTTCATGCCTGAGGCTCAGCTCAGTCAGTCGATGATAATCCCTTCCATTTCTCCCGTCATAAGTCCTGGTGACACCGTCCCACAGGATGTGGTGACGCTGCTCAAACACTATGCCACAACCGTCATCACGTTGCTAACACCGCTCCGCCACACCAAAACACCATGGCACATCCTCTTCATTCCTCACATCAGACATTGCCTGGCGGCTCTCACCCTCGGCGAGCAATTGGACCATGCTAGCCTGACCGCACTCTATGGAACCTTGGCGATAAGCGCCTTTAGTCTCGGTGGCGTATCTCAGTCTCCAACATGGCATGACAAGGGCAAGGCTTATAAACAACGCGCCCGAGAGCACGCCCGGCTGATGCTGAGAACGGCATATGCTGTTCCCAAAACCGCCAAATACAAGTCCATCTTGATGGCGCTTCTCGCAATGGTACAGCTTTCCATGTTCGTCGGGACTCGCGATCAAACGGACTGTTACCTGTTGGAGGCCGAAAAGTTCATCCGGCTCAAAGGCCTCAACCGCAAAAAGTCCCGCAAGGTTCGATTGCTACATCATTGTTACGTTTTTGAGCGACTATTTCACGAAAGCATTTTCATCTGTGGTGCGAACTCCCCCCAACGTCAACATGTTCGCAAAGCAATCGAGTCGAGTGGGCTGGCGATCCATAGCCGGGACAGTCTCTCCTTCCGCCTCCCGACTTGGACCAATTTGGACGAGGAGTGGTCGATTGTGAAAAGCCAGGAAGCAGGCGAAAATGACCTGCACCTTGAACGGCCTGGGGAGTTCCCGCCGACCCTCTACCCCGAAATCTTCGCCTTCCCGGAGCCCTGGCTACTCGTGCTGTCACTCACCATTCGTCTTGGTAAGGAGAAGGACTATGCCGAGGCCGAGGGGGGGACGGATGCTCTCAGCTTAAAGGACTTTGCCAGTCGCGCAAAAGCCGTTGAACGGCGCCTCTATCGATTACAGAGGCCCACCGACACGGCACATGCTTCCAGCGGCTTACAGTCACCGCGTGATTGGGACGTTCTGAACAATATGCTCGATGCGGTCCAGCAGGCGTTGATCATTTACTTCAACCGACGCATCCACGATTTGGACGCCTCTTTGTTGCAACAGAAGGTGGTCGGGGTGCGAGATTGCCTGCTGCGCTGCGAAATTGCAGATCCGGACGTGGTCCACGGCTCTGCTGGGTTTCTCTGGCCTGCGTTCATAGCAGCATGCGAGGCCGAGGACCCCGAGGTGCAAGTCTCCTTTTCTCATTGGTTCAAAATCTCTGCGCAGCGAAGTGGACTGTCTTGTTTTACCAAGACTCTCCAAAGTATTGAGCAGATCTGGCACGAGAAGCAGACTTCGAGCGGAACGAGCATCACCTGGCTTGACATTATGAAGCAAAAGACTTTGATGCCACACGACCTTTGACGGTTGGAGCGTGGACAACGGTCCTCATCAACGCTGCACCTTCACGAGGGACGGTTGCGGGCGAGAATCTTTCTGGGCCTGGGATGGCTCGTACAATTTACGTGCCCTGATTCGCTCTACCAATCTATCATTCGATTGCACTGGAAAGATCGAGCCCTTGAGAGAGAAATGGTCCGCTGGCTCCAACCATGACCGTGACTACACTTGGCATGAAACCTTCGTCCGTTGCTCTATCGCTCAGTATACCCGCCGTCCACGAAAAGCGTCGTCCCTGTGACAAAGGAGCTTCGTCCTCCCGACAGGTAGACCACCCCGTCAGCTATCTCTTCCGGTCTTCCCATCCGTTGCATAGGGACGGCAGTATCCACCCGCTCCAACATTGCCTGCAGGACAAGCGGCGATTTCGTGGTCATGGGCGTCTCCGTATATCCTGGGCAAATGGCATTGATTCTCAAGCCATCTTTGGCATAATCCTCGGATGCCGTCCGAGTCAGGCCGATGACGCCGTGCTTGGTCGCGGTGTATGCGGTGGACATGGGAATCCCCACTACTCCCTGGATCGACCCGAAGTTGACAATTGACCCGCGCTGCAGCGGACGACCATCGATGTTGGAGAGAATCGGGTCCTGCTTTAACATGATCCGCGCGCTCGCTCTGAGGACGAAGAAAGTTCCCGTCAGATTGATGTCCACAATTCTCTGCCAATCACGCGTTTCCGCAAATGCCGCGCCGCCCTGGTGCTTCATGGCAATTCCCGCGGCGTTGACCACGTAGTCGAGACGGCCGAACTTTGTAGCAACGTCGGTAACGGCTTGGTTCACTTGATCCTCATTCGTGACGTCCACCACGTACGCTTCCACTTGACATCGTCGGGTTTGTTCCGGTGCTGCGTTTTCAACCTCCTTCTGGACCGCCGCCAGTGCATCTTGATTGACGTCCAACAAGGCGATTCCGGCAGCGCCGTCTCTTGCAAACGTCTTGGCACACGCTCTGCCAATGCCGGACGCGGCACCAGTGATCAAGGCGAAGCCTGGCACGTCCATCTCGAGTCAGACTTGCAGGAAAAGCCCGATGCCCGATTTGAAGCTGAAAGAACTGACTCGGCTGGCGAGTGCGCACGGAACTGCTCTTCAAACCCCTGAAAATTTCGTATACAAAATTGACTAGAGATTTCTGAAGATGTCCTTTTGGTCGAGGCCATCTTTTGCAGGCTATTTAATCATGATTCGAGTCTGCGGAGGAGTGCCGCGCGAAAACGGCATTGGCCTGGGGAGACTTGCCTAATCAGTATGTATGAGATCTGGAATGGCCACAAAAGCACGTCATAGAGCATCCAGGTCCCCAGGCGTGCTCTCGACGCGTCACATTGAACACTGATCCACACTCATCGAGCAGGGCGCCAGGCCATGGTCCTTTGGGAATCATCGGTCGAAAGCGTGTGAGGGTTCGCCTTTTCCGGGAGAGACTAGAAGAGCACTAGAGAATGCTCGCTTCCAACGTCCTCGAATATTGTTTGCCTGCCATGCAAGGAGTGCTGGAATCGATGCGTTACACCCGGATGTGACGAGGAATGCACCGACGTATCCGGGGCCAGGACCGTCCGTCCAGGCCAGGAGGCAGAGGCCCAGGATATTCTGTAGGGCGTTGAAGATCAAGGACGGGCTTCGAATGTGATATTTGTCGCCTAACCATCCCTTGGATGACCATCACGCGGTGCGTGAAAGCGTCTGCAGACTTTAATCCAATTCACCAAAAGGGCAATTTACTTATCTACTCCCTACGATGGTGATCTGAACGACACTGGGAAACCAAAAAAAAAAACACAAAAAAGAAATGGTCACTACGAGGGTCGAACTCGCGACCTTGGCGTCAACAGTTTCCAATAGTATTTGGTATTAGCACCACGCTCTAACCAACTGTATTATGATTAGTACTTGTATGCGGGACTCATTGAGCTGTGACTACTAACCTGAGCTAAGCGACCTGCTGGTTCTTGGAAAAGAATTGTGAGACTTTATACTATATAGAGAAATTTTGTTCTTGGGGAAGGGCCATTTCGTGACGTCATGATGTCCCCACCGCTCCAAATGCCTCGGTCCGTCTACATCTGGCTTCAAGTTCAGCGGCAGCCTCAGCCCATTCGTTGAGGTCACGATTATACCGCTCAAGGACGCTATGATGGCCACTCAGCAATCTCGTATCGCTGCTCATGTGTCAATCCCACCTACCGGGTTCCCTGTTGAGGTAGGGGACCCGGAATCGTGGTGGTTCTCAGTGGTCGGCGAACAAGACCTTTGGCCTGGATGCATGCAAAAACTTTATGCAAGATACTCTCGACGACGGCATGGTTGTGATTGAAAGTCAGTCACGCGTTAGCATTGTTGGCTTTTCGATAGTCACCAGGAGAAGCCGGGATGAAGCCACATGGCCCCGAACAGGAGTCTCCCACGCTGCTTCCGCTGGCTCCTCACCTGCCGCGTTGCTCTCCCGCCAACGACTATGAAGTCGACTCGCTTCCTGGTCTTCTCTTTCTGAATCACAACTCGTCTTTTCGCAATGTCTTCATGACACATATAAGCAGGCGCCGCATATCTCAAAACAACAAATGCCTTGATTAGGGGGTTGACGAATCCCCAACAAACGACCGACATCCCGCGACGAATTTCCGCCGGCGGAACGACGTCCAAAGACCATTACTCTGGGGACGATCAAACACAAACTCCTGCGTTCGTGGGTTGTTGAGTATCGCGAGTTGATTTTCGGCCTCTGACCACTTTTTTGAGACCTTCCCAGAGAAGACTGTGGCGACCTGAAGTCTCTTCGTTGAGGCTCTCTTCGGCAACCACCGCCTTGGTCTTCGGTGGATCCTGCCCCTGAGCTCCCTGCACGGGTCCGGCTGTCTTGCTAGTCGAAGGTTGACTGTCGCTTGGATTCTGGGGTGATCGGGAGCCCCCCTTCACCTCAGGTATGACTCCATTCCCAACCAAGGAATAATCACAGGATCTGTACAGGGTAGCACCCTTATAGGTACGTTTAAACGAATCGATGCTCCTTTCGATAATATAGTAATATTTCGCAGCAAGCCAGACTATTAACCATCATAACCTCCCTCCCACTCCAGGTAACCAATTTTCCCCCGATCACTCTTATCACCTTTACATCCCCTAGCAGTGCTAGTGTCTAACCATCGGATATTTGAAGCCCATCCTACTCCGCCTCCAAGGATTCACTATATTCCACTTTGGTCAAACCCAAACTTCTATGGCCGAACCAGAGTATTGGAAGAGATTCATAATGAATTATTTGGTTGCACTTCCGACTCAAAATCAACGCAGTATCAGAGGTCTTGCCTCATCCATGGCATCGGAGGAATGGGCAAGACACAAGTTGCCCTAGAATACACCCATCGCTACGGAGACTTTTATGACTATATCTTCTGGGTACGGGCCGAGACAGGGCTTGAGATGATTAAGGACATCATTACAATCTCGGACAAGCTCAACCTGGAGCAGCCAAAGCATGGCGGTGATGGTGCAATTATCGACAAGGTTCGAACTTGGTTCGAAACCACCACTGGTAGCTCTCCCCACTATTGGTACTTCTGTCGTGATTGTCTCACATATCTCCAGACAGGAAATGGTTACTGGTATTCGACAACGTTGAGGACATGGAAAGCCTGACGCCATATCGGCCGCGGTTGGGTCATGGTTCATTGCTGCTGACATCACAAAACGCTGGACTCCGTTCCCAGACAACCCACAACATTCCCTTAAAGCCGTTTGGCGAAGAAGAGGGTGCTAGCTTTCTCCTGAAGCAACTGAATGGAGAACATCCTCCGACAGAGAATGACGATGCGATCTCGTTGTGCAAAGAACTTGGGGGTTTACCACTGGCGATCGCGCATGTTGCGGGTTATATGGCAGAATCAGATGTGTCTGTAAAGGATACGCTTGACATGTTCACGCAGCGCCGTGAGTCTGCCGAGATCTTCAATACAAAACCGGATACAACGTTTGTGTATAGCAAAGCCCTCGACTTTGTCTGGGACGTTGCGTTGCGGGAGCTGGTCGACGACACACTCAGGCTGATGCATGTCTTGTCCATGCTGAATCCGGAGGGCGTGCCAGAGGAGATGCAACGTGGAGATCACTTGGAGCAAGGTCTTTCATTTTTAAGTAAGTCGAAACGGGCACAGTAGGCGCTTCCAACACTGCGGGGACCCTAGTGTTACAGGCTGCTAACTCAGAACAGATTCTTGGCTATGATTCGCAGCCTTTGCCGTCGGCAGCTCATTTCCAAGACAGAGGTCTCAGGGCGGCACTGCCTCTTGACCCACCAATCGCTGCAACGCAGCATCTTGCATCGCCTGGATGGCGTGGAGGGGAAACTTGAGGAAATCTTCCAGACAACTCTCACGCTTCTCCGCAAAGTATTTCCTCGGCAGTCATCCATCCAATTTCCTCAGAATGATCATTGGAAAGTGTGGGAGCTGTACAGTCCCCATGTTATGAGCTTGAGAAAAGTGCATGCGGAATCGGACCAGAGTCTTTCATCATCAATCGGGTTCGCGGAGATTCTGGGAGATGTGGCGAACTACTTCTGGGAGCGGAACCTATTTAACAACGGTATTCTGGCATCCGAATCTGCAGAAAGATATGCGAAAGCCTCCCGGGCCAGTTTCCTCACCTACAAGCACACATCTTTACCATCGGAGCATCAATTCGGTCGCATGGAGGCATTTCAGAACGGAAGGAATCCCTTCAAGGTTTCCAGAAATCACTTGCACTACGACAGCAATACATAAACGAGCTTTGTCCCGAACATGCAACAGAGGATGATATCGGCAACTACGCGAATGCGTGGAGCAACCTTGGTTATAGGCGCGTAATATCCTGCCCATCCGCATCGGACCCGAACATGATAATGTAATATTCTTTTGCATATCCGGCTTCACGTGCAAGCGTTACGCACTTGTCGTACTCTAAGCTCCAGTAGAAACTGTCTTCTTGATATGGGACTAGCCGAAATGTATCAGCATGTCGCCCCATGTATGAAATATAGAGACTGTCCATCCTCCTATTGTAGTCCACATCGATGAAGAAATTTCCGATAAGATTGAAATAGCATCCAGCAAAGGCTCTGAGCGATCTGGTAGGCTTCTGCACAGTCCTTCCGTCAGTGAGGCTCTTATTGAGGTCTCTCATTTGTTGCAAGTTGCTCGAGGCCGATTTCCGGGCGAGCTCAGTGTAGTTGGGAGCATTATCGAGATTGTTGAAAAGCGCTTCGACCAGGAGGTTGCCGATCCACCGTACTCCCCCGTTCAAGGACAACGAGTTGGTGAGCACGACAACAGCGCTGCCTGTTTCTGGGAAGATGGCGTTGTAATTGTTGTGGCCGGGAATGCTCCCGCCGTGGTAAAGGGCTATCCGGGACGGCGCACCTGTTCCTACCAGCGGCTTTAGCTCGCTCGGTCCATTGTCCCCGGGAGATAGGATGCCGGGAAGCTGGGCTCGTGCCCAACCGAATGCGTATGAATGCTCTCTCAGCGAGCGTGATGGCAAGGGGAGGCGTCCTTGCCAGAGGTCGCGTACGGCCTTGAGGGGGTGCTTTGGTTTAGTCGACTGATCTTCCTGGAAAGCGAACGTCAATTCGTCGCGAGCGGCTTGTATGAAGGCCCTGTAAAGAGACAGGAGGTCACCAACGGAGCTTCGAATTCCTCCTGCTGGCCCCATCAACACGTTTTTACCCCTTAGCGCTGGCGCAAGTTGAACGACAGATGCATTTTCGAGGGCCGCATATGGCTTCGCCTCGTTGTCGCGGATCTCCCCAGTGTAATATGTTCTTCTCATGCCGAGTAGGTTAAGCAGTCGATTCTAGAGAACTTCACTGAGTGTAGCACCAGAGAGCTTCTCAAGTATCTGGCCCAGTACTTCATAGGCAAAGTTGTTGTAGATGAAATAGCCTCGAAAAGGTCGGACCCCTGGGGCGTGATTTAGGATCTGAGTCGCCTGTGATTTCGGAAGGAAAGGCACATTTTCTGATGCCAGCCACAGAGAGTCAAGAGCAGCAAACCCGGTCCGGCGGCACAGGAGATCGGCAACCGTGATGCCACCGTACACATCGGAACGATTGAATTCGGGTAGGATGGTCCTCAATGGGACGTCCCAGGACGACAAAGAACTGTCATCAACAAAGGACGACAATAAGGCGGCTGTCATGGCTTTGCTAAGCGAGCCTAAAACGAAAGTCGTGTCGCTGTCGCAGGAAACTCCTCGCTCGACATCAGCGAAGCCAAAAGAGGCTTTGTAGACCACCTCATCATTGTGCAGAACGCCGAATGAGACACAAGGGATGCCCAAGATTTTGAGAATGTCCGTGATTATCGGGCTAAGGGCCGCGAACTTGCTGGCGAGGATCTTCATTCGGGAAGTCGTGCTGAAATCGGAAGTGCAAGAGGGAAAATTTGGTGCGCCGTTGGAGAGAAAAGATGCTGGACCGGGATACTTAAACGCTGCTTCTGAGTTCTCCTAAACAGGGGTCCCTCATGCCTCCTTCAGATCAAAATTCGCTTCGCCAGAGTCAAGACCACGAGAGAGTATTGAGGTTAGGTTGCTGATTCTCTCTGAGACTCTGACCCTGTCTAGATTAAGAGCAAATGATTGAATGAACATGCTTGGAGTGAAAATGCATTGATTGCTATCTGTCCTATCTATCTAGCGCGACCTTCTCGCTCTATATAGATTTGGCTGTGAGCCAGAAGGTTTCGTGGAAACGAGAGATAGTCTCAAAGTCGTTACATATCCCTTGTTGTTACACTCCTGTGATAGTATAGAGACGCTCTTGACACGCAACAGTCCAACAGCAAATACAGGGGTACTATACTAAGCTACCAGAGAAAACTCAGCATCCCTCTTTTAGGCCTGCAGAAATGGCGTCTACTATCGTGAAAATATGGCGATTTTTTAAGTTTTCAATTAAAATCTGCTCTTCTTAGTATCCAGTGACCCAGGAAGCTATTGAACGCCGAATGCGCCCCCGAATTCGCATGACTCACACCAAGGACCCACGTATTAGGGACAGCTCCAAACAACACACTGAGCAAGGGACTATCGGATATATCAGGGGCGAAGCACGGAGGGATGGAAAGGCCTTTAGAGTAATCGAAAGGGCTTTTGGAAGGGTCGGGAAGGCTCTCGGAGGGGTTCTGACAATAATATTACTATCTAGTACACTATGAAGTATAAGACGAAAGACGAGGAGCCTCCAAGAGAACTAGAGGCTCCCTCTCGACCTATATAGGTCTATCTATACCTTCGAAGGGGAGCTTCTAAGGGCTCTAGGAGGTCTTAAAAGGGGTAGAGGAGTCTTTAGCTCCGTTAATAGATTAAGTATATATATAGGGGGGGCTATAGAGTTAGTAATAGTATAGTTATATCTATCATAATACTCACCGGCCCGCCTCGCCCTTCACCTTTGGCCTCGTCCTCGCCAGCTTGCTAGGTGTCCAAGGTCCGGCGTCGCCAGGTTCCCAGCTCGTGCGTCTCCCAGCCTCCAATGGAAACCACCTCGAATGGATTTCAGGACGACTTCTTTCAGCCCCCTTGCTCTAAATTCAGCCACAATGAGCGGGGTAGAGACTCTGCTGCAGGTTTCAGCTCTCCTCCTTCCATCTCGCTACGCTCATCTCAACAGCTTGTGTTCAGCCGTTGTCGTGTGAAGTGAATCCTCCCGAGCAACAACTTTAGTCGTCGTGAGCTTGTTCTTCCTCATTCCCCTGAGTCAAAACTATGCCGCGAAAGGAGTTTGGCTTTCACCGCTTGATAGCAAAGTTCTCCGGCAATAAATCCGCAAAGTCCCCCCCCCCCCCGGGGGGAAGCCTGCTATTCCTAAAAGCCTTGTTGAGCCAAGTCCTGAGGCCACGCAAAGCCAGAAGAGACCAGAAATACCTCGCGAATCTTCGTTGTGGCAAGAAGCTTACAATGTCCTACGAAGGCAATCAATACTAATCCCGCACCCCCCCCCCCCCTCTTCTCTAGAGATCCACCAATACATGTTGCAATGGCCTTTGGGTGGTTGGAACTGTTGCAATTTATTATCTCGCAGGCCCCAGAATATCTAACGACTACAATAACTGATGGTCGGGGCACGAAAGTTACAATCCTAAGTCAGGTATGCTCTCTGTCACGATTCAGATAGGGGGATTCAGTGACAAAGGCTCTTCTGTCGTTTGGAGCGGACCCTTTCGTCGAAGACGAGTTGTTTCACGACGCTATCTATATATGTATAGCGCTAGGCCTGCCTGAAACCCTTGGGGTGTTATTGCGTACACCGGAGGTCATTGCACCTTGTGAGAAGGAAAGATTCTCACCGCTGATCGCGGCCGTGACGATTCGTTATGGTGAGAAGACGGGCCATATGAACGATTCGAGCTTCTTGAACACGTTGGTATCATTGCTTCCCCAAACGTTGGATACATTCAGCCTTCCTGCCTATCAAACAGCAGTCGCCATGCACAACAACCCTATTTTTGATTTCCTGCTCGACACGGAATTGGATCTACATGCCAGAGAACCCCTTTTTTTTGTTTTGGAAATGCCATCCAATGCGCGGTGGCGATGTTGAATGCGTACGGGATCAAACGCGCCCTTGAGAAGGGAGCCGAAATGGACGCTGAAGGCCCCGGGTGAGAAGACCTGATCTCCACCGTCGAAAAGGGCTCGTATCTGGTCGAAGGCGAGACAGGTGGTCAAGCTGCTGCGGCCAGGCTGAGAATCGGCCAGAAATTCTTCGGGAGACACAATCAATCCGGAGCCGGGGAAAATCGATTGAAAGCGTTCTGCCATGCGATATCCGACGCACAGCTCGGATCCCGATGGTTACATGTTCGCTGGGAGAAGCTGAGAGCTTGGGAAGGACAGGAAGTCCTCCGAGTCCCGGATGACTGGGTGTACGACTACCCGGAGAGTAGGTATCGGAGCAAATTTGGGCTTGATGACCGCTCATTCCAACCAACAAAACACGGCGGCCGAATCGTCATCTTTGACTGCGCTGTAAGGGCGAGGCGGCGGACTCGGCAAGAAACTCGTTTCTAAACCCCCAAGTCCTGGGCTTCAGAGTCCTCGATGCCATGTCCTTATGACGTTTGACAATCGAGATGCAACCCTCCAAGGCGGCCTACACTGGACCCACCCTTCTATCGCGTTATGAGGTTTGGAACTATAGACTCGCATTACCCCCTGGAGGTTCGAGATCTCTCTCTATTCAGTACAGATGACCATACAGGCAGACCGCTCCACGGTAGACGAACCAATCACCCAATCAATCGACAAATTATCTTCGCCGTGGTCCCTGGACATTGGACCTTGACTCTACAAGCCGTTGTACAACTTCACACCCGGACTGGTCACAACGGCAAACCTGGATTGTTGATTCCCTCTCTGGGGATGCTGAGACTACTCGACGCATGATGCTCTAGTTAGTACTGAGCCCCGATTCTCGTGGCGCCCGCGGCGCTCTGTCGCGGGCCTCCTCGACTCTCCGTCACGTGCCTGATGAAACCCGGCCTCGCTCCCTCCCTTGAACGAAAAATAGTAATAGAGAAAGGACAGTACGGGGTATATATCAGGTATGTATTTATACACATATTTAAATGCTCCTGCGACGCAGGAGCTGGAAGGAGACGAAGAGGCCCAGGGCGCGAGATGACCGTGACAGAAGGTGGAGCGGGGAGCGTACGTAGATTGTCACAAGGGATGCAGATTTAGATACCAGGTATGCTCAGGGCCGAGCAGCCGCGGGTACATACATATATACATACATACGTAGGTATCTTCTGTAATAAGCTCTGCGAATGTGGTTGGGCAATGAATTGTTGGTGGTACTGTAGTGGTGGTGGTGATACAAAAACAGGCAGGAAAATCTCTATCTACACTTACACACAGCAAGCCCCCGGAGCCATGCCATGACTTCGTGACACGATGTGACCAAACCGCCATGTGTGTTGGTCGGACCCGAATCCGTCTTCCCTGGTCATTCCCACAAGACATCCTGGGATATCTCTCGCCCTCTTCCACTGCCTCCGATGCTTGCCTCCTATAAGACATTACGCTCGCGATAAGATTTTGGGGGACGAAATACAGTCAATACTTCGCCCTTGCTCATGCAAATATTAGTTGGTGGGTTCTCTTTGGTTCCCTTTCCTTCTCGCGTGACGATGCCTGAAAACCACTGCTCACGGCACCCTCAATAGTAATGCAGGCATGGGGATGCAAGTTGTGAGAAGCCACCCCAGCCCTAACTCTTCTCCTTCTCCTCCGACCTTTGTCAGCCCTCCCCAGCAGCAGGAACATCCCCCGTGCACTCAAACAAACCACCGACGCCAAAGCTATGCCATCGACCACCTGAACTGGGTCTAAAATCTAAAACAAACAGCAAAAGAGAGTAAGAAACTGGACGGTGCTGTCGGGTAAGGATCGTTCATCATTTCAATTGTGTTGCTGAAATGCAGAGAGTGAGAGTGTGGTCGGGGCGGTTGTGTCTGGATCGTAGTATTCAGTCGTCAGTGTGCGTGTGGTTGAGTGTTGTTATTGATGATGTTGGGTATCCAGCAGTCTCGACATAAGTGAAAAAGACTCATAGCAGACTGGCGGTATATGCCAACCTCAGATGAGTGTTCTCGTGTCCATGCCGTGGTGTACAACCCGCATTGCCTCGTATCGGTAGCGGGACCAAGTCCATGTTCACTTGCTACTAAGCCATTGCAGATGACTTTGACTCTCGATCCGGATTTCGCACCTAGGAAATGTTAGTGGTTTGGATAAGCTGTTATCACGGCCAAAAGCCAACATACCTGCAATATCCTCCTGGAGAAATCTCGTTCATCGGCGATGCTGCCAATACTTTGTCGACGGTGTGAGTAGATAGAGGGGTCAAGGCGCTGGTCAGTGGATGATTTGTCTGATTTCCCTGATCCGACGAACGAACTGACCGCCGCATTACGACGGTGCTCTTCTTCAATTTCACGGTTCCTCTTGTGTCTCAAGTACAGGAGGACACCTCCGATGATCCCAGAGAGGCCAACGACGCCAACAACGACGCCAACGGCAATGCCGACCTTGCTGGTTCCGCCGGATGATTTGTCGGCTGAAGCCATAGCTGAAGCCGTCACAACGATGGTCTCGCCCGGTTTGGTAACAACTGCAGGCTGGCTTGTACTTGAGCCTCCAGATTGCGTAGCGGTTGAGCTGCTCGAACTGCTGGTACTGTTCGGGGCAGTTTCAACGTCGGCGGTCAAACCCGTAAGATACACTTGCCAGAAGCCAATGCCACCACAGGTCTGCTGAGAGTAGCCGTTGCATGGCGAGTTGCAACTGTCCGGGTCCACTTCAGTGTCCAAGGCTGGCAATTCGTCACCACAATAACACGTCGATCCTCCAGTTATGGCCATCACGGGCTTGTTCAGCTGCACACAGACTCCTTGACAGTAACCTGAAGTTTGGAACGTGTAGTCACCCTGAGAGGTGAGAGGGTCTGGGTGGTCGTAGCAGCCTAGTGTAGTGATCGCTTTAGGGGCATTTGTGGACGTCGCAGTTGAGGATCCTGATTGAGCTGATACTGGTGCTGTGAAAAGAGCGAGAGCCGAAGCCAGAGCGACGGCTCGTAGGAGTGATCGTGCCATGATTCGCGATGCTGTTGGTGAGAGAGTCTGAAAAAACAACGCGGCTCAAGATATGTCGATGCGTCGAAGAAATCACCGTGTTGCGGCTCTTCGACTCGATTCGACTCGACAAAGACGTGTAGATCGAAAGATGTGAGGTTGTAAGCGGTGAGGTTCAAGTTGATCAAGGTTCGATCAGGTGGTGCCTCGTCGTGTAACCCGGTCAAATCTAGGTGAAGGCCAGTCACTGGGAAAGGCGCAGCTAGAATTTCTTTGTTCTCCTTCACAGCAGTGACCCGCACTGCTATTTTTTCTCCCGTGCTCTTTTGTTAACCTTCAGCAACCAGGTCCCCGATTATACATCAAAGGATAAAGCGAGATGGAAGTGTTTACGATCTTCTAGGGAGGTCCGTCTTCGGGTCTGTCTGAAGAGTAAAAGGGGAGCTTGGCTGGGAATGCAAGTTGCGTTTCAGACTTGACACACCACGGCCCCTGAGAAGTCGATCAAAGCAGTAATGGAAGCTGAGCGAGTGTAAGAAGGAGGTGTCAATTGAGACGCGGCGGGCGTCTGGACGGCGTAGAATGTGCGGTTGCACGTTGCCTCGATGGCGATGTGGTGAGGTTGTTGTGCAGGTCGAAAGGAATGTGGTGGTTTGTTTCTGCGGTGGTGCAGGATGGAGAGAGGAAGAGTCACAAGACTTGGGAAGGGAAGGGAATCAGGATCGATGGAGCACTGGCCTGCGAGTCTGCGACGGGGCAATTGCGCTGCCTTACGCGACCCGGGAAAGAGGAGGTGCTGGGTGACACTAGGGGAGCAGGGCTTGATGTTTCAATTGGTTCTCTAGGCAATATTGGGCCAAATGGCGAAAGGGCCCTCGGTAGCACGTAAGGGCATTGGCAGGGGTGGATTGGAGCATGCACCGTGGAAGCTGAGCAGCGAAGAGGAGGCCTGCACACAGAAGAAACAGCGGCAGCAGAAAATGGCTCCCCTCGGAAATTGGTTGTCAAACGCCTATCGATGCTTTAGGCTTGGTGGTGCCCCCCAAAGCCCCAGTCTCTAACCCCTTCAGGCGGCGTGCTGCCCCCCGGCTCAGCTTAGCCAGGTACCGTCGACTGACATGTCCAATCCCCTGCAAGCCACCTGACAAGCCACTTTCGCCCACGTTATCTTGACTTCCCTGCCAAACCTTTGTATCCGTGTCTTCATCTCGAATCTCAATGGAGTGGATTGGAGCCTGGATGCTCAATTCTATTTTGATCGAGGCCAATTCCCTGGTGCAAAGAGTTTGTGTAGAGCCGTTGTTGGCGCAGGCTACTCAACGCGATGTTATCCCTTCTCTTCTCGACAAGCACAAACAACAGCCTTTTTTTCTGACTCCAAGATCCTGCCGAGGCACCAGGGAATAGTCATATGTTCCTGCATTGGTGTGCGCGGCCTTGCATCGCAACGTTGGCTCTGATTTGCTCACGCCGCACTTAGGACTTCCGTCAGCCCCAGTTTGAAATCGCTGAGTGGCGTCCGGGTATGGCGCTGTGGATGGCGTGGAGGGGCTTTGGGCTAGGAGCACAACGAGACGCCTCGACTGCTTCACACTTTCTGTGGCATCAAGGGAAAGCTGGCAGGAGGCCGCGTCGTATCTCGGTCCTCATCTTTATCCGATTGGCGGCTGACAGTGTTGTGAGGTGTTGGTGCGCGCCTCTTCTGGCATGATCAGAGCGGTGGCGTTTGGTGGCTTGTCCGCGGCTTGATTTCGCTTGATAGCTGGGTTCTCACATACCCATGTTCAGCATGCACAACGATGGTTTGCAGAAGGGAAAGAAGATTAGAAAGGACATGTGCAAGGCAGAATCTGGCTTGGCTGGGTGTAGACTCCGCTGACACCCGCGAAGTTGTGCGCCATGGCTTGCAATCGAGCAGGTATTTCTGGAACATATATGGAGTACCGGGTAACTTGTCCTCGAGGCCATCACAACACACAATCATCTATTCATCTCCATAACAATCAGCCAGCACTCCATACGGCGTGCATCAATGCCAATATCAAGCCAAGAAGATATAAGCAAGTCGCGTCCCAGCACCTTGTGCGTGCAGTTGTTGATTGTAATCCCTTGCCCCATATCTGAGTTCGAAAGCCCCATGCAAATAGACCGACCCATTGTAGCCCATTTTTGGCACATTGTTGCGAGCCAGGCTTTCCACCGTCAGGCCTCAAGGCGGCATCACTTATCTCGAAGATCCACCACTTCAAATTCCATCCCTCTAGCCTCTACGACATGCCCTGGTCGGAGCGCGTCTGTGTAGATGTTCTCAACATTGTGCGGGTGGAAGATTCCTGGCTGTTCACAGCTTAGAATGGTCTTCTTTCCTGGAGGGTCGGTTAGACGGTATACTCCCCAGTCGCCACCGTGGGTTGTGTCTCCTTTGCTCGGCGCACACACAATCGCAACGCTCTCCGCAAGCATCATCTGGTATCCCGCGTGGGTATGTAAGTCTCGGCTACTCATAAAACACGTCTGCGTCGGATGGGTATGTATCCAGCCGAGAATCATAAGGTCCTCCGAGTCCACATAGTCAAAGAGCTGTGATTCATTCGTCATCTCACACGTATCCGATGTCGCCGTTTGTGAGGGAATAATGAGCCGACTAATGAAAAAGGCGTTGGCGATCAGCGTCCCACCTAGGAAGCCGCACGTCTCCAAATTCGCCAACGTGTTTTTGTGAGCCAGTCTCAGAAACGTCGTCCGCAAGGTTGGCGGAAGAAATACGGTCCGTAATGGCGTCCCATTTTCGAGATAGGCTGCAGGGGCAAAAATATGGACTGGTTCCGGTGTCTGTGATCTTGCTGCAGGTTGTTGATCCGCCACTTTTTCTGGACGAGGCGGCACCCCCGCCACACTGCCGCCAGGCTTCGGCGGTAATGCAGGAGGTGACACCGGAAGGCCTCTCGGGACGCTGGGAGATGATACGAGAGGTGATGGAGTGCCTAGCGCAGGCTGATTATGATGCGCGGGAACGGTTGGATACTGATATGTCACATTGCTGCCCATAGATCCAAGTGGTCTCGTCTCTGAGCCCGGCGAAAAGAAATTTGATCTTCCCTCAACGCGAGCTCGAATTTCTTGCAGCCTTCGGGACAGGTCCTCTGCATCGTTCCCAGACGTCTGGGTCGCCTGTCGACTCGCAGCTCTCCTAGAGATCTCCTTCTGCAAGAGTCTGACTGCTAGCTCTTTGTTTTCATGTGCCTGGAGTTGTTGGGGCCTTTGTGCCTGCGCCGGCCGCGGACTAGGAGGGTCATTGGTGTACTGGTTCTGCGCCTGTGCACTCCGCCTTGCCTCCCTCTCCTTGATGAGCTTGACGTAGCGCTCATACCGCTCGTTGATTCGGGGCTTCAGCAAATCTAGGACCTTGAAGTTCGCGTTGACTTCTTTCTCCGCCTCTTTCAACAGCAGTTTATTCGCTTTATCCCTTGCTTGCGGGTGAGCCGGCAACTGTGACAGGATAAGGTGAGCATGTCGGAAAAGCAGAAGGTACGTCGTCTCTTCGTCGCCTTCACGGACATATACCTCTGCCTATAGAAAAGTCAGTGTTGGGGCGACTACAGCCACGCCGGGAGCCACCGACCTCTTTCAGCATCGCTTGGGCAGACCGGAGCCAGTATCGTAGGGGAATCTGGGCGTCATATTCATAGTCCTGAGCAGCTTTGGTGATTTGCTGGACGCTTCGAGGGGGGTGCAGTGAGCCCATGCTCACTCTGAGAGCCGACATTTTGCAACTTCATAAACCAGCCTTGGAGGGGTGACGGTCCATGTGGGGTATCTTTCCAGCGTCACTTAGCCAGGTTTAATGGCCTTGGGATTTTGAGCCGACACCCCAGCGAAGAAATTCCCCTCGCTTGAAATCAAGCGACATAGACGCAAATTTGCGCGGTGCAGATAAGTGGTTGTACTTCTCATTGTGTTGAGAGTTGGGCAATTGCGAGTTGGAGCAAGTTGACGCCGCAGTCAGGCGTCACTCATTTAGCAGCCACCCAGCCCAAGGAAAGTCTGCCGACCGGCTCTAACACTAAGACCATATGTAGTACGAGTAGATAGTTGGACAAAGCAAATGATCTTAGCAAGTATTTATCTGTCCTCCCTATCCTCCCTCGATAGTTCTACCAATAGAACTAGGACTTTTCTGAAGCAAACACCAATCACCCAACAGAAATGTTCTCGACGGGCATCTTGGCAATCTTCCCGTAAAAAATATCCCTCCTTGCGTAGTGAGAGAGCAGTTCTTCTCAAACTCGCTCTATTGCTTCCCGCGAGTCTATGCAAAAGATCGATTCGACGGTAAAGAGGCCGAGTTCCTCCAAGTCGCTTGTCTCTATCCTCAGCTCAGTCGGACCTATTCATGGCAGGAAACTGTCCTTGCGCCGACTTGGCAAAGAGGCCAGCGGGACGATCGTATACGCGGTCTGTTAGTACTACTACCGCAGCTGACAAAGAGCGATCGCCATACCATTTCACCTAGAGTTTCTAGTGGCAGTCGTCACGGAGATCACGACTGTTTACCACAACTGTCCATGGCGGAGACAATAACACAGCTGGTAGTCTTTCCGGCATCCATGACTAACGAGTGCGTATTGCGGTGCTGAGTACAAGTCCCCGACATGGAGGGCAGAACATCGAGGGGAAGATACAGTGAGTTGATGTCCATCATGACGATCACAGAGATCAGAGATGGCCCGATGACTCGTCTATAAAAGGTTCGATGAGGTCCTTCGTGATGTCGAGGTTCCCGCAAGCAAATCGTCTTGCGATTCCTGTAAGTCTACCGAGTATTCATCACCAAGATCCAGACTACGAGCACAAGATGTCGTCTGCAATTCATCCTTACCAAATCAACATCCCCGACTCTCGAATACAAGAGCTCAATTCCAAGCTCGAAAATGCCACCTATCCTGATGAATTAGGCTCTGCAGGATGGGACATGGGTGCCCCATCGTCCGATATACAACGACTCACAAAATACTGGCTCCGGGAGTTCAGCTGGCGAAAAGCCGAGGAGAAACTCAACGGGCTGCCTCATTTTGTCACAACAATCCAGTGCGACGGTTACGAGCCTCTGAATATCCATTTCCTGCACAAGAAAAGCTCAGCCAAAGGGGCGATTCCGCTGCTTTTCGTGCATGGCTGGCCTGGGAATTTTCTAGAGGCCACTAAAATTATTGATGCTCTATCCACCCAGACACAAGGTCAAGTGTCATTCCACGTCGTCGCACCATCGTTGCCCAGTTTCGGATTCTCAGAAGGCACGAAGAAGCGGGGCTTTGCGGTCGAGCAGTATGCTGAGACACTGCATAAGCTGATGGTGAGGCTTGGTTATGATCAATATGTTACTCAAGGTGGTAAGTTCAACGGCATGGCATCCCCATCTACAGCCTCGACCGTAGACAGCATGGACACGAGATTGACTGCCAGCCAGGCGATTGGGGTTACTACATCTGCCGCGCCCTCTCCGCCCTCTATCCACGACAATGCAAAGCCACACACTTCAACATGGACGTGGGCACTCGACCTACCCTCTTCACGCACCCAGTTCTGTTCGTCTCGTCCCTCTTTCGGCGCCTGAGCAAGCGAGAGAAACAAGGTGTCTCCCGCACGGAGTGGTTCGACCAAGAAGGGTTCGGGTATAACCTGCTCCAGTCCACGAAGCCACAGACGATAGGCTACGCATTGACCGACAGTCCTGTGGCTTTGCTGGCGTGGATCTATGAGAAACTGCATGACTGGACGGACGCATACCCTTGGAGTAAGCCATTTCTATCCCTGACGAAAACACGGCATTCGCACCAGACAGCTCAAGACACAGTCGCCCTACCTTCAGATAACTACCACCCCATTCTTCTCTTTGTTTATCCCACACCGCTTGCCAATGATCAATTTCTAACACCAAAGTGACCCATAGCCGATGAAGAAATCTGTACCTGGCTCAGCATATACTACTTCAGCACCGCTGGCCCCGCAGCCTCCTGCCGCATCTACTACGAAATGGGCCGCTCGGGCCCCTGGGGAACTCGCCTCACCCGATACGAACTCAGGGCGTACCAGTCCAACGGCGTGAAAGTCGGGATCAGCCATTTCCCGCGGGACATCCACGTGTTGCCGAGTCCGTGGACGAGGACGGTTGGCGAGGTGGTGTTTGAGAGGGAGCACGAGAAAGGAGGGCATTTTGCGGCGTGGGAACGGCCGGAAGACATTGTCGGGGACGTGTGGGAGATGTTTGGACGGGGCGGTGGTGCGTACGGGGTCGTTGAAGGGAGGGATGGATATTGATATGAATTGGTTGCCATTTGTTGTAGATTCAAGTCTTTCGGCCTATGTTGTTTTGTTACTCTACTTCAGCTCTTCAATCCTCGGCATCCCGCCCGTCATGCCCTGTGTTCCGCTGGGTCCAGCCTGGTTATCGTCGTCGTCTTCATCCGGCTCGTCCTTCGGCATCCGCAATCCCATCATGCCCATGAGATTGCCACCAGGCCCCGCCTTGCCAGCCTGCGCCTTGAGACTCTCTAAGAGATTCTTCGCCAGGTTGACGTCGATTTCATTGTCGATGTCCTCATCTGAGGACAACTCGTAAACTTCGTCTTCCTCATCATGCTCCTTCCCAGCCTTTGACGTAGAAGCTTGGATCGCTCTCTGCTTATTGCCAGAGGAGGACGATCCGAGGTCCAGTGCACCATGCCCTCGAAGCTCTGCCTCCATTTGTTTCATGAAGCTCAGCAGGTCCGCTTCGTTGTCTACCTCATCATCATTCATCCTGTTCATGTCTCGGACTGGGCCTGTCCTGGTTGCGGGGGGTCTCAGCGTGGATCGATGGCCCGGGTCCTGGGCACCCGGGCCAAGTTCTCCCATCATAATCTCCTTCATCACCTCCGGTGGCATGCCCATCATCTCCTGCATCATCTTGCTGAATTCGTCTTCACCAAAGCTAGCCTCTTTATCCTCGCCCTCGTCGTCAAACTCATCATCATCTTCGTCGAGCTCGTCATCATCAACACCATCATCACTGCCTTCACCGAACAAGCCCGCGCCGTCTGGACCGGCATTGTCGTCATTCAAGAACTCCTCAAATTGCTTCACTATTCTTTGTAGATTCTCCTGTGCTGCCTTATCGCCAAAGCCGGTCTTCTTGCCCCTATCCCCGGTGTGCCCTTTGCGCCCAGCAAGCTCATTCTCGAGTTCGTCGAAGCTGATATCGAGCCACTTCTCATCATCCTCTTGGTGACTCCACGTTGCTAATTCAGTATCCGATGGTAGCACCTCATCCCCAGACTCAAGATCATCTAGGAGCATCTTCATTTCACGCACCGCAGGTCGATCTTGATACTGAGAGTCCGAGATTAGCATTTCAAATCCACAAGTGACTTTCATCCCGGTTTCGGCGCGAACATATGCCTTTGGATCCGTTCCTGATGGCATGGCGTCCGCAAAGACAGCAGGTGCCGGGAATTCCTGTGACTTTACTTGCGCATATGCCACGCGAGGGAACTTGACGCTCACTGTCACAAAATCTTGAGGTATGAAAATCAATTTATCTTTGTTGTCTTTGTTTTGGAGTGGTTTGAGCGCGATAGGATCTCTGAGGTAGAATGCTTCCACTGCGGGTGCAATGTACGCCGGCTTTTGATGAAGCAAATATGCAAGTTTCCGTGGTATCGTTATCAAGGCATGATGCATGTTTTCTGAGATTTGAGCGGGATAGTTGCGCAGCCGAAAGAATGCTTCTTCCTCCATGCTGATCGAGTGCATCAACCTCTTCGGCTCGTTCAGAATGATTTCCCGCGCTTGCGCAAGCGACAATTTCTCCTCTGTTCGCTTTGAACTTCTCGAGGCGCTCGCTGGCTTGATGACCTTCAACTGTCCATCATGGATCCAAACACGGTTTTCGGCAACATCTGGCTCAAGCCAGGAAGGCAATGTACCGGAGGCTTCGATGAGGAGGAACTCGCCATCGCTGTCGGTGACTTTGACCCATAGGTCATTGAACTTTTTTGTCAGCTCCCTTAGAAGCCAGACTATGACCCATTCGTCTTCCACAGAGTCGCCATATTCGGTTTGTCCGCGCAAGAAGTTCAGTCCTGACTCCTCTGTTAGTCTATTCTCGACTTCCCTGTCCAATCCGTACAGACCTCACCATCCTCTTTGTTCAGCTCCAGGGAGAAACCTTGGCGCTGCCAGATATAATCTTTCAGATACTGTCGATGAAGTTCCGTCGCATACTTCTGTACCTCCCGCAATCGCAGTCGCAGTTCCGAGTCATGGCTTGCATCTAGGGCAGGTGAAGTTATGTACAGGGAGTATTCGATGCAGTCATCAGGCAAGGCAGGCTTCGGGATGGGATGAAATGTAGAGCGGAACCAAGCAATTTCTTCCTCTGTCGCAGGCATCCTGAGACGGGTTTGCGCGACTATAACATTTAGTAGCCTTCAAGATGGCTGCGCAGATGGCGAGGGGAAAGTCGAAGTCGAGAATCATTTGCCTTGCCAAATGCCCGCCCAGCCCGCCAATGAGATCATTCTGCAGGTGCCAAGCCCCGCCGCACCGACCATTCCTCTTTTGACTAAACAACAACAAGCAACAACCGCGAGGTGCTGTAAAGCATCATCGCTTCAAATACAAGGCAGTATGGTTAGTGGTTCGCCTTGACATTGTACCTTTCAAATTAACGTGGCGGCTTCAGTCACTGGGCGCCCAAATACGTCCGCCCACCATGGCCAACTACATCAACACACCGCAAGCGACCGATGCATCGTACATCACCAATGGCCTGGATCGCCTTGGGGAGATCTCGCCGGAAAAGTCCTTTGCGGCACCCGCAGAGAACCGTGACCTGATCAGCCAGATGAGAAACGCGAAAACCCAGGGCGTCAACCTCCGAACCCCCAGAGCTGGCCTACGAGATCCGTTGCGCCTGCTCCCAAATGGCAACCAGGTTCGCTCGGAGTTCACTCCTCTGATGCAAAGTGCCACAAAAAAGAATATCGCACGCCGCCTGTCGAGCAAAAAGCCTGGTGTTCAGGCGACTCCTTCCTACCTCAAAGGTGGCTACACTCCCGGGCTTCCCAGACTCAGCGATATATCGCAATTAGCGAGCGAACACACGTCAAGTTCGGCCGGAAACGCAATGGACAATACTCCCATGCCTCAACAGATCAGCAGCAGTGCCCAGAGTACACCCCTCGCACAATTGCCAGGACGAGATGCCGGTGGACTCGTTAATGATGGGAACATGATGACGTTACGCGAGCAAGAAAGTATTATTGACAAGATTGAGAAGGAGAATTTTGGCCTAAAGATGAAGATACATTTCTTGGAGGAGGCTTTGTCAAAGCGAGGCAATGAATTCAATCAAGCTGCACTCAAGGAGAATACCGATTTGAAGGTCAATAGGATCACAATGCAGCGCGAATTGCACAAGTTCAAGAAGAATATTGCCCAGGCCGAGAAAGACGCAGAGGTCTATAGGCTACAGCTTGAAGAGTTCAAAGAACGAATCAGACGGAAACAAGTGGACGAGAGTGTCCGTATCGAGCTTGAAACCCTCCGCACCGAGGTGAAAGCAAAAGAGAAACAGGTGAAAGCATTGGAAAACGAGAGAGATTCTGCCAAAGATCAAGAGAAGTCGACAGTCGACAAGCTGAAAGATGAGATTGAAGACCTTCAAGCCGAACTGCGAGATAAGGACCGGAAGATTGATGAGAGAGAAGACGAGATCGACTCTCTAAAAGCAAAGGCAAGCAAGGAGTCGAATGATGCCGCTGAAATCGAGGATGAGTTGGAGTCTGCGCGACAAGAAATCGAGGACCTCAAGCAGAATCTCGAGCAAGCAAGGACAGCAGCAAAAGAAGCAAAGGAAAGCCAGGAAGAAGCTCTCGACGAAAAGCGCAAAGCCGAGGAAGATCTCGAAGAGCTGCGCGATGAGATGGCGAATAAGTCCTTCACAACCAAGGGACTAAGCAGACAGCTTGAAGAGAAGACGAATAAACTCGAGGACGATTTGCAGGACTTGCAGGAACGACATGATGCCTTGCAGACCGAATTTGCACAGAAGTCGGACTCAGAGCGGCAGTTGCGTGAGAAAGTTCGGGAGTTAGAGCGGGAAGGAGGATCAGGACTTCGAAAGTTGCAGCAAGACCATGATCAATCTCAACAACAACGCGATACTTTTGAACGCAAATTGAACAATATGACCAAACAACTGGAGACCGTCGAGAAAGAATTGCAATTCAAGGTTGAAGAGAAGGATCTGTTGCAAACACGTCATGATGCTTTGACGAAGGAATCTGCAGAACTCCAGAAAGACTTGTCCAGAGCGCAGAAATCGATCCGAGACCTCGAACTTGCTCTCGACGAAGAGAGGCAACACTCGGCACAAAACGAAAACATCCTGAGATCGCAGCATAAACAAGAGATCGACCTTCTGAACGAACAAATCGACGGGCTACACCGTGAAGTGCATTCAAAAGAGCGAGACCATGCAGCGGACTTGGAGGAGTGGGAAGCACAGAAACGGACACTTGAAGCAGTTTCTCAGAAAGCGGAGGAGAAAGCCAATGGACTGCAACGCACGGTGGAGAAATTCCAAGATGCGCAAGGAACAATCAATGGCCGTGAAATGAAGCTGCAAGCGGCGCTCGAAAGTGAGAAGCAACGACATCACCAAGAAGAGAAGGTACTTGCCAAACAGATTGAGGAGCTTCAACAAGATCTCGCGCACAAACGAACCGCATCAGACGAAAACAGGTTGGAGCTCAACAACGCCAAAGAAGAGCTGCGGATTTCGATCAGAGAACAAGCGGCACTGAGAGAAAAGGTGGCTGAGTTGGAGGAGGAAATTGAGGTGCTGCAGGCGGATATCGAGCAAGAGCACGAGTTCGCGGAGCAACAACAGCAAAAACACTCCAGCCACGCGGATGCTCAGATCCAGCAGATGCGGCAAGACAAGCAGTCTCTGCAAACTGAGCTTGCAAAACTCCGTAGCGACCTGCAGGACGCGCATATGGCTCTGGAAAAGGCTGAACAAGAACGTGACGCCCTCGAGACCCAACTCCAAACTGTTTCGAAATCCAACGACGACACATTCAGTGTCGACCAAGAGAAGCGAGAGCTGAAGCGTATCAAACTTAAGCTCGAGAAAGACATTGCGCGTTTGACAACCGAGCGCGACAATCTCCATGAAGCTAACCAAGCATTGGAAGATGAGATCAACGCCGAGCTTGAGCGAGCGAGCAAGGAAGAGGATCGCCTGAATGCGGAGATAGATTCACTCCAGAACCAGAAGATTCTCAACGCAGAGAACAGAGATCGCGAATTGACGTCCGCAAAGAACAAGGTCTCTCGCCTGGAGACTCGAGTCAAAGACCTGGAGGGGATGCTTGACAACCATTCGAAGACTGTGGCTTCTCCAACTGGAGATACTTCCGGCCTCAGACACGACTTGGTCGAAGCAAGAAAGAACGAAACAGCAGCTACCAAAAGAGAAACAGATCTCAAAGCAGCCAACCGGGACTTGAAGATGCAGGTCAACGAGCTCGAACGTGAGCTGCACGAGGCCAAGCTTGCGCAATACAAAGCCAAATCACCGTCGGTCTCACCTCCTCCTTCACACTCGAAAGAAGTCGCAAGGCTCCGACAAGAGCTCGTCGACATTCGAGCCGAAGTGCAAGTGTTGAGCTCTGAAAATCGCGACTTGAAGCGCACTGCCCGTCGTGCTTCCACTGATGAGGGTCAGTTGGCCGTCCTGCAGACTCAGATCAGATCTCGTACTGCAGAGGTTGAATCCTTGAGTGCAAAGATTGCGGAGCAGAACGACCTTGTTGATGAACTGCAGGAGCAGCTCAACCATCTCCGCGACAAGGATGGCGAGACACAACACCTCTCCTCAAGCATCCGCAAACGTGATAGACAGATTAACGATCTGAAAGCGCAACTCAAACGCTTGCGGGAGGGGCAGGAAGAAGTCAACGACTTGTCCATGCGAATCTCGGTTCGCGACGATGAAGCGCGGGAGATGAAGTATCAGCTCCGACGTCTTCGGGAAGAGCGCAGCGTGGCCAACAAGAAGGCCGAAGCCGTGGAGAACGAGCTTGAGGCGCTGCAGACGAAGTATGAAGATATGCTAGAGCGGCTCACATCTGGCAAGTCCAGCAAAGATGAGATTCGCGCCAAGGAGATGAAGGGCCTGGTCAAGGAGATTATCTGGTTGAAGGCGAAATGTAGAAGGGAAGAACGTCTGCGAAAGGATCTGGCATGGAGCAAGGCATTCCTTGAGCAGGGCGAGGCTGTGAGGGTCGAGTGGTAAGTTGTCCTCTTTGATACTGTTCCTCAGTCCTGTACACTAACGAAATCGATAGCAACCAAGTCGATCTGCATATATTGGGAGAAATGGGGGTGGCCATGGACAAACGCAAGTACGAGGTCAAGCTGAAGCCGGTGGAGAAGCTGCGTGCCGGTGTGCTTGCCGTGATCGCTGCCATCCGCATGAGCAACATGGAGGAACAATGGAGAGAAGCGAGACTGCTCGGGGAAGAGCTGAAGTTGATACGGACGAGGCAATCGAGGCAGCGGTCGACGAGGCGAGTTTTGGAAATTTGAGATGCATTGGCTGGCTTCTTCTGGCGGTTGTTGGCATTGCGACCATTGTATATACATTGTTGGCATCAGGCGTGGTTGGACTTTGCATCGTTTGGCGTTCTTGATCAGGCTAACGACAGTATGACCTGCCTCCAGTTAATGAGGTTCGAACAGAGATGCTCTCCATCCTCATCCTCAGCCTCAGCCTCAGCCAGTCTTTCTCTGCTTCTCTCGTTCCAATGGCTGTGAAAAGCGGAGAAGAGCGTCGATCCCTTTGCTGATTCTCGTCGAGTTGCATCATCGCATCTCCTGCCCCTCGGTGCCATCTTTCTATCGTGCTAGACTCAACAGGCTTTGCTTGCGTGAGACCCGAAAGAAGGTCTGATCGTCAATCGATATCTGGGAGAGGATTTGATCATCTCGTCAACCGGAGGGGTTAGGACTCGCTACTCGATCCACGGATTGTCCATGCTGGGGCGCTACTAGTGTATATATCAATTCAAGGACAGCACCGCTGAATCACAGAAACGCCATGAACGGGCAGAACTACGACCCGACGGGCGTCGAGTTCTACTCGATCGACGACCTCTCCTTCTCGAGCGGCACGACGCTGCACGATGTGCGGGTGGCATATCGCAGCTACAACCCGGCGTCGACGGCGGGCGTCGTGCTGATCCCCACGTGCTACTCGGGCCTCATCAACACGACGCTCACCTTCACGTCGGCGCCGTTTGACGCGCTGGCGCCCTACCACGTGGTGGTGGTGGCGATGCTGGGCAACGGCGAGAGCGCGAGCCCGTCCAACAAGGCCTTCTTCCCGGAGCCGGGCGAGCTGCGGTACGAGGACGTGGTGCGGGCGCAGCACGCGCTGGTGACGCAGCACCTGCGGGTGTCGACGCCGCTGGAGGCGGTCGTGGGCTTCTCCATGGGCGGCCAGCAGGCGTACCACTGGGCGGTCATGTACCCGGACGTCGTCAAGCGGATCGTGGTCATCTGCTCGGCGGCGCGCACGTCGCTGCACAACTACGCCTTCCTCGAGGGCCCCATCGCCGCGCTGACCAGCTCGATCGATTATATCGCGTGGCGGGCCATGAAGGACAAGATCGCGCGCGGCGAGAACGTCGGCATCAACCTGAAGGAGGTCGTGCCCAAGAAGGGCCTGCGCGCCTTCGCCCGCGCCTACGGCGCCTGGCTGACCAGCACGGCGTGGTTCCGCGAGCGCTGCTTCACCCAGATGGACGGCCACCCGGCCAGCGTCGAGGCGTGGATGCAGCTGCGCGAGCAGGGCTACCTGGGCTGGGACGCCGAGGACCTGCTCGTGCTGGCCCGCATGTGGCAGATGGGCGACGTCGGCACCGTGATCCCCGGCGGCGAGGGAGAGAAGGTCCTCAGCGACCTCGGCGGCAAGGTCCCCGACGACAACCTCTACACCACCGCCCTCGCCGGCATCCAGGCCAGGGTCCTCCTCATGCCCTGCCGCACCGACCAGTACTTCCCGCCCGAGGACTCGGAGATCGAGATGAAGCACCTCCGGCGCGGCCGCCTGGCCGTCATCGAGAGTGTCTGGGGCCACGTCGCCGGTGGTGGATTGAACCCGGAGGACACCGAGTTTATGAATGCGAGGATTGCCGAGTTGATGAAGGAGGACTGATTGGTGGTTTCCTCCGGGCTTCCTGGTCGCTATGTAGGTATGGACAGAGACAGACGAAAGAAAACTTGAAAGTTGGGGCTATATGCATTGCGAGATACCGTTCAGTGGTGTCGGTTATGGCATGAAGAGCAATGAAGCCAACGCAGCAGAACCCCCTCTGTGAGCGTTCCAACGTAGACACTTTCTTGACGGTCCTCTTAGGGAATACCGGGGAAGTTAACGACCTAGTGTGTCGAGAATAGTTTGAACAAAAACAAAAGAGTTCAGCTGGAATATCCTTTGTATACTTTTGTATTTTCTTTTGTATTTGATCGATCGGGTTATACACCGCCCAGCACGATTCCAGCCGCAGGGCAATTCGAGAGCGACGGGAAGCCGTGAGGAGCATCGACCCCTCGAGCCCTCATTCTGGTCGGACATCCCACCCTGTCTCGGGGGACAAATCGAATCTGGTATCCAAAAGCCCAAACCCCTGCGTATGCTCGCTGGTTAGAAAACGCCACCGCCATCGCCATCGCCATCGCAGTAGTCACAACAAATAGAAAAAATCAACGACGCGTGCTTCTTTGTGTGCTTTTCCGTCTAGTGGTGGAATATGTATTCCAGACCCAGGAACATCGCAAGAATCCCCTGGCGGTGGCATGCGCCATGTACGTTTTATATCGTCACCCTCAAAAACATGCCAGAAATCTCCCGTATATCGCATCAAAACATCCCGGTTCCCAAATGCCCAAGAACCAACGTCGCATAACATCACATCACATGCACATTAGAATAAGAGGGGTTTCAAAAAGAACAAAAGAAAAGACATGGTCGGTGTCCCCGTTGGCCCCCGCCTTCGTTTCTCTGATCCTCAGTCGTAGTTCTGTACCTGCCAACTCAGGATCATCATCCACAGGAACAACACGGCCAGGATGATGCTCCAGGCGAAGCTGGCCTTCCAACAGGCGCAGATGTTGCTCTGCGTGAGCCACGCCAGCGTCTCTATCGAGACGCCGTGGTATTCTTGGTTCTGGACAAAGTTGCTGCAGTTGCTGTTGACGTTGCCGTCGCCGTAGAGTTGGATGGCCGTCTCTATCAGGGTGGTCACCCATAACACGAACAGCACGAAGCTTCCCAGGAGGATGATGCCCGGGATGAGTAACCGGCGTGCGGCGAGGATGAGGATGACGATGAGGAAGATGATGGTGAGGGAGCCGCAGATGACGGCGAAGGGGAATAACCTGTTGTTGGCAGACAAAAGGGTGTCACATGTCAGCAACTCGCCCGTGTATGTGTGTCTTTCCTAGCGATCAGAAGCATACCAAGGAACCCCGACCCTGAGTTGGTCCTGCACGGCGATGAACCACGCATTGATGCCCAAGACCGTCGATGACCCGGCCAGCACGATAAATATCCACAGGTTCAGCTGCACTTCGGGCCAGATGTACCGCCGGCGCGACTCGCGCACAATGACTTCTGTCGCCATCGTTGTGGGCGAGGTGTGGTGGTGGGGGAGGGCGTCAAAGGGCACCGAGCGCGGGCCACGGGGCGCTCAGGACAAAGGGCGCGCGGGCGCAGGTGTCTTATTGCGTGGTGCTGGATCGCAAGTCTGGTGGTCGAGGGGGTTTGCGCGCAAAAAGGGCGTGGTAGGACTCGAGCGTGGGTTCGGCGCAAGAGATGTGCTTTCTTTGCTTATTTCAACACGTTTTCAGACAAGGTCCCTCGTCCATGGGGGCCGTGAGTTGCGCGCTCTTAAGAATGTTCCAGTATAGCGCAGGCATATGATATGTGTGCGGCGCAGTATGGTGCGGTGCGGTGCATCAGGTTGAGCAGTTGGGCTGCAAGACGGTGGCAGGGTCTCGAGCGAGCAGAGGAAGACGTGGCTGCGGTGTGTGGTTCATGAAGCGTCGGTCGCAGGCTTGGTCAATGGGAAACGGCCACGACGCGGCGTCATGTTGGGTGTTTGGTGTGGACAGTGGATGATGCATGCGGCGGACAGTGGAGTAACTGCGCCGGTGGCTGCGGTGGCTGCTGGGGGCAACCGGACCACGCGGGTGATATAAGAGTATTATTACGTCTCGGTAAACAAACATGGTGAGATGGCCATGGACTGTACTCGTACTCAATTCTATTATTCCATACTACTCGGTCATCTCCATCCTTCAGGCATAAATATACAGTCATGTGCCCCCCCAACCCGTTCGCTTCCAGCCCTGACAATGCGTCCTGCCCATTCCTTTACACGATTGATTCCCAACCGTCCCTTGTTGCATGTGCGTCGTGGCTAGCGTTCCAGCACGTTGCTGTCGTCTGGCTCAGCCAGGTACCGCATGGCCACACGTGGTTTGAGAAGGCGATTACGCTGGAATATGCAATGTACATACAGCTCATGGAGACGGTGATGTGGTGGGCTTGTACCCTGTGCGGTTCAAAGTGCTCAACCACACAATCCCCGCAGTGTTTCTCTTGAGAACAGGCACTTTTGCATCATGCGAAAAGGCACCGCAGATCTCTAAGCCCTCTCATAGCCTCAGGCAACTCTGAGACTCCGTCACGTATATGGCGCTGTTCCGCTGGTGATGGCCGTAGCATATTCCTCCTAGAACCTGGCACTGAAAATCGGCAATTTGGTGACCTCCCAGATCATGCTTTGTGCTCCGTGCTCTGCCAAAAAGCCTCGTCAAAGACAGACAGACTCCGGCTGGGTTAATCTTCAACTGTGCCATCCTACCCGATCGTTAGTTAGCATCTGCGAGAAGGGTGACTGAATCAAAATCCTACATCATCCGGTTCCCGCACCGACGATGCTCCTCGTCGCCGCACTGAACTTCTCCTGTCCACCTCGATGGTTTCCTCCACGACGGTGCCCTCTCGCCTGCTGCTCCGTGGCCTGCGTCGACGAATGACTTCCTCCTCGACGACCCCCCGCCTAAAGCCGAAGACATTCCCGTAGTTGAGAGCCGCCCAGATGAGGTAGATGATGAGCAGAAACCCGCCGACCGACCCAAGCACGATCGCAGCAATCGTGCCGGGTTTTGGTCCGGAATTGAGGCCCAGGTACGTCGTGGGGATGGCGAGGATGGCCTGCTGCCGCTTCGTCAGAGCCGAGGCGCCCAACCCGCCGCCGGGCTCGTAGACCTGAAAACTATCCATGGTGGGTTGAAGGGGAAGGCCGAAGAGGGGCGCCAGGGTGAGCCAATGTTTTTTTTTGCGCGCGCGAGAGTCTTTGTATCGGGGAATCTCACAATATGTGACACAGGAGAAGATGTTTGAGACGCATTGATCGATCTCGCACGGCACTGTGGGAAGCGTTGTTTGTTGTTTAGGGACTGGGGGGGTCTGATCGGGTACATGTACAGAGTAACCGTAGGCCTGGTCACAGTCAGCCTACCAGCCCTTTAACTAGACAACAGCAGCAACCAACCTCGACGCACCAGTCTAGCATGTGTTTCCGGGCGGGAAGCGGGCGAATCTCCACATGCACACCAGCGGGAACAACCACCTGGCACGGATTGATATGCCCTTCATCCCTCGAGCTATTCCGATCTCTCAAGATGGCTGTTGGGCAGTGGTCTCTCTTCGCAACAGTTGGTCGAGCTGAGGAGAAGACCGTTAATCTACGAGCACTCTATCACATCCATCGGGACTTATCCTTTAACGGCCCGGAAGTATGTCGGGTGCTGTTGTGCCTACAGGACTCCGTACAAAAGCATCCTTGCGGCGAGCACAATGCGCCAAATATTGTCTCTGGCGGCAGACGAGGCGAAGTACGAGGTTAATGGTTTCACCTCAAAGTAAGACCCCCACCCAGCCCGCGATGACGCCCAGGATTGTGAGCCGGTACAAGGTACTCGGTAGGCTTATCGCACGCGCCCTGGAGCCCGTTGCTCTGGGCACCTTGCGGGGCCTAACATGCTGCTGCTAAGCGAGGAGCACCCAACAGGCTTACCCCAGGCTCGGCTTGCTGCCGGAGTGATGGAGATGCACACATCCGATGAGGCGTTGCTTGAAATAGCTGAGGTTCATCTGGTGCTGCACAAGCACGACATGTTACATCACGATTCGCGAAAAGGAGATTTTGTTCCGACTCACCCCGAGGAGGCATAACGAGTGATTGGCAACCTGACAGATGTGCAAAAGGCAGAGTCCAGTTAGCAACTGCCAGAGACACCGTCGCGCTGAGGATCGTCCATCCTTTTACCGGAGCGGAGAGTAATCACGACCACGCGAATGGTGATACAAATAGTGGTCGAGGATAACCCATACGATCGATACCCGCAACGAGGAGCATCTCTGCGAGGATGAGATCCGGTTTATCCCAGTGTTTATCTCCTTATGAGTAGAACACTCGTGTCTGGCCGACTTGCATTGGAAATGCCCATGAATTCCTATGGTATTGCAAGAATCAGCACTTGGGGGCTTGGAATCACCCAGTTTGTGAGGTCGTGGTCTGTACCATCTGTGCCAGTTTCCTCACCCTGCCGAACACAATTGCCACCGGCGCCCCCAGTTCGACGGAAGACATCGTAATCAGCGTCACTGTAAGCATCTCCTCGCTTGCGGCATGCAAGTGATTGTGTACCTCGTATTGTTGAAATGTGTGGGCCGGGCAAGGCTGAGCGCGTTGCCCCCGCAACGACCCAAAAGATGCTCGTCGTCACTCCGCCCTCCAAACCAGCTGCGGACCATCAATGACCTTGTATTCCCAATCCTAGAACATCCTCGTCCAGCAGCCATTAGCCCGCAGAGCTCAAGATGAGCGTCCGAGTCGTCGCCCGCATCCGGCCACTCCTCAAAACCGAACTTGAAAAGGATCAGATCGTAACCAGCCACGACGGTCCCGATGGAAAGCCCACGATTGTCAAAATCCCCAACCCCAAGAACTTTGCCGAAGAATACAGTTTCCAGTTCAACAGCGTTTACGAACAACAGGCCACCCAGCAAGAGATATTCGATGCCGAGGGTGAGCTGCTTGTACCGTCGCATACATTGGAATCTTCAGACTGACATCTGCGCACCCAGTTGCACCCACGGTCAAACATCTCTTCCTCGGATACGATGTCACCATCTTCGCCTATGGCTCCACGGGCACGGGGAAGACCCATACCATGCGGGGTGGAAAGTCTCTTGCTGACCGAGGAATGATCCCGAGATTGTTGAGCAGTATCTACAGAAAGAGTCGGGCGATCGAGAAGAGCAGCAATGGGGAAACCGCAGTCGAAGTGTCCATGAGCTACTATGAGATCTACAACGACCGTGTCTTCGATCTCTTCGAGGCCCCCGAGAAGCGGACCGCCACTGGGCTTCCGATCAGAGAAGCCGAAGGTGGGAAGACGGTGGTCGTTGGCCTGACAGAAATGCCTTGCGCCTCGTTGAAGGACTTCGAAGTGCTGTACGATAGAGCCAATGCTAATCGAAGCACCGGCGCCACCAAACTCAACGCCCATTCCTCACGGTCTCATGCCATCCTCTGCGTCAAAGTGACCATCACCACCCCGACTGAAACGAGGATAAGCACAGCCTCCGCGATCGATCTGGCGGGCTCAGAAGACAATCGGAGAACGGGTAATGGCAAAGACAGAATGGTCGAGTCGGCCAGCATCAACAAGTCATTATTTGTCCTGGCGCAGTGCGTGGAGGCCATCAGCAAGAAACAGCACCGCATCCCGTATCGCGAGTCGAAGATGACGAGGATTCTTTCGCTAGGACAAAACAATGGCTTCACAGTCATGATCCTCAACCTCGCGCCTGTCAAGGCCTACCATCTCGACACGCTCAGCTCTCTGAACTTTGCCAACCGGACCAAGAAGATCGAGGTCCGTGAGGTGGAGAATGAGCCCATTTTCAAGGGTCCTCCGCGACAGGTTCCTGGTGCATCGGTGGGCGGGCCGACGATGCAGCGACAACCACTCCGGCCTCTGACCCATGTGGTCAATGTGAACCTTGCCGCCAATCGCGACACTGCCACGAAGAATGACAAACCGCCCAAGGCTTTTGCTGTCTATTCGGACCGCAACAAACCGTCCATCAGCACCAAGATCCTCCCCCAGAAGTCGTCTCCACTGAAGCGCACGGCTGATTCGTCATTCCTGGCGTCTGCTCGACCTCCCAAAATCTCGCGTCCTACACCCAGCTTTATCCGGCGCGCACCAGAGTGTCAACCTCTAGGCATGGATAAATCGTCGATCGAGACCCTGGTTGAGAAAAAGGTCTCCGAGATTCTCGCAGCCCGTGCTCTAAATGCACCGGATCCAGCTCCACAAAAGGCCATATCCGAGGAAGTCCAACGGCGGCTAGACAGTATTGAGAAGAGGCTGGAGGGACAAGATGGCGAGAGGGCAGAAGGGCTGAGCTATCTGTTCATGGCCAAGCAGCATCAAGCCCGAGGGGAGTTTGGGAGCGCCCTGAAGATGTATGAGCTAGCCAGGCCGTATTTCCCGGATAACGAGAAATTGAAGGGCAAAATTGAGCGGCTGAGGGAGAAACTTGACGCTAGAAAGAAGGAGTCGAGCGATACAGCCCAGACTCTGACAAGCGAACCTGACAAGGAGAAGGCCTCCCGTCGCAATGATGAGGGCGATGAAAGCTACCAGGACGACGACAATGGAGGATCAGCTTACCACGATAGTGACGAAGACGAAGCCTCTTATCGGTCGCGTCAGAAGAAGCAGGCTAAGCAGCCGAGACGCAGAGCAAGAGCATCATCACCGGATCCGCTCACGCAACAAGCCCCATCAGAGTTGAGTGCTGAGATGGTGACACCTCGAACACAATACCTTCTGAAAGTCATCAACACGCGCGATATCACGCAGATCAAGACGTTGAACGGACTCGGGGCAAAGCGGGCCGAGGGAATTGTGGAATACCTCCATGAGCAAGAGATAGACGGGGTTGGAGAGGTCTTTGTCCGAAGCTGGAATGATCTGGCCAAGTTAAAGGGGATTGGAAAGAAGACGCTGGAGACGATGAGGGAAGGGGTCCAGGTGGCTCTGTGAGCGAGAGGAGCCAAAGCAAGCTTTGTCGGGGGCTAGGGGACAAGCTTGAACAGAGCTTGACTTGGCTTGGCTTGGCTTGTCTTGTGCTGTATTCCTATTGTTGTTCGGTATCGAGTAGCCCTGATGTTGTCTATTTGTCTATCAAGATGGTTGATGGTTGATGGTTGATGCTCGATGAGCCCCGGCTGATGATGGACGAGGCTGTCGCGCCTCACGGGATGACGCGGCATTCTTGGCAGGGGCTGTCATTCGACGACGCTGATTGGCTCCGTCGAGGCGCGACGGATGCGATCAGACTTACAAAGACTCGGTGAGAATGGCTTGATCCCACCTTCAATCCCCCTCGACAATGTAGACGAGATGGTCTATATCACTTCCTCTTCTTTGGTGGCTGCCTGAAAGACTGGGCCTCTGGCCGCGTAGCCATTCCTTACGATATCAAGCAGTCCCATCCCCAGTACATCTTGAAAACTGACGGACACAATCAGATGCAGAAGCTATGATTCCTCCTGTCATCTACCGTCATCCCCTAGAGCAACATGGCTGCAACCCGCGATAACAGATTCCTACGGCCAGGCAGGAGTTTTCACTCACCCGTCAGCAGTGGTTGGCAACCTCAAAGCGACAAGGCCGACATCGAGCTGGGCGCATTGCTGCAAAAGCGGCCTCCATCGTGGACGTACGAAGACGATGACGACCAACTTGCAGCGAGCGAGTCGGAGGCGAAGGACCGGGGCAGAAGATATCATGCACGCCGGTGGGCAGATTTGTCGAGCACGGGAGCGTCCTCAGCATTTGTCAAACCCCATTCGCGACCATTGGACCCAATAACAGCAAGCAGACACAGACACCGATGGGTACGATCTCGAACTCTGTCCAAGATACTTTCTCTGATCAAGGCCGCCTTGGTGACTCTGTAAGCTAAGCTGCTCTTGACCTGTTGGTCGCCATGTGGTCACAGATGTTGATGAATGAACAGGGGACTTCTACAGTGCGTAGTCTTCATTTGCGGTATCCTGGAGGCTGTCTTCCCCGACGAACTCGACCTTGTCTCCGGCCCGCTCAAAGACGCCTTTTTATTCCCGAACAACCCGGCTGCGATGTGGAACAGCGACCTTGACATACTCACGGCAGATGTACAACCTTTCATGTGTCACTCCCACAACGACTACTGGCGACGAGAACCTTTATACAGCGCGATTCACGTGGGATGCACCGGCGTCGAAGCGGATGTATGGCTGTTTGGGGACGAACTGTACGTTGCGCACACTGCATCAGGTATACGACGCAACAGGACGCTGGAGGCTCTCTATTTGGATCCCCTGAAGGAGATTCTTGATCATAGAAACATGGTTCCTGATCTTCTGGGCCCCAGCACTTTGAATAGCAGCCGCCGCATCGGCGTCTTCGACACCAAACCCAAGCAGTCACTTGTTCTACTGGTGGACTTTAAGAACAAGCCGGAAGAGGTCTGGAATCGGTTTGATACCCTCCTCGCACCATTCCGCGACAGAAGGTACCTTACTCATTTTGACGGTTCCGACGTGGTTAGTGGGCCTTTGACGGTTGTTGTCTCGGGCGATGCACCATTCAACCGTGTCGTTGAGAATTCAACGTACAGAGACATCTTTTACGACGCTCCTCTTCACGACTTGGCTTCTCTACCAGCAACACCTCCCCAACCTTCTCCATCAGCGCCGCCAGACGTCCACGTAGGTGACACCAGACCCTTGACGGATATGCTTTCTCCATCACCCACTGATCCATCAGCCATCTACTCTGCCTACAACTCATACTATGCTTCTACGTCCTTCCGGCGTTCCATTGGCTACCCCTTTCACTCCGCCCTCACCCAACCTCAACTCGAGAAAATCCGACGGCAGATCCGGTCGGCGCACGCCAAGGGCCTGAAAGTCCGATATTGGGGCATCCCCGCTTGGCCCATCGGACTAAGAGACTACCTCTGGAGAGTGTTGGTGAGGGAAGGAGTGGACTATCTGAGTGTTGATGATATTGAGGATGTAAGATGGAAAGACTGGGGCCCGAGGAAAGGTGGTTGGGGAAAGAAATGGTGGAGGTGATTGTGGTTAATCTGGCGGCCATCGATATCGTCCGTCTCTCCCATGGTCACGAATTGGCTCCCCTTGCGACGTCCGAGATGTAGGCCTGTGTCGAGGCGCTGTAGTCAACCCTGGGCTAATACGCCCTCCGGCAATGGATGCTTCTCTCACAAGTAACATACGCCCTGCCCGGATTAGTCCCCCGCCCATGCTCGCTTCACGACAGACAGGCTCCTATGCTCTCGCTTGCAAGGGGTGTTCACTGCCTCTGCACCGTGGCACCGCCTCGCGGGTGGCTTAGGCCCTTGACGTGCAGTAATTGGGCAGCAGCTCCGCCCCCGGCCGACAGATGGACTGAGCCAAGTCGCCCTTTCCACCAGCCTGATGTCGTCGAAACTTGCGATCAAAATTATCCTCAGTCTGCGAAAGACAGACCTACCTCTTTGTCACAGCGTCCCTTCTCGTTGCTGTTGACTTCGACAGTCGATATGGTCGACCCTCTTACAACTTTCGCCGCGGCCGGCAACGCCCTTCAGTTTGTCCAGCTGGGGATTGACTTGATCGGCAAGACCATCGACTACTCGCAAGGCGGCGGCAACAACAGTTTCCAGGCACTGCGTGATTGTGTGCAGCGTCTGTCGGTCTCAAGTGCCCATCTCCAGAGGTCGATGGAGTCCAACGCTTCCCAGCCGCTGAATCCGGGACCTGCCCGTGCTTTGCATCGTGCAAACCTCGAATGCTTGAGAGTGTCTCAGCAATTCACGGCAATTTTGGATAAACTGGGCCTCAATAGACCTCATAGCCTGTGGAGCAGTGGTGAGTCGGTCTCTACCTAGAATCCTTCGAGTGAAGATATGACCACAGCTGCTTTCTGGCTATCCCGGACAACCAATGCTAATCATCGTGACATGGTAGTCAAACTGGCACTGAAAAGTCACGTTGACAAACCTAAAGTCGACGCCCTGTCGCGAGATTTGGATCATGCCAGGGCAAATCTGATGCTCTCCCTCATGGTTTACCTCCACGACCAGTCAACTGTCGACCGCCAGAATACGAGCGAGGAAATGCGTGTCATTACAGAACAAGCCCTGAGGGCTACCGCGGAGTCCGCGGCTATCAGAAATGACATTGCCAGTCTCAGTTCCAGTCTTTCCTCGCTGACAATTGACGACACGACAATATCTCTTGCTTTTGAAGATGCTCTGAGACGCTGCGAAAGTTATCTTGCAAATGAGGTCGAGGCGCTCTCTAAGCGTCTGGAACGGCTCAACGATGGGCTCAAAGCTCTGTCGGAGGAGGTGAACCAGCTCCTTCCTACAATGACACGAGAGATTGCCGCTCGACGCTCCATCATGGACAGTCTATGGTTTGCGAGATTCAACAACAGACGCGATCGAATCAGTCGAGCCTACAGCAACACATATCAATGGATCTTCAGGCACAAGGATAGTCAAGTGATTGTGTGGGATGATTTCGTTCAGTGGTTATACTCGAGCAGAAACCCTATATACTGGGTATCGGGAAAGCCCGGTTCTGGCAAATCGACACTTATTCGAGAGCTTGACGAATATATAAAGAACTCGCAGTCCCTATCCACGTCAGGGAATGATGCTGACTTTATCATGGCTTCATTCTACTTTTGGTATGCTGGCAATAATGACGAAAGGTCAATGACTGGCCTGCTCCGAACTCTCATACACCAATTGCTCTCACAACGTCTTGACATTGTGGATCAAGTGATTTCAGCCAGTAGATGGGAGTCGAGCCTATATGGACCCTCCCATCTGCATGTGTGGGAAGAGAAGGAATTGATTCAAGTTCTGTGCAGAGTTCTTCAATGTCTGGGAACCAGCAAGCGGATTTTGCTGTTTATCGACGGCCTTGATGAACAAGAAGGTCCGGATGACCAACGACAGGAAGTTCTGGACCTGATATCCTCTGTCACACAAGACAACAACGTTAAGGCGTGTGTAGCCAGCCGGCCCTACAACATCTTCCGGGACGAGTTCAAGGAATGCCCGCAACTCCGGCTTGAAGACCTTACAAAAGATGACATACGCCTCTACGTCCGTGGCAAGCTGGGTGAAAATCCACACTTTCAGCGTCACCTACGAAGGATGCCGCAGCTTCTTCGCGATATAACCGAGGAGATTACGACGAGGGCCGGAGGGGTATTCCTATGGGTGCGCTTGGTCGTGCGTGATCTTCTGAGAGTCCTCAGGGACGGAGGCAGCACAAAGCACTTATTCAGAGAACTTGAGAGTATTCCCCTCGATTTGGATGATTATTTCAGACGCATGTTCGAGCTTGTCGAAAAGCCATACAGAAAAGAGGCATCGATCATCCTGCAGACAGCATTGTGCTCCAGCAGCGAGGGCAATGCAAAGGTTGACGGTGCATCTGACTTCGATTTTCTCCTCATGCATCTGTATTTTATTGACCAAAGTGAAGATCTGAGCTTTGGGGCAAACTCATACTTGTGCGATGTCGATTTCACTCATCAAGAAGAGGCCGAGGATTTGCTCGAATCGTTAGAGCGAATGCTGACAAGCAGAAGTATGGGCCTCCTGGAGATCGGGCCGAGTACTCTTGCACCTTCGCGTTTGGGACGCTTGCAAGCTGAGTCGCCGATCGAATTTCTGCACAGGACAGTAAGAGACTACTTTGCTGGCCCTGCTGCAAGAGATCTGCTTCACCAACACACCGGGGGACCTTTTGATGCTCACATGTTCCAATGCAACCTCATGGCCGTCAGTCTAAGAAATTTCGTCCTTCATAATCAATGGCTCCCAACGGAATACCTTGCTGTGAAAAAATTCCTCCTGCAAATTACGAAACGACGAGATGCAGAGGGGCCGGCATTCGTGCTGTTTGAAAAGATGGTGGAGCTATTCAATGAGCACCGTAGCGTAGTACGTCAGAAATTGCTGAAGGAGTGTCCCGGGATAGCTTTCGACATTGCATTAAACCATTGGCTGCAGGATCGTGGCAACTCTATTTCTCTAAGCATACATCTCGGATGGAAGTCGTATGTCAAGGCAAGATTAACAACGGCAACGATTCGGGAGCAACAGGGTAGGCCGTTACTTCTCTGCGCTCTTCCACCATATAGCTGGGAATGGAACCTCTCGGATCCCGACATCATATGCGATCTTCTGACCCTCGGCGCCAATCCAGATACCATGGTTCACGACGTGTTTGACATCCCTATATGGGTGTACATTCTTGAGTCGATACAGTTCATCAAGGACATTGACTACGAGACATGTTTGAGGATCGCCAAGCTGCTCATCGTGCACGGCATACGGACGCTGGTGGCCGAGACGGATTTGGCCCACGTCGCGAAGCAAATGTTGGAGAGTCTCAACTTGTGGGACCCATTCTTGCTGGACCCCTTTCCGGGACCACGACAATTCGTCCACAGGCGTTTTGAGAAGATCCGTGGGTCCAGTGCTGGAGAGAATGGTGACGCCGAGCCATTGTACTCGTTCCTAGATGTCCTGCAGAGTCTAGTGCGGGTTACTGAAAACTCCAACCCCTCCTTCGAGTCCTTTTTTTACTGAGGCTGACATCGTGGCCTTGAGGGAACTAGAGCTCTCTCGACACGGGAAATCTCAATACTGCTGTCCATCCCCCAAGGAACCAGTATTGGGCGGAAGGCGAGCAAGGGAGTCCTCTCCATTGCAGAGAGATGGTAGTCCAAGCTCTGGAGACGATAGAGACCAACCACCACGCAAGAAGCCCCGGAGGTCAGAGTTCCTGGATGTAGTGCTCAATTAGCACAATGTCATGTCGACACTAACATTTCAGCAGATGGAATTGGTTTCTTGCCATTCTGGGCCATGATCCCTCGCATGTCCACTACGGCCGCTGGCGGTTCGGTCGATCTGAGCGGCCACTTTGACGATTTCACGAATCTTCTTGCCCTTGAATATAGCATTTGGAAGCAGGATCAGACCTTCTTCCCCACGGAGGTATCAGGACAACTTCTACTTGAAGGGTGCACCAATATATCATGTTCTCACATTCTTTTGAACTTTATTATGTATACAAATCAGTGCTTCCAGACGGGGCCTCTCTCCATTTCGTCAGATATTTTTCAAGCAGGACGCTTCCCTGACTGCACTCGAGTGGACGATTCTAACCAAATTCGCTCTCCAAAGACATCATAATAACCCATCATAAACCCTTTGAGTTATAATCTAACCGGTCAGCCTCTCATGGGCCTCGCTGTCGTGCGGGCTCCACGAAGGCCCCCTGTGGTTATTGGCCGAGTGCTCGACCATTGGGGTGTAGGAAATCATGCTCCGCAGACTGTTATAGTCACTCAGGGACCTGCTGGTGGCGTACCCGGGCTTGAGCGTCGCCCTCCTTTCCGGGGGCCTCATCTCCTCGTCTTCGGCAAGGGTCGAGCTCGAAGAAGGATTCCTCGTCGTGATCTGCTTAGTCCGCGGGGCCCCCGGCGACGGCGACGGGACAGGCAAGATGATGTACCGGGCCTGGCTGGCCCACTGCTTGGTGCTCGCGGCGGGGCTGATCTCGTCGGGCCCGCCCCGGAGCATGGCCTGCGTGACGGCCCGGCCCATGCTGGTCTGCCTGGTGTAGTGGCGCAAGGCGGCCCAGACGCGGGGCTGGACGCAGCACATGAGCAGCGAGGCGAGCAGGGTGAGCAGGAAGACGGCGCCGACCACGAACGCCGGAATGGCGTAGCGGATGTCGCCGTACGCGATCGACCGCTCGTACCGGTGCGCGCGCCGTAAGCCGACGTTGCCCCCCTGGTGGTGCTCCGTCACCGACGCCATGGTCCCCATGCCCTCGAACCCCGTCCGCGTGCCCACGATCGCGAAGCCGATCAGGTCCGTCCAGATCAGGTTCATCAGCGTCTCCGCGCCGCCGGCCGACTGGGACATGAGTTGGCGCCATTTCAGCGTCAGCCCGTAGTTGGACTTGCCGCTGTAGCTGTGGGGAGGGAAACGAGCAATGTCAGTATAGATTCCCTCTTTCGGCGATGGGGGAGAGGACAAGGACACCTAAGGTGTGGAGTTGGGTAGCTTACTTTGGGATCGAGTCTTCGTTCACGTCGCTCAGCGCCGCCGCGTACGAGTAGATGCTGTTCCACGCCGCGGTGAAGACGCCGCCCGCCGCGAACGAGTCGTACATGTGGTTCCCCAGCGTCGTGCCGCGGACGGCGGCCGGGAGGTAGATCTTGGCGGCCCGGTGCGCGTCGACGTCCGGGTGGTCCTGGAGCGACTCGTCCACGAGGCCCCAGAACTTGTACACGTCCCAGATCTTGTACGTCTCCGAGTCGACCTTCTCGACCCCCCACAGCGGCAGGGGCCCGGCGGCGGGGTCGGTGTAGTTCTTGTCCTGCACGTCGAGCACCTGCAGCGCCTCGAAGGTCGTGCTCCCGTTCGTGCGGAACGTCACCTGCTTGACCGTCGCGGCCACGGAGCTGGCGCACGTGTACAGGCTCTGCTGCCAGGGGGACCCCGGGTCGGGCCGCCACGACTGGCCGGCGTTGACGTGCTCCGGCTGCGGGATGCTGTACAGGTAGCCGCACTGCATGAACGCCTTGCCGGCCACGCTCGGGTCGTCGTCGTAGTAGCCGCTGCATCGAGTGCCTAGCAAGAGACGCGGGGGTCAGCACAATATCGTTATCTCTCTTGTCAGCCTCGGGACATAGTTATATGGAGTTGCCCACCGTAATTCTCAAACTTGGACTCCAGCGTCGGCTGCTTCTTGTAGTAGATGTCGTCCAGGAACCCGCCGTCCATGCTGCTGATCTTGATCGCGCCAGGCTCGCTGAGATAGCCAAAGGTGTTGAACTGGCCGGTGTACACATCGCCCTTCTCCGAGGAGGTGAGGTTGAGGACCTGGGCCACGAACTGGTTGTTCCACCATGCCAGGATGTCGGCGTTGCGCTTGAGCGGCGGCGTCGACCCCAGGTCCTTCCACGCGCTCCCGTCGTTCCACCGCGGGGAGGGGACCTCGGGGCTGATGTCGGAGAAGCCGCCGTCGTCGCGCAGGTACCCGTCGTCGCCGGACATGGAGTTGGAGGCGTTGCCGTTGACCGAGAAGTGCAGGCTCAGGTTCGTGTTGGTGCACCGCGTCTCCGGCAGCACCCAGAGGATGTCCTCGGTCCACGTCGCCCCCAGCTCGAGCCCGCCGGGGACGGTGTGGTTGCGGATGCCGACCCCGCCCTTGACCGCGTCGAGGATCAGCCCGTTCACCAGGTGGTAGCCCGGGTTGAGGATCATGGACGGCAGGACCTCGAGACGGCCGACCGCCCGCGTCGCGTTGTTGTCCACGTACATGTTGTTGACCAGGTTGTAGGCCCGGAATTGGATGTCCAGCGGGTTGGCCACGGTCCCCGTCCTGGTGCCGCTGGTGAAGATCTCTCGCGTGACGTCGGGGATGGTCGAGTTGATCACCGTGTGGTTAATGTACTGGTTTCGCACGGCCGCGTCGTCGTAGATGGAATGCGGGCAGTCCATCCACTTCTGCCAGCCGCACCGTCTGTTGACGCCTTGTCGGTCCAGGGTGGCCATGCCGTAGTATGACGGATCTGTGTATATCGTGTTAATTAGCTTTTAAACGCAACAAAGGGAGGCTTCCGTGGGAACCCCGCCCCCTCCCCAAAACACACACGCACCTGTGACAGAAAAGAACTCGACGTCATGGAGACCGCGAGACGGGTTGATCTTCTCCAAGAGAGGCTTTGGGGTGAGGAAGTTGGCCACCACCAAGCAGACCGTAGCCAGGGTCGCCAGCAACGAGATACCAAAAACACGCCAGCGCACCATTTTGCCCATGAAGTTCCCGGCCGCGCCATCGCTCTGCAACAGCAACGGCCACCAGGAACTCTGCAGGAGATGACTGATTGAGGACCAGGTGACCGCGTCGAAGGAGCGGTCACGCACAATGCCTACCAACACAAACGCAAACAGCAGCGGGATCACAATGTGCACTGTCGGGTGTTAGGAAACATCGATAGCGGGTTATCAAAGGGCAGCCAGCCTTACGCAGTGAAATGCAACCAGAAATGAGACCCGCCACTTCTCCAACGGTGAGATTAATCTCGACCATACTTGACGAATGACTATGCTGATGTTGGTGCGGCGATTCAAGGGAGTGATGGTTCTCCCTAACAGGGCTACAGCTTCATGTAGAACGAGAGCGACCTGTTGGAGACCAAGTGTACCTGCAATGAGTCATAGAGCTGCCAGAGAGATGCTGGGACAACATTCTTTTGTCTGCTTGTCATACTCCGCCAATATCCAGCGACGTCGGGGATTCTGTGCACAGATATGCTGGCGAACTTGGGGGGGAGGGACTGTGGAAGATGGCGAGTGAGTGGGCCAGTTGTCCCCGGAAGCCACCAATGAGGAGGATGGAAACGTGCTCGCTTAGGCAATACGAGCCGACTAACCTGTTTGGGATACCTATCGATTGACTTGCTCAGCCACGCACGACGGAACCATCACTTTGGGACTCAGGGGGATGGACTTACTTTCAACGGAACGGTTCTCGAAATGGCGCCTGCCTTCCAGCCGCATGGCAAACGGCTTGGGGTGGCACGATAGCTGCCCACATTCGGCGAGGCATTTTCTTTTGGTGGAAACTAAGGTGCGGCCTGCATCGCCTTCCAGCCTGATGGTTCGAGCCGCACGTACAACATTGGTTTCAGTCCAGGTCTGACACCGGCAGATTGGTTCGATATGGGTTTACCCCCAAGGCGATGAATTGATATAGTTATCTCGGATTCTCACCATTATCGTCTTGACCAAATCCAGGCACGCACGATACGCTTTCAGAGGTCACTTTCGCCGAAATGTTTACTGCACTCTTCTTGACCCTTCCGGCTGTTTTCCTGGCTACTTTGGTTGACAAAGCGGCGGCGGCTGACTTCAATGACTATGAGCTCGACAACGTTTTCGCCAAACGCCAAAACTACACATGTAGTACCGCAGGGCTCCAGGACGTCTGCGAGACGAACACAGCGGACTGCATCTCTGCAATGTGTGAATCATGCTCTGGCTACGTCTACATTGCCAATTGCTGTGCGTTATCCAGCTACACCGCAATGATGCAATGCCTTCTCGAGCTGGAAAATGATCCGTCCGAAATCACCATGACCGTCGGGTCTACTTCCACCACTGGTCCCAACACAAGCACGATCACAGCACCCTCCAGCGCCGCGACCTCGGGCGTCAGCGGGTTGGAAGCGTGTTCTGACTTTGAAGCAATTGTGCTTGCCTGCGAGAACGAGACCCCGGGCTTCTCAACAGAGGCGTTCGGTCAACAGGCAAGCTGCCTGTGCTACAGTAATGGCACGTATCAGCCGGACCTTTACGATGGCATGTTCTCGGGCTGTCTCGCCTACCTTTCCACCGCGGATCCCTCCGAGTATTCGAGCATCGTTACGGGATCCGTCGATTTGGCACCGTGCAAAAAAGTGGCAACCACAACCCAGCCGCAGTCCTCCTCCAGCACCCATTACATTGGGCACTTGACCACCAGCGCGTCGACAGCTGCTCCAACCTCGGGCACACCAAGTCCAACCACATCCACAGGCCCCACACAGACACCAGCGGCGGACAGCAATGGAAGTTCTGGCCTGGAATCGGTAAGTTCGACAAACATCTTTTCCATGCTCCTAGAACTCAGCTGAGTCCGTCAAACAGAATCGTCAGGCTTCACTAGGCTGGTTCCTGTGGCTCTGGGGAACTTGCGTGGTGGCCACACTCTGGTAAAGCGTGAAGTTAAAAAGTGGCCAGGCGGAGGGATCTCTCTGTTCAATCACTCTGACTCTTTTCGGCGATTTGGAGGTATAGAATTTGGCAGGTATCCAACCAACGCGGGGGAGGACTGAAGGGACTAGACGAACTATTTTTGGTGGGAGTGGAAAAGGGCGACAGGCAAGCTTAAGCACTTTTCGACGTGATCCGGACTGCGCAGGACAAGCCCTAATAAAGGTGGCTTCCTCCCTAAGGCGGAAGCATCGTTCTCGCATTCGCGCCGGTTTGGACTTAGCTGCATGATTAGTTGGTTGGAGACGAATCTGTCCAACGCTCCTCACACAAAGGGCGAATCTCGTTGCCGCTTCCACCCTGTAAACGATATACATCCTGGTCAACAACCCTTCCTCTCTTAGTTGTTTTCCTCAACTCAATACGGCCCATCTGTCAGGGGAAAGGGGCGACTCTTGACATGCCACCCAACAAAACGAGGCTGAGAATGAAGTCATGCGGCCAGGTCGGTTGTATAAACGAGCTTCGCTGGGCCTAGTCCGTGCTGCTAAGGGGGGGCTACTTGCCAAAGTTTACTGAGCAAAAGCTTCTAGATCGCTGTACACCCTCCTCTAGCCCAAGCACGAGAAAGCAGGCTGTACCGCCCACAACTATTGGTTGCACAAACAAGTACCCGACTTTGAAGGCGGGCTGAGACACAAGAGAAGAAGCCGCATGTTCCCGAGGGTTCATGGACTTGGCCCCCTGATGGTTCTCCTCGGCGCAAGAGTTGGGCCGTGCAACCACCCCGGTTGTTGGGCAGCCTGATCGAACAGTACTCCCTCTTTTGTGAGTTGTAAGCCATTGTGTTGCGCGGACAAGTCCTAGGTCTTGGGACGAGGCCACACTTTACGAGTACGGGGTCCAGCTATTTGGTGGGTAAACCTCCCTCAAGCCTGTCAGTTCCAACCGAATGAGGACTCTCTAATTGGGGCCAGAACATGGCTCTCTTGAGTTGCTTGCCTCGGTTTGTCCTGTTTTTGTACAAGGCACCGTGCTATTAGGTTCAAGGGGAAAACTCACTCGCCGCCCCGTTCCGTGTTTCTCTTGGTGAAAAGGTACAGTACAAACAAGACCTGAGGCAAGCATTGTGAAGCCTTTTTTGCCGACGAGGGAGAACTCCCAAGAGCCTCTTTCCAGACTTGGGCCTTCATCCCAGCCTATCAGTGACCACACACTACTTGGACAGTGCCCCGGAGTCTGCCCAACCGGCTGCACAGCCCACACCCGCTAATGCAGGCTATCCAGGCTATCCCGCAAAACCGCCATTCTCGAGCGTTGCTGCCTTCTCACAGCCGAGTCGAAGCCATGAGGCTGTCGAACCACTCGAGCCGCAGTTCCCACGAGGTGCGGACACCACGGACTCGCATCGCCACAAAAGTTGCGACTTGGGGCTGAGAAGGGGAGCGCCAGGCTCATGTTGAAAGCAATGAGGCTCCCTATAACAATGGCCCAATATCCCCAGTGTTGGGTACATTTTTACAGGACGTAGCCAAAGTCAGCGTCTATCGTTCACACTCCTACATTGTCGACACACTCTTTTCAAGACAAGATGAGATCAGGAACTTGGTTGTGGGCTGTCGCAGCCATCCTATACTCCCAATGCCTCGCAGCCCCGCTCTCTAGTGCAGCAAGGCCTGAGCGAGCATCTCTTCGCTTGCCCGTAAAGAAGAGGCTTCTGACTGGAGACATTCAGCGTCGCTCAGTGTCGTCGCCGCTCCAAAATGGCGATTTCGAATACCTCGTCGAGCTTGAGTTGGGAACCCCAGCCCAGGCTGTCACCCTCAGCATCGACACGGGCAGCAGCGACATCTGGGTCTACGGGCCTGATTCGTGCACCACTTGCACGGGCGGAATTTGTAAGTCTCAAAATGGTCAACATCTCCAAACCGAAGACCTCCCCCCCGTTAACTTTGATGGTCTTAGTTGATCCCACGAAGTCGAGCACCGGCGTCTACGACAGCGACCTGGGAGACTTCTCGGCGACCTACTTTGACGGCACGGCGGCGTCGGGATACTACATCGACGACACGGTCGGCCTGGGCTCCGCGACCGTGACGGGGGTCACGTTCGCCGTGGCGACCTCGGCGGCCAACACGAACCGCGGCATCATGGGGATCGGCCTGGCCGGGCTCGAGGCCAGCGAGGTGCAGTACCCGGAGTTTCTGGACGACCTGAAGAGCCAGGGCCTGATCGACCGGCGGTCGTACAGCATCTACCTCGACGACCTGGAGGCCGGCAGCGGGTTCATCCTGTTCGGCGACGTCGACGCGTCCAAGTACTCGGGCGACCTGGTCACGCTGCCCATGGTGCCGTACACGGACTCGGCGCCGCGCCTGCAGGTCGAGTGGACGTACCTCTCGGCGACCGACGGCGCCGGCACCACGACGGCGCTGACCCAGGCGGCGTTCTCGTACCCCGTGGCCATGGACACGGGCTACACGACGAGCGTGCTGCCGGTCGAGCTGTTCAACGAGCTCGCGACCTACTTCGGCGTCACCACCGACAACGCCGGCGACTACCTCGTGTCGTGCGACATGCCCGCGGGCTCCTTCACCTTCGGCTTCGGCAGCGGGCCCGCCGTCGCCATCCAGGTGCCCTTCTCCGAGCTCGCCGTGCCCGTCCCCGGCGAGGACGGCACCTGCCTGTTCGGCTTCCTGCCCCAGGAGCAGAGCGTCATCAGCTTCGGCGACACCTTCCTGCGCAGCGCCTACCTGTACTACGACTTTGACGGCTCGTCGATCAGCCTGGCCCAGGCGGTTTGGACATAAGACATTCTGAGACGAAGATATCACTACTGCATTGGGGGGCTTGCGAGGATATTATGTCGTATGTGTGATGATTACATGTGTGGAGTTGCTGGGATAATATAGGTACACACAGCCAGGCTCGAAAAAAACGTAATGTCGATTTGTGATTCTCTTCCCTCACACAATACGTAACTGTACAACTGCATTTACTTTTGAAAAAAACTCCTACCGACTTGTAATGGATCTGGAACTCCCCCTATCAAAAACAGCCCTCTCGTCATCTCCTGCATCGCGGAGTTCCTCGCGATCGACTGCCCCGGGCTGTTCCAGTTGATCATGTTCTGTGAGCTGATGTTCCTCAGCGCCTGATTCTCGTTGTGGTAGTTGTCGTGCGCGTACTCGTGGCTGCAACCCCTCCTCCCGCCAACGGACGCCCGACTGGCGCGGCGACACGAAGATGAGAGCAAAAAGGCAGAGCGCAACAAGAAGAGCGGGCACGAAGAGGACGAAGAGGAAAATGACAAGGGTGAGGAGGAGGAGGATGAGGAGGGCGGACAGGAGGATATATCCCAGAAACACACCCATCGCGGTGTGGCGTATGTTGTTGTTACGGGCCGGAGTCAAAGTCGACGTGGAGGACGAGGTAGAGGTTGATGGGTTTGACGTGCGGTAGCTGTTGACATATTCGCGAGGCTGGAACAAAAGAACTGGGACGGAGGATCTCTTCCTTGTGCTGGAAGCGCTGGTAAAGGCAAAAGAAGAAAATGGTGATGAACGGGGAGATAGATGGCCGGATAGACATTAGTAGGGGGGGAACCCTTGCAGTATCACTTTTATACACCCGGCCTCAATGTCAAACAGGAAGACCATGGAAGACTTCGGTGGCTCGTGACAGACTTGCTGTCTTCCGTTGCTGTCAGAATGGTGACAACAACACACTCCCAACCAGATAGTCACCAGGACGGTAGAAGGAAACATCCCCCAAAGGCCCAGCAGCTCTTCTCTCCACAATCTGGTGAACTAGGTCGCTCGGAGAGCGATCGTCACGAGAAGCGCTGCTGTAGCGCCAAAAAACCCGACTATATTAGCCAATGGTATAACCATATGAAGCCCGTCAGCGTCGCCATCGTTAAGGTCACAGAGCAACAGAAGATGTCGGTAATCGTGAAGACGGACGGCCAGTAACACTGGAATGGTGGTTGTTTCTATGGGTCTGCACGTCGATAATTCTCGGATGTCCGTATCAACTTGAATGGGCCAGCATCGAGCTCTCGGTGACGAGTGAAGAGGATGGAGGCAAGCTCTAGAGTGTCCTGCCGGTCATAGTGTTGGTGACGCAAGCCAGCCTATGGTCGTTGAAGGTTCGTTCGTCGCGTGTAGAGGCGTGTTACCGATGTTCACTGCTCAACTCTTTCCCCCGTCGATTTTCACTCCCTCCACGGCTGTCTCGTCCAGGACCACAACACCGTAGGGATCTCTATCCCGTTCACTGGCTACCACTTCCACACTCTCATCATTCAGCATCTCTTTGACCTGCTCAGTTAACCCCCTCTTTCCATTCTCTTCACTTCTCACATTGGTCCACTCCTGCCGAACCTCCCTCTCTAGCTTTTCCCTCATCACATTCCAAAGGTACCCTCTCTCGGAATTTGAGTGGAAAAGGGCAATAACACATCCACCTCGTTCGATTACCGCCAGTGCCTCGTGATGACTCAGCTCGCCGGTGAATATCAGGTCTGCCTTACAGCCTCGGACCACGCTCCCTCCACTGCCGGGACACGTGGCAACGGTCGAAATGGCTATTTCCTCGAGATTTCTCCCTTGAGGGATGGCCACCGCAAACCCTTTGGGAAGGCCGATCGCGTGAGCAATGCGGGTGATCAGAAGCGTTAGAGGCTGTGGCGAAGAAAACTCAATCAACCGACCAGCCCCAGTGTTCGAGGTATTGTAAGTATCGGACGAGGTAAATTGATTTGCTGCGTCAAGGGATGCGCGAGGAGAAGGTGTGATCACGCTCCGAGTGTGAGAGATTACAGCAGCGTGGAAGTCAGATGTCGGCAGTGGCAAGCTTGGTCTAGAGTATGTTCTGCGCGCATGGCTCGGGCGTGAGAGCTTCATCTTTGCTTTTGGGGTAGTGAACGGATCCGTCATTGCATCCTCATTGTGATCCGCGGAAGGAGAGGTGGGTTTTGTCGAAGGATCGGAACGTACTTCGGAATCGCTTTCAGAGGTTGTGACTTCTGTATCGGAGGGAAGAGGGGCTGCAGCATATGCCTCTGGCTCCGGGTCGTCCAACTTCCCCGTCACAATATCACAGAGCCAATCGGCCATTCCGTCTGGAACAGTATCAACCGCGGTGTGCGGACAGTACACGCTGATGCCATGCGCAAGCAGCAGCGTCATGGACAATTGCTGGGTGTCGTCCGTGGTTATGGACTTGAGACCGCGGAAGATGATGGGATGGTATGCCACAACGACAGAGTGGTTGTTCTCAATCGCCTCTTCTGCGACCGCTCGGGTCAGGTCAACGGTCAATAGTACCGAGTTGCGGTTTCGCGGCCGGGAGGGTATGAAGGGAGCTTCGACTAGCAGACCCGTGTTGTCAAAGGATTTGTCTGCCAGCGACTCAGGGTAGAGCCGGCGCATCGAGGACACCACGGCGGTGGTGAACGGGGAGACATTGTAGGCCCGCCCTTGAAAGGTGCTCATCCTGCGATGGGTCAAGATGTGAGTTGCCGTGGATTTAGGAGCGGGGACAACTCGAGGAAGGAGATATCGAAGCATCAGAAAACTATTATAGAGCAGCACATCGTCGGCCCAAACAACGTGCCAGCAGGTCACATCGTGGTCATGAACACACAGTGGTAAGAAGCTGGAGCGTTGGCCGTCGACGGAAAACCCACAATGCGACGCGAGGCTGAATGCAGGGACTGGCCTCCAATGACGCATTTCCAAGGAGCTCTCTAGAGACCCGAGGATTTTCCTTTCTGGTTGATTTCCAATTCGCAATACATAAGTAATCGACTCTCAACTATTGGAAGACAAGTCTTCAACCTCACTGCAAGCCGCAAATACACTGAGCCATCAGTCACGATCCCCCCTCTGTGAGCCTTAGCCGTGTCCATGCAAGTCTATACTGCTCTGGCATTGCAAGCTGCCCGCCGAGTTACGACAGCGATCGCCCGCGCAAATAGCAGCATCACCAGACAAACCCCCCGCCAGTACCCCAGACTCAGACCACGGTCCTTTCTCTCGCGCTCCTTTTCCATCACAGCCTTCCGCCCCTCCACATACGCTTCCTCGAGCAATTCCCCACCAATGGCCGCACATACAGACACCGAGGCCGCAGAAGTCGCCGCATCCTCCTCTCCACCCATCACCCCGGAGTTCCTCACCGAAAAACTCAAGCAGTCCATAAACATAACTCACATCAGTATGGAAGATATGTCCGGTGGCTGCGGACAAGCCTTTAACGCCATCATCGTGTCTCCAGACTTCGAGAAGAAAACGCTGTTGGCAAGGAGTAGGCTGGTCAATGGGGTGTTGAAAGAGGAGATCAAGGCAATCCATGCGTGGACGCCCAGATGTTTGACCCCGGAGCAGTGGGAGAAGGAGAGGGAGAGGATAGGGTGAATGGAATGAGTGTGACTGGGGAAGCGAAAGGCCAGGCCAGGATTCAAGTACGCCCTGTGACTAATGCATTTGCTGATGGACGTGGCTTGTATAACGGGTATACCTATATCAATTGGAATGGGTGTCGGTTCTCGAAGGAGCTGGGGGTCTTGAATGCGACCGTGGGCACTTGCGATGCCGACTTAGAAGTAATCGGCATGCAAAATCGAAGGTGCAGGACCGTTCAGCGATATGTTGGCCCAAGAACTGCATCTGATGTCTGTGAATGCTGGACAGGAGGATTTTGCACCCCAAATATTACAACATACTAGATTTTAGATTCTTCTGTACACCAAAACACCACTTTGACTACATTCGAGCCATGGGATTTATATTCCATATCTCCCTGAAGGCGCGAGTCGGGAGACCAGGACAATCGTCACACAGATAATCAGCCGCAGGGTACCAGCCGTACAGACCATGACAAAATCGAAGCGTATTAGCTTCCTCTCGGTCAAAACGCAACACTAAAGGTGCGGCGGCCTTCTCAAAATCCAGAAATCCATCGTGAAGAGGTATCATAAAACAAAACCTTGCCCGTGGCTTTTCCCCACCCTTATATCTCTCGTCAAGTCGTGATATGGGTCGCTGTGTCCCCCTGCAGGAAGCTGATGGGCTCCTTTCTACTCGGTTGATACTGCCGCTCAATGATAGGCCGTCATCCTGCGGGGCTGTCGAGGCTCCAAGGTCGGGGAGGTGAGGTCGTGCCGTTAGTGGAATGGCATGTCTAACGATTGAAGATGACTTCCCAGATGAGGGCGATTCTTCCTCAAAGCATGCCGTGTGCATGAAAGATTATGCATATATCCCTTGCTGTGGTCCGCCTCTTCAAAGCATTTCGCTAGAGTCATTGCCGCATGGGGGCCGCCATCGTTTGGTGTTGCGGCGGATATATGCGTTGGCGTTTATTCGAGTTTCCCATATCAGATCCTCCACCCATCTCCGACTGACCTCTTCTGTGTGTCTGCTGCTGCTGCCCTATCATACCAGCGCCTCGCAGCCCCACGGGTGTCTGAGGTCCGGCTTGAAAGGATGTCGGGTTTCCATTCGCATCCACGTAGTGCTGCTGTTGTGCCATGCCGGCGTAATGCATATTGGGATTTACTGGTGACACTCCCGAGTACTGGCTGGGAGAATTCCATGTGCCGCTTGATCCCGCCGGAGAAGCTCCTGCCGACAAATCATCCCGGACGGAATGGGCGGTTGACGATGCTGCCCCGGATGGTGCGGTGGTCGCCGACATGGGCTGCTGCTCCATCCCCTGGGGCATCATCTTCAGATGCATCAGGTGTTTCTCCAACATATCAAGCAGTGATTTCCGCGTGAACGGCTTGGGCAAAACATCGTCCATGCCGTGATGGAAGTACATCTGAATGTCGTCCGACCGAATGTTAGACGTCATGGCGATGATCGGGGTTCGGTCGAACTGTCGGATGATATGACAGGCGGAAACACCGTCCAAATTGGGCATGATGATGTCCATCAAGATCATGTCGTATTTCGTTCCTTCCTGCATCTTGTTGACGGCCTCCAGTCCATCAAGTGCCGAATCAACGACGCATGAGAATGAGTGCAAGAACTTGCCGCCAATCTGTCGACAAGTCGGATCGTCTTCGACCAGGAGGATTCGCGGTGGCCGACTCCAACCAGGATCTGAAAGTCCGCTCTTCTTCCGCGTGTCGGCAAACTGTGTCCGCGGATCTGAACCATCTCGTGGTGGCAATGGGTAAGGGATATTATGAATGTATTCGCTGGACATAGGATCGATTCCATTGGTCGATCCCATTGGGTATACCACCGTCTCTAATTCGGCTGGGTTGATCTTCGAGAATCCCATGCTGCCGCTTGAAGGGGCAGAATTAGGCCCACGGAACTGGCCAGTTCGAGGGTCTTGTCCTATCGGCGGGGTGTGGATGTTTGAGTTCATTTGTTCGAGCGCTGCCATGTTGAATTGCCCATCGGCATTGATATCGTTCAAGAGCTTCGCAGCATGTTGTAAGGGTGACGCTGGGGTGTCTTCGTCCTGGGGAGGCATACTCTGGCTGGTGGGAGTCAAGGTTGTGCCTGTTTGGGCAGAATCCGATGGCGCAGCAAACAACTGCTTGCTGTCCCTTCGTTGCTTCGCATCGACGCCCTGCAGGAATACCATGACATCCTGCATGACTTTTTCATGGTTGACGACGGTCTTTTGGAGTCGGACGACTTCCATCGTCACCATCTGATATTGGGACTGAAGTTGGGTGTTACACGTCACCAGAGACTCTATTTGCTGTGCCTGTGCGACAATCTGTTGGTTCATCAGGTCTATTTGTTGAATGGGGATCTGTTCATCGTTAAGGCTCGACGGCTTTCGAGGTGCAGGGGCCTTTCGTCTGATGTTGTCCAGACTTTCCTTGTTGTGCTGGCGGAAATCTGGATGTTTGAATTCCCAGGCGTTGGCGCCATACATGGATGCTCCACCGTCCTCATTGTTCTGTCGCACTTTGTGAAAATCGTATTTGTTCAATTGCCTGACGAAACTGGCAAAGTTCGAGTGTTTGAAGTGTTTGGGAAGAATGGATTTGGTGAACTTTTCGTTCTCCAAGACCACAAAACTGTCTCCATCATCGCCCCAACGGACCACCGAAGAGTACGAAGGGTCTTCCAGCATTCTGCGCATCAATTAGCTATGAGGGCCACCACGGAGGATCACCATGAGGGAGATATACTTATACAGCTTGCGCACAAAGTCGCTCGAGTTGTTTGCCGACCCACCCTGGCCGTCCATCTTGATTCACAGGTTCGATTCTTCCTCTTTGGAGTGATATGTTTTCCCAAGGATATACGTTCGATAAGAGCCACAAGGACGTGGACGGCTCTCAAGTGTGGGTGATGCAATCGACTGCACAATGCCGAATCACCGCAGCATCGCTCAAGATGCGCCTTGAAAGTTTCGAAAGGTGCTCGAATGCGGCAAGAGCACAATATGCGGATGAAAGGTATGTGTGTACCGCCGTCAGATAATGATGATTGGAATGGAATGTGCTGGTGGCAGAATGCTGGTCAAGTGGCACAGACAAACTTGGGTGGAGGCTGCTCGAGGTTGGAGGATGCAGAATGCTGGGTTTCGGCTATTCGGCCGCGATGAGTCTAGGATGCCCAGATCTCGGAGGGTCGAGGGCGATATGGAGAAGAGCCCCAAGGGGATGGGATTGTATTGCAGCGATCGAACGGAATGCGAGTGTCAGCGAGTGCAGGATGGAAGGAAGATGAGAGTCTGCGTGTGTGTCGGTGTCAGTGTGTCAGTGTGTCAGTGTGTCAGTGTGGTGTCGGAGAAGAAGATCGAGAAGTGGTGACGGACAATAGGTTCCAGGATGGTTGGTGGGCTCTGGTGGCTCTTTTGGGGGGGGAAGGAGAGAAAGTTGGCTGCAGCTGTACAGGGTGCAGGTGGTTAGGTGGGATCTTGGAACACCATAGGGGCCTTGCGCCGGGCGAGGAAAGTGCAAAAACGAGCAGAAGAACAAGCCAGCACAAAGAATTTCCTGGCAGTTCTGGGAGGCGACTCTGGCGCTGGCTCCTCTATCAGGACGCAAAGGACGCAACGGACCACCCACACTTCCTGTGCCCATCCAGTCAGCGTCATCCAAATGAGCACTCTACCGGTTTAGGCGAGCATGGGATCGCATCTCTTTGTGGTGCTGGACCGGGGGCGAGGGGGGGAATGTTGTGCGGCTAAAGGACCGCGCGAGGAGAAGCAGAGGGGAAATTCGGTTAATTAGGGCCCATTGGGTGGCCCTCAGGGCTAGTAGTCACTCATGCGAAACTCGATCAGGGAGGTCAGTGATAGGGCGCTTCCGGGATCACTGCTCCGTACTGAGGGAGAGGAAGGATCTGATCGGGGGAGACCAGCGGTTTGGTGGGCTGAAGGGGCCATGGCTCATGGGACCCCCCGAAGCCTCACTAGGCCCTCCGTTTCCCTCCATCCTCCCCGTCCAGCAAGCCCAGCAAGCCCAGCAAGCCCCCCCAGCAAACCCAGTAGGCCCGGCAGGCCCAGCACAAGCCCAAAGTTTCAGCGAGCTCCCCCGCCCAAGTGCATTTGCCAAAACCCACTCCCCAGGAGACGACTGGCCGACATGACGAGTGCGGCGTGGGCTCTGGCACCGATTTGGCCATCCGAAGACTCTCTTTTTGCTCCCTTGGCCACGCTTATCCTTCCCAAACCAAGTGGCACAACGATCGACCGTCCAGTTGGAAAAAGGGGCGGCCAAGGCCGTCAAAGCACAAACCGTTCTCAACATCCCATTCGGCTGGTGCTGCAATCTGGTTGCAAAAGGGTGCCGCAGGCACTTTTCCAGGCTGATCATTGACATTCCTAGGATACCACTTCTTGTCTTGGCCTGCAAGCCCCGTAACCGAAAAACGCAATGTTTCGGTTGATCAGGATCCACCAAAGACTGAAAAACTGCCCAGCTCGTCAGCTCTCCAGGGCCGGGGAAGTGAGAGGTGGTTTTCCTGTCCGAGAAAAGCAACCATGAGGCTTGTGATTGCCAGATTAACGGCTTGCCAGTAGTACATTGGGCGCTCGTAATTGAAAAAGAACCTGGACTTAACCTGGACTTGTCACATTCCGCCATCCCCTTACAGGCAATGGCGCGAAGTCGCCACCAGCATCCCGCGGAGTTTGCTGCTTGCTGGAACGACGACAAACAGATTCTTTCTGGTGATCGCGCTGCTTCTCATTGCCTTGGCGACCCGGATGAAAAGTCTGTCAATGGAGGCGCACCAAGCCACATGCCAGCTTGGTTTGAAAGAAAAGCCGAAGATGAGTGATGAGGTCTCTGCTGACGCGAGGAGAAACGCTCACCCCATTGACGATCCGAACAAGCTTGAGAGCTTAACGGATATGGCTAAAGCCGCAAGTGTCACAATAACTGTCCGCTGAACTTTGTCCTCGAAAGTCTCTGTCAACTGAAGGGCTTGTCAAGTGATAATAAATTCGCCCTCCGTCTTGCGCAGGAACCAAGCCAGGCAAAGTCCTGCCGCCAGTGTGGGTCCTAACGACCGAATCGTTCTTGCTTCTCGAGGATAGGGACGCCGTCTGGAAAGCGTTAAGCATTGAACGGAGCCCCTGATGCTTGAGATCTTCCCCTGTCGTCGGGTTTGCGTCCTGGCGTGAACACGGTCGATATTATTTCGCTTCAGGCCTCCCTGCCCTCGCTTCTTTCATTTCCGCGATCGCAGATCGCCGCTTCGTCTCCTTCGCCCGATCCAGGGGGCTAGTCTCTATAATATAAGCCACAGAAATCTGTGGCGGTGCAGCCTGTTTCCTTCAATGCATGAATACGGGGAAAGGGCCATATGGGTACTGTAGGACCCCTTTACCCTAGCCTATTGACCGCTTCCCTGCGGATGTAAACAAACAGGGTCAAGCTCCTTCTTGATGGTTGGCTTCGATGACAGCTTCCTGCAAGCTCGGCGAGGCCGAAGTTCGTCGCCAGTGCTCCGTGCACAATGGAGAAAAGACAACTTATTGGATCTAGACTTGCAGTGACAGGAAGACGCCAAATCTGCGTTGCATGGATGGGGCGATCATGAGGGAACATCCGAGCTCTTCTGTTGGCCTAACAATGGACGAGTCTAGACCTTCGACAACACGACCCGAATCCGTGGGTCGGGGAACGGCTGGCGGGAAGCGAACATTTAGACTTGGACAGCACAACAGATGCAGGGGGCTGATTCTGGAGCAAGGGGTGCGAATTTGGCAGGTGCCAGTCTGTTTGACATCAAATTCGAGGTGAATTACTGGATGACCAGTGGCCTGACTGCCCAGTTAGACATCGTGTGCTTCGGTCGCGACGGCTTGTCTTTGAGGTAGGGCGCAGGAAGGCTGCAAGACATATGGAGCGCAGGGAGGCGAGGCGACGCCAGTTGCAGAGGTCTTTTCAGGTACTCAGGTACCAGGAGTATTTTTGTTGGCTGCTTTACACGACTCGCCGAGACCTGATACTTCAGATTCGAGGCCTGAGTAGCGAACAAGTGCCTTCTGTCGAGGTTGAGTCAGTACTTGGTACTTGCGGTCAAATTGGTCAGGAACCTCAGGTACTTCTGAGAGAGCTTTACCTTGGGAATCTCAGGGACTGCTGGACAACACCATTGGAGGCAGCGGAGGAAGACCCGGGCTTACCCTTCCCGCAACCTTTGTCTCCTGTGCAGATCACATGCACGTGCATGGTTGTAAAGATTATTTCAAATAGTGGACGCAGTCTTGCGCGTTGAGAGCATCAGGGTGGAGAGAGTGCTTGTGAAGGATCATATGGAATGAGTAATCACCGCTTCCAAAGGACCAGAGGCAGCACTCAGAGACACTAGAGGGGTTCGTGGTTGGCTCTGGGGGATGATGGAGAGCTACAGAGCCACCGAGCTACCGACAAGAAGCTATGTGCACAGCTAAGAATTCCCCGCAATGATGTCGTTTGCCCCCCTGCAATGCACAGCTACTGAGGAGCTTCGAGGGAGCTGCGAGGGTGCGGCCTTAAAGCTCCCTCTTGGGGCACACGGCGAGGGACATCAACAGCGAACAATAGGTGAGGTCCCAGTGAAGTTGGAGTGAATCGCTCCTGCAACGTATTCCAAATACCTACTTCCCACTCAATTCAATCTCACTCAGTCACATAAATGTTCTCTCGATCCCTCTTCCGTCCTGCTACTTCTCTCCGTCCCACCTCTCTTACTCCACGCTTCAGACCATTTTCATCGACGTCCGCAATCATGGTCTGTGTCCCTGTCCCTAGTTTGTGAACTCACTGACCGTCAGGCAGGTCAAACAAGGAGACTCCATCCCAAATATCGACCTCTACGAGGACTCCCCCGGCAACAAAGTCAACCTCGCCAAAGAGCTCAGCTCTGGCAAAGGCCTCATCATCGGTGTCCCCGCTGCGTTCTCTCCCTCATGCTCCGACACTCATATCCCAGGCTACATTGCCAATGACAAGTTGAAGAGTGCCGGGAAAGTCTTTGTGGTATCTGTGAACGATGCTTTCGTGTAAGAGCCTATGTGATATCATTCCTTCCCAGCGTGTTTCTTACTTTCTTCAACAGCATGAAGGCTTGGGCAAAGAGCTTGGACGAGTCGAAGAAGAGTGGCATTCGTTTCCTCGCCGACCCCTCTGGAGAGTTCACTCGTGCCTGGGATGTGGAGTTCGACGCTGCTAAGATCTTGGGCAACAACCGAAGCAAGCGGTATGCAGTGACCACCGAGGATGGCAAGGTCGTCAAGGCTTCTGTCGAGCCCGACAACACTGGCGTCACAAGTGAGTTCTGCCATTTTCCTCCTGTCTTGGGGTCATTGCTAAATCTTGACAGTCTCGGCCGCCGAGAAGATGTTGTAAACCAATCAACCCTTAGAAGGGCAGACCTACCACCATAGGTGCGGCATCCTGTAACGGCATGGTGAAAATCAAAATGGGAGTGACATGGAAATGCAGCAAAATGGAGGGACGTGGCAGAAGCTTAACACAATTCCTGTGTTCATGTACCAACTTCAGTTCTCCATTTCAGCTTAATCTGAAGTGCCAAAAGCAACTGCAATTTCCTCTATGAACACTCTTTACGGTCCTGGAAGAGGGCATAATTCTAAGTTTCATTTTTGACATGACCATCTTCGCTCGACTGGACGAGATTCGGATTCCAACAAGATCGAGAAAGCATCTCATTCAATCCCTAACATAGAGGACGGATGAAGAGACAATGCACGAGGACCACCATTCGTCTTCTAACTCGCTAAATAATCAGGCACAAATAAGTCGCTCGAGACTCAGCTCAGGAGGGCGCGTACTTCCGCGCCAGTCCTGGGATACGATGCTCTCACTGACCCAGTTAGACCATTGGCACTGTGGTCCCTTTCGTCCTCAGCCCTCCCGTCATCGTCGCCATCGCTCTCCTCCACTGGCGCGGAAACCTCGGCATCGATTGTCTCCAACATGCCCTCCAAGTCGTCGTACTCGGAGCAGAACCTGTCCACTGCCTCGGCGACGACATCCTGGGCCAATGTGCGATCGAACAGATTTTTCATGGCCTCCTGCGCGTCCATGAGCGCTGACGAGAGGAACGCGTCCAGTCGCTGTGCCGCTTCGTCGAGGTTCTGGACCAGCCACTCCCTCCTCGCCTTCGAACCTTGACTCCGGCGTGAATCGATCTCCTGCATGAGCTCCGCCACGCCAGAAAACTCGAGGAATGTCGACGTGACAAATTCTACCAGCTGATCTCTCACTATCTGAATCTCTCTGGCCGCCTTCTCTAGCGGGATCCGAGCTGAGGGGACGTGCACCGACACGTTTGCCAGAGTCGCTTTCAGCGCGGTCAGGTAGTTGATCTTGTAGATGCTCCCGCTCCGCACGTCGGCGATATTGGTTGCAGATTCCGCGCACGCGGTCAATATCCCGCTCAGCGTCGAGACGAAAAGTCGCTCAAGTTCGGGCTCACTCATCTGCGGACCCCTCGCCCGACACACGTCGTGGAACTGAGTCAAGGCCGTGGCCAGGAACCCAGGTGGCGTGAGATCGCGCGGTGGCTCCGAGTCCATACTTGCGATCGCGGCCGCGGTTTCTTCTTCCATTGCCTGTTCAAACTGCGCCAGCGTCGAAGACTGGAGAGTCTGGATGAGCGAGGCAAGAGAGGAATCCTGGCCGAGCAGTTTTGAGAAGATTCCGCGGTAGAAGTCGAGGAGGTTGAAGGTCTTGAACATGAGGACGGGATCGTCCGAGGTTCGCACCGCGACGTCGATTCGTGACTGCAGGGTTTGGCACACAAGGGAGAGATTGCGCGAGATGAGTTCGGACAGCGCTTTGCGGCCATCGAAGACTGGTTGCTCATCATCTTTTTTCTCCGCATCTGTGCTGGATGCAGATGACAAGCTTCTGCGTCGTCCACTTTGGATTCGCGCCCATGGCTCGGTGGTCTTCCCAGCGCTGAGACCCCGCGAAATCTCTTCCGCATCCGACACGAAAAGCCCTTCGAGAGCTTCCTTTTCCGACACAGCGGCAGAATGCACCCACGCAAGCATATCGCCTATATACCGTAATGGCTCATGCGTCGAGAATTCAATCGCCTTCGTCCCAGCCCCTCCATGGCCGGAGCCCGTCAAAGCTTCCTGAAACGCCTCCGCCAGCGTAGCCCGTCTCGCCTCGGCGAAGAAGTCCAGACAATTCTGGAACAAGCTCGGCCTCTCACTGAGGACCCTCAACGCGCGGCGGATTGAGCCGCTGATGTTGGGGTCTTCGAGGTCAAGCGTCTTGAATTCGCGTTGGATCCAGTTGTAGAGCTTTTTGAACGCCGCATCCAGGTTGCGGGTCGTCTGTTCGAGCAGTTCCAAGCCCAGGCGGGAGGAGGCTTCCTCCTCGCCCGAAGGGGAGGCGTTGTATCCCAACAGAAACTCGCAGTCCTTGTGGATTTGTTTGCATCTCGCCAGGATCGTGAAGAAGCGTTCGTCGAGCGGTTCCGCGGAACTGGTCAGGATGTTCAGATCTTGGTCGGAGATGAGGAAGTGGTCGGTGAACGCAGTCAAGAGGGACTCCTTCATCTCGGTATCCCGTTTGCGCGTCATGAGTGTAGAGAATTCTTCGAGCGTCGGCGCCGACTCTTGTTTCGCCGCGAGGATATGGGTGCGCATTGAGTCGCAGGTGGTGTTGAGGGTCGCGAGCAAGGCCCCAACACGCTTGAGTTGCTATATATGCGCGTCAGTCGAAATGCCGGACCCTGGCTGGCTGTGATGTCCTGTCGGTCAACGCCAGCGAGATGCATTACCTCTGCAACCACACCGAAATCATCCACGATCTGAGCATTGCAGTCTATCACCTCCTTCTGGGCATTGGCCTTCAGGTTCCTCCTCGTCTCCTCGTCATTCCGGACGCTTCGCTCGTCGAGGAGTCGCAGCGCATCGCGAGTCTCGTAGTCGGCGTAGGAGGCTGAGAGGACACTGGTGAGTTTTGCGGTCAGGGCTGTGGACCGCTTGGACAAAGGAAGGCCATCAGAACCGACGCCACCGGGAGTGACGGGACTGTCGAGGCCACTGGTAGAGGTGAAGCCATCGACGCTGGAGAGAAAAGGTGTAGCCATAGAACCAGAAGCAAGGGACACGAACCCGTTGCATTTTGATCAAGCTGCTTGGTTCTAGCACTGGCAGGACGAGGCTGTGAGGGGAATGGAACCCGCGCCGCCTTTAGGTCCGGCGGGGGGTAATAAGAGCAGCGTCATCAATGCGGGGCTTTTTGTTTACTACAAGGTCCACAGGGTCCTCGGAGGTCACTTCAAATCCCCCCGGAATGTTCCTGCGCGGAGAGGCCTTTTCCCTCCTGAGGTTGAGGTGGATGGAATAATAATATTGCTTCCGTAATCATCTCTTCGTTTGCTAGCCTCTTTCCTCTATGTGGGAACAGGGATTCTCAGAGTGCTTTGAGGAGGCGAGAATCCCTGGCTCCTAGGCCGCGAAAGCGCCATCCTGAACGGATCCTGCTGAAGCAGTCCAGTCCATCTATTTACATCTGCGAGATAAGCCACTTCACGCCTCCAATCAAGTTGCCCACGAACTGCTGCCCCTCGGGCACAGAAGGGAAGATCCAGAAATAGTGAGGCAGTCCCTTGTAGTGGTCGTGCTTGGTGGGGACGCCGGCTTTCTTCAACGACGCTTCCATCACGTAGGCATCGTCCCGCAAGGGGTCCTTTTCACAGCTGACCAGGTACGTGGGCGGGAAATTGGCGTGGTTCTCCTTGGCCAGGGCGACGAAGATGTCGCTGTCCTTGGGGTCGGCGCCTGCGTGCTCGTAGAAGATCTGCATCGAGTTCTTGTCGATGATGGGCACGCCTTCCTTGTTCTCTTCGTATGCCTTGTAAATGTCCTTGTGCTCGTCCGGGACGTGGTCCCAGTGCAGTGCACAGGGCACAATGGCGGCAATGCCCTTGATCCCATCGCGCTTCGAGGGGTCTTTGACCAGGCGGTTGGCGATTTGGAGGGCCAGAGCACCACCGGCAGAGCCACCAATGGTGTAGAATTTGCTTGGGTCACCGCCATACGACGCCGCGTTTTGCCGTGCCTAGACTGGTATTAGTAACCATGACCGACGGCGGTGGGAAGGGCCCTTGGCGATGCTGCTCACCCATTTGTACACGGTCAGACAGTCCTGGAGCTGTGTGGGGACCTTGTGCTCAGGAGCAAGTCGGTAGTCCACGCTTATGATGATTGAGGGAACAGCTTCGGCGATGATCCTGCAAAGCAAGTCGTCTGAGTTGAGGTCGCCGGTCATCCATCCTCCCCCGTGCGTCCAGATGGCGACGGGGAGGGGTCCCGACTTGGCCGCCTCCTTGGGCGTGTACAAGCGGTACTTGACGCCCTCGACTTCACCGTCTTTGCTCTCGACCGCCTCTGATGGGGGAGGCAGTTGAGGAAGGAGCATGGCCACCAGTTGGTCATATTGGGCTCGGATTTCTTCTGGAGTCCCGGTCATGACCATGCGACCACCCAGGTTCTTCTCCAGCTGTAGATGCCGGTCAGTAGAGGAGAAAGATTGAAGCGTTCGGCTTGGAAACCTACATCGAGCCATGATTGTGCGTACGCCATGGTTTGACTGCCTCTGAGGTAAGTGTGATGTAGCACAGAATGGATCGAGTCTATAACAGTTTGCAAAAAGATGGTCTGACTTGAGCCGCAACCTCAACCGCCTGAGAGGGAAGGCTAGAAGCACCAATATATATACTTTGTACCATGGATCGATTCGACCTCGGTTACATAAACCCTGACTTTGGGCGGAGGGGGTGGGCGAGCATCCGTGCCCGTCATTCGGTCCAACGGCCAAGAGAGCGCACAAAGTCAAAAGGAGTCGACATGAGCGAGTCAGAGCCCAAGAAATGCGTCGCTTGCCAGGTGTTGTGGATTTTGGACAAGCCAGTTGCTGGAAGCGTTGTCACTGACCATGTTCTCGCTCCAATTCAATCGGCACCTCAGCTCGGGGCCTGAAGTGATGGCCATTGGTCCATGTCCACATACCGCGGAATTCATCCCATCCGGCAGTAATACATTAGGTACATAATAATACGCAGACAGATATATCTCGTGTCTGGGGGGCCTGGGCCTCAACACGAAGTCTGCTTCCTAAACTTTGCGTCAGCCGCTTGTCTGATCTCGATCAACGCATTACTTGGGTACCTTTATATTCCTCTATCTAACGAGCACACAGTCAGCAGGACGGTTCGCTATAAGGCCGACCAGTCTCGCGGAACCACACCAGGCCGTGTAAAGGGTTGAGGAGATATACAACCGAAAGCGACGCTGGTCTCACTCAGCTATTTTGCATTCGGGCCCTCTTGTGATCTCGCAATGTTCCGATAGAGGCTTCACGACAAGGCTCCGGGCGAAAAGCTTCATATCCTGAAGCAGATGGAATCTTCCAACCATCTTGCCAATATCAATCGTGCCCCTTTCACATTGCCCCTAAGAAGCTTCCCCAAAGTTCATATGCCCTGTCTGTTCTGCATGTTTCATTGCCCCAGCTTCTCCTGTACACGTCACTCCGCAATCGTTGCATCTGAGCTTGAACCCGGCTGTGTCGGTGTAGTAGTGCTTGGCCTGTAATTTCTGACATAAGGCAATGGCATGTGGCAGCACCTCGTCGGAAAGTGGTTGGACAAACTGCTTGACGTCTGCTTCCGGCGGCTCACCATGCACGCTTAGAGCGATGGTATCGTAGTGGATGCCGGAATATACAATGAAACAACGACTTGTTGCGGCTTCATTGTACCTATCCACTCGCAAGCTCTGCACGTCGATACTGCAGATCTCGACGTCGAATTGCCGGCTGAGAATGTCAAGCTCAATTTGACCCCCCCAAGCGTCCTCAGTTTGGATCCACCGGCAATATGCATCGGGTTCTTTGTTGTCCAGAATAGCCTTGGTGTACTTTTCAGGATTGGCTTGAATGTTCTGGGCAATGATCGACCGTAGCTCCGTGACCGCGTCCATATCTGACAGGACGGCGCTGGCAACGGCTCGAAAAAGACACGAATTGTCGTCTGGCATGATGCGTAAGACCAAGGTGCCCTGGAGATCGGGACACCAGATCTCGGGTGGATCTGCCATTTCCGCGTTCTGTTTTCGCGATAGGGACAGTGGCGCTGCCGAGGCTTCTTGGGCTTTGGGCGTGGGTTTCGACGTGCCGGAGAAGGCTGTCGAGGTAGAGCCGTAGTGTCTTGAAGATTCAGCTGCTCTCGGGGCGCTTGTAAGCGGATCTGACGACGTCGGTTGAGAGTCACCCTTCTGACTTGGTGGTTTGACTTCATTAATTATCAGTTGCTCGCCGTTCAATTTGATGTCGAGCTCTGAAAGGAGTTTTGAAGGGGGCAGTTGATCGAGCGACAGTGTTTTTGGCGGGTAGCCATATTTGACCTCGAAAGAAGACAGTGATGTTTCGGTTGTGATTGTCTTTCGAAGCGTCTCTACCGTGGCGGATTCATCAAGGCTGACTGTGCTGGACTTGCCAGAAGGGCCCCTGATCCGAACCCTCATTGCGATCTTCTCTTCCAGACAGGCACTTGACTGCGACTGATTTACTATATATATTGTGGGCAGATGAGATGCCAAAGAAAGTAGAAGCAGCAGATCTGTCACGAGGTAAATCAGTGACTAGTGACAAATGACCAGCAAACAAGCCTGCAGCACGCTCTTGCCACCAAGGAAGGATATGGTCTTGAATGGAAGGGAGAAAAGTGAAGATAGCTGGATCTCTCAGTGACAGGACTGGTTCGTCATGCGTCGACCTCCCCCAATTTCGATCTTGCAGGTCTCGACACGTTGCTCCTCACACTCACTAGGCGTCCCTCCAGTGCCAGCGGTGACAATCAGGGTGGTGAGGATATCATGGGATCAAGCGTCGAATCAGCCCAGAGCGGTTTAACCCCAAGATTGTCCGGCCCGATCTTTCGACGCGACTCATTCGAGTGGCAGAGGACGCGTTCTGAACTAAGGGACTCTGGGGAGGATCTTGGATTCCAATGCACCTTTCCACCGAAGATAATTGTAGAACTGAGCAGCATAGCAGTGTGGTGATACGGATGGAAAGTGAAAGCAGCGGAAGGTCTTCAGTGCAACTGCCGCCAAGACTTTATCGCCGCGCCCCCCAGATTTTGCCCGCAGTTCGCAGTTCGCAGTTCAGGGCGCAATGTCGCCTGTCGCATTCCCTGTAGAGTCGCGACAACATCATCGCCTCGTCCATCTCCCTGATATTGCCCTTAGTGCCTAGATCCCCTACATATGTCTTCGCGAGTGGTGCCTTTGCAGTCCAGTTTCCACGTCGCCAGCGAGTTGCGATAGTTGCGCGACAAATCGACATGGCCGAATCCGAAACCGCAGATGCGCCCGTGACCGAGCCAGTCGAGTCCATCGAAGTCGAGCCCGCTGTCAAGGAAGAGGATGCAGCCGACGACAAATCCGACAATGAAGGCGACGGTGCCGAAGAAGCTGAAGAAGCTGACGAAGCTGACGAAGCTGAGGACGCCGCCGGAGAAGGACAAGAGGAGCCTCCCGTCTCTGTTGACCAGTACAGGGCTTTGAAAAACATCACCGATATCGTGTCAAACTACAAGACCAAAGTCAAGGATGAGTCTGTGCGGCCCGGTGCTCAAGTCGATCGCCTCCCAGGCTAATCTCATCTCCAGGGACTACTATCCTGCTCAGCTCTTTAGGCGCAAGCCCAACCGACGAGTCCTACCAGATTACCACGAAATCATCAAGGACCCTGTGGCTCTCAGTACTCTTAAGCAGAAGATACAAAGAAAGCAATACACGGGCATCCCTGAGTTCGTCCGCGATTTTGCCTTGATTGTCCACAACGCGCAGGTATACAACAGACCGAATTCGGCCCCCGTACGCGACGTCCTTCTTTTGCAGACGGTTTTCAAGGAGGAACTCAAGAAGCTGGTGGATGAAGGCTTGATCCAAGAAGATGAAACTGTCTTCCCAGATCTCGGAGAGATTCCCGATGCAACCCCTGAGCCGAGCCCAGTGTCCGACGAAGACGAAGACAATGAGGACGACGAGGATGATGACGATGATGACGATTCTGAAGACGATCGCAGGAAGCGAAGACGGAAAAGCGCTCGACATAGCATTTCAGGACGGAAGGGTCGCGACGAAGACGATGACAGACGCGACGACGCAGATCTTCGGAAGCGACGAGGACGACCCCCCAAGGTGGACACGCCGATGGAGGCGCGAATCAAAGCCATCCTGAAAGGCCTCCGTAAGCCGAAGGACGACGACGGTAACCTGAAAATCCGTCATTTTGAGCGATTGCCCGATAAGATGGAGTATCCAGCTTATTTTATTGAGATCAAAGACCCGATTGCTCTCGACACCATCAAGAAGAAGGCCAAAAGAAAGAAATACCAGTCCCTCGAGCACTTCATGAAGGATCTTGATCTTCTCTTCAACAATGCAATGCAATTCAACGAGGATGGAAGTGAAATCTACCAGGATGCGGTAGACCTCCAAGCAGAAGCACAGAAATTGGCCGAAATTGAAAAGGCCAAACCTGACGAAGAATACCTCATGGAAGACGGCAGAAGACCCTTGCCAAATGGGATTTTCTACAAAAATGAGCTCTGGAAGGTCGGTGACTGGGTCCATATCCAGAACCAAAATGATGTGACCAAGCCGATTGTCGCTCAAATCTACCGGACTTGGGAGGATTCTGATGGCCAGAAGTGGATAAATGCGTGCTGGTACTACCGACCAGAACAAACCGTACATCAGTACGAGAAGCACTTCTGGCCGAACGAGGTGGTCAAGACGGGTCAGTACCGGGATCATAGGATCGAGGAAGTGATCGATCGTTGTTTTGTCATGTTCTTCACCAGATACACTCGTGGCAGGCCTCGAAACATCGATCCCACAAAAGACGTCTATGTCTGTGAAGCCCGGTACAATGAGGAGAAGCACAGATTCAACAAGATCAAGACATGGGCCAGTTGTTTGCCTGATGAGGTGCGAGACAAAGATTATGAGATGGATTTGTTTGAGGTGCCTCGAAAGATCAAGAAAGTGCCCAGCCCACTCAAACATCTCTTGAAGGACACCATGAAAGAGACGGACGAGATTCCTTCTCCTCAATGGGGCCATCCCAACGCACCGCCAATCGTGGGTGGAATCCATAAACATGCCCGCGACGAAAATGTGAGTTCTCTGATTGATGATGTGTTGATGTGTGCCCTGGGTACTGCTTCTATCATCTTGCTCTTGTTTGTTTTTCTCTGCAGCATTTTCACTGACTTCTCTATCTCATAGCAATCGCCGCCCCCGGAACCGACGCCTCCGCCTCCTCCTACACCACCAGCGCCGATTGCGAGACAGCCTTCGATGAGCACTGTCGCCAACATGGCACAACGTCCCATGCCGAATGGCGCAGGAAGTCACGTTCCACCGAGTCTGCAATCTCAGATGACACGCCCATCACCCTCTTTGACTCCCAATACATTCCAACACCAGTCAATCTCGCCTGCGCCTCAATATGGCCGACAGACCTCCTATCAACAATCACAGCCACAATCCCATGCAACCATTGCACCCCAGACCCCGGCCTCCCAGCCATCACACCATCCTTATAACCCGCACCCCCAAATCCACCCGCAGCCGACATTGACTCCCGCCCACCCCGCAAACTACTCATCTTCTACCACTCCCTCCCAGGGGATGTACAATCGTCCACCTCAAGTACAACCAGCTGGTGCCGCCACCATCAACCCGGCTCAATCATATGGACCTTTTGCCTCGACGGCCGCCACCACTTACCCCGATCAGCGCGTCGCCGAAGTCTTTGTGCTCTCGGACACGGCCAATGAATCGATTCCGAAACACATCCGTGACCAATTCCCACAAGACGATCAAGGACGTGTGCTGTTCTTCACGAGGCCGCCTGTCCTTCATGACATGACTGTCAAAGGTAAAGATGGGCAACCACTGATGCATACGGAGAAATACCTCCAGGCCAAGAAAGAGAAGGAACGGCTGAGGGAGGAGAGGAAACGGGCAAGAGAAGAAGCCGAGGAGGCTGGGAGGAACACGATGAAACGTGCGAGGATTGCTGTTTGAACAGGAGCTTTCATATGGGATTGATTGTGACGTACCCTGTGCGAGTTGGACTGAAGAAATTCCAAGAGGACACGGAGAGATCTATAATGTATTAGTCTCAGCCCAGCGTCGGCGCTGGCGGATATCTGATGGCTTAGACGCACCAAAGCCCTTATTTCCAACCACTCTTCCCTTTCCTGGTCTTGGTTCTTCCGATGCCTGATGCACTTCGGTGACATATGTAAAGTAGGGAATGGCTACTCCCCTCCCTCTGATGCGGCTCACTCTATATTGCCGCCGTGCGAGTGGACGGGTCTGAATGACCGGTAATGTTACAGATCAAGCGCTGGTGTCCCAGCCGGCTACTCTACTACAGGGCCTCGAACAACTCATCCCTCCGTCCTCTCAGCCGGTCCAATTCCCCCTGGGCCCGGCGCACCTCGGCGCGCGATCCGTCAACGTCCGGAGGCAGGCCGTGGAACTGCCTGAGGCGGCCTTCCAGCGCCTCGATCTGCTTCTTCTTGGCACCCAGCGACCGCTGCTTCGCGGCGAGGACGGCGGTGGGGTCGGGCTCGTCGTCTTCGCCGTCCCAGAGATTGGAGCTGGGCCGCTGCTGCAGCGCGCGCGAGAGGGCGTCAATCTGCGACTTGTACTCGGCGGATTTGAGGGCTAGTTGTTTCGTCTCGCGCTGGTGCTGGAGCGTGACCCCGTGGAGGTGCGAGTAATCCATTGTTGTTGTTGTCGTCGTCGTCGTAGTAATCGCCGAGGGAAGCAGCGAAGTCGTCGGTGGTGGGGTGGCCGGGGAAAGCGTGGTCGGCGGCGGGAAGGACGGCGAGGGTGGATCGTCGTCGTCGTCGTCGTCCCGCAGGTGAGCCGGCCGAGGAGTAGTCCTCTCGGCGAAGGCAGCGAGGGCCTTTTGGGTCTCGGTTATTTGGCTCTGGAGAGTCGCTGTGAGCGTTTCGATGGCTGAGAGTTGGGACTCCTGCGCAAAGGTTTGGCGGGGGATGTTGACGATTTGAGAGGTGAGGGTTCGAAGGACGCTGGCGTCCGTCGATGTCGTCGAGGAGACGCAGCCCAGAAGGACGACCGAGCTCGCAAGCGACTGCAGTGCTGTCCGGGAAGACGACGCCAGCGAGGTCTCGAGCAAGGACAGAATCGCATTCGCACCGCAACTGTTCTCCAGGTCCGTCAAGGTCGCCCGCCGTTCCAGCCGCGCCGCTTCCTCCCCAGCCGCCAGCTCCTCGACTTTGGCCTCAAACAGCAGTTCTCGCACTCGATCCGCGGCTATGTTCTCCGCCATGAGGCTCTGCAAGGCCTTGAGCGTGGCGGCGTTGCGTTCGAACGCCGGCACAGGTGTCGGGTGGTAGAGCCTCGCGAGCCATGTGTGGACGATGGACCAGGAGTGCGACGCGATGGCTTGGGCGCGGGCTTTGGATGGCGACGCCTGCATTGCTGATGCCGATGCCGTCTCTCAGACGACTCCAAGGGAATGCCGGGTTTGATCTGCAGCACTACGACATCTGAGAGGTGGAGGAAGAGTAGTTGGGGCTTTTCTTGGAAACCTTTGACGTCGGTCTATTGCTCTCCCATCGCGCGAGAGGTGTGGAGCAAAGGCCACGCTTCGAGTGCCCAATTCACGATCAGGATAGACTCTCACTCAACATGAGTACAGAGTCTTAACGCGAGTTGATAGCAGTAATGAGCATTGTAGATTGATGTTCGACTGGGCTTGAAGGCCTCACCGAGGTCTGAGAGCTGCCAAAATATCAAACTACTCGGCTACGTTTTCCCCTAGCGTTTATGAACAAGAGATTTCCAGAATTTTCTTTGCAGTCATTGCGGTCCAGAGTACATGTATGCTATCGATATTAAACAGTATATCCACTTGTTGTTACAATCTTTCCCTTAGAGGACACACCTAGGCTCTGCCTGGGAAGTCGTGAAGCACCACCATAAGACCGGTGGGTCAAACACCCTCGGGCTTCGTTGAACACACATGCTATTTGGGACAGCGGGCACTGCTGAATGGTTTCCTTGGATGCAAACAAAGATCCGCGACAATCATTGGCTTCCGGGCAATGGAGAACGTCCAGGTGCAGTAGAATAGCCAGTTTTCTTTCACCGGCCTCCTTGTATGCCCTTGACAGTGCTGAATCGACATATCGCAGCAACCTGGTTGTCAATGGATTAAATTCCTCAACGATGCCACCACGAGGCATAGATGTTACCGTTTGTCTTCTTGCTGTCAGTGACCCAGCATTTGACAAGCTCTTCCTCGAGGCTCGACCGCCTTTTGGGAACCGAACCCCCGTATCAATGACCGAGGACGTCAAAGTCCGATAGCCAAGCTGAAAGGCACCTCTGGCGGGAATTTCATGTGATATCCATTTTTGCACGGTGAATGACCACCATTCATACCTCCTCGCTTCTGTAGTAATCCCATATATTCAAGGGCGACCAAAATCCCTTTTCGCCGGCTTTGGAAACCGTCGGAGGTGGATAGAGAGAATAAGACGAGGTGAAGCGTCTTTCGCCCATCTCTTTGGCAGGTGTGCAGTACCTTCTGAATACCCACTTCGGTGGATAGACTGGGTTACCAAAGGCGACAGGCCGGATGAGATATTCTCTCGGAAGTGAAACAAAGGTTTGAATCCCCTTCCTCCGTCTTTCACACCCTCATACCCCAAGATCTGGCCAAATTCACGCTGTTGCTCGCCCAGAAGCCAAGATATTGTGACAGTCCTCCAACAGTGCCTCCGAGGAGTTGTACATCTCCCAACCTGCGGTCGAGGAATTCCTCTGTTGCTGAGAATTCTTGTGATGTATCCCTTGTCATGAACAACTCTGCACTTGCGTAGACGGCTGCGAGGGAGGCTCGTTTCGTGTACCAGGAGAAGTCGACTGCGGTGTCTCCGGCGAGATACCAAATCTCATCCGACAAAGCATGAAGTTCTTTCATCGATGCAGGGATGTTCTCGAGGAGTGACATATAGCCGAGGGCCTGCAGAGACAATGATTCAGTGAGTGCCTCGTTGCGGAAATGTGGTGAACTTACCCCTTGCCATTGATGGATGATTTCTGCATTTGCTCTCAGCCGTGACATGGTCAGCGTCCTAACTTTTGCTCCCAAGCCCAACGTAGAACTCTCTGGAAACTGTACAGTATCTTTTAACGCCAGTCTTTGCGTTACCAGGTGGTAATTGATGAGATCAAAGACACCCCGGGGGAAGAGCTGGACGGTAACATCGAGGTATCCAGCATCCTTAGCTCCCAACGCCAATGCCCGTTCCGTGAAGCCATGTTGAGGTACTCGACTAATGGCAGCCGAAAGGATTCGATCTTGGGTCTCGGGGAACGGTGCAGGATCTGGATGGTGGATGGAGAAGTAGGTCCGTGAGAGAGCTGGTCTGTGTCCAAGAGCGTGGCTTGGCTGCACCGCAGTCGCAGTCGCAGTCAATCTCAGCGGTCGTACGAGGGCTAAGGTCCTCCCGTGGGCGATAGGCATGATTGCTGCGGGAGTATAGCAGGGTGTGATGGAGGTGGGTTGGCGAAAAGGAAGGCTTGGGGCAGAGCGGGATGCGGCAAGTCGAGATGTGGAGACTCAATGGACAATGGATCTACAGCGGTCCACGGTTCGAGGTCAGAGGAAGAGCGAGCTGCACATCATCTGCAACCATCCGACGAACGATGAAACTAGCTTCACGACGTGCCCAGACAAAATTGTTTCCTCGACCACCACGGAATCCTGTTCCATGTCAACCCCAAATTTCTCTCAGCCTTACCGCGCTTGGCACGTGGGAGGCAGCGTAATTCATTGGCTCGGAATGGGTGTCCGACTTCTACAGGGAACTTTCGGCACATTTTAATTCTATAGTTACTTGTAGATACTGAACTTGTTCCTACCAAGATACCCTTATCTGAACCGGCGCAACATGGCTCCGGACTGCGCGACTAGCAGTCAGGTATCTAGGCATTTACCTAGGTCCTCCGGACTTGCACTGAGCTGCCCATCTCGGGTTTGTCCATAGCCGCCCTAGTCGCTCCCTCATGTTCCGACGCCTTCATCGGACACTCCGCTTTGGGGAAGACCTCCGATCTAGTAGTCAAGGGAGGAGTGCAACCTTGTACGATTTGGCTCCGTGAGAGTGATGGGTTGTTTTTAGCTTTGGTGTTGTAGCGTGGAATTGCGCAATTGCCTTGGTCGAATACAATCCAGGCACGGCAAGCTGGGGCAACAGAATACGGCGAGTGAAGCTCCTTGCCGTGAGCAGGCATGGCTCGATTGACCCACGAAGCACCATCATGATGTCGAGTCAGCGAGACTCTAGGCAGCAGATCTTTCCAAGCACGCCAGGGTACGAGGTTGCATTTGCACCTTTGCGGGTCAACGCACAGATCGGCTACATCTTGCCGGTGGTGGGTTGCTTTGGAGCCATTTTCGGTAAATGTTCGAGGACCAGAATTTGAAATTCCTCTGCTGTGCCCATTTCCCCGCTCGCCAGACGTGTGTGAGAGCAGGGAACCACCAGGTAGTTGTAGGTGCTCTAGGACTGCTCCAAACCCGGTCAGCTGTGCGGAGAAGAGCCAAAGATAAGGTCCCTTGCGCCGACGCATGGCACGCCCCCCGGGCGAGGTTGAAAGATGGTTGTTCACGGTTGTCGCGGAACTGGAGTCCCGGTGGATCGCCCAAGCGCCGCCAGGCGTGCGCACCCGTATTTCCGCGCTTCTGCTTCGCGCCGATTTGGCTGGGCATGGCCGAGCTGAACCACTGATCTTTGTTGCCGCCCTGGTGGCTTGCGGGCTCCTCACCTGAAAAATACAGCCTAGGCTTTGCGAGGTGCATGGACCAAGGTGTTTCCGGCCCTCCACTTCAGCCGCTATTGAAGAGGCTTCTCCAGCATCGGCGAAATGTGTCAAGCTCAGCTGCTCCGTAATGTCGCAACCCCTCAAGCGGATGGTCTCCTGTGCTCCATTGACACCAGAGTCCTGACTCTTGGTCACAAACATCGGCGAACGGCGGCAGTAATAGTGGAGCTGGCAAGCTGGTCACAGCGCCACTGGAACGCCGATCTTATCGTTCGTACGAACAGGTCAGCAAACCCTGGTTCTTTTTAACATGCGTTGTGCAGCGTTGGGGGCGCCAGAAGGCCTGCCAGTCTCCTTGCATGAAGAAACTAGGTAAAGCTGAAACAAGTTGTGTGCTAAGTGTGTCGTTGCGAAGCCACACACAAAATGACCATGCAAATCTTAAGACTTGGGATCTTTTCCTGCTGGGGAGCCCCACGATGGTTCATATTGGGTAAGTCGAGGAAATGTCCGTGGGCTCAGATTTGTACTTCTCCTCGCGTTTTATTGAGAGGCATGAAATCCCGGCTTCTGCTATGATCGTGCCGTTAGCCCGCAGACAAGCAAAAGCTAAAAGCTGGAAGAATACTCCGCGCGGGCTGCATTCAGTGATATTTCGAGCGAGACTGATTAGAAGACCTTCCCTGTAGCTTTTATCCTCTATGGCGTAATACAACCAGTGACTTTGCCTTTTTTTTTTCCTTTCTTCCAACGGCACGTTACTGAGGCGGCCTGCGTACGCCACAAAGAGAGAGTTTGCGTCAGTGGAGGAACAAAGGACGCCGTAGCTCGTTAGCTTTGCAGATGGCAGTACAGTACTTTCTCGTGGGGAACACACGCGTCAGGCAGGAGTGAAAAAGGAGAGGAGTGTCACTGCTGGAGGCGCTCATTTCCTGGCTGTTGGCCTGGCGGGATCTGGGATCTGGACCTCTTTTTCGTGCACCCCGGCCCCCTTCAGGCAACTCTCTGTCGGATGGATACACCACCACTAGAGCCGTGGAGAGAGGAGGAGGAGGAGGGACCCTGGTAACAATGGACGAGACAACACGAGGTCCGATGCGTCGAGAGGAAGTTGACAGGGAAGGCAGAGCCACCAGCACGAGTCGCAGAGACCAAGAAGTCAAAGCCGATCGCTAGCGCCAAGGCCGACGGGCCACTCAGACGTCGTGCCTTCGCCTTTTTCTCCCGTCACACTTGCGCCCATCGCAGCCATCGCATCCAATTCGACCTACTTTGCCCTTCAACACCTGCATCCATCTTGCTCCTCCTGCGTCGTAGCTTGCATTAACCACATCCGAGCCTTTCCCATAACTGACCCTCCTTTACCCTCCCCGTCGCCCGTGTCCGCTCACCGAGCCCGGACCTGTCCCTCTGCCATTAGGCCCCAGAACGCTGCCTTGCCGGCTTACTCGATCGACTGCCATCCTGCTTCTTGGTTGTCCCCATTGGGCACCTTTCCGAACGGACCCTGTCTTGACGCCTCTGACACAAGCCAATTGGGCCCATTGTGTCCGTCTTCTGGTTGGTCCAACACCCCCTGCACCGCAATGGGGAACGAGAAGGAGGAGGAGGGAGGAGTTGAGTGCCACCCACAGTCGTCCCGGACAGTGGTTGCCACCAGTTGGGCGAGAAAGAGTCCTTGTGGAATTCATACTTTGAGGGGAGACGGAGCGCATGAGAGAGAATCGCAGCATGGTGAACGAAGTGCTGACTGAAATGGTGGTGACGGCGCAGGTTTCCAATCCCAGCATTACCTCGCAAAACAAGGCAACAATCCAACAAAACAGCCCCCTTCTCCTCGCCCATACCATCGCCCAATTACGTCCACCTCCTGGGCACAGCGTCAAGCACGGCAACAGTCACAGACTCCACTCCCAGGTTGTCCTCGTTCGCCCCGCCGCTCCCGACTGGGCTTTCGCTGCCTTGACCCAAGTTTGTTCTGTCAAGAGAAAATTTTATCCGGCCAGACGAGCAACCTCGAACACGTATCGCAGAGAATCGGTCTAAGGGCGCGCCGCTTGAGGCTCTGTCAGATTTGCTCTGCATTGTGTTGCGTCGTGTCAAAGGAATCCTGTCTCTTGCCCCCCCTCCGTCTCCGACGATTTCGAGGCCCTGAGAAGCCGCTCCACCCAGGACGAATTGAGCTGCCCGCGTTTTGCGTACAGCTCCAGACAGCCCTTGTACTACTCGGGAAACCTTGTTAGCTGGTCTCTCTACCCCCCTCCCTTCCTGCATTTTCGTGCATGCGATCCTGATCTCGTAGAAGTCAACAGTCAAAACCCGCCGCACGAGCTCTCGGCAATCGATTATCATGGGTCTGTCTCTCCCTTCCTTTCTCTTTTTCCTTCTCGTTTTCGGTGGCCCAAGCTAGCCATTCTGGCACTGGCCCTTCCCGATCATCACCCTGTCCTGCCCTACATGTGCCTGTCCCATCTACATTGCATCAAACTCTGTCTCTGCCCAACCTCATCTTCACCGTCTCTTTTCTTTTTCTTCTTCCCCCCGTCCCCGAGCGTCTGTTGGCTAACGTGGTGAATCTCTAGTAAGTGAAACGATTTCCTTGTCCCCGCGCACAGATCGAGGGTTGCGACGACCGAGATTGGGTGTGAAGTTGTTTCCGGCTTCACCACGACCATTCCCAATCGGCCTGGGTCCACTTCTGCCTTATGTCCTTCGTGGCGGGCACCCGAATCAAACGGAACAGATTCACTGTCTCTTCTGTTTGACCCAACAATAGCGTGACTCGACCATTCACTTGCACGTGTGACTCGGCCTAGAACTCACCTGCGCGACACTTTAAATTCGAGCCCTCTCCGCTCCCACACTATGACCACCATTGTTCACCAATATTCTGACCGTTTTCAGAGGGACCGATCAGATCGATCTCGTTCACCCCGCCGCCGATCGCGCAGTCCACGACGCAGCCGCCGTTCCTACTCTCCCCGAAGCCGCTCTCGCAGCCGAGGCGACGACTACCGCCGAAGTGAGCGCCGGTCAAGAAGTCCCATGAGTGGTGCACCCAACCCAACTGGAGGATACTCTGGAGGGTCAGGCTACGCCGGCGGAGGTCGACCACCACCTAGAACGTTCGAAGATCGTGCCGCGGCAAAAGAACAAATGATGCAGTCAGTGCGCGAGTCTTCTCAACAAGACCGCCGTGTCTATGTGGGCAATTTGGCTTACGACGTCAAATGGCACCATCTCAAGGATTTCATGAGACAAGGTCGGTTTTCAGGGGTTTCCCGTCACATCTCGCAACTCTTGACTGATGCCGAAATTTAGCTGGAGAAGTTCTCTTTGCTGATGTCTTGACTCTTCCGAATGGAATGTCGAAGGTGGGCGCCATTGTGTGATGCGGCTGGTTCTACTGGTCTTCCTTTTTGGTTATTTTTGTTGGACGTTGGATTGACGGGTTGGACCTGGTCCACGGGTTAATGTAGGGATGCGGGTAAGTGCAAACTTTGCCAGATCTGCAAATGTTGGGCCCGTTTTCTGACTCAAACTAGGATTGTGGAATACGCAACTAGGGAACAAGCCCAACAGGCTATCCAAACACTCAGCAACCAGAGCCTTATGGGCCGTCTCGTCTACGTCCGAGAGGTGCGCGACCCTTTTGTCCACGCCAAAGGCTCAACTTTTTCAACGTTACTGACCGCCTCATTTCGCAATTAGGATCGCGAAACAGAACCCCGATTTACTGGCCCATCGGCCCGCGGCGGCTTTGACACTGGTCGAGGTGGTTTCGGCTATGGTGGTGGCCCTTACGGTGGCGGTATGGGTGCCGGTGGTGGTGGTGGTGGTGGTGGCGGAGGCGGCAGCGGCGGCCGACAGCTCTACATTTCCAATGTCTGTTTCTCTTCCCCGTTGCATTTGCTCATTGAACTATCTGTTGACATGGACTCCTTAGCTCCCATTCAATGTTGGCTGGCAAGATCTAAAAGATCTCTTCCGCCAGGCTGGTAAGTGGTTCCTCTTCAACGTCGAACTGACGATAAATCTTACGTATTGCAGCTCAGGAAGGAACGGTTATTCGAGCCGATGTGCACGTGGATCCAAGTGGTCGTCCCAAAGGAACTGGAATCGTCGCCTTCGAATCTCCTAACGACGCTCGTAACGCCATTCAGCAATTCAACGGATATGACTGGCACGGCCGCGCCCTTGAGGTCCGAGAGGATCGCTACGCAGGCAGCGGCGGGCCTGGCATGGGATACGGTGGACGAGGAGGATTCGGCGGAGGATTCGGCATGCGTGGTGGATACGGCGGCGGCAGGGGAGGCTTCGGAGGCCGTGGAGGCTACGGCGGTGGTGGTGGCTATTCTCGAGGCGGATTTGGCGGTGGATATGGAGGCGGCGGAGGCGGAGGCGGTGGTGGTGGTTATGCTGGTGGTGCAGCTCAAGAACCAGCAGCACCTAACCCCTTCACCGACTTCGCAACCTCTGGCGGCGAGAGAAGCCAGACGATCTACGTGCGAAACGTGAGTGACTCCCCGTTTTCAGCTGGAGAAACTGTCAAGCTGACCGCCATGCAGCTCCCTTGGTCTACGAGCAACGAAGACTTGGTCGAACTGTTCACCACTATTGGCAAAGTCGAACGCGCCGAGATCCAATATGAACCAAGTGGACGATCCCGAGGAAGTGGTGTGGTCGAGTTCGACAGCGCCGACAACGCCGAGACAGCCATCTGTGCGTTCAACCTCATTCTCTCACACACGGTGTATGCTAACGTTGGCAGCGAAATTCACCGGCTACATGTACGGCGGTCGCCCTCTTGGACTGAGTTACGTCAAATACACGAATGCCAACGGCAACGAGGCCATGGAAGGTCAAGAGGCCACGGGTGGCATGACCCAAGATCAAATGATGTGACCGGCTGGTTCACGACGACATGCATCAAATTCTTTTCTCTGACGAACAAGTGTCTATTCGACATGCGGATCGACGTCGCCCCGGACATCATATCATTCGAGGACCCGGGGTATTCTCCAGATTGTACTTCTAAACACACTGCTTGGACAACTCGGCACACGAGACACAACTACGGCAACTTTGGGCTTTTCCATAAGGCCCTACCACGCCGACATTTTCCTTTTCTGTCTTTGCTTCAATCAAAAAAGTTGTGATTTTCATTTTGCAGTTCAGGGTCATCTAGGAGGCCAGGGAAGAGGTTGAACGGGAAGCTGAGGCTCAAAGGTGCCTCGTGGGAAATGAAGAGAATTTCAGATTGGGACCATTATTCTCCTTTTCCACTGAAGGACATGGCAGCATGGACAGGGCTAGATAGGTGAAAACTCATGAGGGTTAGGGGGGCTGGAGCACGAGAACCCTGGGCAGGAAGATTTGGGTCACAAAACAACCAAACAATGCAATGCGTACGGATAGCTGGGACAACAGGCTGTATCTGGTGTGGGTTGTAGAGATCCATTGAAGGTATGGTGGCGATGGTTACGGTTCTCTTCGGCCGCCCTTGCGACTTGGGGGGGAGGACCGTGGCCGAGAGGCAAAGACGACCTCGAGTGCAGAATGCCCCCAGTGCGACTCGATCAATCACGGTGGCATCCATCTATTCCCTTGGGGCAGGGGGTGTTGAATGTCCGTGTGAGCATGTGTCAGGTGGACGGATCCCTGTGGCCAGCTACCCTCTTCCCTGTCGCATCGCCTAGAATTGCACATGGAGGAGGCGGGCTAGCCACTCCGTTCTCGCCACTGCCTGACGCCCGATTTCTCTGGTAAGTCGAGCAAAGGGTTGCACTCTGCCTGAGGGATCAACGCGGTCGACAGGACGGTAAGATGCCAGGTTGAAGCAGCAGACTAGGTCTATGGAGTATATCACCTCTCTATGGCTCTGCTATCCACTTTCACCAGAGACGAGGAGGTGTTCTTCCTCTTCCTGAGGACAACAAATCTGGTCAATTTGAAACCAGGTCCAGATGACCAGCCAGGTGAGCAACTCCTCACCCACTCGATATATTTTCTTTTCCTTTCCACTGGCTGTGGCAGCTGTTGGGTGGCCCTGTAGTAACTACTGACATTCTTCGCTTCTCCTCTCACGGGGCGAGAAAAGTAGATTCTTACTCTTTTGCACTTCTCTCCAGAGTTCCACAGGGGCATTTCTCCCTTTGCGTGGAGATGCGTTGTCATTGTTCGAGCTCATTACTGCTAAAACAACAGACCTAGACCAGGCACCATCAATACTATTGGGTAAAGGGGGAGGTATGCATGAATTTTGCACTAAAATCTATTTCTTCGCTCCAGTTGAGATCTGGTAAGCTGCATGAAAGGTGGATGGGGTGCTGTGATGCACTCATCCCTTTCGTGGCCACCAGCCTAATGGAGCCCCAGAGAGAGATACAATACGGTGTGCGTCTTTGGGAGAAGGTAATAGTGTGTGTGTGTGTGTGTGTGTGTGTGTGTGTGTGTGTGTGTGTGTGTGTGTGTGTGTGTGTGTATGTGTTTGCGACCCTTTCCCAGAATCAAACACACCATCTCGACTCCCCAAATCCACCCCCGTTTCCCCAGCCGCTGCATATCGCGATTTGCTCAAGCAATGAATCAGTCGGCCAGGTGAGTCAATCTGGCTCAGAACCCTGGCCATTTCCTTGGGTTTAGGATTAACACTAACCATACCCCGGCTCAATAGAAAGAGAAGGAGGAGGGGGGAGAAGACGGAGAGAGAGCCTTAGCATCAAAGAGAAGACACGCCCACCCACCTCCCCCATCTGCCCTCTCTCTTTCGTAAATGCAAGACGCCGTTCATAGGAAAGAGGGAGGGGCGCAAAGTGGGACGTCCATTCAAGCCTGATCCAAATGTCTCTCTGCCTTACTTTCGGCCAATCTAAATGGAATTGACCCGGAGAGGGAGAGAGAAGAAATGACATGGGCTTTGACTTGATCGAGGTTTGTGTGTTGGGGAATCAACGTAGGAGAGTTGTCACTCGTTGATACTGATTGACTTTGCCCTCATTACCCTCTCTCCCTCCCTCCGTTCATTCCAATCCCCTCCCCTTCCGGCCCCTCCCTATTATCCCCCCCAGGTCCACAGACCAAAAGAACCGTTGCTATTCGGAAACAGGGACACACATACCCATCCACATACACCAAAAAAGCAAAAGCAAAAGCAAAACAAGTAACGAGCTCACACCTCTTCGTAATGGCTGAGGGGGAAAGGGGGGCGCATCTTGGACGGCGGATTTTGAGTTCCTAATCTATCCCCTGTGGGTTAGGTCGGGCTCTGCCTCTGCGTCCTGACGAAACGTTACACGATGATCGCGGGTTTAGGTGTCACGATCTACGATCTCCAATCTGGCGGTGTCCCCTTGAATCGAAGAGCTCTCGTTTGTGGGTATTCGTTCCGATCACCGTTTCTTGACTCTATTTTTTTTTCGGTTTGAGTTTGGAAAGGGAGAGGAGGATGGATGGATGGATGGATGGGGGGAAAACAAGAAAAAAAGAGAGTTTAATGGTATCATGGGAGAAATGAATACTGTCCAGGATTCGGCGAAATAGTGATGCCAAAAAAAGGGAGAAATTAGGGGAAAGGGAACCAGGGCCAGACAGAGGGTGATGGATTGGTCCACGGGCTCAATGTTGGGAAGTCGATGATGATAGAAATTATGGGCCTGGTCATCCTCGAGTAGTTTACGAAGCTGTTGCTTAGTCTTTGGGAGAATCCAAACTCTTAAACGGCCGGGTGTCTGTTGTGGCCGTTGGACATCGATAGGAGGCTTGCCTGACTGAGGGAGCCTGGCTGCGTAGACTTCTGGAACGAGGAAAAGGCATGGTCCCAGCATTCTTGGGGGCACACACCAGCCTCTAGACCACCTATTTCCTCTGGATCACCCGACAGAAGGGGTCGAGGCGTTGGTGGCTTTGGGCTGACCTCCAAAATTTGTTGATACCTACTTTCGACTTCTGCGTCTTGTCTTGCTCCGAGATAGCTAGGCAATCTCTATCTCAGTCTGAACAGGAATACATTAGTCGGGCGTCACATGTGCAGCAACAGAGAAAAGCACAGTCAGCGAGATTTCGCGCTTGGACAGCTAGGAATTTGGTGGCTTAATCATTATGGTTGGACAGTGAGCTGCTGAAGTCTTCAGCTAGCCACCGAGCACCGGTCTGCCGTATTGTAGCTTGGGCACCAATCCGTGATGCAGGTGGGCAAGGAGCAAAAATATGCTTCCGATCTGTACCCTGGAACCGCTGCGAGTCGCTGCAACTCGACTCAGTTGAGACCGTATTTCGCGAAAACGACGGGTTCCTTGTCGAGCAAAGACCATGGAGGCGTATTGAAGGCCCGTCCTTCCCGGGTAAAAGCTCCTGCAGGGCGAGAACATCCACAAAGCATCAATGAGCCCACCATAAGCCCAGGAGGGGCTCATCATGCCCTCCAGCAGACTTTCCCTCTCAACGAATCAACTTGGAGCTCCGGATTGACATGAGTTGAGTCGGGCGCGGACCGAACAGGAATGTGACCAGGGTTTCCACTCACGCTACGGAGTCTCCATGCACGTCCATGCGGCCATGGTTGCATGAGGCGCATCGCCGATCAATAAGGAGCAGCAGACTGGGGACTTGGGAGGCTCGAACATGGTTTTGTGATTGTGCACCCTTGGCGACTGAGCCATCTGCAACCCATCAGGAAGTAGGGTCTGTCTGTCACTGCATGTGCTTGCCTTAGTGCCTCCATTAGGTGTCCCCCCCATCCCACATGCAGTTGTTGCACACTTGGTTGCCTCGTCACGGAACGAGGAATACCCCGTCCAGCAGCAGAGACCCGGCCGCGTCTCCGACCTCTGTAGCATCTGTAGCATTTAGACTCAGAGCAGGGACACTCGGAAGATTTGAGCACACGGGCAGGTTACTCACCTGGAGGTGGTGCCTGAGTTTGATAGCAGGAATGGCCTCGAAACGCCCGAAAGTCAGGGACCCATCCCCCGCGACTGGACCATAATTCCAATGCTTCTGCTAGAATGAGGGCGCGGGAAAGTCTTGAAAGGATATCCACCTCAATAATGGCTCCCCAACATTTCGTTCAGGAACCCTCATCTCCTAGTGGAAGCCACAGGCTCCCGGGGAACCTAAGGCCGAGCGCCATCCCTTTTCGTCCATCGAAATGCTGCTTTTGTGGCCGCTTCACCGCCTTTTCCTCGACCACAGATGAGGCACGTCAAGGACCGGGAACATTGCGCATTGCGCATTGCCATTATCACGGAGCCTAGTTCGAGGAAGATGCAACTTCCTGAATCCTGCAACAAGCACGGTGTGCGCGGCTCGAGCGAGCTATGGGTGGTGGCGTCCCCCATGGCATGGGTCGCCGAAGAGGCCCTGATAGGGCTGAGAGGTGGATTTGAAGATCAGTCTTCTCGGAGTGGCTGACGGCGATGTGTCCTGCTCGTGGGCCTCAGGAAAGTCGGCGAATTGCATCTCAAATCCTGATCCCAATATTGTTCAACGCCTCCTCTTCCAAGTTAAACAGAATGTTCGGCAGACGGCTTCGGCACCGAGATGTAGAGGGACCATCCGACCCGGGAGCGTTGAGGATTCGTGAGTAGGAAGAGATCATGCTCTGAGGGAAAGGCCCAATGGCTCTGATGATCGCCTGGTGGCCAGTTCTAGCCCCCACGACATGTGGCCGAGTCGGAGCGAGCGAGCTAGCCCACGTCCCGGAAATGGCCGGTCTTGTCCAGCCTGACGGATGCAAAGTCAAATTCAACAGAGAGAAGCTGCTGAGGATGCTTCTGGTGTTGGGATCTACCCGATTCCGCTGTGAGCGATATGGATATGGCTCAGCATTTCCTGATCTGAAGCGTGAGCAATGCTCACAGCCTTAGCAGAGGCAGCAGGCAGGCGCAAGGCCGCCGTTTCACAGGTCTTTGATGGCCTACTGTGAAGTCGTCACAGTCGTCTTGCCTCTCTATTCACTGGTTGGAAAAATGAGAGCTGAATTGACTGGTCGCACAATAGGTGAGCTCTCTTTCAGGGGTTTCGTTGTCTGATGCTGAGAGAGCAGTCTTTAGGTCCTCGATTGACTCTAGCTTAAGAGAACTCGTCTCATACCTACCAAGGTATCTGTTTCGACATCTCTTCAAGCATCTCAATACTTATGACTCAAGGGACTCATCAAGCTTTGGTTGCCTATGTATCATTTCGAGATCCTGTGCTGGGCCGTCTATTCGAGATATTACCGATGTCGACCCTATGGCTGCTAGAGAGCCTCTATTGAGCTGCTCCTGGCCTTCTATATTCTTCCATTCTGATGCACAAGCTGATCTGGCAGGCGCTGCGTTCACCCAGTCTGCAATCACGGCCCTGTCCACACTCGTATACCGGCTCACCATGCTGGCTTCCCAACTTATTAAAACAACAACCACATTCCTGGAAGACGTACGGGGGAAGCCTCTTGATTAGACTTCTACTTCACCATCAAGAAAGCTAGCACAATCTCAAAGGTCTGGAAACACGATGCTCGGCCTCTGCTCGTCGTGGTGCAGGAGCCTCAAGGGGTTTGAATGCTCCTAGTATGTGCGAAAGTGACAAAGCTGTCCGAAAACGGGCCTATAACGTTTGGTAACGGACTCGGAAGTCAAATTGACCGAATTCTATACCCGAAAAATCCGACCGAACGATGCCGCCCTTGCAGGTCTCTCCCTGGGATCCATAGTACGGAGGGTCGGAGCGAGCTTTGCGATGACTGACTTGCTAGAAACGAGATACCAGGTGTTGGGCATTTTGTTCGACCGAGTCCGCCGTATACTAGGCCAAAGACGGTCATGACTCGCCTTAATTAATTATTATTACATCTTTGCAATACGAATGGAAGTTAGTGCGTTTCCACCCGCTGGCCACCTATTGGCACATTTCACTCCTAGACTTTGCCTATTGGCGGTTCTATGCTGCTTCGAGTGATGCTAATCTCTTGCGACAACGACCGCTAGTGCAGGCAATCACTATTTCATGTTGATGCTGAAGCATTTATAGGAGAGTGATTCTACCTTCTCGCACGCTGCTGCTCCATCTTCACTCCATTTTCCTTTCACCATGGTCAACTTAGACGTCGTCCGCGCGTCGAACACTTCCCTGGTTCAGAGCCAGCCTTTGGTGGCTGTGTTCTTTGGTGGCACAGGCGGTATAGGACAATTCACACTTCGCGCTTTGGCCGCGGCCGAGGCAAAGGGAGGTAAAGGGTTGCGGGCATACGTTGTGGGGAGAAATGCCAAAGCCGCTGAAGGCATCCTCGCCGACTGTCGTGGCGCCTGCCCGCAGGGTCAGTTCAAGTTCCTCAAGGCCGACGACCTCTCGTTGATCAGCGACGTCGACCGCCTTTGCGCAGAGATCGTTCAGTTGGAGGAAAAGGAGAGCCAAGATCCGAGGATTGACTACCTGATGGTATCTCAAGGCGGGATGCCCTTTCTTCCGCGGAAAGGTGTGTCTGCAATTGCTCGAGGGTATGAGCTGCGGCGCTTCTGCTGACGACGCCACAGATACGAAAGAGGGGATCGATGTGACGATGTCGCTCATGTACTACTCTCGCATGAGGATTATTACCAAGTTGCTCCCCCTGCTTCTCAGTTCCCAGCTTCCCGCGACCGTCGTCTCGGTCTACGCGGCAGGCATGGAAGGCAAGTTGTATCCGGACGACCTGTCCCTTCGCGATTTGAGCCGATACAGCTATTCGTTGGCCCGATCCCACATGTGTTACATGCACGCCCTCTTCATGGAGACCTTGGCCCAACGACACCCGAGAAAGCTCGCTCTGATCCACATTTTCCCGGGCCTCGTTATAGGACCAGGCTACCACAGCACGGAGTTGCCGCTCTGGTTCAGAATAATCGTCCACTGGTTCGTCTTGCCGTTCTTCGGGCGGTTCCTGACCGTGCCAACGGGTGAGTGTGGGGAGAGAATGCTGTCCCTTGCGTCGTCGGATCGATATCCTCCACGACCGGTGGATGGCTCCCAGAGAAGGGAGGGCGCCGTCACAGGAACAGACGGGGCGCCTGGAAGCGGAGTTTACTCCCTCACCTGGAATGGCGAGAGCAAGATCAACGCGAAAGCATACCAGAAGTTCAACAGGGAGGAAATGAGAAAAAAGGTCTGGGATCATACCATGAAGTGTTTCGAGGTCGTTGAAGCAGGCAAGGTCTTTACGGAGTGAGGAGTGGAAACGGCATCTCATCGTGCAACGAGCTATATTGAACGTCGACGGACGTCGGTGTGTGTGTATATGGTGTAGAGAAATGGGGACGTTTAATTGTGATGATTACAACAAAACCCGAGATTCTAGCCACGACCGGCTTGCAATAACGTCAAAAAACTCCGCGCTGTGTCCGAATATCCTCAACCCAGGGCACCGACGGCCGGGACCGCCGCGGGTGCATGAGCGTGCCCGTTCTGAGTCGGTGTCAGCTCGCAATAGACCTTGGTGGCCCGTTGCTTGGCCTCCCCGAAGGGCCTGATCTTCGTCTTGACGCCGTCGACCTCGACCTCCTCCTCGTACTCCTGGGTGTAGAACTCGCAGATGACGGTGCTCTTGAACGGCGGCGGGGGCTGGGACCAGACTTTGTGGACGGCGTCGGCGAGACATTCGATCTGGATGGCGCGGAAGCCCTGCTCGGCGGCGTAGCGCATCAGGAACTGCGCCAGGCCCTTCATGACGCCCTTGCCCTCGGCGTCGTGGCGGGTGCTCGTGGCGTTGCGCATCAGCACCTGGCGCTCCCCCGTGGGCTTCCAGCTGGCCTCGTCGCGCGGGTCCGACGCCCCCAGCACGTGGTAGATGGTCCCGAACAGCGGGAGGCACTCGACCAGCGGGCCGATCTTCTCCATGTCCAGCTCGTGGAACCCGTCGTAGGCCAAGGCCACGCTGACCAGCGGGAAGTCCATCTGCTCCAGGAGCTGGTCCTTGTCGAGCGTGGTGTCCTCCAGGTCCCAGTACAGCTTCCCGTCCGGCTTCGACTCCGCGCGCTTGAACTGGTACTCCAGGTCGAAGACGCCGAAACTGTGGCCCGACCCGATCTGGTGCCGGACCAGGTAGTCCGCGGCGTGGGAGGCCCGATACATCCGCGCCGTCTTCGCTTCCGGGTAGCACACCGGCCACACGGGGGAGTAGAATATGTTCGAGTGCAGCACGATTGCCTTGGCCCAGGCGATATGCTCCTCTGTCAACCGCCGGATCTCATAGCGAGGCGGGAGGTTCGTTGGGTTGGTCGCGGTGGCGGCGGAGAGTTTGGTCATCGTGAAGACGCGACGTCGTTTTGGTCCTGGGAAGAAACAGGGGCAACCTTTGAGAGACGCTGGTCTTGACGGGTAGAAGAGAAAGGCGACCCAGGGAGGCCAATATCACGCGACATATATAGTTTTGTTTTCCCCCTAGCAGTGAGCTGGAATCAGCTTACCTCGACCCAGGACGGTGACTTCGACTTCGAATGGCCATCGGTCGCTCGAGCCCCGACTGAATGCAACGCAGCCTGATGTAGGGGTACCGCATCTCGAGCTGTTTTGCATATTATGGGCTCAATCTGACAGGGCCGTGGCCGACCTTGGCCGTCTATTGGACGTAGGGTGACATTCCAGGCAGCTGTATATCTCCCCAAGATGGAGACCATGTCAGCATAATATGCTTGGGAGTCTTTGTCATCTCCCTTTAGGCTTCCCACCCTCGACGCGGGGGGAAAAGGTTCCAAAAGGAGGAAGGACATTGAAGTCGCCTCATTCGATAAGGTGCCCGCCCCCATATCTACCGCCGAGGGTGAGCAGATGGGTTGTGCGAAAGATCTCTAACCCATTCGTCGTCGGGTCTATCAGTCATGCCACAGCGTAGTCCAGCCGATGGCCCCCTCCATGGCGCGGCCGGGTGAAAGAATCAAAGAAAGCCATAGCCTGATTGCCACGCTCCAAGGAGGTCAAGCGTGGTCAGAAACCGATCCAGCGCATTCTCACTCGCATCTGCAGGAACGCCACGCATCCCAAATTTAGGCGTTCTAGGCGTCGTGGCGTCTCCCAAGGACGTTAGCCTCGCGGGTTACGGTGAAGCATATTCTTCCTCGCCTTTTGTACCAGTATACTGACGCAAACTGGTAAACTGGTGACGGGCTAATAACTGTTCCCGTCTCGCCGTCTGCCCAAAAAAGTCAATTTGCCTCTGTTGCTAGTTGGTCTGACACAAAACGGCGGAGGGCTTTCTGTGCCGGCCAGAAACGTCGAGAGCACACGTTGCCACATCTCTATACCTGGGGAGTTGCTGAGGTTGCCTAAGGCCAGCATACCTTGAGTAAGCAAGCACATTGGTCTGGGGATGAATTGAATGAGTGATTCAGTCATCTGATCAAATTAATCGTATTCGCAATGGTCAAAGGCCAGGTCCATCATCGAGAACAAGCTGGGCCCGACGCCCACGCGCAGTCTTCTTCACTGCGCGAGTCCCATCAACCCCCTAGAGATGCAACCTTCGAGGGCGTGCAGCTCTTTGCTCAATCACATCGACTCACACGACACGTCGACGTCTTACATAAAGCCGCGGTCATACTCCAAGGTCAACCTCCCCTGGACCACCTCGGGCTCTCCACATTGGAACAACAAGCTTTGCAGGATGAGACGGAGCGAAAATGGCGCCAACCCAAGATGCTCTATTTCACCATCCTCGTGTGTTCGGTCGGGGCGATAGAACAAGGCTGGGCACAGACGGGCATGAACGGCGCCAACCTGTACTTCCCAAAGGCCTTCGGCATCGGGTCGAATAGCAAACATGATACGTTCATTGTCGGCCTGATCAACAGCGGCATCTATCTCAGCACGGGGCTCCTGTAAGTGTTTCTCTGCCCTGCTCGTCTCCCATTGGCTCACCGGGCTCTGATTTGTATAGAGGTGCCTGGCTTTCGGACCCTGTCAACAATTTGCTCGGTCGGCGTGGTGCTGTCTTCTTCGGGGCCGCCCTCTGCCTCGTTGCCAACCTTGGGTCCTCTCTAAGCAAGACCTGGCCGCAGTTATTGGGTTTCCGCTTCATCCTCGGTACTGGATTGGGTATCAATGCCAGTACCGTGTCGGTGTACGCGGCTGAGTGCGCTCCTGCTGTGAGTATGCCCCCCAGTCTCGAAGAGTAGATTGACCTTGGTGGCGTTTCGTCTTCACGGACCCTCTACCGTTGCCGATGCGGACTAACCGTTGCGTAGGTCATCCGTGGCGGTCTAGCGGTATCCTGGCAGATGTGGACAGCTTTTGGACTGTTCTTGGGGTTCATTGCTAACGCCGCAGCCTACAGCGTACGTCCAAAGGCGAGTTTTAATAACATGACGAGGCTGACTTTTTGGTCAGTATGGCGACGACGCCTGGAGACTCCAACTTGCGGCTCCTTTTATCCCAACCATACCTTTACTATTGATGTTGTACATGTGTCCCGAATCGCCGGCATGGTACGTGAAACATGGGGACCGCTACGATCTCGCATTTCAATCACTCTGCAGATTGCGGAATAGCGAGTTGCTGGCAGCGAAGGAACTCTATGCCTCGTACATACAAAGGACGGCGAGGTTGAAAATCGAAGACCAGAAAGACACTTCCTTCCTCCGGAAGGTTTTGGATCTTTTCATCGTGCCGCGCATCAGGCGGGCTACTACGGCTTCTTACGTTGTGATGCTATCTCAGCAGCTGTGCGGCATCAACATCATCGCCTTCTATTCATCGACCATCTTCTCGGACGCGGGGTTCTCTGACTTCGGTGCCTTGCTGGCATCCTGCGTGTTTGGGTTCATCAACTTTCTGGGGGCTTTCCCTGCCATATGGACCATGGACACACTTGGGAGGAGGTCGCTTCTCCTGCTGACGTTACCACCAATGGCGGTCACCATGCTGGCTGCCGGGCTGAGTTTCAACATCCCAGCCCACAATCCTCTGCGCTTCGGACTGCTTGCGACCTTGATATATGTCTTCTGTGCCTTGTACTCGCCGGGGATGGGGCCGGTTCCGAACAGCTATTCAGCAGAAGTGTTCCCCTTGTCGCATCGAGAGATCGGCATGAGTTTTGCGGTGGCCACGGCGAACTTTTGGGCGGCTATCCTGTCCTTGACGTTCCCGCGAATCCTCACCGCCCTCCAGTCTCAGGGAGCCTTTGCGTTGTACGCAGGACTGAATGTGGTGGCGGTGGTGCTAGTCTTCCTCTTTCTACCTGAGACCCGCCTGAAGACACTGGACGAGCTGGACGATGTCTTCTCTGTGCCTACGAGGACATTTGTGAAGTATCAGACGACCGAGTTCTTACCTTGGCTTGTGAGACGGTATGTGATGCGAGAGAAGGAAGCCGATCTCTCACCACTGGCCGTTGACGGAGGGTATCATGAGCTCGAACAAGACGAAGATGAGCCAGAGACTTAGTACAGGCCTCGACAAAGAAAAATAGGGTATACATTTACATGAGGTCCTGGTGAGGTGTTGGTGAGCGAAACAATAGGTTCGCACCCTCCTGGCTTCGACGCTTCGTACCGTCGCCGATAAGCAATGATCGGCCGTAGCTTCCCCACTGATAACGAGGAGGTGAGTCCCCTGCTTGTAAGTCACTCGGACCAGATTTTTTTTGGCGAGCTGCAACTTTCTTCTTTTGTCTCGACGTCGTCGGCCTCCTCCGACCGACCTGAGATTCAGCGGCGGCATATTTATTGCTCTCTTTGTCTTGCTGAGACTCGACAGTGCAACACCCTGTACCCGTTCCATACTTAGTGCTGCACAATGACCTCTCCGATCACCTGCCATGTCCTCAACACGCTGTCCGGGACTCCTGCGTCCGGGCTCAAAGCCACATTGACGCTGCTGTCGTCCAACAACGGCACGTCTGCCCAACCTGCTGTAAGCTTCGCTGCGGTCACAAATGAAGATGGACGCGTAAAAGAGTGGGAGAAATCTGCCGGCAGGAGTGTGTCGGATGTTATGGAAGGGTACAGCCACGGAGAGCGAATCGCTTGGAGCATCAAGTTCGAGGTCGGTCCGTGGTATGAAGAGAAGGGCGTCGAGAGCTTTTGGCCCGAGGTCGAAGTCAAATTCTATGTGAAAAAGGGCGAGCGACATTACCATGTGCCCGTATTGGTCGGTCCATGGACCTATACAACCTACAGAGGATCTTGAGGTGCATCTCCGGACGCAGCATGCTCGTTCTGTTTGTTGCACCGCCAAATGGCCTCCACCTCGACCCCCGGTTTCTCACTTGACTCTCAGCAATCGCCAACGCTGCTGTGTACCCCTCGAGAATCGAACGCTCCGCATTAGGCCCTGCAAGCGCCAATGAACCTAGGGCGTTTGGCATTTCTGCGGCGCAAGAGCTTAAAACCTAGAGTTGCCACGAATCTCTAGTTCCACCGTACCCGCATATACATACAAGGATTCCCAAAAGGTTAACCGACCTGCAAGACTCTGACGAATCCGAATTCCATTGCTCCATGCTCGAAAAACCTGCAACCCGCAACTTCCCCAGTCCTCATCCAGAGCGCTGCTGCGCTCGTCTAGGCAATCAGCACGGCAGCGTTCCAGTGCGCGGCCTCGAGTCTCTGACTGGACCATTTTGTGGCCCTCGTGACAGACCAGCAGACCAGCTGCGGGCCCCTTTCAGCTTTCTTTAGAGAGTCGAGCATGTTGGTCGACAGAGAGGTCATGTGGCCATTTCTGATGAAAAAAAACTTTTTTGCAGCAAGACGCTTTCCCGCCCATTGTGACGAATGGTCACCGAGACCGCTTGTAATGGGATGCAGAAGCATGTGCGAGGTTGTGCCTCCGGCTTGCATTGATGGTGACAATTTCGTTGATGTCGCAGTCCTCGTCCTCCGTGCCGCTGCTGACCCTGTTGGACATTCGCATTGTCTGTTGCCTTTCATATTGTTCCGACTGGCGTTTGAGGTCTTCTATCTGCTCCTGTGACCGGCCGTGAGCTTCTTGCTTGCCATTCATGCTAGCAACCGAGCTTACCTTGGTCAACTCTGGACCATTGATGAGGAATCCCTCTCGGCCCTGTTTGAGATCAGCTGGTGGCCTGTCGTCCGCGGGAAAGAGACCCTCATACACGATATGAATATGGCCTCACGGTGGCAGAGGGCCCCAAGAAGTACTGCAGCTGTCGAAGCACAATATGCCGAGACAGGCCATAGCCTGATATCCAGTAATCCCGGGGCGGGCTCGTTGCTTGAGGCATTGCGGGTGTGAGAAAGGAGGTGTAGTAGTGCCAAGCAGGCACAAAACGTATATGGGCGATGGAAGAAAGCTGGCAAGAGGTAGGAGTTCGAAACCCAGGCCGACCTGACCTATGTGGATGGAGATTGTGAATTTGCTGCCATGGTAGAGACCAAAATACAGTCGATGGTGAGAGCCTCGACCGAGATATAAGGCTTCGGAGGAGAGGGGGTACAGGGGGCAAAGTCGCCGCGGCCAATAGCCTCTGTCTAGCGATATAGCCACGGAGATTGGTCCCCCCAGCATCTTCGTGCTTGGAGTCTGAATTGCAATCCAACTTGTCATGCACCCTTCGACTAATGGTTGCCCTGCCATGGATGAAGTCTTCGACGCCTGCCGGCAGTGAGCCAATCAGCGCCGGCGACGTCAGCCGCCAGCCAATCACAGCCGCCGCCTCCTCTTTCGCACCATGAAGCCCGTTCGCCTCACTTTGACCTCCTCTGCTGCTTCATCGACTCACCATCGCCCTCGCTCAACTCGCTCAACTCGCTCAACAAAGCCCATTCCTCCCTCCCCCTCCGAGATCACGCTACCCAGGCGCCCGCCCAACCTTATTCCGTGCCTGTTGAGGCTGCAGAAACACGCCAATTCCTGCACACGTGTCCCCGGGCACGCCTTCGGGGCTTCTCGTTTGGGGGGCCCAGTTGCCTGCCTGGGTGGCAAACAAAATAGCACAATATCCGATCGACAGCTCTCCTTCCTCTGATGTCCTTCTCTGTGGCCCGAGTGCCAGATAATATCCGCCATGTATCTTACACCCAGAAAGATCGGACAAAAAAGATCAGCAATGCACGGAATAACACCTGCACTTAGCAACCCGCGCGCGGGTGGGCGACCCTGAACCCATCAGCCCATCAGTCCACCAGCCCACGAGCCCTGAGCCTCGGCGTCGGCGGCGACCTTTTGGCACTGGCCCAGAGTTTCCACAGGCAATAGTCTCATTGCAACTTCTGCACCATGCAATGTGCTATGCGGGACTACCTATGCAAGCAAAGCTCTTTCTCACCGCTCAATTCTCTCGACCTCCAGGAGCAACAACCACCCACCGAATCCAGAGTCGATTCACCTTTGCACACGTGGAACTTGGTCCTGGCCCTGCTCCACCTTTCCCAGAATGTCTGAGACGTTGTGGCGGAGTTTCGTTCTCGTATCACCTTGTTTCCACAAATTGCCCTGACCGGTGCACGCCGGGCCCAATAGTCCTTCAGGCTTTTCAGAAAATGCGCCGTCACCACCGTTTCTCGAGCCTCTCACAGGCACCCGAAGCTATGCAAAATGCATCCTTTTAATCCAAGTGGATATTATTTCCTGCAGGCTTTCCTAACACCACTCAATCTATTGAATATTGGGGTCAGCCAAGCTTGATTGGTAGCATTTTTGACCCTTTGACCGTTGTCAGAGTGCCCCAAAGTATCTCCTTTCCGATGCTCCTTCTCGGTCAAACTGTCAGTTTTCATCTCAAAAGCACACCTGTCAAGGAATGGCAATGTCGAAACACTGGTCCAATGACCAAGAGAAAACAACACCAAACCTGTTCACGGGGCAACAAGTGCCCCGAATACGTCATTCTGGCGCGCCACCAACTTGCTCAATGCCCGAAACTCGGTACATGGGACCTTGGGCCCAAGTAATCGCGTCCCCTGTGCGGGGTGTCCAATCCTGTTTTCAGGACGCACTCCTTGAAGGAGCTGACCTCTTCCATGACCAAAGATCTGCCCGGGAAAGCCTAGACACCGATCCAATCAGAGACTGCAAGGCTCCCTTTTTGGCTGATCCTCACCAAATGGAGGACAAGCTTACTTCTAAGAACTTCTATCGTTGGACCAGATTCGGTTGGAGGAAAGAGACCTTGATATCGCACTTTATCGACCTAGTCAACTGCCGAATTGTCGCAGCGAACGTCGTAGAGCGGTTGATCTTATCTTCGAATTACCTCGCGCTTCGGCTGCCTGACAATCACTCCTCCATTCAAGGTCAACACCGCCCGCGCATCTTCCCCCAGCAGGAAATTCTCCAACCACATTTGACGATTATGGCGATCACTTCCGCAATTATACTCGAGGCCACGGTTCTGGAAATAGATGTGACAATCTACGTGACCTGCTGCATCACAGGGAGCGAATCTACCCGCTCTTAGCCGCACCTTGCATCTCCGGGGTATCCCATACGGACGAATTGCCGACGACATGCTACCATCCGGCCCAACGTCAGTTTCGTGGATGTCCAAGTTCTGCCCCCTTAAATATCAGCCTGACTAGTCCCTGTCACAATGCCTCACTCTCTCCTGATCGTCCCCTGATCGACCACTGTTGCATGAACTGTCTGGGGCAGTCTGTCAGCTACCCTAGAAGCCCTCTGCCCTCCAAAGTGACCTCGGCGCTTGTGAAGGGGGGTGGACTTTGAGTGGGCACGAATGCTTCATACGCACCATGCCCTCTAGCCGTCAAAGTCGTGCCCTCGTTCCAATGTCTGAGGGACGTGACAGATGAACTGACGGCAGAAACCCTTTCAACCTCAATTTCCCAGCTTATCGAGCCAACTGAGAGACCTTATCGGGTTCTGGCCAGTCTCTTCTCAGATTCCGCTGTTTGAGCAATCGGTACGTGTAAAGGCTTTTTGGTCGTTGCAGCTGCCATGGGAACTCACGACAACTGAACCTCGAGGTGATTGGTCTACTGTGTTTGAACCCAACCCGTCTCCGAACTACATGCTTGGGGAAGTCGATCTTTGCGTGTAGGTGTGCATGCGCTCGTCGGGACGAGTTAACCGCTGCGAGAGCAGGGGCGCCAGGCGCCAATCCCAATGGACTAACTAGAATCATCTTGGCCTCCATGTCCACAGTTCTTTGTCTGTCCGCCCTGCCCTCCGACACATTGCAGGATGTGGCACCATGTCAGAAGGATGGTATCACTAATTGATGGTGCAAGCGGAGCCAGGACCGAGCACAACCTTCTCTGGCACCATAACTGGGCTAACTTTGTGACTGCCAGCCTCACTCTGTCATTCGCCCGCAAATATCCTCTCCCTCAACCTCGCTCGGGTGGCCTTTCGACCAATCCGGAGGGGGGTTTTCTTTTGGCTCTCCAGCATCAAATCTGTCAAGGAATTCATCCATGCACAGGAATGCCTCACTTTGACGGTGGAGCATGTCAATACCCGCGTCAAGCCGTGCTCGGACTCCTGGGCTGAAACTAGATATCTAGGTTCACCAAAGCAAGGAACTAAGGCCAAAGAGAAGCTGAGCCTGGTACAGAAAGCGCGCTCACAGGGCAATCATTCACAAATGGCGCCCGGATCAGAATTCCGAGTTGAAACAGGGTAGCGGCAACATTGAACGTATGCTATCACTTGACAGGTATTTCGGAGAGCTTTCGTCCCCCTTGATCAAAAGCCTTCATCACACTCTTTCCAGGGAGTTGAATTGTCGATCCGTAATTTGCGCGTCTGCAAACGCTAGGCCACCTCTTGAGCTCCCGTCTTCGCTTCCCAGCCATGGTCCTCTAGACAAATTGGTTTCCGACGTATCCGAATGAGGTCGACTTGGAATTTGTCTACAGCATCGACACCGCTGTGATTTGCGTTGCGTTTTTCAGCTGGGGTCCATCTTCTCGACGGCAAAATCTCTGCCTACATCCCTGTGGAGACAATGCGAAGTGGTTGATTACGCTGGCAATGGGCTCTGAAGAGGGCCTTGAAAAGGGCTATGAGCTGAAGGACCAAGTCCCCAGCTCCGGCGTAGTCTGGATCTCTCATTGTTCTGACTGGCTAGTTGACCCAGACCGGTGCCCGCTCACGCACGCCTTGGGACGGACAGGCTCCGATGCTCTCTGTATACCCTGGTGATGCTCTTATTACAAGGCACACATGATGTCCTTACTCACGGCCTCACGATCAAACAGCAAGGTGGCCCAGGGCGACTTGCAAGAGCCTTTCGAAAGGACAAGAACAACCGACTTTGCAAGGTGCAAGCCCCCCAGACCTGGCCCTCCGGACCACGAATCCCCCCAGCGAATCGCCCTCCTGTCCTTCTTGCTCCTCTTCTGTTCTTGCCTCACGTCCTCGTCTCATCTGACCCCCACAAGCAAGCAGCCTCTACAGAGACCCGATACTTGAAGACGGCAGGGCAGATAGACGGGAATGGCAAAGGACAAACAGACGCACCACCAGTCATCAAGCAAGGAAGAAGGGGGTACCGCACCGGCCCCCGACTCCCGGTGGATGATGATACCAAGAACAGAAAATCGACATGATTATATGAGAAACGGACTCTGGACGGAGTAATACTCCTGGAAATGCTCAGATTGGAAAGCACTCCAATTGACTAAAAGAGGTGATTTCGGATATCCCTCAAGGGAAGAAAGAAATCCATGGACCTGGACGTGAGTAGAGGAGAGTCGAGCTGATGTTTTTCGTCTTTGTTTCCTTCTTCCCCCTTCTCCATTTTACGTCCGTCCATCCATCCTTCCGTGCATCCGCCCTCGATCGAGTCCATGGGAAAAGACAGTGCATGAGCTGAAGAAGTGCGCTCGCACGACCCGTGAAGTCGACGAGGTTATTATTATTTATTGCCTGGCGACCCCGTTCCTCCTCCTCCTCCTCCTCCTCTACCACCACCACCAACCAATGATTCATCCATCCGTCTCGCCCAATCCAACGTTTAGAACAAACAGCATGATCAAAAAAAGAAAAGAAAAAAAGAAAAAAGAGTGAATGAATGTCTGAATTCAGCGCCCGAGAGTTCCCTCCCCTTTTCGTTCCTGGCCCCCTGCCCGTGCGTGATTCCCACCTAACATTCCTAGTTTCTCTGCTTGCCGTGGTCCCTTCCTCGCCTCATCATCTCTACCCCCTTTCATAGCCGGAAAGGCATGTCAAGTAGCGGAGAGATCTGTGCGTGCCTGAGCCAGAAAGAGCCCAGTGGCAAAAGAAACAAGTCCCTCATCCCAGTGAGCATGGCACCCTCTAGGCGCCGACGCTCGTCCGAAAAAATCATTCAAGGAATGAATGTACACTGAAAAAGAATGACATGAAAGCAGCATCGCAAAGCATGACATGACCAAGTAAATACACTCGCTAAGCTTCCCAAAGCCGGCCCCCATTCCAGTTCCCAAGATTCCCTAGCCCTTTCCTGTATACATCGTCCCATTTCGTTCGTCAGTCAGCTAGAATACATTTACATGTGCATGATGTTGTTCAAAAGAAGGGCTCTGGCTGTGATGCCTGTTGCATTGTCGACGTCCTCGTTGCTTTCGGAAAACATTGATTCAGATGGAGAAGAAATCCTGCGTCGAAGGGTCCAGTCCCATCTCCATCCCGCCATAGTCGAGAAAGTTGTCGAAATCGTTCCTCTCATGCTGCTCCATCTTGATAGGCAGCTGCGGTGAATGCATGGTCGAGGTAGGATTGGTGGGCAGGTCCGAGAAATCAAAAGCCACAATGTCAGCGGCAGGTGATGAGCATGAGTGTGAAAGACTAGGCAGACTCTGTCCTGACGAGACATTCAGGGTCGCACCCAACATCGGCAATCCATTGTCCATGGTCGGAAGATCTGGCAGCATTTGTGATCCGTCACTATGTTGCAGCTCTGGAATCTCGCCTAGCTCTGCTGGTGTCAGCTCGCGGTAGACGGGACTAGGCTTGTTGCCTGTGGAATATCCTGGGCTGTGTGGTGGTGTGAAGGAGAACGTGTCAGGAGGAAAGCCAATCATCTGATCCATGTTCAGGAGATTATGCTGTGGCATACCAAAGAGCGTCATGCTTTCGAAAGGTGACGTTCCACGGATGCTCAGATTGTCCATGGTCTCCGTTGGTGGTGAGCCCCAGCTCGACATAGAGCAGCTCGATGCAGAAGATGTGTAAGGATCGTGGTGTTGCTCAGCCGTCCTCTGTCTGGTTCGATTGGCCTTCTCAAGGCGATCGTCCATTTCCGGTCGGTGCTTTCTGGGTCTGCCACGTTTCATCACCTTCTTGACAACACCATCAAAGGCACCAATACACATTCCTCTCTGCCGGTGGCGGGTCAATGCATCATGGCGCGCGAATGAGTTTCCACATAGACAAGGGTACGGCTTTGTACCGGTGTGGATTTTCGCATGGCGTTTCAGGTCATGGCCTCGAACAAAGCATTTCTTGCAATGGTCACATCGGAATTGACGATCACCGAGATGGGTTTGGATATGTGATTTGATGTTTTCTTTCCGACCGAATCTCTTGTTGCAGTCCTCATACTTGCACACCCATTTGTTGTCCACTGGATCGGGACCTTCGATGAACTGTGCAATATCATCCAGCGTGATGTTGGTTTCCTCGATCGATGCCTCAATACCGGGTTCCAGGTTGAGGTCTGAGATTGACATACGGCGAGGGGAAAGTGCCGGTCTGCCTGGAGATGCGCTGCCAGCTGGTGCCTTCTTGGTTGAAAGGACCGGCACTGCCACATCTTCGAGTTTGGGTACTTGAGTCTCGAGCTCATCCAGCTCTCCTGGGGTCGCTTCGACCTTGACCTTCGTCGGCTCAATTTGCTGAGCCACTGGCGGAGTTTGAGATCGTCTCCGAGGTTCGGGCACCGGCATTTCAGCCATCTCAAACAAACCTCTAGTCGGCGTGCCCATGGGCTGTGCTCTTGGTTCTTCGTGTTCGATGATTCCTTGCAGAGACTTGCCTCGTGTCATGGGTACTGGGTAGGGTGATTGAAGGGCTGGCGACGCTTGTAATGAACGTGAATATTGAACGGCTTGGTTATGTTGACTGAATGGAGGTGTGAGAGGGAGTTGTGCTGATCAGTCGTTAGATACGCTGTCGCCCTCTCTTGGTTATGGGAAGTACTTACCAGTCTGGATTTGATGTGAAGGTGTATGAGGTCGCAACTGGGTCTGAACCCGCAGATCTGGCTGCGACATTCTCCGATTGTCAAAGGAGATACCGACACTTTGTGGAAACTGAGGTGCTTGAGCCTCCTGGAAATATTGGAGGCTGTTCTCATCCATCAGTCCCATTGGACCAGCGTTCTGCACTGGCATATTCAGGTCGGTGAAGTATTGTTGGGAATGCGAAAATGTCATGCCTGGAGAGCTCTGTTGCATGATTGCATTCATTCTCATGTTGTCGTACGGCGACGGTGGGATTGAAGTGGTCACCGGGAACATACCACAATCTGGAGAGATGGGTAAGTCCATGTTCATGTTTGGTTGCTGCTGGCCCGGTCTTGCTATTCGTTGCTGCTGCGCTTCCCGCAAAATCTGTTGTCCGTGGATTGGTCCTAGGTTAGTCATACTTACCGTGCTGCCTTGCTGATGCTTCCGGATGGGGCTTCGTTGAAGATCGAAAGATTGACCCCGTCTGTGAAGATTGTGGCGTGGTTGTGGCGGCATTGTGGCAGAGACCTTCATGGCTTCGAAGGCTACAACGGGTGTTGAGTTCTGTCTCCGATGTAGCCTCTGTCGTTGCTGAAGAGATGAAGGTTGGTTGGACATCATCTTAGGCGAGATGAGTTCGAAAATGGTTGCTTGTCGAAGGGTTGTGTTGTTGTACTTGTTGTCCGGAAATGGATCCTTCAATGGTTCGAGACTGTACCAGTACCACCTTGTCAGCCTGGCATACCCTCGAAAGCCTCTGGTCCAAAGGTCCAACGTACCTCACGCAGCGCAAGGGGCTGCGGACCGGGCAGCGGTCTTGTGTTATACGGCTTTCACCAGTCGCAGACGACTGTGTGCAACTGTTCTATCTTCAGAGAAGGGGCCCTCTCAGGGCAGATGTAGTGGGATTGATCAGAACTGGGTCCTGAGAGGCTTCTCGATTGACTTGTTTGTAGGTCTTGACGGTTCTTGAAGATGGAGAGATCGGTCTAGAGGGGAAGTTTGAGAGGTTTGGAGGGTGAAGAGAAGGGTAAGAAGAGTGACTGAAAGTTGGAGGGGATGTGATGAGTATTGAATTGCTCTCGTCACTGTCGGCGATCTCAGTGGCCGTCACTCCGGAAGTGGCGGCTGCGTAAACAGCCTTGTCGACCAAGCAACCGATCGAGCAACCACGCCCCCGCCTCCACTATCATGTGACTCGCCCTACTTGCTCTAAGCGGCACACGCGGCCATTTAGCCGGCGAACTCTTGGCGTGCGCACTAACACCTCCAAGTCCTGAATCGAATTCAGTCTGCCCTTCACTTTTCAAAGCCTCGTTTCTCTTCTCAAGTTCGGGCCTTCTGAGCCACCATTTTGCATTCAGAGGATTGAGGAAGACAGATTGCTGTCGAGGTAAGGTTCTCTCTCATGCCTGGGTCCTTATTTTGGTCCCGCGCTTCCGCCGTTTGCGCGCCTCTCGCCCTTCCACCTCCCCCCGTCTCCCTCCACCACCTCTTCACCTCCAAGAAGCAACTGACAAGTCTCTTCAGATCTTCCCGCAATGCAAATTTTCGTGAAGACACTTACGGGGAAGACTATCACCCTCGAGGTGGAGTCTTCCGACACCATCGACAATGTCAAGTCCAAAATCCAAGGTATGTTTCGCAAGAACTGGCCCCAGCCGCATGAGCGCGCCCCGGCTTACGAAGTCTCCCATCAGACAAGGAAGGCATTCCCCCGGACCAGCAACGCCTGATCTTCGCCGGCAAGCAACTCGAAGACGGCCGCACTCTCTCCGACTACAACATCCAGAAGGAATCGACCCTCCACCTGGTCTTGCGTCTTCGCGGTGGTGCCAAGAAGCGCAAGAAGAAGGTCTACACCACTCCCAAGAAGATCAAGCACAAGCGCAAGAAGACCAAGTTGGCCGTGCTCAAGTACTACAAGGTCGACGGCGATGGGAAGATCGAGCGGTTGAGGCGCGAGTGTCCCACCAAGGAGTGCGGTGCCGGTGTTTTCATGGCTGCCATGCATAACCGACAATACTGCGGCCGTTGCCATCTCACCTACGTCTTTGACGAGTCCAAATAGATGGGGCAACATAGAGGGGATACGCCAGAAGCCATGGAATGAAGCGGGTGCAAATATCCTGGGTGCGGGTCAAAGCAGATAGCAGACAACTACTCAACCGCCTCTAGGAAGCAGATGGCAAATGAGAAGCACTACCATCATGACACTGCTTGCTATTCTTGCCCATACTGTCTCCCCCCAAATGACCACGGTCTTTAATTCTTTTGTATCGTGGGCAGATTTCTCAGCCGCCGTTTTCGGCCTGTAGGGCTGGCACTATAGTGGCGAACAGTCCGGGCCAATCACGTTACTCCCAGACACCGGGGGACCCACCAATCATTATCGATAGCCTGCTTGTTTACGTCCAAAACTTGTGAGGACCGTGGAGCGCTTCCCAAATGTCCGCAGTAGGCAGCGAACAGTCTTGAATTCTTCACCTTGGACTCAGATGGAAGATTGAAGGTGGTAATCATGGATCTCGACACAGCTGCGCATCCGAACCCGGTCGCGGATCGTCACCACCGCAAAGTCGAACTCCAGTCCCCCAATGACCTCACATACCTGCAATCCAACCTCGTCGCCTGCGCGCGTCAAAAACTCGATCTACACTTTCCCCCTTCGGCCGCGGTGCAGGACATTCTGCAGCCTGCGACAGTCATACAACTGGGCGGCACCCAGCCGACCACCAGCGGAACGGAGCAGGGTCGCGACACGCAAGGGCAGGATGGGGACGAGGTCGAGGATCCGCTGCGAGCGCGCGTCCGCGAAGTCGTCGAGGCCTTCATCACGCGCACGTGGGAAGGCGCGTGCAAGAACATCACCGTCAACGGGCTGGATGCGACGGCCCTGCCCGGCGCGTTGAGGTCCGCGGGCGGCGGAGATCCCGCGACCGCACAGCAGCAAGACGAGCCGAAAGAGGAGAAGGAAGGGGTCGACTTTGTCCACGAGGCGTACGACAGCCGGCTGCAGGCCAGAGTCGCGGCGCTCTACGGGGAACTGGAGACATTGACTACGCAAGTGAGCAAGCTGAGAAGGACGGCTCCAGCGCGAGGAGCGGAGACGCTCGCGAACAGGCTGAAGGAAGAGATGGAAGCAGATGGTGTCGAATTCGAGAGGCGCATCGCCATGTCGCGGGAAGCAGATGCTGGAGGAGACGTTCTTGGATTGAAGCCACTCAGAGATGGATGGCTCGACGACGCCAATGCCATGTATGAACGCGGGACGAACGAGCTTGCCGCGCTGGCCGGCGTCAACCGCGCCGATGGCGACGCCAATCACCGAGTATATGGTGCAAGTCTGACCGAGACATTGGGCAAGATTCAACGTGCGAGGACGGTGGCTATGGAGTTTGAGTGAGCAAACATGATGACAAGAGAGCCACATGCATCCCGCAAAGATCAGGATGCTATCAATCCGAATTCGACTCAACGGATGTGGGTCACTTCAGTCTTTTCCCCATCTCAGTGAATGCCCACGATCGGCCTGGGGACACTTCGAAGTCAGACAATTAGGGTCTGCTTATCGAGAGTCCGATGATCCTTGTCCGTGTGGCATCCCGTCGGCCCCGTCCGTAACGAGGAACGCTCCTCTTGATCACCGTTCCAGAAAGCGTCGACCACGAGAAGTCAAATTTCTCACCAAACGTGATGCAGCAAAGCATCTGTGCTCATGAAGTCCAGAGCAGTCAAGACGTACCGGTTCATTCTACGTCACCATTTGGTTGAGGTCAATCTATAGGATGATCTCTGGGCTCACGGAGGGGGAAAAAGATGCTAATCAGGAGAGTTGACCAAAGATGTCAGTGCCGGTGCTTGCCGGGATCCATATTGATCTATCAATATCGTGTCGATCGCCTGTCTAGGATAGGCAACGAACCCAGATGTGCCGTGAAGAGTCGGACAAGAAGGATAGAGAAAGCCCGCTTGAGAAGAAGCGAGCAGTATTCGGAGGCAAATATCAGAAGATCTCCGCCGAAAGCCAATGTATCATCAAAATGTACAACAAGCAAGTGCAGGAGCGGCTCTGAACTCAGGTCCTGGCGCCCTGTTCTTCCGTTTCTTCTGCCTTCTTCAACATCTGTAGGCGTCCCATGGAACTTCCTTCTTAGCGCTCTGTCGAAAAGGTCCGAGATGAAAATATCTACGACCCTGCTGCCTCTTCAATGGGCATCTTTGGTCCCTCGGCCGGCGCATTCTCAGCCTGGGCGGGTGCTGTAGCGGGAGCAGGCGCTTCTGTCGTCGCTGGATCTTGAGCGCCATCAGTTGGGGCAGGCTGGACGGTGTTTGCCGCGTCCTTGCCAGTGACCGGATCTTCTCTGGCCCACTTTGGCGTTTTTGCATACTGGGGGTCCTTCCAGGGACCGTCGTCACTGAATTGACAACCACCTTCGCACTCGCATTCGCCGCCAAATTCCTTGGGGAGATTTTCTGCAGGGACCTGTTGCAACAGTTCCTTTTGGTAGTTCGAGCCAAGAACATGAATCTTGGCGACCGTGATTGGGTCGAGGAACGATTTGACGAAGCTGAAGACGCTCGCAAAACCCCAAGGTGCATTGATGATGTAGAGCTTGCCCAGCCGCTCTGGGTAGTAGTCTTGGGAGATGGCGCTGACAGACTTGAGGTAGCCGTAGACGGATGGAATTCGTCCGACGCCGACGCCTTTCATGTCCATGATAGTGCAGCAAGTCTCGAGGAGTTTTCCTGCCTTGCGCGAGCAAGCGGGCAATCGTGGATCGGCCACCTTTTCGTACTCCACCACCAGATTCTGCACCATTCGTTCTGCAGTAGAGATCTTGTACATGGCATTCAGGTCGATTTTGCCATATTGTTCGATATATACCGGGCGCCCATCCTGTCGACATTTGTTAGTGGTGCCGGGCAATGTCGGTCAGTGTACTGTGTGCCGTACCTTGTCGGTCTTGTGATAGTACTGTGGATAATACTGGAACATCTGAGCTCGTTCTTTGTAGTCAAAAGTGCGGACCAGATCATCAGTGCCAAACTCCTTTCGCCATTGCTCGTTCTTGACGAACCTGGGGCAGTTGTCAGTATTTGCTTCATCGGTCGTCCGCGTGGAAACACACATTGCCTTGCTATGCTCAACGTTGAATTTGCGGGCTCTAAGAAAGCGTAACAGAGTCAGAGTGTCTAGCCGCTCCGTGTAGCCTTCTCTTTCCAGCATAGCCCTCAGCTGGTGCACTTGAGCATCTTGTTCCTTTGTGGTATGGCCAGGATGACCCGACTGGTTCTCAGGAGCAGTGGTGGGGAAGTCATAGTCGTCATATTTGGGATCCAAGTCCATTTGCGGATTTGCCTGTTGGGTTTCGGTCGACATGATGAAAAGGAGGGTGAGCGACTGTTGTGGGAAAGTCGAGGTGTTCTTTACAACGAGCGATTCAGACCAAACCAGACAGAGGTTGAATTCGAGAGGTAGAGAGTAGGTAAAGGCAAGGTCTCGAGTCTAGGTTACGGGATGCAAGAAAGGGATTTCGAAGTGGCCGAGAGAGTAGGAATGAGCAATGGCAGAGCCAGCAAACAATGACAACAACCAAAAACATATACGGATTGGATCCAAAAGTGCATCTTAATCAGGCACGGGCGCAGTTGAAAGGTCGGCGACGATTGGGGGCGGCCTGTGCACTACATACCTATGACGCACGACCACGCCCCCTGCACCTCTGACCCTTGGAGCCCTTACCGCCTAGCACAGCCTAGCATACCAACGTAAGTGTTGGGGGCTTGACGCCTGTGACGCCCGTGACCGCCATAACGTCCAAGCATCTCTCCCCCATTGTTCGCCTGCGGAGGCTTGGCGCAGTCAAGAATCGACCACTGCTGCAATAATCCCACCAAACACAACCCACCACGCCTAACCGTCCTGTCGCTGAGATCCGGGAATCTACTCCAGAAATTTCAAAAAAAAACCGACCAGTCACAAGTGACTCACGTCCCTTCACGCCATTTTGTATCTGTCCAAGTCTATGCGACGCCGATCTTCACGGAGTCGTGCCCTTCAAGTTCGGGGAAAAGACACCTTCGTAACGGTGCTCTACTGAAAGGCGTTACTACTCGGACATGCAACTGCAGGCCATTTCCCTCTCCAAGGACTCGAGGGCTCTAAGGCTCTGACACTCATAACAAGGCCAAGGGCAACGGGTTGCACGCGGCAAAATTGACCATGCCGCCCAAAACTCCAAAGTCTGCTGGCGGAAGAGGCAGATCTGGAGACGACAACAAGGAGGAACCTCTGCAAGCCGTCGTCGTCGCCGACACTTTCGAAGATAGATTCGCCCCATTCACTCTGGAGAGGCCCAGATGTTTACTCACTTTGGCCAACACTCCGCTGATCGAATACACTCTCGAGTATCTCGCAAGTGCTGGAGTCCAAGTCGTCTACGTCTATGCCGGGGCACATACCGACCAGGTAGAAACCTACATCGAGGAGTCTCGGTGGAAGTCCTCCAACTCACCCTTTGAGAGCCTGACTCTTCTGAGGTGCATTGCGAGCTCGGTGGGTGACGTGATGAGAGATCTCGACCAAAAACATTTGATGGCGGGAGACTTCATTGTGGTCAGTGGCGACATAATCGCCAACTTTCCCCTCGAGAAGGCTTTGCGACAGCACAAGACTCGACGAGAAAAGGACAAAAACGCAATCATGACCATGGTCCTGAGGGAGGCTGAGCCGGGAATCCATGACCATAGTGGCGGAGTAGTGCCGACTTTTGTCATAGACCCAACCAAGGACAGATGTCTGCACTACGAGGAAGCATTTCCAGGTACTCAATTCACCTCCCACGTGGACCCTGAAGTGTTGAAAACTCCGGAGTTGGAGGTTCGTCAGGACCTGATCGACTGCCGTATCGACATATGTACGCCGGATGTCCTCAGCCTGTGGTCGGACAACTTTGACAACCAGTCGCCTCGAAAGGACTTTCTGTTTGGCGTTCTGAAGGACTGGGAACTGAATGGAAAGACCATCCACACATATATCGTCAAAGACCATTACGCCGCCCGAGCAGCAGATTTCTGGTCCTACAACGCCATCTCTCAAGATTTGAATCAAGGCGTAATCACATCAATTGCAGTAGAAAATAACGTTTTCGGCGACACACACTACGATCGATCGCAGAATGGAGTCATTGTGGACAAAAATGTCATTGCAGCCAGACCCATAAAACTCGAAGCAGGCACAATCGTCGGCCCTGAAACCACCATAGGCGCAGGGTGCGACATCAGGAGCGCTGTACTCGGTCAACGGTGTCATATCGGCAGGAATACCAAGATTGACGCTGCCTACATCTGGGACGATGTATCTGTTGGCAACAATGTCAAAATCTCGCGGGCTATCATCGGGAACGAGGCTTTCATAGGTGATGATTGCATCATTGAAGAGGGCGTCCTGATATCTTTCGGCGTTAAGATCGCCGCTGGCACTACGGTCCGAGCTGGTTCAAGAATTGTCAAGACACAGCAGGGAGCAGATGGAGAACTCAAGAATGACTCCCTCATTGTGGGTGACGCAGGAGAAGGTCATGCTTACGTGGAGGATGAGGAAGACTATTTGAGTTCTAAACTGTCGAGACTGGTATATAACAGACCAGACCTCGCAGACTCGGTATCTACTCTGGAATCGGATATATCAGAAGACGAAGTCTCTTCGCTAGGCGGATCGCGAAGTCAAAGCTTTGGCGATGAGTCCTCCGACCGGTTTCAGCACGATACAGTGGCGATCCTCATACAACGAATGCAAGAAGGGAAGCATGTGGACGACATGCTCAGCGAATTGATGGGTCTGAGGTTCAGTGGAGGGGCAGATGAGACACAGGTCCGCAAAGCAGTTGCAGTGGCGCTTATGAGGCACGTCCATGGGGAAATTGAGGCTGGAATGTCCGCGGCAGATGCGACCAGGCGAATACTCACGGCATACAACCCACTGATTCGAAGAACAGGTGCTGAACAGGCGACCGACGAGCAAGTGTCGTTTCTGCTCGATGCTCAAAAGGAACTATCCAAGCGGAAAGATGGAGGCAAGACCCTTTTGTTCGTTGTCAAAGATCTCTATGATCTTGAGGTGTTTGGCGAAGAAGCCTTCACAGACTGGTGGGCCGATGAAAGATCCAACAATGAACCAGAAATGGCAGCGGTGAGACAGCCAAGCTCACAGTTTATCGACTGGCTGGAAAATGCCGAGAGCGAGAGTGAGAGCGAGGAAGAAGATGAATGAGGATAGGTGATGGAGGATGCAACAGCACAGTCCAGGAACAAATGAATGTCCTTGGTCGGACATCGTTGCATGCCCTTCTCACTGCGAGAGGGTGCACCAGCCTTCCAGGCGTCTGTCTATCTTGCTCGTGGAAGCAACATGCCTATGTATTCGTGTGGACATGTGTTAAATTGCCAGTCTCGGGAACGTGTAGATCCCTACATGGTAACGATCCCAAGAACAGGGCGTGTTTCTGGAGGAGGGTTATGGACACCTTAGCAGCAAGAGGCGAAATAGCAGGGAAGAATACAGAGGATGATGAGAGAGGGTCGAGGCTTGCGGTGCCTCATCACGTGCCACGAAAGATGGAGTATGACGACCTGATCAGTAATGGCGACCGCCACCCTGCAAACCTGAAGTCGCCCGCTGCTCGCCCCGTTCCATCGCCCAGTAACTAAATGAGTCCGTCTGTGGTGCCACTGCACTCGACCCATGTCTCCTTGTCCCTTACAACCATTTTCCTTTCCATCATCTGGCCTCGACTCGAGTATTTTCTCGGTACCTGCGTTTTAGACCCTTACAACTTGTCTTGATATGTGTAAACGGCTGTCCTCCAGTCCCTTGAGCGTCATCCAAGTCGAGATACCCGCCAATCTCCCATCGGAACCCTGAGTGGCCTGTCGAGCGCTGGTCACCTGCTTCTCCGGTCATCCCCTCACCAAACTAGCAGCCTGTTGTCTCGTCTGGAGACGCAGCTGCCCTTATCAAAGCCAACACGACACCTCAATCAAAGAAACGAAAGGCTGCGGAGTGCGTCACTGACGCGTCAAGCAACGGTCCGGTGAAGTCACGCAAGACGTCCCCTCCTCCTGCGCAGCGTCTGTCGACTCCCGTCACCGAGCACGGCTCGCCGTCGTTGAAGGCCATGGATTCGGAAGATGACTTCATGTCAGATCCCCCCAGCGGGGATGAGATTGATTTCGATGAGGGTACACAAGACAGCGATATTGCCAGTCTCGCAGACGGTCGGTATCCCCCCACCTTGCTGTCAATGACCTCGGGACACTGACAAAGACCACTATAGATTTTGACCAAGACCAGGATGGTGGCTTTGGCTACGAAAAAGACATCCTTACGAACCCGCGAAAACCCTACGAAGTCGAATACAAGGTTCTAAGTCCAGAAGATATTCAATCCCAGCAAGAAAAACAGTTCAAGGAGGTTTCATCCATCATCGAGTTACCCATCGAACAAACCGCCATTCTTCTTCGGTTCATGAGATGGAACAAGGAGAAATTGATTGAATCATACATGGACAACCAAGACAAAGTTCTCGAGGCTGCTGGCTTGGGACCCACATTTACAGAGGCTCCAAAGACGAAGAAGGTCAAGGGTTTCACTTGCGAAATCTGCTTCGAAGACTCTCCAGACCTAGAGACGTATGCCATGAAATGTGACCACAGATACTGTACCAACTGTTATACCCAATACCTTACACAAAAAGTCAAAGAGGAAGGGGAAGCTGCTAGAATCGAGTGCCCCTTCGATGGCTGCCATCGGATTGTGGACTCCAAATCCCTGAAGTTGTTGGTCGACCAGAGTGTCATGGACCGTTACCATGTCCTGCTCACTAGAACTTATGTGGACGACAAGGACAATCTCAAGTGGTGCCCAGCTCCTGAATGTGAATATGCCGTGGATTGTCCTGTGAGGAAACGAGATCTCAGTCGGATTGTCCCCACTGTCCGCTGTGCGCACGACCACATGTTCTGCTTCGGATGCACGCTAGCCGATCACCGCCCGGCGCCCTGCTCTCTCGTCAAGAAGTGGCTCAAGAAGTGCGAGGATGACTCGGAAACGTCGAACTGGATATCCGCCAACACAAAGGAGTGCCCCAAGTGCAATTCGACCATCGAGAAGAATGGAGGTTGCAATCATATGACCTGCCGGAAATGCAAGCACGAGTTTTGCTGGATGTGTATGGGCCCTTGGTCGGAGCATGGAACTAGTTGGTACAATTGCAACCGATTCGAGGAAAAGTCAGGAGCCGATGCTCGTGATGCTCAAGCACGTTCTCGACACTCGTTGGAACGATACCTCCATTACTACAATCGTTACGCCAACCACGAACAGTCCGCCAAACTTGACAAAGACTTATGGCTAAAGACCGAAAAGAAGATGACGAGCCTTCAATCCCAATCTAACATGTCGTGGATTGAAGTCCAGTTTCTTGACACTGCCTCCAAGGCCCTGCAAAACTGCCGTCAGACCTTGAAGTGGACTTATGCATTTGCTTTCTATCTTGCTCGCAACAACATGACCGAGATCTTCGAGGACAACCAGAAGGATTTGGAAATGGCAGTGGAAAACCTGAGCCAGATGTTCGAGAAGCCCGTGCAAGAGCTCGGAAACCTCAAAGTCGAGATCCTCGACAAGACAACCTACTGCAACCGGAGACGAGAGATACTCTTGAGCGACACGGCGGAGAATTTGAAGAAAGGTTTGTCAACCCCAACCAAACATTGTCTGCGACTCGTTATTGACTGATCGTCACAGACCAATGGAAATTCAATGTCGAAATATGATCTTTTACGAATACCTAGGTAGATAACGGCGATACGCATGATCAACCCGGTGGGCGGGCTGACGGCGGTGCTAGCGAGGCGTTCCCTGATGGATGGGACAACTTGGATGCATTATCATGAAGGGATGGTGCTCGGGCCCATGAGCTTTTGACTTGACTTGAGAATGTTGGTATTGTAGAGGGCGCCGGGAGCATCAGGCATGCAAAGTTGGCGTCTTGCTCTTCTTATTCTTGCCGAGTACGGAGGACATGTCAGAGAACCACGTTGTGGCAGATGAACCGTCTCCTGGGGAGTAAACCTTTGTGTATTCCAATACAACGCATCCCCTTACTTCAGACACAAGGATGCGCCATGTGCACATCGCGTTTTTTCCTCTTAAAATATCTCATTTTGTGGATGCTGTCCATGGAGGGACGCGGGTAGAGCCACGTAAAAGGGCGCCGTATCCCAGGGTCAGCAAGGATATGGCAAGTCGGGAATACGTAGTGCAATTACAGCCCCTCCTTAGAGGCCGAACGACCTCATACGTTTCGGTGACTATGGCCGAGCAAAGCGAGTTCAAGCCGAGGCGAGAGCGAGTGAGACGATGCCAGAAGAGGAGTTTGACAGCGAGCTTGGAGCGAGGTCGGAAGACAAGCCATGGAGTCGCCGTCTGCAGCTTCATACGACGCTTTACGGAGAGAGCGCGGAGGTGGCCCGGCAAAGGGCAGGCATAGGTAGCGAGGTAGGTACCTCATGCTAGGCATCATGACCCAACTGTGTGCCTCGAAAGAAGGATTCTAGAGTCACCGGGGGCGTCATGGATGGGCACAAAATGGGAACTATGTCAAGCCGCAGGGCCCGTCGACCAACCAGCCATCTTAGCTAACCCCAGCCAGCCCGAGCTTAAGAGACCCTGGCTCAAAATTCTAAGCAACAGCCGTCAGGTCGACCCAAAATCTTTGGAGCGATCTCAGTGCCTCGCCCGGGCCATTATTTCGCCCTGGCTCTGACTTGATATTGCTGCGGATCGCTTTTTCTGCCTGCGCATTTCACTCCGGCATATCCCATTCCCAAGAACCTTTCTCCAGGTCTCCAAGGACTTTGTCGTTCCCTCTCTTTGGCTCTTCTGAGCACCCTCCTCACTCTCGGTGGAACGATTGCAGACAGCAAGGACAAAATCACCATCCGCAACCGTGGCGGCGTCAGCCAAATTCCCAGCGGCATTGCCCGCGGAGAATATGACGGTGTCGAGCAGCCCGGATGCAGTACCTGGTGAAGAATACGAGTGAGTGGTGCCCTCCGTAATGAGCGGTCAGAATCAGCATTGACGTTCTCGCAGGTATGAAGCTCTACCACCAAACTATGGTCTTGGACACAATATGTTGGCCGGCGCGTTCGCAGGCATCGCGGTACGCCGAAGGAAATCAAGAGATAGGGATGAAAGACTGACATTCGGCCAAGGAACATACGGTCATGTATCCGGTGGACTTGATGAAGGTACACAGTCGTCCCATCTGCCGGCATCGGCGGGGAGTACATTGCTAATGCGGCATTGACATCAGACACGGATGCAAATCATAAATCCTTCAGCCGGCGGCCTGTATACGGGGCTTTCACACGCAGTATCTACAATATATCGGATAGAAGGGCTGCGGACGCTATGGAGAGGAGTGACCAGTGTCATTGTTGGAGCAGGTGCGTGGCCAAAACCAGAGGACACGGAAATTCACAACTGCCTGCGATTCTAACTGTTGATAACAGGCCCTGCCCATGCCGTATATTTTGGCACATACGAAGTGGTGAAAGAGTTTGCGGGTGGGAACAAAGAAGATGGCAAACATCATCCTCTCGCTGCCGGTAAGTTGAGCTCTGGAGCTGCGGTGTTCGTTGGGGTTGGGCGAGGTGCTAACGGAAATTTACAGCTGCGAGCGGAGCATGCGCAACCATTGCGAGTGATGCTCTGATGAACCCCTTTGATGGTACGGATCTCCCTATGCTTTCCGCAAAATTACTTGACCATGATTCTGACCGTCTGTCGCAGTCATTAAACAACGGATGCAGGTTCACGGGTCGACCTACCGGTCGATATCGCACTGCGCCCGCTCAGTCTGGCGCGCCGAGGGTATTTCCGCATTCTACGTATCTTACCCCACGACATTATGTATGACGGTTCCCTTCACGGCTACGCAATTCATGGCCTACGAATCTCTCTCCAAAATCATGAACCCTCGGAAAGAGTATGATCCGATTACACATTGCGTGGCTGGTGGCTTGGCCGGAGCCTTTGCGGCCGGCATCACCACCCCGCTGGATGTGATCAAGACGTTGCTCCAGACGAGGGGACTGAGTCAACAAGCCGAGATACGCAATGTACGAGGATTGTTCCATGCGGCCTCCATCATCAAGAAAGAATTCGGCTGGAGGGGATTTATGAGAGGGTGGCGGCCGAGAATCATTACCACTATGCCAAGCACCGCCATTTGCTGGTAAAGCCCTGATCCCCCCTGTGGCTTGTTGACTCCGTTTTCCCGACCACAAAAATCTAACATTATCTATAGGTCATCATACGAAATGGCAAAGGCCTACTTCAAGAGGACGCTTCGGGAAGAACAGACATCCCATACCAATAAATTATGATCGACCTAGCGTCGCCGATCGACCAACATTGCTTCAGCGTTTCCGTGTCTCACAAGCAATGAGGAATCTAGCAGGATCTGACATCTCCTGCGAAGTGCGCGTCAATAGTATTTACATCACGTTCTTGCGCAAACAAGATACCCACTGGAGGCGCGTTTGGGAGGTAGTCGGCCGCGGTACGCTCGTACTGGGGTTTGCTGTTCGAGCACGATCACGACGATTTCCGTTCTATGGAGCAGGGCTTGCTGAGCCTTTGCAATGGCAGTAGGGGCTCATGCATATATGCAAAAAGAACAGGCGTTACAGCAATGGAAGCAGGGCGCTGATACCTGCCCTTTGTCAGCTGGCGATGCCCGGGGACAAAGGGATTTTGGGATAATACTGTACATCTATGGCATAACACCAAAAGTGGGACGGGTTGAGCGTTTCGACCAGCTGTTTGTCGGTCTCTTTTCATCATCTGATAGACCAGGCTAATCAGCAATGAAAATTGAAGATGCTCTGTGAGCACTGTTGTTGCTCGTGGCTGTGCTTACCTTACGGAAGTCCCTTCTCCTGTACGGAGTCCACGTGCGTTATTTTCCCTGACTGAAATTGCCATCACGAATGTAGGATCTGTGTAATTCTAGTTGGATATCTAAAGTGTTGCAAAGGCCCATCCAGCAGCCTTCGGATCAGGCGAAAACGGCAGACATGTTTGATGAGGACTCGTGTGACGGGCTGCAGGGCCACTGTTCAGGTGACGTATGGCGGGCAGGCTGTGTACAGCGGGCAACGGGCAGCGGACTTGTCTCCAGTGACTAGTTCGCGGTTGTCCTTGCGAAACTGCCTTCTCGCCCACTCTCGACAAACCCATTCGAGGCTCAGCCTTCGTGGACTGAAGTCGCCCAAGTAACTCAGCAGATATTTTGCCACAACCTCCTTCTCTTTGTCCGTCTGGTTTGAGCATGTCCGCGTCCTCGCAGACCGTCCAAAATGTTGCGGAGCAAGCCTTCCTCGTCAATGCAAAAGACTTACGATGAGGCCTATCTTCAATGTTCTACGGCGGTATTCTTTGAAGGCCAGGTAATGAAAACGCAAGTGCCCGACGCCTCGATCTTTGCACTAACTCAGCGGCATTCCACAGGGCAATGAGACCGAGGCTCTCCGGTCATGGAAGGCAGCACTCGATCAAATCAATCATTATAAGGCATACAAACTCTCATCCAGTTACTCGCCCCGATCCGAAACTGAGCGGGCTCTGTACGACTCCTTGAGGGAACTGGAGGTACAATGCAAGGAACGAGTCGATCTCCTCGAGACTCTGAAGAGAAGTCGCGAAGAGCTGGGAATAGAATCCCGCAAGGAAGAGAAGGCAGAACAAAAGAACGGAGGCGGAGTTGGCAATGGCAGTGGAAGTACAAGCGGCAGTGGCAGCAGCGGAAGGAAGCGTCTCGGGAAGAGTAGAGGGAACCCCTCGATAACGACGCCCCCAACCGCTGAACAGCCTGGCTCGTGGCTCGGAGGAGAGACGATACCGCCAATGCAAATGTCTGAGCTGCCCAATGCCACACCTGCGTTACCTCCACGACCGCCGCTGGGCGTCACCAGGAGCAGCGAGACTGTAGCACATGACAACACCTCTCCGATATCACGGATTCGATCGTCACCTTTAGGTCCTCCTCCCGCCTTATCGGTCCCGAGCATGAAGGCTTCCAGAAGTCCCAGTCCTGATCACGGCAGAAAGACGATGCGGACGACACTGCGCCCGGAGAAGAGGGGCTTCATGAAGTATCGATCGACTTCAAATCGTGACAGAAGAACCGAGACCATGAAAGCAGCGGGTCTGGCATGGGAATCCCAGCCTCGGAAGAACTCTCAGCCCAACCAGCGACCAGATTCAGACTCCACGATCGAAGCCAGATTGAGCGCGACGGCTGCAAGACGGAGTATCGACCAGGAGGCGACGGCCAGATACGAAGAGCATCGGAAGTCCAATGCATCGTCTCTGTTAAGTGTCCCTGATTACCTGTCACAACATACCACGCGTGAGATTCCAAATGCGGCTTCTGCACCGCCGCCGTCGTCATTGAACAAGTCCATGGAAAGTCTCAAATTGACTCCGGATTCTGCACCTAGCCTTATCGACCTTGACTCAGAACCTGAAAAGTCGCCGCCTCCGCCACCGCAGCATGCGCCACCGGCTGGTCAACCGGGTGCCAAAGCCAGAACCAGATCTCCAATCCATTTACCAAAAGCGCCAGATATTACCTATCGAAGAGAATACCCTGCACGCGCACATAACGTTCCTCAACCTCTCGCAAGGAATATCTTAGAGAGGGCTTACCCAAAAGTTGGATCCGGTGGTGGTATGCCGGGGATATCGCGGAAACCGGTGGGCACAGCGGATACAGCGCTTGAGACAAGAGGGCGCTCCCCCCAGAAACGAGATGGACATTCCGACAGTGAAGACGAGGCACCCAAACGAAATCTTGACAGGCCGAGACGAGGTCGTGCCGGCAGGACCGCGAGTGCCAACACAATCACCCCACCATCCACGGATGGTGAGTCGCCAGAAGAGGATGGTTTGTCAGCCGAGGAGAAGAGGATGGAGAATATTCTGAAAAATCTACCGAAAGGAGTGGATGAAAATGCCGCCAAGCAGATTCTCAATGAAATCGTTGTCAAAGGGGATGAAGTTCACTGGGACGACGTTGCCGGGCTTTCTGCTGCCAAAAAGGCGTTGAAGGAAGCAGTGGTATACCCATTCCTGAGACCGGATCTTTTCATGGGGCTGCGGGAGCCTGCTCGAGGGATGCTCCTGTTTGGGCCACCAGGGACGGGCAAGACCATGCTTGCAAGGGCCGTCGCAACGGAAAGCAAGAGTACCTTTTTTGCCATCAGTGCTAGCAGTCTGACGAGCAAGTGGCATGGCGAATCAGAGAAGCTCGTCCGAGCCTTATTTGCGTTGGCGAAGGCTCTGGCACCGAGCATCATTTTCGTCGACGAGATCGATTCTCTCCTGAGTGCCAGAAGCGGGTCAAGCGAGCATGAAGCATCCAGGCGGAGCAAGACAGAATTTCTCATCCAGTGGTCCGACCTGCAGAGAGCAGCAGCTGGCAAAGATACGACTGTTGGGGATGCTAGTCGAGTACTAGTGCTTGCCGCGACAAATTGCCCGTGGGACATTGACGATGCGGCACGGCGAAGATTTGTGAGGCGACAGTACATCCCTTTACCAGAGGCAGAAACCAGAGACACACAGATTCGGACGCTGTTAGGGCATCAAAAGCATGATTTAAGCCCGGAGGACATCGCTCGCTTGGTAGAACTGACAGGGGGTGAGTTTGCGAGATCACACCATCCCTTACTCTTGCTACGTGATACTTACTGCTCAAACCAGGCTACTCGGGATCCGATATTACAGCGCTCGCCAAAGACGCGGCCATGGGTCCTTTGAGACATCTCGGCGAGGCTCTGCTGTACACTCCCAAAGAACAGATTCGACCGATCCAGATGATGGATTTTGAAGCCAGTCTGGATAGCATTCGACCAAGTGTGAGCAAGAAAGGGCTGGAGGAGTTTGAGAAATGGGCCAGAGACTATGGCGAACGGGGGGGTTGATGACCGGGGCGAAACTCATTTCTGGGGGACTTTGTATGGGGACAAGATTTTGCATAGCCGGAACGACGTCCATGGAAAGTCCTAGGGTACGAAGACAATGACCTGGGGCTCTAATGCGATTCAGGGTCATGACTGATGATACCGTATAGATCACACGTATGAAGGTTCGGAGTATGTAATTATGTGTATCTCTTGACGGTGACATAAGGCCGGCAAGGCTGAACAAGGCTGAATATTGGCCAGGCTAAACCCAGTCCAGCCAAGATTGACACCACCAAGCAACTGCCTGAAGCAACGTCAAACGTCTCTTTGCTCATTGTCTCCCGTCCCAAGGGCTTCATTGACTTCGGTCTTGCATGTCACCACGTGGTCATGGGCGAAATGCCATCTGCAGCCGTCACTGCGGGGCTTGTCAAGATTCAAGCGCAGTGGTGGCATTCTGGCGGAATGCAAAATGCAATTCCCACGCCGTCACACCCAATGATGGATCTTCTGGCCTCGATTGATCAAGAGGCTTAGAGATCGACTGTGATATGTCTTGGTGAGATGGTGTTGGTGATGACGGTGAACCCAACGGCGAGGCGAAAGCAACAAGATCCCCGGACAAAGGTACCTGCCCTTCTGACAAGTTACAGGGCATCAATGTGACGATCCGAAGAAGGGGCTGCCTTGAATGACATTGACGACCTGGTATGGTCCTGGCCCCTCGAAACGAGCAGCTCAACGGACGGTGGAGATTGAAAAGTGACCAGACTTGGGTCTGGAAGCGATCAGGGTGACGCGAAGAGGCTTCACTGCACGGCACATGGGCAAGGCAGCTCACCATGTTGTTGCCCATGTATAACCATATTTACCCGGTTCGCCTTGCAGCAGCTGATCAGTCCGAGTGACACTATGGGCGGTTTCGCCAAGGTGAAGAGAGGGTGAATTGACACTGGCGTCAGATATAAATCTGCCGCTCAGGCCCCGGATTCCTACCGACATTCCTGGATTCTGCAACACCCAAACAACGACATCAATCTCATTCTTTCGCCACCTGGACGCTCCCTGACGATTCCATCAAGACACTCCTTTTTGACTAGATCGGTGAGTTCCTCTGGTACCTTGTTTCTCATGGCCGCCCTGATTTCTATGCCCCGTCGTTGCCCCCTGAGTTGTGCTGTGCCGTTCGCAGCTACTGTGAGATCAACACCACGCTTCCGGCGCGTCTCTCGCGTCTCGGGTCGCTCCTGGAGCCTTTGTGCATTCTTGGTCTCTCCAGAAGCGGCCCCCTAGATACTGCCCAGAACTTCGTCTTTGTTGTCTGTGCTTTGTCTGTTGGTCGCCTATGCCAACAAAGGCTGGCTACTTAAGCCGTCGATGACGGTGCATGGACCAAGTGGGCACTGACTGGCAATCTCCCTCTTCCTCTATACGAGACTATTATACGCCCTGACGACCCCGACACAGCCCGTCCTGCACTGGTCGACTTTCCCTTCTCTCAGACCGCCGGTCGGTGACCCAGATTGCTCACTACAATTGTGTTTCGACAGTATAGGTCCTGACACTCCTTTCACTGCTCCAACCACTTTTCCCGTCATATCATCCACAATGAGGGCAACAGTCTTAAGTCTGGCAGCCTTGTGCGCCCCAGTCGTGCTGGCTGTTCCGCATGGTAAGTCTCCAAAGTCTCCAGCGTGCTACAGGTGGAAGCTTACCTGCGCTAGGAGGCAATCGTCGGCATCAGCATCCTGCGCGTCACCATGTAGAGACTGACCTCGCGACGGTCACTGACGTCGTCACTGTCACTGCCAACAATGCAGTTGTCTGGGTCGATCAGTACAACAACGTCCTGTCCACCGAATACCGTAATCACCCAACTCCTACCATTGTCGCATCGCACCCAGCTGCAACTCCTGCGGTTGTGCCAACTGCATACGCTCCAAGCCCGGCTCCAGCTCCCCCTTCCCAAGTCGAGTCAGCGTCTGAATCATCTGCTGCTGCGCCAGTCTCCACTCCCGAGCCTGCGCCAGTGGTCTCGGCTGCTTCTTCTTCTTCCCAGGTCTCTGACTCTTCTCCTCCACCGGTCGTCAGTGTCGTTCAACCATCACCCACTTCTGATGCCCCCTCCGCTGAAAAAAGCATTGCTGCGGCCGTGGACAATGGGAATTCAAACAGAGGTGCCAAAGGTGGAGCCAATCCCGGAGCCAACGCCGCTGGTGGTGGTTATGGTATCTGCTACGAACTCATTGGCAGCAACGGTTGCAAGGACCAAGGAACCATGGATTCCGAATTTGGTTTCTTGGCCAGTCAAGGCTACACCAAACTCCGCTTCTACGACATTGGCTGTGACCTTAGTGTGGCCACAGCTGCTGCCGCTTCTCAAGGTCTGCAAGTCATGCTAGGTCTTAACACTATCGGCAACGTTGCTGGGGATTTGGGCACGCTTGTTGGCATGATCAAGGGAAACTGGGGTCCTGTCGACACTGTCGTCATTGGCAACGAAGTTGTTAATTCAGGTGGTTCAGCAGCTGATGTCGTCGCTGCGCTCGCCGTGGCCCGCCCCATCTTGCAAGCTGCTGGGTTCACCAAGAATATTGTCGCTGTGGACACTTTTACCGCGCACCAAAACAATCCTCAGATCTGTCAGGCATCGGACTTTTGCGCCGTCAACGCTCACGCTTTCTTCGATCCCAACACATCAGCCGGTAATGCAGGCACCTTCGTTGAAACTGTGATCGGCCCGATCTCTCAGAAGGCAAACGGCAAACAAGTCATCGTCACAGAGTCCGGCTGGCCATACGAAGGATCGCCTAACGGCCAAGCTGTCCCGTCCCCTGCAAACCAGCAGACTGCGATTAGCGCTCTCAAGAGTGCATTCAGTTCGAATCCAGGCGGTCTATTCCTTTTCCAGGCCTACGATGCTTCTTATAAGGCTCCGGGGGCTTTTGGGGTTGAGCAGTACTTTGGCATTTATGGCCATTGAACTGCATTCGGATTGCACCTCATCATGACCACGACAAGACTTTTGTTCCAGAGTAAACATTACACCCGGTTGCACAGCATTTACAAATCCATCAAGAGAACAATTCAACCCTGAAACCCGGCGTTGGAGGCACTGAGTGGCACGTTTACACCGACAACTCAGCATATCCAAGGAGAAAACACACACGGTACAACAGACCGCATGTGTAATTGTCAACGGTTGGAAACACGATCGACGATTTCAACAATGGACAATTGCACTTTCATTACAAAGAGCAATCTTGTTACTCCTGCATGGCGACGGCGTTATGGCGTTCGAGATTGAACTGGATGTGAAAATACAGCAGGCAGCCGAATCGCTTTTTTTCGGTCCCCTTTTCTTTTCCACTGCGACATGATTACCCCAACATCATTCGATCCCCTTGTTTGAACAGATATTCAATCTTCAGCTACACTCCCAGACCGGCATGGCATGAATCACCTACAAGTAAGAGGTTGGCATCCGAGCGCAGCGCTGCAACCCAAACGTATTGTTAGTCGGATTGTTGAGTCGTGCGAGGCTCTTGCCGCTGTGGTATATCCAACAGCCCCGTGATCTGCAGCAGTGACGAAGCCGTCTTATGGCAACTGGTTATCGAATTGCCCGGCAATATCAATGCACCTCTATCGGTCTGCTCTGCGATACGCATGGCGGCAACAAGGTGGTTTGCGAGCATTATATTCGGCCATCAATCCAGGCATGCAGGCATGACCGGTTCTAGGACAGGATCAGGATATGGATAGAGCTTTGGCTATTGTGTTTTTATGAGCTCCACGCCATGTCTCCTTGCTTGGCCGCTAGATAGCTCCCATAGCAATCACCCGGCACAACGCCGAGGAGATCAATCCAAGACATAACTCTCACAACTGGCTTTGGTTCCCGAGATATTCTTCTCAATCTCCTACAAACCATGCCCTGCTCGCAGTATCGTAGTATCGTAGCGTCTGTGGCCCACACTCCATGACAATCCCACGATCCCTCCTGACCAACACTCTACATCAACAACCATTGTTCCGCCCTCTCCTCCTTCTTGCACCTTGCTGTTCGTGCTCTTGCCCTTTCGCTTTCTCTCTCTCTTCCGCCCCTGTCCCTTTTTCCTTTTTCCCTTCTCCCCCCCTTTTTTCTATCCTCTCTCGCTAAGTGCTTGGAGAAGGAAGTCTTTGTGCTCAGAGGGGGGCGAGGCTGGGCGTGAGGGTGTATGTAGGGATGTAGGTATGTAGGTATGCTCCGTCTACGCATCCATCCTTCAGTTCGAGCTTGAACTCGAACAGGAACTTGAAAAAGGGACATGGACATTGCGCTCGTTTTCCCGGTGACTAGAGTCTATCTACAGTATTTCACCTCAACGTGAGGAGGTCGGGACAGTGCCCCATCCGACACTGTCTACTCTACTCTACTCCTTGTACTCGACACGCATGCATGGTCTTGTTCCATTCATATCTTCGTGACTTCAATCGTGGGCACCGTTCTCGTTGTGCGGCATCATTTTAACCCACCTGGCCCCTTCCCTACTTTGTAACTCTCTCTCTCTCTCTCCTCCCCCTCATGATCGCTCGCCTTCATCTTCGTCCATCTGATCCATATCTTCTTCCTCGACCTCCTCGTCGGTAAGGAACGGGCTTCTTTCCAATTCATACTGCGGGCCCGGAACGCCTCGAGACGGCTCCTGCGCCGGTGGGGTGAGGACCATCGTGGGCGTCTGCTGAGGTTGACTCTGCTGCATTGCGTTGGCGCCCGTCATGCCAGTGGCCATGGTCACGGTGACGGACGGAGTGATCGATTCGGGAGGGGTAACCATCTCTTCAGCAGTTGGGTACGGAGACAACGTTTGAGATTGGACTAGAATTTGAGAGGGTGTTGGAGAGAGCGTCTGAGACTGCGAAAGCGGCTGGGTGGGAACGGCATCGTGAAACTGCTGATCGATTTCTTCTTGGGAATGCGCGCGGGACATCCCTGGCCGGTCTTGCTTGTTGCCTACCTCGTCTTCCTCCTCTTGGGTCGCGTGATCTGCGCTGCTAGTTCCAGCCTCATTCTTTTGGTCTTCTTCCGTTGTGGGCAACTCTGGCTCTCCCTCTTCTCCCGCAACATCTTCCTCGGCCTCCTCTTCGAGCTCAACTTGCTCCAATGTCTCCTCAATCTCTGCGAGGACGGTGGCCTGTGCCTGTTCTAACGCCTCGCTGACCGGTAACTTTATCCGACTGTCGATTGTGGAGGCGGAGTCCGGTTCTGAAGGGCTGAATGATTTGTCCACGGGCGAGAAGGGACTTGCCTCGACAATTCTTTCGCCTGATGTTGTGGTTGTAATAATGGACGGCAAATTTGAGCTGAACTTGCCTGGTTCTCTGGTGCTATCACCGCTACCCTCTCTGCCTCGCCTGCGCCGTGCTTTGGGAGCGGGCGGGGGCTTCTTGCCGAAATGGTGCCCTTTATGATGGGAGGGAACAGGGGGCGGCTTAACCTTTTCCTTATCTTTCTCCTCCAGTGTTAGTGACGGGGAGGCTGCACCGTGGTTATGGTGATGATGATGATGGAAGGGAATAGGGGGATGACGATGGTGATGATTGTTAGTTTGGGTACGAGTTTCGGCCTCAATCTTGGGCGCAGGCTCCGCCTTCGGGACCTCTGTCTTCGCGATTTCGGTATCGCTTTCCATCCTTTCCGCCTTCATGCGTGTGAGACCTGATCTCCTTGCTTGAGGTGGCGGGGGTTTCTCCTTCTTTTGCATTATGACAGCTCGAAGATTGTTTTTCAACCCTGGGTTTCTGCTTGGAGTGATTACCCCTGGTTTCTCTTTTTGTGCCGCCACTTCCATCATACTCAAGCTGGACTGTCTGGCTCCTTCGAGTCGAGGAGTGAGATACTGACCAATAGTCAGTGTGGAACCTTTTGAGGAATTTCGTTTCTTCAGTTTCCGAGGTGCCGGAAGGGCTGGTGGATGAGCTTTCGAAGGAGAGGTTGGCGACGACACATCAGATGCTCCCTCGTCAGTGGGAGACTCTGCATGTACTGGAGGTTCGGTTTCCGGGTCAGCGAGCCAACTGACTCCTTCACACCGCTTGACGAGCCGTTTGGTCGTCTCATCAACGGCATCAAAATGGCCCCAATGCTGCAAACCATCATGGGAGCCATTTTGATCTGTGAGATGGCCTCCACCTAAGACAACCAGCAGTTTGCGGATTTCGTCCCTCTTATAATGTGGAGGCTGCTGTAGTTGAGTATGTTCAAGAAGTGGATATAGAACCCGAAGATAAGTATGGCGTAATGACGATGCCTCTTCAGGCAGATCAAGCAGATTCCGAATCAATATGTCAACCAAGACGCGCAGGTCGTTGGTGTAGAAGTATTCGTAGGTGGGCGGAGTTGTGAAGAGGAGGTAGAGCAACTTGAGGGTCAGAAGCTGTAACGACGTTTCATCTGCTGAAATTAGAGGACAAGCTCCATCGCAGGTCGGGCTAGAGACTATACCTTCACGGTTCAAGAGCAAAATAATGTTCTCGCCGAAGGTCTTATACTCACTGCCATGGGCAGATAAGACCTTGATCACCTTGTTGGTAAGAGGGACCGCAGCTTGACCATTTGCAGGGTCGTGAGCGGCAACCATGAACTGCTCATTGAGTACAAGCTGGAGGAATGATCAGATGCATATCACAGGAGACGTGGAGCGACCGACTTACCAAAACTCGAATGGTAGGATAGTGATAGGGGTCATTGACATCGTCCGAAACCTGTTCTATAATTTCAAACAACATCTTGACAAAGTCGTCATCGACATGCGCTGTGTTCAAAGCGGTGGAATCAGTCTTTGCCAAAGGGTCGCCAAGCCCGGTGTCTCCAAGTCGGCTACGTACCCAGGTCACCTATTTTAATCTTTTGAATGCGCGACATCTCGTAGAGTAGTTCCATAAGAAGCCTGTGGATTCCTTCGTGGCCATGTTGCTTCGGACTCGATATGAGACGGATCAATCTCGGGAATGCGCCTTCGTCGTTCAACAACTCATATGTCCTTTCGTTCAACTGCGCATGGGTGATGAGGAATGATGTTGACACCAACACGACGTTTGGCTCGTCATCCTGCGCGGGCCCCTGTATCAGCCTCCATCTGGTATGAAACCCATTCGTGCTCAACCAACCTCAATCAGACATTGAATGAATTGTCGGCGGATGTAGTCCGCGTGGGTGGTAAACAGCGGCGACTCTTGGAGCTTGAAGGCGCATCGGCCGAGATCAATGTCGCTCAGAAGAAAGCGTCCTGAGTTGAGTCAAGTATGGTCAGCTTGGGTATATGCCTCTTTCTTTGTCCGGGTAGCACGTACCCTGACAGCGCCCGATGAGTTCTATGTAGGATCGCAGAGTATCGTCGATGCTATCATGGGTGTTGCATTCCCGGGAAACTGTCTCTTCGAGAGCTGGAGAGTCAAGTCAGTCAGAGCTCCTGTTCCAAGGTGCAGATACAGGTGTTCCGTACCGGTCCAGAACTGGTCCTCGTCCTCGAAGTTATAAGAAACCTCGTGTTCCATGCTACGTCCAGCTTCATATCGTCTTTCGTAGGGCAGGTCGGTCGAAGGAACGGGTTCAGAAACAAAGCAAGTTGCTCCTCCTCATGCGATCAAAGGCGCAGTGATGCCAGGGCAACAGAAGCAAACGGTCCTATAGCCAACACATGACGATGAAGGAGCTGCAGGTCTGCGCAGAGGGCGAGCTGTCACAATTCACGGCGATGGGTGTGGATTGATGTGGAGCGAACTGAATTCCAAGTTTGGGGTAGGATTCGAGGACTTCCCGAACACATGACACGGCAGCGTCACAATCTCTGGAACGGGCAACGGATGCACGTGGAGCAGGCGGGCTGGGTGGGCGAGCGACGGAGAGCCTACCAAGCCACCGACGCAGTAGGCCCGGAGCCTTACGAGGAGTTTAGGCATCGGCCCGGAGCCCCGCGGATCAGTGCTCGTGGCGTGCGAAATAGCTAAGGCTCTAGGTGCCACCTACCTACTTGTTAGGTAGGTACATACAACGGCACCTGCAAGGATGTTAGGTACGGAGGGACTGCCTCTCGCCTAGCTAGAGATAAAGTACTTTTGTCCTAGCTCCTATTCACAGGCCCACATGTTCACTAGGGCACAGAGATGCTTTCTTCAATGTTTTATCTCGACGACACAGGAACAATGGCTGAGTGCCATTGCAGATATTTTGTCTTTCACCCTCGCTCTATACTGCTGGTAAGAGAAGCGTCCAGAGAAGTGCAAGATTGTCCATCCAACTTGTCCCTGCTCCAAACACCGTATAGAAATGCAGTGGCTATGCCAAAGTCCTAATTGCTGTCTCCCGTTCGGGGTGCTTGTTCTCGATAAATGGGCCAAGATGAATCCAACAATCATCTGGGTCGTTTGAAGGGGTGTGCTTCGGTATTCCTGTGTCCATTCAGTTAGTCGGACTTTTTCTTAGCAACCTTCCGTGCCCAGATTACTTACAAAATGTAATCATCCAGGCTGATCAAGTCCGGTTCGCTGAACAAGAGGTAATAATACTTCAACGTCTCTGCGAGCCAGAAGGATTCCATAGAATCTTGCTGCTCCATCAATTGGCTCGTCACGTCCTTGATGCCTGCGTTGGCAATTTCCGTCCTTGTTGCTTTGTCGACTGCGTCAAACATTGCCCACCCTTTGTCTCTCCACGTCTCGTCTCCTGTCAGTCGGTACATGATGAACACCGACTCGATGGCCTCAGGTCGGAGTCGGTAGTCGCGCGCCTTGATCCGTGTATACCCTGGAGGCAGTCGTTCTTCCTGGATTTTGGCTGCGACATACTTTTCGTGAGACATCGCCACCCGGGGTGTAAATAGCATGGGCGGTAGTCCTTCTGTGTGTGTACCTTCCTCGTCAGAGAAAATTGTCTCTGTCCGTTCTTTCTCTCCGAAATCTGTCGGCGTGTCTCTCTTCTTCATGCTGGGGTCCGCAATTATGTGTGAGACAACGGAATCCTCGTTGTTCGGTACATCGTCGATACCAGCCAATAATTGCTCGCGCAGCCTTTGCTGATTGATATTGTAAGTCTCGACCGCCCGCATTCGCTCCTCGAGCCTCGGATCCAGCGCCTCATACCATTTGGCTTCATTCCACTTGCACGAAGTGAGACTATCGCAAGGTACAAGTTCGAATTCTTCGGCCATGACACCTACGGGTGTGGAAGCGTAAGCCCAAACGCATGCGTCGGTGAGCTTCTCTGCAATACCCATGTCTGAAGGGATGTTGAACAGCTTGGACCCTAGGCCAAACATGCCGCCGGCAAAACATCCCAGGTGCGTGCCTTCATAGATTGTCACTTTTCGCTTAGCAGGGTCCTTTGCCTTGGGCGAGATATTTTGTTTTGCCAGAAACAGGATATCATGGTTCTCCTTTGTCATAGGCCGGAACAGTAAGTCTTCCCGGACAATCTCCATAGCATCCAGATATAGACTCTTGTACTGCTCGTTCAGCCCGCCAAGGAGAGCATATTCCTTCGGAAAGTATTCGTATGTGGAATCTGCCATCGAGCCGATTCCATAGGTGTGGGTGGTGGAATCGGGCTCTGTGCTCAGACCTTGTAATCCACAAAGGGAGTCGTCAACATCCTCTTCATCCCATTCTGCCTCGATCAGCGGATTGGCCTTCTGTTCAGCTGCAGTCAGTCCGCCATCCTTCTCCGCCGGTTTTTCGTTTGAGGGAGGTGATGAAAGCTCTTGTCGCTTAGTCAACACATTCAAGGGATTCTCGTCGGGGTTACGCCGATTGTCCGTGCCTGTTCCCTCCATCGCGGACAATTCTTCGCGGCCATCTTTCGGCCGTACAGAGACGGCCTCCGATTCTTCATCATCGCTGTCAGCTGTCGACTTTGAAACGACTCGGGGCTTTTTGCAGCCGGATGCGTCCAGCTTCAATGGCCAAAGGCCCGGAAAAGTCGTTTTCATCTGCCAGTCCTCTAGAGCATTTGTGACCCGTGCGACCGCATCGTAATACCTGGGCTCGCGGGTAATCTGAGCTAGCCTCGTGAATTCGACTGCGAGCGACCCTATTTCTGCAAGCACGGTGTGCTCACTGGCCCTGTGTGGGCGGGAAGCGGACGAGGGGGCCCAGTTGTAGAAAACCGCAGGCATTCTGTTGGGCGTATCGAAGGCACCCATCAGAATGTCTGCAAGTTCGACCGCTTTGTCAAGCAGCACTGGATATTTACCCGAGCTTAGATCGTAAGCTCCAATCAGCCCACCGAGATAGCGGATTGTCGTCTCGAAGAGAGGAATGTCCTTTCTTGCAGATGTCTTGAAATCGATCCTGCCCACCTCGGCAACTGCGTCGTGAAATTCATCACGCAATCCCATGATCCAAAGGGTGTCCAGCGAGTCCACCAGAGTCGCACCCCAGCCATTGAACGGATCCCCCACTTCTTTGGATATGGGCTTGAGCTCATCATGAGGTAGAGAGTAATTTTTGTAGCCGAACCAAGCATGCTTGAACGCTTCACGGATCACAGTCTGCTTTCGGAGTCGATCTGTTTTCATCGCGGGCTTCTCTGTGCCAAAGCTGTATTGCACTTTGGGCAGTGACTTAGGTTCGCCGGTCGGCAGCGGTATCAGACTTTGAGAGGGTATCGGGAAATGCTCTTCCTGTTGTATCCAATATGCCCTCCCGGGTTCCAATGGCTGAGGTTTTGACCCATGCCGCCCTCGACCTTGTTCATCAACTCTTTCATCATTCAAACTCGGCTGTTGGGCGAGCAGCTCTTCTTTGGACGCTGTGGGCTGTGAAATTGGGGAAGGTGACGGCGACGAAGTGGTTTCTGGCAGAGGGCGAGGGAGAGGAACGTTTTCTGGAAACTCGACCGGTGGTAAAGCAGGGTGCGCCGCTTGTACTGGGGGCTCAGCGGGCACTTCTGGAGCTGGCGCAAGCGCAGGGTCATGAAGCTCCTCCGAAGAATCTGTGCTCGAGACAATTTTCTTGGTAGCGTGATCGTTCTTCAATCCCACGAGTGCCTCGAGGGCTGGATTCTCCCAGTGATTGACCCGGGTCAGTTGGTAGACTGACACAATTGCGACAACAGCCACTAGCAGGAACAATCGGTAGCGTCGGAAGCGCATCATCATCATCATCCTGTACGGCGTGCTTCAGCAGCGGTCGCGGATCGGGTGATGGAGATCAGAGTCCGTCGACACGGTGTGACGGCCCACATTTGATAGAGACTGCTTGGGGAGCTCAAAAGTCCGCCGGACAATTAGTGATACAGAACAAAACTGGTGCCAGAGACGGGCATGCCTCCGAGCGCAGGATTGGAGGCGAACGAGTAGCACCAAATGCGATCCTCTGGATGTGCTCGCAGGGCCGAAGCATGAGCAAAAGCAAGGCAGGAAGAGGAGTTTGACAGCCTTGACCCGGTAATCACCAAGTGGACGTTTGAAGAGGAATCACCACAGTTCTGACGAAGGCATCCCACGAGCATGTACCGTAGATCAACAACTTCGGAAGATGGGTCTGAAGGATGATGACGGGCATGATGAGTAGAGGAAGTGGCACCTGGTGGGAACTGTAGGGCGCTCCTGGAGACTCCTGGAGATTCCTGGGCGATGGCAGCGACCTTTTGGCCGCAAAGGCCGCCAATCATGCATCACAGGCCTCTACCCGCACTGCTGCAAACAGGGGAGCTCCTCGGCCTGCGGCTGGGGGAGGCTCCTCTCTGCGTGGTGAGCCCCCAGTTGCTGCCGCCAAAAGCTGACGCTGTGGGGAAGAGTCTGGTGCGTGTCTTGGCAAGTTTGTGGCATTTCGCCCGCCCTTCGGAGATGAGCCTAGCTATTGCCAAAGAGCGGAAAAAAGAGCACACAAGGACGCACACACAGACACGGCTCGAAAAGGGCCCCATGTTAGCGCAATCAGGACGAAGACAAAGAAACAACAAGTGTGGGCCATCACGCCTTTCATCCTTTCCCAGTTTTGAAGTCATGTCATTTTCTCCGTCTAGGCCCCGCCGCATACAAGGGCATCCCAGGGCATCCCATCATGACGGAAATTATAGGTCAATACATCATCAGGACTGGAGCAAGACGGTTGCCTTCTTCAGCCTCTGCTCTAATTCCACATGAAAGGTCTCGTGCCGCCCCAGGTGTTGGAATCCGTAGATGGGCTTTCTCTTCAGAAAGTCGCCCACTATGGAAGTAAAGACGATTACTTCCTTGACCAGGTTCCCCAGCAAGTCCTGCTCTGGGGCCGGGACAGCTGACGGAACCGGGGTGTCGAAAAAGCCAGGCATGCCCTCAAAGTGGACTTGTTCCTGCAAGAACTGACACTCCATGTTCCCTAGGACGCATTCATCCAATCTGCCTTGGCACAGCCGCTCACACAGCCGAACCAGATGGTTGATGATGTTGGAGAGCAGCAGGTGGCATGAGTAATCAGCTCGAACCGATTTGCTGCGTAATATCCTCCGCACGGCCGCGTTGCTCTTCTTCAATAGCTCAATTTGCATCTCCCGTGGCTGGGACTCATCGGACGAATGCCTTTTGAGGTGAGCGAGCAATTTGATGCACACAGTCTCCTCATCCTCCAGCCCGGGCTCAATGTTGCGGGAAAGTGGCACGGTATAGGTTGGTGGTTGTAGCTTGGATGGATCAACTGGACACGAGGAGTGTCTCGAGAGGGGTCGAGTTTCAAGCTGGGCCGGCGACAGGTATCGCGTAAATTGAGGAGGACTGAGTCCCGGTGTGGGTAGCCCGCTGTTGTTGAAGAAGCTGATGTCGCTAGCCATCGAGTAACTCCGGTTATCTGACATCTCCAAAGCGCCCAGTGACTCGGTTGCCTCGTCGAAAGTTAAAAACCCTGGGTCGCTATTGACGATGAAGGAGGACCAGGTAGGGGGGTTGCCGTGTCTCCGGCCCGGTTCGTCTGAACCGTGGGTGGTAGCAGGCGAGGGGATGGACTGTATAGGGAGCGAATTATGGACAATCCACGACTGGGAATTGATGGTGCCGATGGAGTCGTCAATAGGCCGCTTTCGTCGTTTGCCTACCACTTTCCCGACTCTGGATTCGCTGTAGACGCAAGACAGTCTTTTTTCAGAGCATCTGCGACAGCCCTCTTTGTTCCCATCACACCGAACCTGTTTCCGCCGAAGTCAGTGGAGAAGGTTCGGATGAAAAGGATGGGCGCAATATTACCTTCGCCGAGAAGCAGTGGTTGCAAGCAGCCCTGAGTTTGATGGGCTTGGGCTCTGTTTTGGAAGCGCTGGGTGTCGTCTTCATGGAAGACGAAGAAGTTGAGGGGTCGTTGGTGGCAGGAGTAGTCGAGGCAGAAGCAGATAAAGGTGGCATTGTTATCGTCGCCCTTGCACATATGTCAACCGACATGTCTCAGCCCGGGAATGCAAGATACCAACCCAGATTCAGCGACCATTGTGGCTTGTTTGGTAAATGTATCCACGCCAAAAGAACAGGCTCAAAGGAATAGTCTCGACAGTGTCCCCGGACAATTGTGTAGCAGTCTGGTATACTAAGGATCGGGCTCAAGGAAAGAGTGTGGATTTGAAAGAGCGGGGGGCAGGGAGACACTGCGAGTGCCAGATGTTTGTGACAGATGATACTAAAGAAGGGCAGAGGCGCACGATGCGAATAACGACTATAGCCCTCTTCTATATCCAAGCGGGAATAAGCAGGGACCGTAATATGAAGAAGGCAGCAAGCCAGAGTCATGGATGGAGTGGGCTGATTTATCATTTCGTTGCTTTTCCAATGTGGCCCCGGACGACTCAGGGTCGAGATAGGAGCTGGCTTGCTCGAGGTTAGAGGATCATCTAGTGCCGTCAGTCCAGAGTGGGCTTGATCCATTTGCCGCGTGGGATACGAAGGTTGATGCCGGTGACGGGATGGCATTATGGGCCATTCAGGTCAAGTGGCAGTGAAACTGCTTTGTGCCACGATGGTCGTTCCCATTCATGTGGTGGTGGTACTACGTAGTCAGCACCAGTGTCCGCAAGCATTCAAAGGAGCAGGGGAGACGGCAGATGAAGGACAGGGGTGGCCATAGACCAGGGGCAAGCTGGCTTGCAAGGACCAGGGTGCTATGCCTTGCCCCTTGGCGTCCAATACTCAACCGGGGGATCTGGGCAGCGCCTCAAGCAGAAGCGGTAACCCGTCTGGGTCCATTTGGCTGGGCGACCAACAGGTTCCACCAGCCCACCTGGGCTGCTGGGCCCACCTTTGCAGGATGAACCCCCATCTCGCTTTTAGAGCTGTCAGACATAATCCCCTCAGCGTCATTGACAACTTCTGTCCCCGACCCTGCCCAGCGCGTGGCTCGTTCGTCCGGGCTCTTGCTTATGCTAGCCAAAAGGCCAAAGAGGCTGTCCCTGGGGTGCGCAGCAATGGGGTCGAAGACAATGGCGCAAGAGGAAGTGTGGTAACGAGCATTGCCTGTGATCCAGAGCTCGAGAAAGCGGCCTCCAGCCCGAGGGTTGGGCTGAAGGACCACCAGAGGAATGGCTTGCTGATCAGACAATAGCTTCCCCTTCCTCCCTGGTATGCACTTCGCGAAACTGGGGCGCATTTTCCAGGAGCTGTGATTATGCACCATCACAAGATTGTCGTCATCACACAATAGGTCCCGGTGCAGTGAAGTCCCTATTGTTATCACATTACCCCAGAAATAAGCCCTTCTTGGAGACAGCAACCCTCTCACGGCTCGAATAGCAACGAAGAACTCGCAGTTTACCGCAGTTCTGCTTTGGTTGTTATCTGCCCTGAGCTGTATTACTCAGGGCGGCAAAGTGGCTAGCGTTCAACACAGTCCTTCATCCAAATTCGATTGCAATGTTCAAATAGACAAATGTTGAAATTGATGAGGGCCTCTGACGTTGTTAGTATGTCAAGAATGGCCAAAGACGGTTAGAGCAACACGGGCAATTGATTGTCGCTTGTTAGCGCAATGCTAAGTCTCCTGTGGCTAGTTATTTGACTGGTTGACAGCCCCACCGAGACGTCACTAACCCATTTTTGTACAAAACAGTCGAGCCTTGTCTGCTCCAAGTACGTACACATGAACACCAATCCCTTTCTGCCCGTATTTGTCAAAGGGCATGGCGTTCGCAGTGTCGTATAACGGGTGACTGTTGACCATCTTAACGCCCATGTTCCAAAATGGCCATATGCACAGAAAAAGTCAGCAGGGAATCCATGTTCCAAGTGATGAATCATGACGAGCACTTGCTCGCATTCTCTAACTGCAATGTTACGGGTCCAAATCGGGGCCGGGGGAAGGGTGTTGCGTTGCGGTTTAGTCTCAGCCTCGTAACCCCTTTCACACACCCTCGGCGGACCTGAGCTGCGCCTTCTGGATCGATCGGGGCTAGTGAGACTGCGGCTGCAACAATTGGGCGTCCCCTATTCGCATCGTATTCATGAACAATCTACTTGAACTTTCTCAGTGTAGAGTTGAGCTGAAGGTCCCACCTTTACCGTCTCTTTATGTGGCATCGCTACGCCTTACGCGAAAGTTTAGTTGACGAGCAGCACGAGGCCATAGTCGTATATCCTTAGGATGTATGATGTTCAGGGCTTTGACACTGGCTGACGTACCTTCTCTCCTTTTCTGCACATGTGGTCCTAGGGAGCCGTGGTCCCTGAACGGTTTGATTGTGGCAAAGGCCAGACAAGCCAGCAGTTGGTCTTCTGGCCTTTTCCTGTTCTCATCCGCAATTTGCAATCTATTACCCGGCATATTTGACGCATATCCTGTGACGAGTAGATGCTCTGCAACAGGAAAAGGTTCATCATCAGCTATTCGCACATCGCGATCGGCTGTACTCCGACATGTCGGGTCTGCACCAATATGTGCAAGTGCATCCTTGTGGCCGGAGTAACGCCTTCCAAGACCTCAGCTTTCTAGATACAGTTATCCAGTGGTCTGGCTGAGGGGGTTCTCGCCCGTGCCATGCTTTTTCTGCCAGAAACCGCAATCTCGGCACTCGGGCGATCTCTCGCCCCCCCTCGCATACCATGGCAACCGCCACCCTCACACATCTCTCCCACCCTCCAAAATGAGCCTTGGCCAGTTTCCCATTTTAGATGCATATCACAAATAAGGGACAAGGCCCCTGCGCGTGGCTGCGATCATCCCGCAAACCAGGTTTCGGAACTGTGCATGGCTTCTTGGGAGCCCGCCTCGTGGTGTCGGGGCGTGCAGGGCTGAAGTGTGTAATTGCAATTCCATAGCAACCCAAGGAACTCTCTACGCAGGATGGTGAGCAAGGCAGCAAAAATCCAGCCCCCCACGAAAGGGCATCAAATACACGGTGAGCAGTAGCAGTGCTCCGAATCATCGGAGCTACCCGGTCAGTTTGTCCGCCAATCCATCCCCATGGAAAGCTTCCATCATCCAGCTCATCTGTCTGACGCGCAAAAAGACATTCCGACTGACAGAAACAATAACAGAAAGAGAGCAACAAGAAGTTAATTCGAAGCCTAGTTGATCCTTCCATCCTCGAATCAGCATAGATCACCTATCCAAACCTCGTCTGACGGGGCCTTTCTCGCATCCTCCTTTGCTCGCTTATCCTTTGCATCGGTTTTCATTCTCAGCCGCAGGTTAAGGCGGATCAGCTCCAGCCAGGTGGGGGGGCAGGTATCCTGGTCTCCTAGGCGCTCTGGCAAACTAAATTGCTTACCTGATAATCGACCCCAGCCCAACTATTTATAAAGCAGCTTCTGGTCCTGTACTGCGGTGCAACAAACACCGTTGCTCCTAAAGTACCGAGTTCACGGACAATAAGCCAGGCGCTGGCTGCGGACTACTGAGTCAGTCAACGGTCGGCAAAAGCCCTACTACATCAAGACTTTACCTTTTCCGAATGTCCAAGTCATGCAAACCAACAGCCGGTCAATAAGGCAACGAGCGGTCCAGTTGTTACAGCTGCCAAGTCGCTTCAGGGCGAAGTACGACCCTGCTGTGTCATCGACTTCATTTCACTATCGCCTGCACACTAAGCTCGCACCGCATCTCGTGATGGCCCATGGCTATAGTCCAATTGGTGGGTATCAGGACTTTACGAGCATCGACGGCTGGTTAGGACAGCCAGTATACGAGGGATGCTCCAGAAACGGCCACTCGTACAACCCAGCCGCGAAGCACTAGCCGAGAGCGTGCTAGTATTGCTGTGGTGGCTCTGTCGACCGCTTGGGTCAAGCGACAAACTCCGCAACATAGGTCAGCGGGAAGATCGCTGTTGCGGTCTTCAGGTTCCTTCCAACGGTCGCCCGGGCTAATGTAATGTGGCCAGCACGCTTACGCTCGATGTGTTGTTGACCGCACGTTTCACATCTCACCGCAGGACTTGATGGCGCCTGCAGCGCCACTGGTTTCATGGGGTGAATTGGTAAACCTACTATTCAAGCGCTACCCCAGGAGACAGGAAATGCGACCGCATATTTCTGGAAGGGCAAGGGCCACTCCCAAAAAGGACCTTGCTGACCAACTCAACTTATCAGTGGGCTGGCCCAATGACAGCCCTGTGATGTCTTTCCTCTCACGTAGCAAGTTCCTTCTTCACACCGCATCGGCTTCCAAAATGCCGGCCGCAGCAGAGGTTGGACCACCTGGCTATTGGTCTCACTCATGCTAGCGCTCGTCAAAATGTCGGTCCCAGACTGACTGATGGCGGTGTTTCCCCATGAATTTCGGTAGCGGCCAGCCATCAAATCCTCAATGTCGCCGAATGGATTCAATCCTTGACTAATACGATCTCATCAACTTTCAGCCTTGTTTGCGAACTCGGTTGCACTTCCCTGCAGTCACCTGATCACCGTGTCATTTCGCTAGGACGTTATCAAACCGTGTCAGCCCAAGTTTTCGATCTGTTTACAAAGGTAAGCTATGATCTTGGCAGATGCAGGCGTGATAAGCCTGGAACACGAAGAACTCACAGTGAAGATGGTTATAGGGCATTCTCCGGCCGCGCATCTTGCCCTGTTATGGGAAATGACGTTCTATGCCATGTTCATGTCCATTTACTGATTTGCGGATCCAGCATGTCCTGAACGGCCGCAGTAAGATGTGGCCACCGGGCCAGCTGGTCCTCCACACTGGGCTTGTCAACACCATCCTTCTTCGAGCTCGGGCTGCGAAAGATGGCAGGGCACACGTTCTACGGTGAACGTGCGGCGAGACCTCAAACTAGTGCATGCTCATACCAAACCATACCATTACTAGTGAGTAACAGGTTATACCTATACTCATATATGGAGGATGGACCACTATTCGTGGCCAGATTTCTGACTGATGATGATCGGAGGGGACCAGCCTCGACGGCCATATTTCGGCTCCATATCGTTACTGTGGATAGCCGCCGCTGATCCTGCTCAGACACACAAGGACTTGTCGGCTCTCTAACCCGATGGAGGCCGAGTCCGTAGACATACGCGCCGAAGAGATGTTGCCGCACTGCGTCCCTGCCCAGCAGCAATAAGTCTATCCAAGTCGAGCCTAATCTCGGATCATCTGTACCTAGCATTCTAAGCTTTGCTCGGTATTGCTTGACAGAGCCATGCCCTGACTCTGTCAAGCAATACATGCCAAACTCGAGCATGTGTCTCTCTGTCCAGATCTGACCAAGGGACCACGGATTGTTTGATATGCCACCGACCCCAGAAGCCATAACCTTACCGGAATCGTCCCTACAGCGGTCGAATCGCCTTGGCACAACACCATCGCAAGCTTACGATATTCATTAGACCACGTGCAACCCTCGAGGCAGAGACACTACTAGCACACCGTTCAATAGCAACTGCATCCCCGAGCAGGTGGCGATGATTGATGACAGCGTCAAGTCGGAAAGCGCAATAGGCAAACCAGCTTGAGCTGACTATTTCGATCCAGCCGACTGCTCAAATGGCCTGTTTCAATCGTCTCACCAGTCGTGTTGACATGGGTGAAGGAGGGTGGTCCAAAACACATTCTGGATATAGTCTTCGTGGCTGGGGGCTGACAAGCAGCGAACTCCATTGAGAGGAGGCAACGACCGTGGCTGGACCGAATGGGTGGCCAGCTTCTTTAGCTTTGGCAAGGCATCGGAGATCATGTTATGAGACAGGACGACTCTCGGCCGGCGCTGTCACGTTCGACATGTATCGAGGATCCCCCGTTTCCCTCCCCCTTTCCTGCTCTGGTGGACTTTTATTTATGGCCCAACAAATCTGAGACTGTCAATATGCTTACAACATCAATGACGATGCGGCCCATATTGTAGGATTCTTTTTGGGAGGCCCACTCATCCAGCCATGAGATTGCCGCATTGTCCAGGGGTTAGCTGACACAGCAACTTGTCCCAAGGCGATGGCGATCTCCACTGAAGGGAGGAGCAATGGTTTTCTTGCCTCGAACTTGGAGGCGAGCTTGCCCCCTTAGCCCTTCAACTCTGAATTTCTCTGTTTCTTCCCCACCTGATGCTCAGCCAGCAGAACTGAATGTGCATAGCCAGCAATCTCATCCCAACCACGTCCCTCTGCAAAGGTAAGGCTTGCCCCCAGAAGCAGAGCTTCAACAAACCCAAAAGAGCAGCCCTCAGCTCCAATTTCAGAGGGGTGCCTCAGTGCAGCGTGGCTCATTCGATCTGGGCAACACAAACACATCAATGTCACATTCAAGAGCAGGCAGGGGTTATCAACGATCACGGTGACAAGAAAGTCGAGCATGACGATAATGATCAGGGAGGATGGCCAGTGGCCAACCAATTGGAATCACAAGATTCCCCGCAAGAAGTTCACCTCTTGCGCCAGCTTATTCTTGACAGATACTCACGTTGCATAATACCGACGCTCTATTTAGCGGAAGGAGTTCTGCTGTCCCTACTTTTCGACTCGTGTTGGCTTTCTCACACACTGCTTAACCTCTCCACCTATCCCTACCTATCGCAAAGCTCGTTGAAACGTTGAAAAGTCGCAGAGAGATGACAAAGAGGTAGACTATTGCGCTGGGAAAGGGATTGGATGAGAAAGAGAATGCAAAGGCCGGAGATGAGAAACACAATTCTAAATGGCCGTTCGTTGGATGCCTAGACTGCGTGGCATTCTGCCCTCTCCGGCCTCCAGGTTGCATATCGTGACTCGACATGTGAGGAGGGAACTGTGTTCCCTTGGTTACTGCAAAGAGATGGACGCTTTGCTTCAAGATCTTTTGGTGTCGGACACACGGTGGAATCAGCCCAGGAATCCAGTGCCGTTCCCAAAGTTAAACCCAGATCCCAAGAGAGCAGGTGGAGTTCCCATGGTCAAGCCACGACTCGAGACAGTTTCTGCATGCAGGATGTTAGACTATCACGTAGACTGAGATTGCACGCACGATCAACGGCATGGACACGGCTTCTCGCCGTCGAGGCGGATCTGCGACCCTTGGTACCTGAAACGTGACGCCTGCTTACGAGTACTTTGGCCAAAGGATCACCAGCCTGCCACTCAGAGGTCGCCTGTACTCGTATACATCCATACAATTCAGACCAAAACCCAAGGCGAAACGAAGGGAGGAAGGGCAGAAGAAGTCAAGAGGCACACCCGGAGACAACGGGACCAGCAGCAGCGAATTCGCTTCTTTGACAACGAGTCATGAGCGGTGATTACGCCTAGTCCTCAGCATCCGCCTGGTCCGCGGCGCTTTACAGCCTCAACGTTTAGTCCTTTGCCTCGTGGTTACGTTGTCTCCGTCTCTATACCTCGCACCGCCTCACCTCGCCACCGGGCACTTTGCATTACCGTTCGTCCATCGAGTTCCCTTGTTCCTGGGATAGAACTCGATGTGTTTCCGCGCCGTGGCCTAGCACGTACCCGTAATATCGTCCGTCCCGCATCCACAACTCCCATTTCGCCCTCCGCTTTAGACAATCAACTCGTCTCGTCTCATCTCCAACGAAGCTTGTTCTCACAAAATACAAATACTCTGCCGCGCGAGTCAGCACACCACGTGCCAGCCAGAAGAGGGGGGGGCGGGAGTTCTGGTCTTTTATAATCGAGGTCGTCGTCGTCGCCGGTTGTCCCAGGCTAAGCCCGAACGGGCCATCCCTTCTCGCGTTCTCATTGGGCCCTTTTGTCGGCATTCCGCCGCCCCCGCGACGACAACTCTCCTCGCCTCCTCGCCATCCTCGCCTTCCACCGTATGTTCTTGGCGTCAGTGTCGGCCCTGAGGTACGAGAAGCCTTGGCCCCCAGGCGGCAATGGTGCTCGTTCGTTACATAGGTACTATTACTTAAGCTGCTTAGCTACCTAGCGAGGGCGGGATGAGTAGGTAGCTAAGGTACTCGAAAGGTAGGGGGGTGTTTGCCTGAGATGGCTACGCTTTGGCCCCCTCTCCCCACCTCCGCCCTTTGAGTGATCAATACGATACTGACTGTGACGGGGCCCAGGAGTCCAGGACGAGCATTGCTTGGTTTGACTATTAGAACTCGGACGAGAGTAGCTCGCGAGTCAGGTCGGGCCCACGCGCTGATCCTTGGTTTGATCCACGACGGTGTCAACACATGGAGGAGCCCAATGCCAGCTTCAGCATCAGCATCAGCTACTTTGGCTAATACTTGGCTACCTACGAGGTACGTACATACCCACCTATGTATGTACCACACTCCCGCGCCGCCTCTGTTGAGGGATTGCTTGCCAGGAGTGAGAAACCTACATACCCACAGAGCAAGGGAGACGATCTACAGCAACTGCAGAGCCCCAAAATGTCTGGATCGGGAAGGGGGTCCGTCCCAGAGAGGAAGAGAGGAAACATGGAGGTTGGGGGACGAGCAAAATGCCTACTACGTACCTAGGTACCTGGGTAGGATCCGTCTCTCGGTTCTTCATGACCCTCAGCTCTGCAGCAAGAGAAGATCGGGAGAAAATCACAGGGGCCATGCTGAATCCATGCAGTCGGTCGATGGGTGCTTCGTACGTACTGCCGAGCACAGCTATGTGGGTTGTCCCCCTCTCACCGGATAGGTACTGGAGTAGGAGGTCAGATTGGTGCTCTCCAGCGCATGAGGCTATGTGCCGATGTACCTTGCGGGCATCATTGTATCACGTCCACCGTGTGTCAAGACACGCACGCAGAATCTATCCATGTTTTCCTGTCCAAGGACCGCGAAACCCGATCTGACACCCAATGCTACGGTCAGACCAGGGTCTGAATCTGGATAAAGCCTCGTCGAAACCCGCCCAGCGCCGTCGCGCGCTACCCCCCTTTACTTGGCTCGCCTGAACAATACTTTACCCGGTACGGCATACGGGGTGGCAAGTTCGAGAACGCCTCAGCAAGGGGGGAGAATCCGTACGTGGCGGATATGATGTCGCGAGGGAGAGAGACCGTTCTGCCTTTACGGCCGTTGAATATTCTCCAGGCCCGACCGAATGCCTGCTTTTGACCATCCATTAATCAGGCAGGTTGCAACTGCGCCCTCGTTCATTCATAAGAGACTCGAAGTGAGAAATGATGATGCGCGTGGGCCAGTGACCATCGCGAATGGGAAAAGGTCCAAGAGAGGAAGCCATGGCCGTGATTAAATGCTTTGGGAACGCTTGGCCCTGAAGCCTTTTTGGGATATTTTACTCCTAATGAGGGAGGACTTGTCCTGTACGTTTCCCCCTTCGTCGATCCTGAGAACTGGACTTCTACAAATGCCATATGCCGAACGTCGGCAAGTTGCTTTCGAGAGCGTTTTCCGACGCCAGGCTCTCGGCATGCAGGACATGAATCCAAGACGATCCAGATATCGGGAAATCCCCCTTGCCCTTTTCCCGATGCTGGTATAACCCATTTGCGCGCCGCTGTCGCCTGTGCCATGCTGATGCAATATCCCTTGAGCTGTTATCTTACACAACCAAAGCAGCCCAGACCTGTTGCCAAATAAGATGCCTTGAGTATTTCGGGCGTCACGGGAGTTTCCAGGTTTCTCCTTGGCCCGACTCATTCACGTTAGACCTTCTCCTGCTTTGCTCAGCCATTGATCCTCTCCTGTCGATCATGCTTTCTCCAAGACGTGCTCACTTCCGGCCTTTTCCACTCCCTCCTTCCTGCCGCCCACGTCCCATTTTCAGTATCAAAGGCCCGTCTCAGTCCCCCTTGCCCTGCCTCCTTCCTGAGCCTGAGCCTTCTGAAACTGTCTGATAAGCCCCAGTGGTCCCATGGGTTGCATGATCGCCCGCGCATCGCGTTCATTTTCTTCATCTTCACTACCTGTCCCAGAGGATGAATCAATTTCATATTTCCAGGACCCTAGTTCGCCCTCGTGAGCCGTGAGACCTGCGGGCGCAGAAGAGAGGCGATCTTGGACCCCCCCTGCAGTCGGTTGAGATGGTCCTGTTCTCTGAGCCTGAAGCTCAGTGGAATCTTCTTCCTCCGCGACATCGTCGGGAATTTCATGCCCGCGCTCAACCGTAGCAGCCCGCCGGGGCTTCGAAAAAAGCGAGCCACGTGGTCGAAGAGCCTGTGGCGACGAAGCGAACCCGCTCACAGAGGGTTGATGATGTGGGTCGAGCAACAGCGACTGAAGCGGAGAGCCAAATGGTTGAGACTGCCCATGGCCCTGACCCGTTGGGGGATGCTGGGCGCCAAATCTGGGAGTACCCAAGGCTCCACGATGCGGCGATGTTATCGAACCGAGGCCTCCTGCACTGTGTCGATGGGCGTGCATACCACCGCTGAACGTATTACCGTGGTCTGATGCTGGGAACGATGGTGAAGGCAATCCCGGGACAGGGGGTGGCATGTTGAAGTTAAAGCGCCGTCTGGAGGTGTGATAAGGAAAATGGATATCGGTTTTCGGATTGCGCGCGTAGTCGTTCATGAAGCCCCAGTAACTGTGTTCGAGCTTGTTGTCCTTGGACGCGAAATAGTCGTCCCGCAAATTGGCATTGGCATTGGTGTTACCCACATCTGTGACTGCACCACCTGTACCGGCTTCTGCCGGCGGTGATCTTTCCTTGGGAGCAGGCCGCATCGCCTGGTTCATGAAGCGAAACTCGGCGAACGTACAGACGTATCCTATACCATCGACGTGCACCGTGAATTCTCGAAAGAAGTCAATGATTCGCTCGCTACATTTGGGTAAACTGAGCCATAGCACAAAGGGCGTGAAGAAAATACTGAGCACCTCCTCCAGGAAGATGACGAGTTTCATCTGGTACAACTGGGAAAATTCTTCTTTGACCTCCACGGTGTGAAGACGGCCCGCCCAGTGCTGCGGCTCGTAATGTGTAAACTGTATCACCTCTCCGATCGAAAAGGCCGTGTCGTAGACCATATTGTCATCCGGCAGCAGGCCACGCGCAACAGCCCATATCGACCCGAAAATGCCAATATAGAATATTGTAGTTCGGCCCGGCGTCACCTCGAAATTTAAAAAGTTGTCTTGATCCAAGATGGTTGCGAGGCCCAGGACCGATACCACGGCTCCAGATATCAGGCTGACGAATCTGGCAATCTGGACGGTTTTATCTTTGGGGAATTGATTGATATATCTGTCGGCAAAAGGATACGACATGTTTATCCGCCGCCGGAATAGGTGGTGCAGCTCGTTGAATTCTCGGAACTTCCACTGTGCAAACGGCGTATACTCTCTCATGCCAATCTGAGCAGGGTTCTTCTGGTAGTCATTGAAATTCTGGAAGAAGTGTTTCAGGACGAAGAACGTGGCAAGGAACGGGGCAAAGGCAAGGCTGGTAAATCCCGCCAGGATGAAACGTGAACGGAGGGCATTCGCTAGGTCTTTCCGGTGTGTATCCTTCAGGAACAGAGGTCGAACTTGTCCTTTGCGGTTGAAAACAAAGTCCATAATGCACAGCTCAATGTTCCATTCTAGTGTCCGAGTAAAGAGCTTGCGGTTGCCGAAGAAGGGGATGGGTAGAGTCAGGTCCAATATATCCTTGTTGATCATGGCAATCATGTAGTTCTGCCTTCGCATCAGTCTGTTGGCAATGTCGTGCGCATCCATCCGTTGCTTGTTCTGCGATTTGATATAGCCACTGGTCTTTTTGGACGTTGAAGAAATAATGGGGTTCGAGTCACGCAGAGCCATCAGGCGACTGACAACTTCCTGCCATGATATTGACTGGATTTCCGGCTCAGGGATGTCGAGGAGGTAAAAATAGAAATCATGCATGTTTTTCAGACGAGGGATGTCGAAGAGGTACAGGACACCTTTCCAGAGCCATATGAAAGTGGTGAGCCAGAGCAAAGCGTTCGGAACAAATCCCATCCGTTTGGTACATTGCGGTACGAGGATCTCGGACATCTTCGTGCTCCCTCTGATCTCTCGGTAGTCGATACACTGAGTGAGGAAAATGGAGAAGCCGACCACGAAGGCAACAGTAAGGAGATTGAAGAATCGCATGAGGATCGTAGACCAGAAACCGTGGTTCAAGTAATAGGTGTAGACCTCCAGCAGGAAGTTATCCAGATCTGTCACATTGACCCATCGAAACATGGCTTTCTCCTTAGGATCTGCTGTGGCCAGGTTGCCTCCAACAATACGTCCAGCTGGCCTAGATTGTGCCGTTCTCTGGCCGCTGCTTGGACTGGACTTGGGTCGGTATCTTGCATGGAAATCTTGAGCAGCCGTCGAAGGACTGGCATCGCGACCTTGCAAAAGGCCCTCCGGCATCAGGCTTGGGGGAGGAGGTAGCGACATGGAGCCATGATCAAGACCCATTGCGTTGTGATCGATCAGCAACGACGCTGGGACATCGTCGTCCGCCTCTTCCACATCCAAGAGTTTGTGAGTTCTCGGGGTTCGTCTTGTCTTGTTCTGGGCTCTGCGCGTATCTTTCCGCTGCACTTGAGACTCGGCGGAGGCCGCAGCAGTAGCAGCAGCACGGCCATCATGACGGGGGCTTCTCCGATGTGACCGAAGATTGGACCGGTGTAATTCTTGATTGTTGAACCCATCTCTTCCGTTTGCTCCATCTAGGGCCAACCCCGCGGTCTCCTCAACATCGAAATTGTCCGAATCCTCATCTTCCTGCCGGATGGCGTCATAGATGGAGGCAGAAGGGTTGTTGGAGGCCGTAAATCGAGACATGAAGTTGGAAGCCATCCTGGACTACCATCGACGACAGGTTGGGCGTTGGAGGAGGGCGTGCAGTAAGGCGAGAGATGAAAATCTATGACGAGGAGAGTGGGTAAAGATCAAGACATGGTCATCTCGGCGTGTTGATGCCTGCAACTGGCCGTGCAAACGCTCTCGCGCAGGCACATGACAGACTAACTCAACAGGCAGATGAGGGAGGGTGGGGGTGTCGGATCGCTGTGCAGATGATCACTGCAGCATAAGAGCAAGAATGCAGGTCATTCGTGATGCACACAGTAAGGAAGGACACCAGAGGATGCAAGAGAGCGCAGAGGAAAGCAGGCAAAGGATGGAGGGATGCTGCGGTCAGTCGAGTCGGGGATCGATGCGGCTCTAGATCGCCTGTGTGTAAACATGCGGCCCCTTCCCCGGAAGTCAAGGCAGCCTCCAGCATTAGTTTGGCAAGGCTGCGCCCCGCACTCCGACGAGGCTGTCCTCTGTCCAGTTCATTCGACTCTATTTGCTGGATCGAACCACGCGCGATGGTTCTTCTATTCTAGGCTACATTGCCTCAATTATATAGTGAGGTACAGTGGCTTGTGCCATCTATCCTTCTCCTCAAATCAAGGAGCGTCGCCGCTCAACTACATAATGCTTTCTTTCTAAAAGAAGAGGGCTGCCAGAAACGAAACACCGAAACATGCAATCACCCATTGTTGATGTTGTTCGACCTTTGATCTGTCAAGCTTCTCTAAGCTGCTGTACCCAGCCGCCAGCACAATGGTAAGCAAGATCAGTCGGTTCAAAACTCCGGTGACGAATTTGAAGCACAATAACGGCAGAAGTGTCATCGTAAGAATGCAAATAGGGACGTATTCTAATGCGGGGCCGGTGGAATGTGTTGACGCGGGTGAAGTCGTCTCCTTCAACGATATCAAATCCTCATTGTCGTCCAAGAACCTGGATTCCGGGAGCGAGAGGGGGCTGTGTTCCTGTAACCATGTCCGGAACTCTGCAATCTCTGTCGTTGTTGGGGACGAGGACAGCATGCGGACTCTTTGGGAGGCTGAAAGCACTTGATCTGGCACCAAGTCAGCGTGTCGCAAATCACCCCACGAGATTCCACGACGTACAGTATTGTTCAAGCTTCATCGACAACCGTCCCAAGATATGCAACCGATGCGCCGGGAGATCGGACTGACCCCATTGCCAGCTCAATCGTCTGGAGGCCGGCGACATGCTGCCGTCCACATGGAGTCGGTTATGGCCATCGACCGAATCCAGAGCGGCTAGTTGTTCTTCCATCTCGGTAATTTCGTCTTGTAGCTGTAGTAGCAGCCGAAAATAGATCTTTTTAAAACTCCGGAAAACTGGTGGAAGGTCCCCGGACGCCAGTCTATCAGCAACGAGATCATATCCGGACAACGTATTTCGTGGTAAGGAAAACTCTTTGTCGCATTCGTCGAGAGTTTGTGGCATGCGTGCACGAACATGCACAGGGCTCGGCGTCTCATCAATCAGGGTCGGGACGGGAGGCCTGTGAGTGGCCACAGGCACCTCTGGATATTTCCATCGTAGTCGTTGCGAGTGATTGGGCTCGATAACTCGTGGTTTCTGGTTCTCGTCGTGTTCCTGGACATCCTCTAGCAAAGGAGGCAAGTGGGTGTCGACGAAAGGGTCATTGTTGGAATGGACAGTGCTATCACCCATTGATATCCCCGAGTCTGAATGCATACTGGGGACGATGCTTTCACTATCGGAGTCGTCCGACACGGGAGTATTCTTCTCCTCAACTGGAGGCTCCTCTTGGGCATCCGGATCGGTAGCGCTCTGCTCGTCGTCCTTGACAAGGAAGGCGAAGACGTCTACTGATTCTTTGGACATGTTTTTCTCCTTGGTGGCATTCACCAGATCGGGCTTCACCTCCGAGGCCTTTCGCTCTCGCTCATCGCTGGGCCTTTTTGGGCGGGAGGATCTACTTCGCTTACTCGGACTTGAGGTGGACTTGGAGTGGGATTCTTGCGTGACGGTGGACGAGCTCTCGGCCGACCCATGGGATCCGGTGGTGATGGCAGTAAGGAGGGACAGTTTGGAAGAACGAGCACCCTTGTGGCCGGCGTAGGTCTGGCTGCGACGCCGACGACCTTGATCGCGCACCGAGCCGGACATGCAGGATTGAGGAAATAGCTTGGCTCAAGGGGGCCGTTCATGGGAGATCCGAATACCATGAAGGTGGTGGCGATAGTGAGGCTTGATTGCATCCAGCAGTGACAAAGAGCGGAGAAACTGTAGTGAAGAGCTCCATCATTTGGCAACGAGGGGAAGGCTGCATGAACGAAAGGCAATGTCATGGACGCAAGATGGAGAGTGGTGGTGGTGGTGGCGGCGGCTATCATCAGTGTATCATGGTCATCCCTCGATGCAAGCAGGACGAACCAGGAGTGAGGTGACAGGTTCGAGGGGAGGGGTACAAACATGTAACACCACCACTCCGACCAAGTGAAAAGGGTGTTTGTCTGCGCGCTAGGATGACGTCCTCCCCCTGAGTGACACGAGGAAGACTCCGAGGAGGAGAGGGGGGCGGCGAGGTCGGGCGGAAAGGAGCTCGTTCATCCCTCAAGGGGGGGAAAATGTGGGAGGACAAGGGAGCCTGCCAAAGGAGTTCCTCTGGGTTTTATCTGGGCGAATCTGCATCGGAGATCAAGATATTCGTGCCCAACGCCTGGCGTGAGCGGGTAGATGCCAGCGAACAGCACGCCGCGAGCTCCATTGCCACCGCCGCCCATCAGCAATAGGATCCAGGGGAAACCACGCATCGGGGAAATGAGGCCTGCACGACGGTCTCCTCAGGGACTGCAACCACTGTTGGCTAGTGGACGAGTGGGATGTCGGATGAGGCAGAAGATTCCAGTGAGATGACTGATTGATCCAATCGACCGACGTCTCATGATAGCGGGTAACGCAATTGGCCGCCTGCGGTGCAAGGCGAATGCGTGGGATTTTTTTTTGTTTTCAATGGCCCTTTTGGGGGGGGGCCGACACAGCGCAGGCTCTCTCTTGTGCCTTTCTTCAGGCGAACGAGGATCTAGACCTAAATCTGTCAGCAGGCTTTTCGAATGGGGAGGGAAACGATCAAAGGAAGAGGGCAGGAGCCCAGTATCGATGACCAGCAGTCAAATAGCAAGCCAGAGAAAAGAAGTCAAGTGGCTTGGTGCATATGAAGCGGAAATTCTGGCGACGCTGATTGAGCCAGCGAAGCCGCTTAGGCAAGGCACATGCAGCCCGCCGCCACCCTAATGCCTGGTACCGACTGATTCTGTGGTCATGGTAGAGGCCAGGCGGTGAAAAAATCAAAAATCCAGCACTGGAATGTGAGAGACAGAGTAGTGCGGGGGGCAATATAAAAGGAGACTTGCCCAAGCTTGAATGGTGAAGAACAAGACGAGAAGAAGATGAGGGCAGCTGGTTGTTTGGGCCTGTCTATGTGCTGCATGTCTCGGCATCACCTCGTCGGCCCAGCACTCCATTTCTACTGACCAAATGACACGCTTCTAACAGACTACCACCTACATATCAAGCACATGCTCGCTAGACAGAGCTAGAGACAATCCACCAATGCATCTTTCAGCAGGCGAGAGACCAATCACGAAGCCCAGAATCTCCAGCCAGGAGTCGCCCGGGCTCCCTCGCACAAATCAGGATGCTTCGTCTTCCACTGCTCGTCCGCATCATCAGGGAACCTCTCCTTGCCTCGGGGCACAAATCGTAGAGGGACGTGTCCAGCCCTCATCTGCAGAGAGATGATGACGCCGAGACCCGTGAGCATCAAGTGCCTCGCTCGCTGGGCAGCCTTTTGCCAGACCTCCACGCGAGCATCCTCGTCCATGGCGATGACCTCCTCGTCTGTCGCCCACTGATCAACTGCCAACTCGACTGAGTAATTCTGCAGGATGACTGCCAGGGTGGCCAGTACTTCGACTTGAGCAAAGCGTCTTCCCAGGCAAGCGCGATACCCGTCACTGAACGGTAGGTATGCCCCTTTGGGTGGCCGGTAGAATCGCTCCGAGGTGTCAGCTGCCTCGTTGATACCCAAGCCATCTGCAGTGACAGTCTCGTTCGGCATTTCCTTCTTGCCATTGGCTGTCACCTGTTGGACTTCGCTACCTTCGTCTAAGAGCCACCGCTCTGGATGGAATTCCTCAAGGTCGTTGTCGAGATTCGCCATGGGATGCACTGCTTTTCCGCCCGGCAGCGATGGTTTGCTTGTGGGCCAATACTTGGGATTTCGATGGACATTGCTCGTCGCAAGACTGATGTAGACCCCACTGGGGACCGTGCAGGGCTTTCCGTCAATGGTGATCGGTTGATCAGGGACACCCCAGGTCGACTTTGGTATTCCTATGACAGGCGGGACCAGCCGCAGCTCTTCTGCCAACACCGCACCAACCATGCCTCCAAAAAGAGCAGGTAAGTCGCGATCATAGTCCCAATCAGAGGGGGGCTTCCCTTGAAATATCCGATCCAGATCCTTTTGCGTAGCCCTTTGGCTCTTCGGATTGAGTGCGAGATAGAGCAGGGAAAAGTGGATGGAGTTGGCGGCGGTCTCATGTCCCGCAAGGATCAAAACAAACATGTTCCCAAGCACCTCGGAATCCGTGAGAGGAACGTCTTTGCTCTTTTCCGTTGTGAGTTGACCTTTAACCAGCTGGGCCAGCAGATCCATTTGGTCCTTGCTGTTCTCATTTCCTCCCTGCAGCGTCTTCTTTTTGGATGCCACGGCTTCCCTCATATAGTTTCCCCATTCATAATAGGCTTCATTGGCCTTCTGAAACCTCGTGAAGGGCATGCGTTTCACTATCCACCTGGGCACGAGAAATTGCACCAGAATATTGTCCAATAGGCAGTGGATGGCGTAGGTGTAACTCATCGAATGGCCAAGATCTCGATCACCCTGATCATTCTGAATCTTGGACTTATCGACATAGTTCACATCGACGTCGGCCTTGGCATCAGAGGAGGGCCATTCCAGTTTCCTTCCAAAGCCTGCCCTGCTAATGACATACAGACTCAGGCGCATGGTATCATCCATGACCCTGTCTACCGTGATGTCGCCTTTTCCTTCCGGGCCAGCCCACGAAGCCAACATGTCTGAAGCTTGGTCGATGCTCTCCGCCCACACAAGGTGGTTGTTCTTCTCCGTGAATGGCGGGCTGGTGGCTTTGCGGTGCTGACGCCAGACCGCGCCCTCGGTTGACACAACATTTTTGCCGTAAATGTCGAGGGAGCGGTAAATGGCCGTGGGCTTGGGGAAATCATTCCTCCTCGTGGTGATCTGGCTGATGACGGCAGGGTCGGCAGTGTGCATCATTATGCCTCCAGGTCCAGCCACAAGAAAGGTGTCGGCGCCGACCTGCTGGAAGACCTCGATACTGCGGCGGTAATAGAAGTCCGGGATACAGAAGTCCACCCATCGCGTCCAGCTACGGGGCAGTTTGGCGAGAAAGGGCAGCCATAGCGGATGGCTCATAAGCCACCACGTGCTGAGGTAGTATACTGGAACAACAACATACGGAATCCCGGAGTGTTTTGCCTTGGTCACGTTGCGGCGGAAGCAGATCAAAGTGTTGACCACACTGTACAGGAGGTAAGCAGCCACCCCGAGGCCGACAATGGACCACATCTTGACGGAAGGGGTGTCTGATGGAAGAGGATTGAACAGATGTTGCAGATATCGCAGATATTTTCCCGGGCCGGCAGAGAAAATATAACCCCAAGTCCTGAAAAAGAACAGAGAGGGCGGTGATGGGAGTAACGAATGCGAGGCGGGGCTTGTCTGAGAAGCGTCAAAGAGGAAAGGTTAACGAGGTTTCGAAAGTGGTGGCGAAGGGTCGACGCAGGGATGATCAGAGGCGCGCGAGTCGAGGTGACATGTTGTGGATGTGACCGTGTAGATGAAGCCGCCTACTTGTAAGCAGGCAGTCCCTGGGGAGTCTTGATAGAGCGAGCGAGTGTTTCGTTGAAGCGAAGGATCCTTCAAACAGACGAGATTTCCACCAAGCATCTCGGATCGGGCAGTCCGTCCTGCGTCCATGAATCATCAGCCCCAAGTTGTCAGTCAGGAGGGAGCGGGAGGACTTGGACCGAGAATGATTGGGGGCTGGTCGTTCGCTTGCCCACCATCAAGTGTTCCAAAGTAAGTGAACAGCTGGTGAAGAAGAGGCACAATTGTCAGTGACAGGTTCATGGTTGTTCTGCCACTCAGCGCATATCACGATGGTCACGGTCAGCACTTGGGCGACACAAGATCGAAGCGAGCCTCGGTTAGGCGGTTAGGGGGGCTAGTAAGGCCTAAGGCCCTAGTTCCGGGCTCGCAGCAGGTGGGTGGCAGGGTTCCGGGCGTCGCGTATAGGCCTTCTGGGCACTTCCCTCCAATGACTGGGGCTGCCATCCCTCCGGTGTTGCATCTCCTTCTTCGCTGCGGCGCCGCCGAGCAGGATCGTCTCGGCGGGCTTTCCCCATCAAGCACATTTGGCCCTAACAAGTATCAACTGCGTCAATCAGGCTTGATGATGGTGACGATGGGGTACAGAGCGAGCTGGTGTCAAAAATAAGTGGTACAGTCTGACGCGAAGAGGGTTCAATGGCAGCTTTGTACTCTGCCTTATTCGCTAAAAGGCGAGAGCGGTAATAGTCAGTATCAGGGTATTTACGGATACAGTGGTATCCCTATCCTTGTTGATAACGTTAGCTATATCTCATCTATGGCTGTGGCTATATTTTAAGATGGCTTCTGCTCTGTGTTAGACTGTGCCACCTATTTCTGACAGAAGCCCGAGAGACAAGGCTGATCCTCCCGGGTTATCCTGCATCGATGGGGAAAGATGCTCCAAGTTTCAGATGCCGGACTCAGGCACGCTCAACCATCAAATGCAATATGGGACATCAAGTCATGAAATCCTGGATTTGCTACCGGAAACAGAACTGCTCGCCGTCACCTCATTTCTAGAGCCATCAGAGCTGCTTTGACAAACCGGGCTGACTGCCCAACACGACAACATCAGAAAACATCAGCCATGCGACCAATAAAGCAGACCTCGAAACGCAGGACAAAACCAAAAGGCACATCGCATCTGCCCCACTCCGTGTTATTTCCTGATGCCCAACTTTTCCCTCTCCTTCCTCTGCTCCTCGCTCCATCTCTCCACTTTCTAAGCGGTTGCTTGCTCCAGATGCGTTCCTTGGGCCTCTGCCGCCGGCTTCTCCGTTGGCACAGGATCTGCTACTGGATCAGGGGCCTCCGAAGTGGCTCGAGTGCTGCGGTCATCCATGGGCATCAGATTTGTTCCCAAGCCTCCAGCATTGGAGTGGATCGGTTCAAGATGAGGCTCCCATCTTTGCAGATCTTGCTCTGCATCCGCGAGGACCTGTCTCGCCTCGCCGGCTTGTGCGAATGGATGGCGCACATCTCCCGGCACCACGGGGGTGTCATCTAACAAGTTCAACAGGCGTCGCCCGTACTTGGCCAGGATGATCTGTTTCTCGGCTCGCTCGATCGTGGCTGCGAAATGCAAATCGTATGCTTCCTTCACTTTCTGGCGGGTCTGTATCGGAAACATTAGCAAAGACCACGAATCGCCAGGGCAGTCTTCATGATCTGGGGTATTCTTACGATATTGGTCAGTTGAGCCTCAGCGACCAGGTTCTGAGCTTCTGCTCGCACGAGTTCTTGCTCCAGCGTGACCAACTTGGGGCTGGATGGTTCCTTGTACTTGAGCTTTTGGATTTCGTCGCTGATTTTGACCTTCTGGTCCCTACTGGGCTGCACACTGGCTTCGATGTTTCTGATCTGCTTCAGAATAGATCGATAGTCCTCGAGATTCTGGGCAAACAGATCCTCTTGCTCTCCAATCTCGGAAAGAATGACACCAATCTTGTCCGAAATGTCCGAGACGGCATCATCGTTTGTAGCTTCGCCCCAGTCGGACAGCTGGGAGGCAATGGACAGGCGTTCGCGGCCGGCGGTCTCGTAGGCTTCAATGCAATGGTTCTCGGTCTTGATCAGCTTGAAGAGTTTCTTGGAGAGCTCGGCCTGATGCATGCCGCGGAGGGTCGAGATGGAAAAGGTATGCTTAGACGCCTCTTTGGCATGGTCGTCCTTCTTGCGGGACCGGATGGATAAAGCTCGATTCATGGCGGCGGTGATAGGATTCCTTCTTAGAGGGTTCAGCTGCTGCGTAAATTAGCCTGGATAACATGCGATATAGGGCGGGCGAGCTTCGACGAGCTTTCAACAAGCTTCAAGAATGCGCGATAGACGGGGAAGACCAGCTGAAGGTCGTTGAGACAAACTTGGTGCGGGTGCACAAGAACCCCTCGAGGCCCGATACAGCAGAGTGCAGGAATGCGCCAGTGCGCAGGAAGAGGGCAGATGACGTATTGCGCTCTGGAGCTTAGAGGGGTGCCATCTGGTGCCATGGTCTTAGCTTTCTCGTCTTCCCCTCACTTCCAGCTGCCGTATCGCGAACCTTGTCATGCCACAGCCCGCCACCTCTACCTCACCAATCTCTTGTTCAATCAGGCTATCTCGATAATTGACCATTAATTATGAACGACAAAGGAGGATCGTCCCGATATCACACTAGGTTATCTGAATCACGAGTTCATCTTCCATGCCTCGAATACCCGAACTGACTGCGTAGGATCGTGCCGACCGTCACAGCCTCACGACGCCGCCAGAATGATATCATACATTCCCTCCCACGGTCACTGACCCTCAGCTGCCTTGCTTGCTGGCACATCAGTAATAAGTGCGGTCTCTCTCCCTCCTCTGCTCGGTCACAACCCTCGTCCTGCTGCCACTACGCCGCCGTGGATCGTAAGAATAATCAGATTGGCGTTCGGAATAGCGGTCATGGCTGGGTCGGTGGGCAGAGGTTGATCGTCTAGTGACGGTTTCTCGGCGATTTTCTCGCCTATAGGTGGCCACCTCGGGCCTTGACACATACTCTCGAGTGTGTCGTGGTCGTGGTCGCTCGCGTCGTCTGATGACCACGGCTTCGTCTCTGTCGCCGCCGCCAAAGCACATATTGGCAGTCGAAATGGGGATACGCGTGCGTGTGTGTGCGGCTGGGGCGGCACTGACGGCACTCCTTGCGTTGAGTATTGAAGGGAAGACGTTGTTCGAGGCAGGGGAGACGCAAAGGGCGCAGATGTGCCCCTGAATACGTTCTGGGCCGGGTAGAGGAAAGGCGGATAGCTGGCTGCAAAAAAATGGTCAGGTCGAGAGGACAATTCCTTCTCCTCATAATTATATCCAGTTAATCATGCGGCAATAATAAACAAGGCAGAAATGCGTTCATGGACTTTTGCCCTGATTACCTCTGGACCCCGCCATACATACGTATTTGTGCAGGGTGGCCTCGATTCCCGCCTTGGACGACATCATTTCTCTTGCAACTGGGCCACCAGGCCGCTGCGCCAACCACCACGGGGCGCACGGCCAAAGAACCCGCCATTTCTACGAGGTGCAACGGACGAATCCCCAGCATCGCGGCAGGGGCGCCTTGTCAGCGGAGTTCCAAGCCTGGCCAGCCTAGCAGCCTCACCGGACCACGCCATGTCTACGAGCGACGCCTTGCTTGTGTGTGACCGCCCATGCACCTCCCCCCTGTCCTATATCACACTACTCGCCGACCTTTTTGCAACGCCCGTGAATGCAGCGACTGGAGAGCCAATGCTGGTAGCGCACTCTGGGGAGACGGTGTGCCGTTCCAATACGATGCCTCTTCGCTACTTAAACGCCATCCTCGGGGATCGAGGAGCAAGACTAAGGCATTGAAGTTGAGACGCCCCCAGACTGCGCGAAACACATCTCAACCCCACAGAATACCGGTGTGAACAAAAGCCAGGACAGCAAACATGACCTCCCGGTCTTCGCTGTCTCCTTCTCCTACCAAGGCGCCGCGCCCCTTTCTCTCTCTGCCCTCAGAGATACGTTTGAAAATCTACCCACATGTCTTCTTCTGCGCCCAGCCACTTCGTATTACACCGTCACTACAAGCCATCCAATATCGCCTCAACAGCGGCAAAATGCTATCAATTTCATCGACATGCCAGTTACAAATGATGACTTTCAGCCGCGATGGCCCCTCTGCGCCCATGGGCCGCGCTGCGAACAGCTGCTCCGGTGTTCGTCTTTCTTCCCAAATCCTGCGCGTCTGCCGCCAGGTCTATGCCGAAGCTCTGCCCATCCTGTACCACATCAACATGTTTGAATGCTCGGTGCGCTCCGCGCATCAGAATATCACACGAGTCGTCTCGACCCCGAACTTCCGACTCATTCGCCACTTGGTCCTCGATTGCGCATACGTCAAAGACTTGCTGTCCTTGCTCGCCCAAGAGGAGCAAGCTGCCGCGACCGGCGGGCTAGAAGTTCTTGAGCTCCGAAGCTGGCCGAAGCCTGAATGGCAATCACATCCATATAGTCTCGGTGTACGGAGACGAAACGAAGCAGGTATTGATTTCCACCCGCCCATGAGAAGTAGCACACGTCCTCCTGATGCAGATCCTCGGTGGGAAGAACGCCAGCTTTTACGGGAACTAATGGAAATCTGTAAAAAACACGCCCAATTGCGGCATCTCGTGCGGGAGACGACCGAGACAAGCCACCCCGAAGAGCGTCGGGCCAGGGAAGTCAGGAGAGAGAGGCTGATGGAGTTTCTGATCCGGTTGCCAGAGCCCGCGCCGGGACTAGAACACGTCGCACACCCCGAGCCCGAACCCAACGTCCAGGTAATAATAACCTGGCGACTGGTCTCCGAAAACGGTGCCAGAGAGCTGAAAGACAACGAGGAGCTCGTGGATCTGGAGAATGCGTTGGCCGAGAAAGAGGAGGCGTCGAGAACCTGGGCACCCACACCCACGTATCATGGAGAAGATTTTTTCCACGCCAGAGGGCTACAGTTCGAAGATCTCTCGTAGTACCAACAGTAACTTAAGCAGGCTTTTTCGTCTTCCGCAGTGCGAAGATTCCTCCGGCCCATTCCACCACGAAATTGTTGACACCCTCTTCCGGGCCGTGATCATCAGGCTGGAGCTGTGAGCATAGAGTCGAATCCACTGCAGAAAAGTCCAAGGCTCCCTGCTCGGTGTGGTAAGCAGTCGCCGCTGCTACTGCCACCCAGATATATGTCAAGGGCGAGGGGCGACTGGCGACTAGGTAGGGGGAATGGAAATTTCGGATGTTGGCCTGGTGCATGCAGTGTATGTGTATCTTTTGGAATCTCTAGATGGGTCAGACCCCATCGATTACAATCTTTTCTGGCCCCTTCAAGGCGTCTGCGACGTGCGTGAGGGAACGAGAGCAAACCAAGGGTCAGCTTGATAAGGAATGCCGAAGAACAGACGAGAAAAAGGGTATGCAATAGTCGATGATCAATTCGTTGTTAATATAGCAAACCTCCCTTGATTAAAATGGACGATTTTTCTCCCTCACCGTTCCTGGTATAAATAGTCCCATTTCATCCTCATCACCACCTTTCTTTCGACGAGATCAAGACCAAGCATGTCTCCAAGAATCGAAGAACGGAAAGACAAAAATATCACTGTACCGCCGGGCATACTGATACACAAGTCGCAAGGCAATGAATTCGATCCCTCGCACCTTTTCCTTGGTGGTTTTGTCCTGGCCTGCGGCCTCCGGTCCTGTCCTGTTTACCGAGAAATCTCTATCGTCTGAGAAGAACTGTCGCCTGGAGCACCATCAAATCTGCCACTGTAAGCCACTCCAGCTGTCCCTGCGGTAGCCGCAACCGGTGTGCTGGGCGTTCCAGAACTTTGCCTCTGCTGATAGGGATACGGCGTCTGCGGCTGCTGACTTTGTTGAGTCTGATATTGCCGAGGCGGATACTGGTGACCTTGCCCGAGGGCGCCATTGACTAGTGGCTTCTGTGGCGAGGCAGACCGTGCCAGCGTCGCAGCATTGTCTTGAGCGCGCTGTTGATAACCTGGTTGGGTTGGCCGGTACCCGCTAGGAGTTTGCGGCTGAGTTTGAGCCGTTGCTGACACATTGCTACCATAAGCTCCATAGCCATTTTGTATGGAGGGTCGCTGAAATTGTTGGATCGTGGGGCGCGACGATGAGTAGGGATTTGCGGAAGTTTGGTACGCATTTTGTGGATAAGTTGGTCGTGCAATTGTCGGGGTCTGATAATTTTGGTGTGAACGAATACCATAAGCAGCAGTGGCTGGCACAGAAGCATTGTAATTTCGGACTTGTGAGTTGTATGCCATTGGGGTCCCCTGTGTTTGCGAATAGGTCGGGCGAACTTGCTGAGGAGTCCCTGCTGTACGGCCGACTGCTGTTGTCGCCTGTTGGACTATCTTTTGTCGACGCATCATGTAGTCGTCTATTTGCCCCGTTCCGGGGTAGTCTGGCGCCTCAACAACAAGTCTTGTGGAGATGTTCAACTCTTCGAGTTGATCTCCGTTGAGTTTAGCGACAGCAAAAGGAGGCAATGACGAGACCAAGATGTTCAATTGGTCTCTCAACATCGCAAACGTGTCGATCTCCGGGTTTGTTGGCTTCGGTACTGTGCCAGCAACAATTGTCTCAAGGCTGCGGTTTCTCTGATATGAACTGAGAGTTTCGATCATTTCCGAAACCTCTTCCAGGAGCTTTTCAACTTCCTTTTCTGAGTTCTCAGGTTGTGCATCTTCTTCGTCTTCCTCAGGCTTGAAATTCGCGACCACGTCGGCAAATTCATCTTTGTCTTCTGCTTCTCCGTTTCTCCCATCAACCAGCGACACTGCCGGGTCTATAGTCCTGAAAAGCCTTGAGAGCTTCTGCTCGCCGTATTGTTTCCACCATTGCCGACTTTTATCTTTGTCAGACACGAGGGAATATGAATTATCTGAACTTGGCGCAAAGGAAGAATAGACAGAGCTGAATAGTTCATCTGGAGTGAACTCGTGGCCCTGTCGCACGCTGTTAGCCTCGAGGGCTGCCTTGAAGTCATTGTTGCTGGACGCAGGCTGTACCCTTCTTCGCTCTTGTTGTGGTTGGTTACTCGTGGTAGAATATGAGAGCCATGAACTCGTGGCCAATCTTGCAAACTTGTAATCGTGCTTGTTCTGAGGCAGATTTTCTGTCCGGCTGGAGTTTGGAATGAATTCCAGGGTGTTACCTCTCACCACATCCTTTGCCGTGTGTGGCAGATCCAAGGGTTTGATACGGCCAGCCTGGCGAAAGATTGTCCCAAATAACCTCTTTTCTTGCTTCTTGGCTGTTTCTTGATCTCCGCCCAATGCTGAAAAGTCTGTGAGTTCGAACCCATTAGGTAGCCTTGAGCCTTCAGTCTCAGGTATACCATCCGCTTTGTCCTTTTCAGGCTGCCGCTGGACCTGCAGACCCGAGAAGAGGATCTGGACACCGCCATTGATTTGACTGCGTAGCGAAAGGAATTGTTTGGGTTTTTGACCGATCAGGTCCGCTTTAGGCAAACCTTCGCCATCGATTTGGGAGACTTCGGGCGACTCAGTGTCATATCTGTCGAGTACATTTACTAACTTCGACAATTGCCCTTGGACGTCGGATTCCACCTTGCCATTCTGTGTCTCAGACAAATCGGTGATCAGGGCGGTCTGGACGCTTCGGACATCGTCTTTGAGGGCATGGAAAGAGTTATATGTCCCTGTCAGAATACGATCCTCGATAGTATCGTTGGCGGATTCTGACTTGACAATGCGGGCTCGTTTGACTTCAGGCGCCTCGGATTTGGATGCAGGCAAGGGGTATTTGAGAAGTGATGGAGTAGTGTCATATCTATTTTTCCTATTAGTATTTTGTCGCAGACGTGGAAGGACCAAACGTACTTGCGGAGAACTCGCAGGACTTCTTGTAGAGCCGACTGCAGAGCAGCGTCTTTTGACGCAACTTCCGGCGATACCGTGCGCTTCCTCTTGCCTAGGTGTGATGAGGAGACAGTGATAGTGTCTTCGTGCTTTGATATGCCGTTGACTTCGGCCATGGTGGTAACACGTCGTGATGAATTCCGGGCGCCCAGGTGGTGATGGTGTTGGCGGGCAGGGAGCGGAGTGGACTAACCCAACCACATGCAAATCTCAACGTATATCGCGATACTACTCTCTTAACATGGTTCGGATGCTTGGTGTGCCCAACAGACGCGCGACTCTTGTTGTCAAAGTTGGAGCGTGTACTGTCGACTCTGGGAGAAGAAAAGGGAGCGATGAGGGGGTTGTCCACACGCGCTATGGACTTGCAGGATGACCGGTCACAGGAATGCAATGAGAGAATGGTACACCGAATTCGGCAGGGTGTAATGGAGTAAGCCGCCAGGAGCTGCTTGGTTGTGGATCGCGAGATGAATCTACCTGGTTGTTTTTTCACTGCGAATGCTCCGAATCTGAAGTCGATGCAGTTTGACTGCGATCGACTGCCACCCGCAGTCCGCTGCTGGCTTGGCGCGCCTGCGTACCTCCGCCTGCGTCTTCACTTTGCAGCTCGCCTTCCGCTCTTGATCCAGATGAACGGAAAGATGCTCGCGTCGACTGCTTAGTTCATCTCTATTACGCACCTCCCTTTCGTTTCTGACATTCTAAATTGCTTCTCTACTGAAGCATCAATGGATGCTCAGCGTCCATCGTGTTCGCCTTCCGATTGGAAGACCTCTTGCATCCTCTATCCTACAAACACAATTTCGCACCAGAGCTGCTCAATATCAACACCAAATTCAACGTTATGGGAGTCACGCTGAAGGCACAGGGGCTGCTCCTCCAAGGCCAGCTGCGCCAGATTTCCTAGCTCACCAACATGCGCTTTTTCCTACAGAGTTCTCGGAGTTTTCCGAATACATCAGACAAGATGGCGGGAGCTATCTCAGCGGTAGCCAAAATCTCGAAGAGGAGGCAGGCCACAATACTGATCAGATTGAGTTGGATCTCAATCGACAGCCCAAACAATCAACGAATCGTCCCCTCCACAGGTCACCCTTCCGCAGAAGATTAGATCAGATTCTCTCGTTATTCCTTCCCTCTCATCCTAGACGGAACAGGGTTGACCTGTCCTATACCAATGCCCTCCACTGGCAGATGAACAACCGAAAGTTGGACGAACAATCTAATACGACATTCAGAAGCTCAACTTCTCTACGCAAACTCCTCCTCGATTACCTTCAGAATGTCGCACCACTTCTCCACGGTGCTCCGGGTGACGAGAAACTTTTGTCTGCGCTAGAAGCTACCTTTCCTCATGAATCTCTGCGAATTCTTGAGGATCTCGGCTACGACGTCACTGATATTGCAAGTTGGGCGTGGATTTTTTCCTCTGACAATGTTGACCTCGCCTTTGCAAGGTACATCGCACTTGCGCAAAAAGTACGCGAATCTGGACGAGGTCGGCTACCGAAGTTCGTGTTTCTACAACTCCTTCGCGCCGAAAATCTCAGTCCCTTCGCCCTGAAGGGATTTATCAGAAGTATTTTGGTCGACTTACAGATCTGCTCGGAGGCCAAGGAGTATTTCGGTTGGGCTTGGGTTACAAGAGTGTGCTTGGTCGTTCGATTAATGCGACATGCTCGTTCGGTGGCACCTGAATGCTTTGAAGACATCAGCATCATTGTCAAACATCTCTTCTCGGACTACTACAATGTCCATCCTCGTTCACTCGAAGGTCCGGAGTTACTGCGCCTCTCTCATATCTACAACCGCTTCCTGTCATTGATATCTCTGGCCCCACACAAAACACCTTACAATGCATATCTGTCACAGCAAAATGCGCAACTAGCTCTCGTTCGCCTAATGTTTGCGTTTACACCCCAACTGTTGCTAACACGCGAAGGCTACCGTGCTTTGATTGCAGTCCAACTACTGCATCCCAAGACGGGCCCGGAACGCGCATGGGCCGAAGCCAAGTCTCTGTCTTGGCCTCCGTGGCGTCATGTCAAGTCAGGAATTGAACAGGATCTCGAGTATCCTGGGAAGGAGAGCCGTGTTATCAAACTATTACAGCGAATGAAAGCGGCAGGATATTCTCATGGTGATTGGGAAAGAAGTGCTGCTGTGTTAGCAGGGTGGGATACAGACAAAAGCCCTACGATACAAACTCGCGCCATCTTGATGCGACAGCGACGTCCATGGCTTCTGTTGCGGAGCCTTAATCGCCAAGAAGAAAACGAATCTGGCGACCCCCCAGAACTGTGGGCCGCGCGCATTCGAGCCACAAGAACCAAGCGAGAGGCATGGGCGTCCTTTTGTTCCTACGAGAAATACAACCCACCTTCCCAAGCACATTATCAACCCTATTTCGCCATGTTGGATAAACTCCTCGGCTCAACTGTACAGCCAGAATCTACGCTGGCCTGGAAGTACCTCGCTGGTGACATAAAAGAACCTTTCGAAGTCTCAGCAAATCCCCGGGAGATCATTTACGTCGAGACAGAGGTTCCGTCGGTGGATGAGTTCTATGAGCACATGCTGCGAGCCGGAGTCAAACCGGGTGGTCATCTCCTTACCAGTCTGCTGAACCACGCTGTCAAGCTCGAGTCTGGATTTGGTTACATCCAAGCCAGTCGATGGAACGAAGTCACGAAAGATGTCCTCCGCCACGCTGAAAAGTACCCGAGTTCTGTTATTCGGGACAGTTTGAACAAAATTCCCAAGCCCACTTTGGCTGCCTTCATCTCGCTCATATGTAAGAGCGGACCCGAAGATCCGTTGAAATTTCGGGACATCGGACGGATGGACTTTACTACAGGCCAGTTGATAAAGAGAAATCATCAAGATGTGCCTGCTTTGACATACGCGTCGCAATTGCTGCTCGCGGCAGGCATCACAGACATCCGCGTCTGGAATACCTTTATAGAAGGGGCATCGGTGAGCGTTGGAAAATCGCCAGCCAACTATAAAGGTGCTGCATCTAGGGCAGCAGTCTGGCGCCGCTTGAGAAGGATTCTTTCGCCCGGGGAGATGTACCTTGACCTCCATCCTGACCTCGACACCTTCCGCCATCTGACGAAGATCCTTCAAATAATGTTCAGGGATGTGAACATGCGGATCCCATCAGAAAATCTTGGCTCACTTGCAAAGACCACGTTCGCTCGGGCGATCTATGGTCGCATGACCAAGGCATTTCTCCCTGGACTTGAACGTTCGCTCCTTGTCGTGCCCAATATTAACGATATCAAACTCATGATTAGTGTCCTCATATCTGTCCATGACACCTATGGGTTGCTTGCGCTTATGAAATGGGTCAATGAGCATGCCATGACGCTGGAGCCACCGAGCCTTCAGTCTGAACACGAGCCTCAAAACACGGTGCACGAGATAGCACAAGACAAGCCTTTCAATCCGTCCCCGCTGCGCGACATGGTGTGCATAATGAGGCTTTTCCTCGAGGGCAGCCGGTTGCGGTCTACCAGTTCTTCCAACAGAGAAGGAGATGGTGTTAGGTTCGAAAGTCCCTTATCTAGAGATCCCCTCATTGTCCAGGAGGCACGGGAACACTGTCAAGCGCTGGAGTGGCCGTCAGACGACGAAGTCGGGCTCTTCCTCGCTCGCGAAGTCAAGTGGGTGGAAGGAGTCAGACGGACAGCGGAACTGACGGCGCGGCGGAAAGCTATGGCTCATAGGAAAATGCGAAGCATGCAAAGAGATGAGGTGGCTGTTGGATAGTCCACTGAGATTTAGGAGGAGTCGACATTTTGCCTCAGTGGTGAGGAGCTCTATCCCGAGTTCAAGTCGATCAAAGCCTCCCTAATCGGAATCTGTCGGTCTCCAGCTAGCTAGCTGCTCCTGAACTGCAGTTCAGTATTGTCGTCCTGTACATCCTGCAAGACTATTACTTGGGGATCTGTGTGTCTGTTTATAAAGAAGTTTTGAAAGAGGACTAGGATTGAAGAGAATATATGATGAAAAAGATCATTCATTCTCATTCGAGCTTTTGAACCCCCCCCCCCCCCCCCGCGGTCATTAAAGTTCCCCAGGTCGTAAGAAAAGGATTTGCTTGAGCTTTTTTTTTTTCGTCAAGCCTCATCAACTGAATTATGTATTGGTCATAGTAAACCCGACCCGCACAAGGCACTCGGGACGCCGAGACAAATGGAAAAAGGGAAAGGGAGCACTGGTCTGGAAATCCCAATCGTCATCTCACCATACCTCGCCGGGTAGGACCGCTCTATGATATCAAAGGGCAAGGAAACAACAACAGAAGGGTGCACGAGGGTGATCGCCTCCACCCTCTTTCCCCAAACTCGAGCGAGCCCGTTTGGCGGACTAGCTCATGGCAAACTTGGACCTTGCGCGCAGAGAACCGCCGAAGTACCAGAGCGCCCAGATGCCGATGACACCGCCGCAGAGCAGGCCACCGAGCACGCTGATTCCGCGGCCGATGCCAAGATTGACGTAGAGCGGGTGTGCGTAGATGATGCTCCCCGCGGCCAGGGCGGACCGGCACAGATCGTTTGCTGCAAAGAGAGACGCGGCATATTGTGGGTAGGTGAGTGGCAGGTACATGAATATGCACTGGAAAAGGATAAAGGCCCCGACGGCGTAGAATGTGATGCCGATGATGGAGACGATCCAGTGGATGTGCGGCGTGGACGTCCAGCCAAACCAGAACATCCCGGCGGGTAGGAGAGTGGTGGCAAATAGAGCCGGGACGAGACGGTGTTCTTGGGCGCGGAGGCCGTTCTTCTTGATGTCGGGCTCGAGGTAGAAGTAGACGTACGACACGTAGATGGCAATGCCAATGGCGCAGCCCACGACAATGCAGACGAAGACGATGCCCAATTCGCCAATGTTGAAGCCGTACATCCCGACGTAGACGAGGGGGAAAGCTTCGAAGAAAGAGTAGTAAATCCCTGTTTCCGAGCACACACACTAGTTAGGACTCTGTTCTGCTTCGGGCTGGAATGGAGGAATGGTGGGGGAACAGTGAAGTTCCACTGAAGACACTCACCATAAATCAGACTCGTATAGACATTCGTGAAGAAGACCGCAGGGTCCTTCAAAAAGATCTCAATCGGCTTCCACATCTGCTCGATGGCAACCTTGGAAAAAGACATGCTCCCTTGGTCGATCTCTCCTTGGCTCTTCAAGTTCGGGTTGCCCGTGAGTTTTCGGAGACGCTGTGCCCGACGCAAGAGGATGTTGTGGGCAGAGGTTTCGGGCATGGAGAGGAACATGAGCACAAACACTGGGGACGACATCCAGAGGACTTCCCAGAGTGCCCAGCGCCAGCTTTCGGCGACGACCGAGAAACCTGATAAGAGAGGTCCAAGTGCAGGTGCAGAAAAGGCTGCGGCGACCCATGCGGTTAAGGCATAGGGAAGTTTCAAGAGCCCGTACATGTCGCCCATGGATGCGCCCCCAGTAGCTAGACAAGGGCTGCCCATGAAACCGGTGAGAAACCGCAACACAAGTAAGGATGCGTAGCTGTTTGCTAATGCGGTAGGCACGCAAAGGATCACAAAGAGGCCAAAGGAGATGATGTAGGGGATGTTTCGGCCAATAGCCGGGATTTCGGAGAGGGGAGAGAAGATCCTGATCCAAACCGTGTCAGCAACATGGACAAAAATTCTGGGGGTGACGAGCACACGTAGGGTCAAACTCACATTGGTCCGAAGCCGTAACCCAGCACGTACATGCTCAATCCCAAACTCGCTTTACTCTGTCCGACGCCAAACTTGGCCATAACTTGGGGCTCCGCCGAGGTATAGATTGCACTGGCAGAGTACACCGCGAAGGTATACATGAAGATGAGGAAGGCGACCCAGACTTTCTTCCAGCTTCCCCAGTTCTGAGGGTTCGCTGGATCGTCGGTGGTATACCAGTCCACGAGAATGACGCCGTCGGCGGTTTTCTGCGGGGCGATAATGCTGCTTTGTTGGCGCTCGATGGCCTCTTCTTGTTCGACCTCGAATCGTTCACGAGAATATGGCAGAGTCTGTTCTCTGGTCCGTGTCCGCGTGGTGACGACTGTGAACTCCCCTCGAGCAGCGGATTGGGCTGTAGGAATGGTGCTCAGGTGTCGGGCTTCGATGTCCTCGCGATTGATGTACGAAGCTTCGCGAGAAACAGGGTGTGGAGTAGTAGCACTGCTGGTTTGGCGGCTGACATCTGCATCTGGGGTGGTCTCGATCTCTTTCTCCTTCTCAGTTGCGGTGGCCTGTTCCCATGGGATGGAGAAGTTAGGGTGCTGTTCGGGAAAGGCGAAGAGTCTGCCTTTGCTGATCCAGTTTATCGCCTGCCCCAAAGGCGCGTCTTGGATTGCGTCCAGGATTGCATTCACCATCTTGATGGTTCCGTGTGGTGAGTATCTGTTCGGACGAGAGAGAGTATTGTGATTCAAGGATGGAGATAGTCAATCCGAGAAGGAAGAGCAGCAGCCTCCCTTCTTATTAACATGGTAAACATTCGTGCATTCATACTGCGTTTCAGACCAACGCATAATAGTCTGCAATTAATCATGCAGGGAACAATTTTGGGCCGATCTAGCATAGCGTAGGCAAGGGATTGCCTTGGTCCGCCCGTAGGACAAATGGACATGAATATCGGGAGACCCTACAAGTCAATAGATCCGTTGTATTGGGCCGGACCATTCGTGGAGTCAGGGGTTGAAGCATTATCCACCTTACGACACCAAATTGTCAGCAACAGAGTTCCTTGGAAGAAGAGCGGCCTCCAAATGGCATTGGAAATCGTTGGTGCTGGTGGCTCGACCACTATTGCCGTAAGGAGGAATAGTAATAGACGAAGGGGACCAGACGAGGCTGCTGTAGCTGAATCGAGTAGTAGTTAGCGCCCCTTCTGGAAGACACCAACAAAGTAAATGCGAGAATTTCCCTGGCGGATGAGTCAACTTACACCATTAGAAACGACCCCTCTCCAATCCGATAGGCTATTTGGACTGCGGATTCCCTTCGGACCATGCGGATTGGGAGTCTCTGCGACCCTCGCTGCTTGAACAGGCACATGTCATAGCTCGACTCAAAGGCAAGGCGCGGGTCGGTTAGTGATCTTACATAACCGCAGTGGCCCAGTCGGACGAATGGCTTGCCGGTCTCGTACGCATCCGCCTGCGCCCGTTTAAACCCATCTGGGCGATCGTATGTCCTTTGTCAGCGAGGCTCGTTGACGACGTCAGAGTGCATAGGTGTACTGTTTTCCTAATCGGCGTCCCATTGTGCGTTTTGAGTTGGTGTGTGACTTCCCTTCGGAATTGTCTGTTCAGGTTGGTTACCTCAAGTCGGATGTCCAATCAACAGCAAAATAATCTCCAGCTCGGGCCTGACGACGCAATGGACCCTGCATCAGTATGAATTCATCTCGGTTCCGAATCCAGCAAAGGTCGTTCACCTCGCAACCGACTCCCAGAGGGTGTAGTATCTTGGCTTGTCCTCCGTGAATAGATATGGTGGGATGAACCCGTTAGGTAAAGCCACCATTTCAATCTCCAGCCTCACGCCGGCCTTTTTGAAGACGGGTTGCAGTTCTTTGCACTTTTCGACCATCAACCGCTGTGCGAGTAACACCTGGCTGATTTGTTCCACCGTTTCTCCATCCTCGGATAGGGTCAATCTAGCCTCGTCGTCTTCTCTGTAATATTCGTATGAATATACCAAGTTACTGAGAAGCCGTACGCCGTGCTTCGCTTTGTCGGTCGCGATACATGTTTCAAAAGGAAACCAAACCCGTCGCCTAGCGTGAAATGGTGGTCGATCGCCCAAGGGGATACCAAACACTTTGAGAGTCTCGAGATTCGGAGGGAGTCTGCGCCATGTGGCGTGATCGCACACAGCTCGGACCCTGATCAAGTTGACTGTCCGCACGTCAAGGTCAAGTTGCTTGATAGCACGAAAGGCTGACAGATTAAGATGCTGGCCGGGATGGTTGAATGGCTGATGAGACGGTCTCGAGTATCCCAGACTCAAAGACAGGTGCTCAAGCGAATGGGTACAGTGTTTGGCGATGGCATCCACAAAGGTCCCGGGGGACACATTACCGTGCATGCGACTGCTTCTAGTAAACATGCCGTCATAGCGGATGCCTTCACTAATTTTGAGTGACTTCAACGCGCGAGGGAAACTCAATAAGATTTCCAGGGAAGGTGAGAAGATATCACATTCTTCGAGATGCAGGTGCTCGAGGTTTGTCGACCCGACGAGTGCCTCATCGTCCTGGAATTGTCGCAGCAATCGGTCGGGAAAGTCGGTGCTGGCGCATGACATTGTCAACGACCGCAGATTCGGGTGCAAGAAAAGCATCGCGTATTTGGTCATAGAATATATCTCCTTTTGGCCATCGACAAAGTGTAACGTGCCTAACGTACCGTTCAGCTGAGTCGGAAGAAAGTGGCGGGTTCAAGACAACTTACAATTGCGCAACTTCGGCAGCGCCCGCTCGACATTGTTGGGTATCACCGCTGAAGCCGCCTCGAAGATGCGTTCGTATCGATCCTGGAGATTGACCCAGCCTACTCTCTCCTCGGGAAATTTCGCGTTACAGTCGGGCGTCTCCAGGCACAGATCTTGTAGGTTTCGCATCATGAAAATGTATGGTGGCAGCGTGCTCAAGCCTTGGTCCTCCCCGAACTTGGTGGAGACAAGCAGCGAGCGGATCCATGCGGTGCGGCGGGGATTTGCATGTAGACTGGCAGATAGGGCAGCGGCTTGACGACCACTGACCACCTCGATTGTGTGATACAGAAAGGGCTCGGCCAGGTCCTGAAAGTGCTTGGAGACCAGAGTGGCGTTGTACAGAGTCTGGAGGTCGAGGAAGCCGAAGATGGTGATCAAGACCTCATCGGGGAGGTGTAGTAGTAGTAGGGCGGTGGGTGTTTGTGCGATCATCGTGGCCGTAAGACGTGCGAATAGCCGGAGTTGCAGGAGCGTCAAACTGCTGTCATTTGGGGCCCCGCGATGTCAAGATGCTGTAGTGATGCCCGCTTGAGAGGAGAGGTTGGTCTTGAGAGAAAAATATAGAGAGTCAGATGCCGGAACTGGTTGACGATGATCACCTGTTGTTTGAAGAAGGGGGCCAGCAAGGTGAAGCAGACAAGACAGCGAAAGTGAAGGGGTGACGATGTCATCGCTGCTTCAGGCTAGGCACAGGCTAGAGTGGCCACCGGCCAGAACTGGCTGGCGCTCCGCGACTGGCCGCCACGTCCACTACGCCGCCCAACTGGCCCCGGGATTTAGTTGAAATGGTTAAACGGCCGCCTACTAGCGAGCTCCCTAGCCCCTCGCCTGGGGCCAAGGATTCCAGCTCAGGCCTGACTTTAGCACGCGAGCGATGCACACGAGGTTCTAAAAGTTCTCGAATTAGATACCCAGGGATTTTCGTATTGCAGCAATATTGCAGCCGCCCGCAGCCATGTTTCGGGAGGCAGCTCTACCTGATTCATAGCCTCGCAGCTGCCCCTAACGTACTCCGTATTTTGCAACCATTAATCATGATTCTCTTTTTGACCTTCAACCTGATGGAAAGTCATCCATGGATAAGATCTCGGTGGAGACCCTCTCCCCGAGCTCAGGAGATATTCGTCAATGCCTAGACGAGCATACTGTCGTTCAACAAGGGAAATGGCCCGGGGCAGGAGGCTTACAGAGCCCCGTCGCCTGTAGGCAGACTCTGTCGAAGCCACGATGTCTCACAGCTCTTTGAAGGACCAAAAGCCCAGAGTGCTGTGGTTATCTTGGTTGGGCGTTCGTCACAATCCTGACTTTCCATCCTCAAGCGGGCGCCTCATAGCCTCTCCTGAATACTCGGCCAAACATATCCACTCCAACTCTTTCACCCTTGGTTTCACTCTTGGCTTCGTTTTCTGCGTTCGCCGGAATGTCCACCTGTTGTCCTGTGACTCTCCACCCACAGGCAGTCTGAGCGAACTTTGTCAACGCGTCCCCCCTCAAATCCAGCCACCCGCTCAATACTCCCAGGTCGATTTGTCGAAAGGTCTTGCCCACCTCCCCCGCAATCCGTATTCTCACCAAGTCTTCGAACCCGACAACATCGGCATAGAGGTCCGAGTAAAGGTCGTCTGATTCTAATGTAGACCAGAACGCTTCGTACTGGGCGGATTCGAGCAGGGTGTTGAGCCGGGTGAGCTTTTGTATGGATTCGGTGAGGTCGGTGGTGGGGATCGAGGTGTTACCCGGGCTGTAGGGAATCGTCGAGGGAGGGAGAAGAGCAAGACAGAGGGAGAATGAAGGCGAAGGAAAGACAGTTAGGGCTTTGACAAGGATGTTTGTCGCTGTCTCAGGGTGCAGGAGTTGAGGGTTGAATTGGTACCTGTTAATCCGCAGGTTAGCCTGTCAATCGCAACAGCAACAAAATTGGATACGACGAGAGGGTTTGAGGTTGAGGAGACGACATCAGATAGAGCTAATTAATTCAACTCTCCATAGTTCCCGAGGGACAAGTCAGGTAATAGGAAACGTGGTATGAAAATTCTCTTCATCACGCGAAAACAGATGGGCTCTGGAGAAGGTGCGATTTTGCTGTCTGATGGGGAGTCTTACAGCTTGAGCAGCGCCAAACATGCGTATGCGTCAAAAAACTTCTCCTCGCATTGTTGATTGACATATTCTTGAAATGTGGTCGTCGTCTCAGGGTTATAGCGGTTCAGGCCGTTGAGAATCTCGTCAATGTGCGCCGGCCTCTCCTTGCATTTGTCGAAGGCGTAGCCCATCTTGTTCGGTTTCACGCAGAACAAGCGTGTGCGTGTCAGTCCAGATAACTCTGCCAAATAGTAATTCTCTGGGTGACGGAGCGACCTGCGTATTTTAGAAATATCTGGTTGTCGAAGAATTCGCAGCCTACACTCGGCAAACCTGCCTAGCCGCCTCCTTGGCAGACTTCAGATTTGAGGCCCTTGCATTAAGCTTGTGCGCTATATCATCTACATATATATGTATATATCTCTTTGGGCATTTCCATGTCGGCGTCGTCGTCGTTGTCGCCAAACAACCACCGTGAGGCTGAACTCGATATTGATCTGACTGTATAGAATCATAGGCCTCAAATCTGGGAGTATATAACAAGGTTCACACGGCTGCTAGATTTGAAGGACATACACAAGAAATTATCCCATGACATTGAGCGGGCTGGTGGACTTGAAGTGGCGCTTTAGGCGGAGGGGCAAGAGGAATTTCCTCAAGTAGCGTGAACTACGCAGTCTGAAACTGCAGAGGCACGCAGAGCAAGCACTGAAATCCATGGACATTGAAATCGACTTTGCTATGGTATCGGACGCATCTTTTATGTGCCTGCCCTTCCCAGTAATATACAAACACACCGGATGCAGCCCAAGACGTGAACTTTGTGTCCAAACTCTAGAAAATAGAGAGGCGTAGATCGTGAACAGCACGGATACCCCACGAGACCGTCGTCTCAATTCTGGCTCCGTACCCAAGAAAATCCCCTTCGCTCACGTTACTAACCAAACAGCTGCTCCAATGACAAGAGCGGCCATGACGAGGGTCAGGATACCTGCCCCAGCCTTGTCACCTGTAGTGATCTTGTCTCGCAATTCAGCAGGATTGGTTGGTGCCGTGGACCCAGCGTTCGGGTCACTCTTCGAGGTTGCGCCCGTCCTCGTGGACTTCGGAGTCAAATCTTGCCGGTTCAACGTAGAACCGATCACTGACAATGCAGCCATCTGAAAAGAAGCATTAGCAACCGAATCGAACCCAGGTCAAAATCAAGCAATTCATACCTGCTGTCCAACACCGCTCGAGCCATCCCAAGTGCTTGTATACCACTGCATGCCGCATTCGCGACCGTTGGCACCACCGTCGCATTGTCCTGCGGCGGCCTGAGCGCTAGCCTGGAGTTTTGGAAGAATCTGAGGCGCCGTAGACGGCACGAGCAGACTGGTCACGGCCATCCATCTTGCCAAATATGACTTGAAGCTCTTTTGATCCTGGTCGCATACCAGAGTCGACTCGCACTGAATTTCCGACATGATGTTGCCACCGTACTGCGACGGGAAGAACAATGCGAAAGTGCTGTTCAAGATCGTGTTGACCCGATCCAGCCAGATCTGGCTGCCATTCGTGAAGTTGTACATGTACGCGGAACCCACGAGTAGGGTGCCGTAGTTGTAGGTCCACACATATCTCGTCTGGTCTGTGCAATTGTTGTCGGAGTCGGTGTTGTCCCAGATATAGAGAATGCCGCTAGATGGGTCTTGTTGCATCAATGCGCTGCTTGCCATCCAGTCATAGACTGTGTTGGCCCAGTCGGCATAACTTGAGTTACCCGTCACGTACGCAAGACGTGCAGAAAGCTGAAAGTTCCCACCGTTAGAGATGGCGTTCTTCAGATTGTACCCGGCGTTGAATTGAAACACCTGCCAGTGGAATCCACCGCCGCAAGAGGAAGGATCCCACAAAACCTTCTGAAAGTTGTAGACAGCCTGGGCTAGCGACAACCACGAAGGAGCGTCTTCTTCATCAGACTCGGGGAAGTTTGCCTCAACGGCGTCCATGGCAGAAAAGCCCCAGAAAGCCTGGTCATCGACACCCATACTCTTCGATTGGTTAGGTGGGTTGAAGTTGTTGTCGGGTCCACGCTGGAATTGCAGTGCCTGTGATACCACGGGGTTGTATGTCGAGTCATTCGTGTACTGCCAGTAGTTGATGAGCGAGCCAAACATTGCGCCGGCCTCCCACCAACAATAAATCGATGGATTATTGGGATCACAACTCAAGCCGCCCGGTAACAACCCAGGAACTTGGCCGCTTTGGTTCCCCGTGTATGAGGACATCATGTCGAACGCCACGCTCGAGGCGGCCGACGACACACTGTTAGCATCATTGATGTCGAGTGAAATGGCCAGTGCGCCAGGCACGAGGGCCAGAGGCAGGAGCCTCATGGCGTGAGTTGAGAGAAGATAACGAGAGCAAAGACGGACAATGGAAGTTGAAGTTGATGACGTTCAAGCGCTGCCCAAAGTCCAAAAGTCCGTCGCGCGTAAAAGTGGTTACGGCGAAGTTGGGCGAAGGCGAGCGATTGAAATGGGCGCGAGCGATGGACGGGAATCGAGTCGACGCTGTGCCTGCACAAGCTTTCTCTCGTCAATTTTGGGGGCGTGGCAGGATGAAAAGAATGGCGATTGTCTTGTTGCGGCGTTCGAGATTGCTGGATAAGACAAAAGTGAGAGGTGAAGGGCGACAAAGAAAGAAGCCCAGTCGATCCCTGACCCCCCTAAAAAGCTACGCAAATGTTTTGGATCATGCGTCAAACGATTCCCAGTTTGAGCCGCGGACCGTGTCTCAAAACTTGACCTCCACCCCGTCACCACCGTTGGTGCGTTGGTGGCCGTCGTCCATCCTTCAGCGCTGCATGGGCTCCACCAATGCCGAAGCGTGCCCTGGCGAGATTGCGTTTCGAGCACTGCCTCAACAGCGAGGAAACAACAGCTGCTACGGCTACGTACTCCCTTATGTCATTGTGCCTGCCAATAGCAACGATACACTGACTGACACGCTGCTGCACCCCAGTCCCTCCTCGCCCTTCCTCGCCCTCCATCCTCCACTACTCGCTCCTCCTAGTCCGCTTCGACGCGGAGAGACGCGCAGTCCGCCCACGGTCTTCGCAAGGCAGAAATTCAAGAGCTGGTGAGAGGACACGTTTTGAGGGGGAGGGGATTTTCCAGTTCGCCTCACTACCCAGCCCAAAGCGACAACTCCGGCGCCCAAGAGAAAAAGCTTAGCAGCTCTTGTAGAACGTGGGCCTAGGCTTGCGACCTACTAGCCTGGAGGCTTGATTGCCAATTCCACAACTCTGGGCGAGCTTGACTTGGCCTCTCCGCAAAAGCGCCAGTCTTCCCTTCTGAGCGGCACCTCTCACTCTGATCGCATGCGCGTTGCGCTGCCAATAATTATGTTGGAGGCACTGTCTCCCGGCGGGCTGGCTGTTTCTTCGGTGACGCGTTCTGGAGATTCAAGGTTGGCACAGACTTCTCCTCCTTCACTCAATCTGCGGATATCCGCCCCCGCAGCTAGCTGACGAGGAACACCCTCAGTTGTGATGATTCCCTAGTCTCGTATTGCAGCAACTACGATTCTTTGCCTCCTGTCACCGTTGTGAGACCAGTCAGATCTGCCGGTGACCGAGCTCCGGTCGGCTGGCAGACAGGACGAGGGAGGAGTCAAAATTGTTCGCGGGACATGGCACATCATTTGAGATCGGAGCTACAGTATATTTGACATCCATCAATCACCAGGCAGGTTATTGCGAACCCCAATACTCAAGTACCACTGCTGCAATCGCTAGGTCTCACCACCTCGACTCTGACAAAAAGGGACCTACATAAGCCAGTTTCCCCTCCTCAGTCTCCTTAAGCGGCCGACAAATCCAGCGGACTCGTACATGTGAAGGAATTGACCTGAGGATTCTTGAATGCCTCGATCATGCCCTGAATGGCTGCGTACGCTCCCAATCCAGCCGTCGCCAACGCACCGCCAGCATGAATGACGTGCCACACATTGATGTACCATCGATCCGCGAAGAATCCCTTGACCAACCTCATTATACCGCGGTCGCTTCGAGTGGTCTGACCCGTCTGTTCGTTGAATCCTTCGCCGGGCTTCATCGAGTTCTTTTGCATGGTGTAGGCAAGGTGGATGATGGGTGGGAAGGAATAGCTGAACTGCACAATACAGAATGCTGCAATGACGGAGACAAAGCCGAAGTAATCCTAGCCTCAAGTGTTAGTGAGAGAAAGAGATAGTTTTGTCTGGTATCGGGCCAGGGGAGGACACTCACCGGGATCGCAGCTGCGACGACAAAGGCCACGGACCAGTAAACGGGAACAATCGCGCTAAAGAGGTATTTCCCTGGCTTGGACGTCAAGGGCGGCGCATTGAACAACTCCTGGAGCACTTGATTATATAGCACCTTGATTCCAATGTTGCCGTACAACCCCGCCGCGATCAACCCCGACAGCACGACCAGCATATCGCAGGCGGCCTGAAATCCATAGGGAGAGAGACCCATGTAGGCGATGGTAAAACTGTACTGGCCCTGATAATGGTACACGTAGCAGCCATAGATGAGGTAGACGGCATAGATGAAGAACTGAGCGGTCCACATGGCCTTGATGAAGTCCCAAGGGCGCCGCATCTCAGCCATGATTTCGACAAAGAGCTGCGCCCCGCCGTACGCGAAGACGCCACTCATGAGGCCGTTGATGGCGCCGACGAAGTTGCCCGAGTCCGGGAGGCCGCCGTAGTGGATGATGGGTGGGTAGACGCCGTTCTCGTCGGGCGTGATGGTCGTGGCATTGACTGCGGAGCCAGCGGAGCCGAGGACACTGATGGCATAGTTTGGCGGCGAGTGAGCCATGACGCCCATGGAGATGAAGATGACGAGCAAGTTGAGGCCCACGGCGACCATGGAGAAGACGCCAAAGTTTCGCAGGGTGCGGACCTGGCCCATGAAGAAGCCCGCAATGACGAACAAGACCACGCAGACGACGTAGCACAGCCGGAACTTGGACGTCTGCGAAATGCCCTGGCCGTTCTGGATGATGACTTGCCCGGTGATGAGGAGGAGCTGGATCGACTGCAGGATGTTCACCACATAGCGTGCAGTCGTCCCCATGGTGCGGTAAGCCAGATCACCGTAGTTGCGAAGAGGGTACTCATACGAGTCGAGGCCGAGATAGACTTGCCACAGAAGATAGCCAGAGTACCCGGCCATGAAGGCGAAGACCGTGTAGAGAGCAACACCGGGACCCCAGCCCAGGGTGCCCAGAGCAAATCCGACACCGTAGGGACCCAAGATATCTGTGGTGATGAGGTAGAAGCCGGCCCCCCAACTGGCGGTCCTCAACGCCCGGGAGGCATTTCGCCATTCTTCCTCGGTGACCACGCTGTGCCTGGACAAAATGCTTTTGCGGCGAGGCTTGCCAGTGTCCTGGCTGTCGTGGCCGTTCGTCCCAGGTACCACGGCCTTTTCAGCAGTATCCTTTTCCGCGGCCTCGACACCGTTGTCCACCGGCACTCCTTCCGCCGTCACTGAGGATTTCCTCCTGAAAACTTGCTGGATGATTCCCCCGTCGGCGATGTTTTGCTGGGTCTTCTCCTCCTCCCTGGTGCGATTGGCATAGTGCAGGTATTCCTCAAAGGTTACACCAGGATCATAAAGCTTCCGCTGTGACGGACTGATAAAAGTTTCGGGCCGGTTGGGATTGACAGGAAGCCCACCATCCTTGACGTCTGCTAAAGACATGTCGACGGGAGGGATGAGTTCGGCACAATAGCTGTATCACACGAACTGAGGTGAAATCTGAAAATCTAGTAGGTTCTCTTCACGGCGCAGCACTGGAGAGAGGGAGAATACGGGATCGGATGGAGGATCGTCCTCAGTACTTACAGCAAAGGGCTGCCACGCGAAGGCGCACATCTCGGCGTCAAGTCGCACGAGCAGGGACTTTCCTGTGGCAATCAATACTACCCCGTGTCGCGTGGTACAATCAATGCATCCAGCTGGATCTGTGGATAAAGGATGGGCCATGACGCCAGTGGATGGAGTTGATGGCGAACCGAATTGACTGGGATCATCGATAGCAGTTGCATCCAATCTGAAGGTGCTGTCGGTCGACTCCAGCACAAGCATCGTCAAGCTTTGCCCAAGCCAGCGGCCTCCGCAGCCTCGGACTAGAGACTATTTGAGCCTTTTGGGTGGAGTGATCGGAGTGTGGTAGTGTCGCCTTCAGACATCCGACACATCCTATCTCCATGGTCGTGATGGGTGGTGTATGGGCTCCTGAGCTCCACGATTGCTCATCAGGCGTGCCTCTTTACATCTCAGAAATGCTCCTCGTGCCCTGAATGTGTCAACCAATGTAACCTTGGGCAGCTGTGGATGGACATTCCAGAAAAGCCTTGGAATGCTGACGGAACGGGAACTCCCGATGTTTGTGAATTGTGAACAACGCCACCAGATGCTCATCTACTTGTAGGAGCGATGACACAAAAGCTCCATCTCACCATGCTTCGCAGGTCGGCGGCATCGACTCGCATGGTCGTGCATGGTCGTACATGGCGTGGTTTGGGCGTCAATATGAAGATAAGACAGTGAGAGGCAGTGGAATGATTGCAGTTAATCGTATTCGGGTGTTACTTGGGTAGACTCAACGCCAAAAATCAGTCGCCCATGTTCTACACGTGACTAAGCTGCTCACCCTCGGCTCACCTTCTGCTCCCGAAGCCCTCACATTGGGAACATACTGCGCCAGTCAGCGGGCAAAACACAGTTCAAGTAGATGCTCATAGCCGCACATACTCTGTTCTCCTCTGGCGGCATTGGGCTGCCATCTCCCCGATCCCATCCAAGCATCGCCTGGGTAGCTGGAATAGCTCCGAGCATCTGTGAGTCTGCCAGTAGCCTTGTCGGCCCACAATTCGTTCCATTTCTCCCATGCACTGCTTGACTTGAAGGAGTGCGACTAGACTTCGGTGTGAGCGTCCTCGAACTGGATGCTGGCGTGAACGAAGACTGTCCTGATCTTAAAAGGGCGACATTGCGATTCAACGAAGGAGTCGTGCCCCAGCTCTGCAACGAACTTGGACTGGTGAAGCCAACGACACCGTCTGAGCTGGTGTTCCAAGTCGACGGGTCCCCAAAATAGTGATCGAATTCCCCCCCAATCGATGGCCAACTGATCCCCACACTCCTCGCCTTGGGACATTGTGTGCTTGTTTCTAGCTGCACTGCACAGTGGCACGTCACAGATAGCTGAGCGAAGAGGATCGCATACATATGGACCTGCAACTTCGATATAAGAAGCCGATGCTCTTCTTGATTTACGGAAACAAAACAGCAAGCCATATGTTAGGCTTCTGGGCCCCTCACGAGACGCCGACAGGCCTGCGAGCGTCTTGGCAGATCGCCTCAGTCAGGACCTGTCCATGAGGCATCGTTCGTACCTCGTAGGTAACCACCAACGCCATCAGTATCCATGGCTTGTAGACGAAGGGGTCAAGGCAATCCGCTGTCTCGACTGGGCAGACTAGTTTGCAATTAGTGCCGGCATATGGTAGCTAGCGCGACCCGGCGAAGTGATGATGGCTGCCGGTCGCGCTGTCATTGGATGGCCTCCGTCATACCGATCCTATTCCGTCAAAGAAATCCGAGCGTGGATTTTGATTGGGCAGTGAACCAAATGTGAAGAGCGACTGAAAGACGACCGAAAGACGGGTGAAAGATCACGACAGAGAACACGTCGAAATGATTTTTGTCCTGATTGCTGCAACTACCACTATATTGTTGACTTGGTCCCCCTTGCTTCTTCCTGTTACAACGACAGCGGCCATGTATCCCCCGAGTCCTCCGCTAGGGTCTCTCCGCCTTGCCAACATCTCTGACCTTCCTCGCATTGCTGTGGTAGCGACAGCCGGCTTCTACTATTCACCAGTCTTTGGTTGGGAGCGTCCTTGTCACCGCAATTTCCCCCAAGACACCTACCGTTCGTACCAGAGCATGTTTGCCGAAGCCATTCGAGATCCAGAGTACATCGCTCTTGTTGCCGAAGACAAGTATGAGGTCGACGAGAGTGAACGCACGCAGGCCATCATCGAGCCCGGCGACGACTACACTGTTCCAGAGCCAGGGTCAAAAGTGATCGTGGGCGTGGCGACTTGGAAGCTGGAGCCTGGGTCCGCTCACAAAGGGCAGTACATGGACACAGATGACGACAAGTCACCGAACAAACCTATCTTTGATGGCGGTCAAGGTCGGGACAAGAGCCCCTACCATGCGAAGCTGCTGGACGACAAGTGCGAGGCGGCAGAAGAGAAGTAATGACATACACTGTTTGTGGGCAGGACAGATACTAACCCTGTCTCCAGGTATTTTGAGGGACATCAGCTGGTTGACATGCTTGTGGTTCACCCTGCCTCCTGGCGCCGTGGTCATGGGACAGCTCTGCTGAATTGGGGCATGGAACTGGGGAGTTTGGATCTCGTCAAGCAAGGAGTCATTGCCGCCGACATGGGAGAAAAGCTATACCTGTCAAAAGGCTACAAGAAGCTTGACAATGTCATTGTCACCGATGAAAATGATGCGGAAAAAGGTGTGAAGGTTGGGATTCTGGAATTTGTCCCCAGTAAATCAACACCGGAATTGTAGGTCACACATTGAGTCAGACTCTGGACCGGTACTCAGTCCGCAAACAGAGCTGCCCATGGGAAAGCAACAAAGCTCACCAACAAGCAAGCTCATCGGCAAAGCCTACAATATCTCAGCCAGTATCAGGTACAAGTGCCATAGCCTTCTCTTAGTATTTGGGCAATGTGTCTTGTTTTAGCTTCACCTTAAGCAAGAAACAAGCTTTCAACCAGATTTTCCCAACTCCGCAATTAAAGACCATGATCTTGCATTCTGAATCTGCTCGCTCACTTGATGATAGACTCAGCCCGTCCTAGTACAAGCATTGAAGGCCAAAGGCAAATCGGAAGTTTTGGTTGCAGCAACCCAAAAACGTGGCGCTGCAAGGCTTCGGCCAGTCAGAGTTTCACACCCTCAGTACAAGCCTCAACCGGCGACAGAATGAGGCGACCGAGAGTCAAAGCCGTGCCCTAAGCTGCGGCAATGAACTTGGCGGCACTTGAAGTCACAGGCGTTGAGATCGTGCTATCCTCGGGAAGTGGATCGACTGGTCGAAGCCTAGTTGACCGGCGACGAGTCGAGTTCTCCTAATGGCTTCCCAGCAGGTATCTTGACGGAGAACAGAACAAACTGTCGACCTGGTCAATGTGTAGGCCCAAACGGCGACAAGATCTCCTGCCCTGTTGAGAGGTTTAAGAGAGGGCAACGCCGGCCAGATACGGCGTGTTTCTCAAATACAATTTCTTGCAGCATTGCGAAAGTGTTTCTCATAAAGCCCAAAGCTGTTTACTGTAACTCAGATACCATCGAGCGTCAACCAAGGCAACCACAGCAATTCCGGTGCCCCAGACCAGCAACAGCAACAAAACAACAATAGCAGTGCAGCAGCGTCCGAAAAACCCCGAGATACGCATGGGGGTCCGGTGTCAAATCGCACAACGGCCGAGCAGCGACCACTTTCCGGGAAGGTACTGAAGACAATACCTCAGGATCTTGATGCAAAGGTGACTGAGCGCAAGTGAGGCAACGTGTGGGCCGATCAGATGGCATCTCGCTTCCGAACTTCACGAAAGCATTGGCCTTGCGACCCCTTCCAATTGACACGTCATTCCCGTTCAGGCGATTCAGACTTGAGAGTCGCTTTGAGCGTGCCGTGAACGAGTTCGAACAGATGACAACAGAGGTACGTCATGGCAATGGGAGCAAAGAATGGTCTGGCTCATCATGATGGAGTAGGTCTTAGAGTTCTTGTCTCAGAGAGTGGCTCCAACGAACAGCATTTCGAAACTAGGATGGCACCGTCGTGCTCGAGGCAGAACCATCATGAACGAAGGCTGGGCGCACTTTCTGAGCCGATTTCGACCGTGAAGGACGATCCTTTCGGGGTTGATGCCAGATTGAGGGTCGAATGGTCCTTGGGCTGAACAAAACATGGTCAGATTTCGAATTCGGGGTAGCCGTATTCATCTGTTGACCCCAGTACTGTGTGGATCTTGTCCTCAGTAGTTTGTCGTGATCCATTACTCAGTTTTTATCTGAAGCATCAAAGTTGTCGATATGATTTCAGTGTACCTTGCTAGGTATCAAGGTCAAGACTTGCACTTTTCTTCGAGAATTAGCTTCCCACATTGCTCTGAAATAAGAGTCAATCAGCGACTTCCTGAGAACTGTGCCTCATCCCGCCGGCCCAGCCGCATCAGGCAATCTTCCAGGCGCGACAGGAGCGCAGCGTTATGTAGTGAGTCAAGAGCATCAAGCTTGCTGACGGTAGTCAGGACCTGATGTATGGCATGCCTTGCTCGCTCATCCTGCCGGCTACGCAGTGCAGCATCAATTTGTATAGAAAGTGCTGTAAGGAGGCCAAGGTCCCTAGAGTGAGCGTTGGGAGCTTGTCGAGTGCGTTCCAGGATCTTCTCGGCAAGGACAAAAGCACCTTCGATATCACTGTTCTCAACAAAGATATTGAAGGCCATGGCCCGCAGATATTCCATAGAAGTTGGACTTGAGATTCCATTTTCGCGGTCGCTATCGTCCAGAAGTCTCCTGAGACCCGATCCTGGTCTTTCAGAGCCTCGCATATCTGTCTTCAGCTCCGCAGCTCGGGATGATCTGCAATAGTTTTCTCCCTCATTACAGAGCCACATCCGAGCCTCATAGGCCCCTGTAATGTAATTCCGGAGTATTGAACGGAAAAGTTCATACAGCGCAAGAGTGTCGGCCTGATCTGGGGACGCCTCGAGGAGCAAAGACAGTCTTTCGTGGTGAGGCTCCGTAGACGTTGGCCACGGTTCCAGCAACGAGGACCCATTGATATCGTCGTCCGCAAGCCAAGCTGGCACAGGTGTCACGCATTCGAGGCCGTCGGGCGTTGGGGAACGTGACATACGGTTCGGGTATGCCTGAGCTGCTTTGGCGCCGCTTCTTTTGGCATGCCGCATCAGAGCATCCATGTCAACTTCCCGACCGCTAATGAAAAACTTTGTATGCTTTCCATCGGCGAGGCGCTGGCTTTGCTTTCGAAGTATAGCCAGCGTCATTCTCTTGTTGTTATTCTTGTTGAGTTTCCACTTTGCGAGCCGTCTCTTGTACATCTGTGACCTGCCTCAGTCTGAGCATTAGCACCATCAACATAGGGATTAGTACCCCCACGTGGCTTTGAAGCCGTACATGGCTTCTATGATCAAAATCACTTCTTTCAGGCTCCTTCTTTGTGTAACATAGAGCCTTTCGATGTCTTCACGCCGACCCTCCCAGTCAGCGTCTGATGGAATGAATTGAGAGTCTGAAGAGTGGCCATCAACAACTAGAGAGTACAGCCGAGCGTCCATGGTCGAGAAGATTGCCTTCGGATAAGGATGATGTTCTGGACACGGAAGCTGGCCTACTTAAACCTGCAAGGATAAGATAGATACTACAGAACTATCCGAGGCCATTAATTCCATGCATCGTTGTTGCCAGGAATGGAGAGAAGAGAACCACGCACAAGAAATATAAGGCAGCAACGTGGGGGCAGAGATTGGACGGGTTCATCGAGGCTTATCTGAAACAGATGTCTGGCTGAAAGGCAGGTGTAGCCGATCGCAGAGAGCCAGATTAAGCCCCCTTGTAGGGTCAGGGTGCTGCTCAGGGTGACGCTCAGGATGTTGCTCAATTGAAGCTCAGGTCAAAGCGGCCTTCGCCCACCCTCCAGGATCAAACTGTGTATGCCAATTAGCTTTTTCGTTCTCGCGTAATCTAGGTACCTATGCGTCCAGTGCCTCCTAGGATATCCATCACGTCCTCTTCCGACGGCTAATAATACAACAATGCCGCAACACCACAGTCTTCATTCGCGTGTTCGGGTATCGTTTCTAGGTGAAGCATTCCTTCGTTGAGAGACCCCACCATGATACCACCTTTTCGCCTTTATGAGGCTCTAGGACGGGGATTGTTCGCAGGTGGCGTTGGAGCCCGGGGTCGAGATTCAATTTGGTAGGGCCGCACGATCCTTACCAAACGATGTCAGACCTTTGGCGCAGGGCTCGGCGAGCGGAGCGGCGTTCTCGCTTCCGGGGTCCGGGTCTGGGGCGTTTGAGCTTGGGATCGCGACGGCGTTCGTTTCCCATGCTCGGTCTGGCACTAGAGACCCAGCAGATTGCCAACCATACCCGCATGTGCAACGCCGGCTACATGTCTGATGTGATCTGCCAGCTCTTTCGGGTCCACAAACACCCTCCACACCTGGTCAGGAACATCTTTGAACGCGTCGATGAACCTTTGGTTCTTGTTCTTCGCTTCCATGTGAGGGGCTTCGATAACCTTCCGAATATAGATTGCCTTGATCCAGTCAGGATATTTGGCGTACATCGCAGCGTATGCCTCCGGGTCAGATTGCGTTGAATCACCGATACAGACGAACTTGCGGTTCGGAAGCCAGGATCGGATCTTTTCGATGCGATCAGTCTTGTAGTCTTTCACACCCTGAGTGAGAGACTGCAAGAGGCCGCCCAGATACATCCACGAAGAATCTCGCAGAATCAGTGTCCCCTGTGGGTAGTTGGAGTGGAGGAAGTCGTGGAGGAAGGGGTACAGGTTATACGGCGAAGCTGACAGATAGAACCAGGCCGGAGATTTCAAAGACTCGTTAAGAACCTTGTAGAATTCCGGCATTCCTGGTGTAGTCTTGGGGATGTCGGCGAAAGTTGACTGCAGAATACCAGTAGGACTGGAAGTCATGGTCACTTTCACTGTGTCGTCGATATCCGAAATGATACCCCAACCTTCGGGGCCAACAAATCGTGTATTGGATTTCAAGTCTGGGAAGACATCGCCTTCGCTGGTACAGACCACCGTCTTTCCATCCGCATCGTCTGCACCACCAGTGAGCAAGGTCTGACTGCTGATTCCATTGGGGTTGGAGGGCCCAAGAACGCGTTTGTGAGGGATTCCAGTCGGACCCGGGCAGGGAATCTTGATCTGCATTGTGCGGGCAGGAGCAATGGCCATAACAAATGACTTGATGCGTTCTTCGATCCTCTTTCTGGCCGCATCATCAACGCCAGCCTTGCCGTCCAACCCGACCAAGTCGGCGATGGAACTAACATATTTGGTCAAGTCCTTGCGGCCTTCACGGAAAAAACAGGCCACAAATTCCGCTTGCCAAGGCTGCACAGAGTCTTTTCCCGGCTTGATCGGTCGGTATGCTGTGTTGTCCAGGAGCCATACTATGTTGTCCTTGGGGTCCGCTTTCTTGCCGAAGGGGTTCTTCGAACCGAAGAGACCTAGTTTGCAAAGTCAGTGGCTTCTCTCTCTACAACACTGGGATTCCTGACATACTAGTGCCTTTGTCGATGAAGCTCATCTCGGTCTTGCTCCAGCGTTTGGGTAGTTTGGCCTCGATGGTTTCAAAATTGGCATCTTTGCGAGATTGGGTTTCGAGAGCGGATTCGTTGACCTTTTGATCGACGAGGTCCATGATTGACTTGTCCTTTCCCTTGGGCATGATGGAAAAGGTCCTAAGGATGACTGGTCCAAGTGACTGTGGGATGAGTCGAGCTCGTGATAAAGCAGAATGATAACGATAATGTGCCAAATACCAAATAAGCGGCTGGACGGGCCTGTGATGGGGAATGGGTGAGATGGGCAAAGGGGAAAATCGACGCAAAGAAGGAAACGAGAGAGAAGCAGGCAGCTTCATGGCACCTGATCAACCAGAGAAGGAGCAACAAGTAGTCAGATACTCAGCAAGAAGGCACGAGGCTGGTCATGTAGACGGCGAGACGGGTAGCAGGAGAGGATGGTTGTCAGCAGGAGCAAGGCCACACGGCAATCAGGTCGGCCTCAACAAAGACCGTCATAGGCTGGTCCAACGAGTTCTCGTGCCTGATGCAGAAGATCGTTCATAACTGACTTGAAGCGTCAAGAGGTCGAAGCCACAGAAATGAGGGCAGAAACAGGCTGCAGGTCCTTGGCCAAGTCTACAAACCTGAAACATCCTCATGATCGGGGTAGATCCGATGGTGACGGAGGAGCGTGATCTCTGCTCGGGAACGAGTGTTGGCGGGTAATACTGACCATAGGGACGCCTAACAAGGGGAAGGGGATAGAGCCTCGAGCCCTATTGGCCTCACCAGCCGTAGCTTGAGGCCTACAAGTAGGTAGTGAGCCTAGTGCTAAGCCCTGCCCCCCGGAGAACCAGCTGGCTAGCTAGGCCGGCTGCCTGTGGGGAGGAGAGCCCATCTCGCGTGTTAAAGTGCCAAGATTTCGTGTTGACGCGTGAATCGCGTTGACGTGGGCTGCTAAAGGTTTGTTCTCGAAAGTTCACTCTCCAACAGCCTGCGCTTTCACCCATTAGCCCAAGCAAAGATGGCGTCTAGACCTGAGCTCAAGGTATGGTTCTCCCCCCTGCTGTATAGATACTCTCACTGACAACAAAAACAAAGGTCGACGACGAGACCGGATTCATTCGTTCGTTCCGTTCCCTCCCACCGAGATCGGACGGAAACAATACTATCCGTGTCTTTGATCGGGTCGACTGGTATTCAGCGCATGGAGAAGATGCCGAGTTTATTGCGCGAACCGTCTACAAGACGACTGCTGTTATCAGAAACCTCGGTCGAAGCGACAATGCTTTGCCCAGCGTCACAATGTCAACCACCGTTTTCCGAAACCTCCTTCGAGAAGCGCTGTTCAAGCTAGGCAAAAGAGTAGAGATCTGGGAGGCAAGTGGCAAAGGACAATGGAAACTCGCCCGTCAAGCTAGTCCCGGCAACTTGCAAGCTGTTGAAGAAGAGCTGGGTTCAGGTATGGATAGCCAAGGCGACAGTGCCCCCATAATCCTGGCTGTTAAGGTCAGTACCAAAGCCGGCGAGGCCAGAAGTGTGGGCGTTTGCTTTGCAGATGCCAGTGTCCGAGAACTTGGCGTCAGCGAGTTCTTGGACAATGATCTCTATTCCAACCTCGAAAGTCTTCTTATTCAGTTGGGCGTCAAAGAGTGTATTGTGGCAGGCAGCCTCCAGAAAAAGGATCCCGAACTGGTCAAGATCCAACAAATTGCCGATTCGTGTGGTATCGCCATTTCTGAGAGATCTGCTGCCGATTGGGGAACGAAGGACATCGAACAAGACCTAGCCAGGCTTCTGAAGGGCGAAAATGCAATGGGACTCCTGCCTCAGACGGACCTCAAACTGGCAATGGGGAGCGCAGCTGCACTCATCAAGTATTTGGGTGTCATGACAGACCCCAGCAATTTTGGACAATACCGACTATACCAGCACGACCTTGGACAGTACATGAAACTGGACGCGGCTGCACTCAGAGCTCTGAACCTCATGCCTGGCCCGCGAGACGGCGCGAAAAGTATGAGCTTGTTTGGTCTGCTCAACCACTGCAAAACCCCGATCGGAGCTCGTCTACTTGCACAGTGGCTGAAGCAACCGCTGATGAGTCTTTCGGAAATCGAGAAGAGGCAGCAACTAGTGGAGGCTTTCGTCACGGACACTGAACTTCGCCAAACCATGCAAGAAGAACACCTTCGCTCGATCCCCGACCTTTACCGCCTGGCCAAGAAATTCCAGCGAAAGCGCGCAAACTTGGAGGATGTGGTTCGGGCGTATCAGGTTATCATCCGGCTTCCAGGCTTCATCGAGGCCCTGGAAACTGTGGTCGACGAGCAGTACCAAATGCCCTTAGAAGCACAGTATACGTCAAAACTGAAAGAGTTATCTAGCTTTCTAGGGAAATTGGCTGAAATGGTCGAGACCACTGTGGACCTCGAAGCTCTGGACCGCCATGAGTTCATTATCAAACCAGAGTTTGATGAGGGTCTCAAGGTAATTCGGGCCAAGCTTGACAAAGTAAAGCACGCAATGGATGTCGAACATCGTCGGGTCGGAAAGGATCTTAGTCAGGAGCTCGACAAGAAGCTCTATCTGGAGGCCCACAAAGTCCATGGGCATTGTTTCCGGCTCACGCGCAATGAAGCGGGTTGCATCCGAAACAAGAAGGATTACAAGGAAATATCGACACAAAAGAACGGTGTTTACTTTACGACGAATGCACTGGCGGAGTTAAGGAGGGAGCACGATCAACTCTCAGGGTCTTACAATCGAAAACAGTCGTCACTGGTGTCAGAGGTCGTTCAAGTAGCGTCATCGTACACGCCAGTCATTGAACAGCTTGCCGCCATCATCGCCCATCTCGATGTGGTGGTGAGTCTGGCACATACTTCTGTCCATGCTCCGACAGCATACGTCCGCCCGAAGATGCATGCACGAGGCACGGGGGATACCATCTTAAAAGAAGCACGTCACCCTTGCATGGAAGCTCAGGACGACATCAATTTTATCACCAATGACGTCGAATTTAGGCGAGACAGCTCCCGGTTTCTCATCATCACCGGTCCGAATATGGGCGGTAAATCGACATACATTCGCACAATCGGCTGCATTGCTCTGATGGCTCAGATTGGCTGTTTCGTGCCCTGCGCGGAAGCAGAGCTGACCATTTTTGATTGTGTACTCGCTCGTGTCGGAGCATCAGATTCTCAACTCAAAGGCGTCTCAACCTTCATGGCGGAAATGCTTGAAACTGCAAACATCCTGAAAAGTGCCACCAGAGACTCGCTGATCATCATTGATGAGCTAGGTCGAGGCACAAGCACCTATGACGGCTTCGGGCTTGCATGGGCCATCAGCGAAGAAATCGTCGGTCAGATTGGCGCGTTTGGGTGTTTTGCCACTCACTTCCACGAGCTGACTGCTCTGGCGGACAAGTACCCGAATGCGGTCAAGAACCTTCATGTTGTTGCCTTTGTGGGGGACCAGGACCAGGATGTTGCCATGACCAATGGTGAGGGGGGCACCAGTGCCTCGAACAAACGAAGGGAGGTCACTTTGTTGTACAGAGTCGAACCCGGCATAAGTGACCAGAGCTTCGGCATCCACGTTGCTGAGCTTGTAAGATTTCCAGACAAGGTGGTCAGCATGGCGAGAAGAAAGGCAGAGGAGCTGGAAGACTTCACGAGTGCGAATGCTGAACCGAAGGAGAGTGAATACTCGAAGGAAGACGCAGATGAAGCCAGCCGACTGTTGAAGGCAATGCTACAGAATTGGAAGGAGCAGGTCGAAGGGAAGGATATGACCAAGGACGAAAAATTACGGCTGATGAGAGAAATGGTCAAGGGTGACGAGAAGCTGATGAAGAATCCCTTCTTCCAAACTGTACAAACACTGTGAAGCCAAAACACAGGCGGGACTGGTTTGCTACTGTAAGCATAGTGGCATGAGCGTGGTGTTATGGAGTTACTGTCTGCGTATCGCTTCAACCAGTTGTTATGGAACATCTGTGCTCTTGACAGTGGACGAAAAAGAAGGGCATGTGGGCTTCTGTGACGTCTAATTTCGGATTTGAGAAGCCTCAAGAGACCTATTCCTTGATTACATGTAGAGAACCTGTATGCCATATTTTTTTTCCTCATTCCAAATCCTGGCCTGAATGCAAACATACACTGCAGTCCGGAGCCCGCTCATGCTGTGGCGTTCTTGACATTACTCCTCGCATCATCATTGCCACCGTACTCTTCAGCATATTTCCTGCTGACATCTTCGGGCCCCTCACCGGCGGCGCCCTTCTCAAAGTCGCCAGCTTTGGTCGGCCGCCCCGTGCCTTTCTGGATGCCACCGCCCTCCTCGACCGGGATTTCTCTGTTGTCCCCGGCACCGGAGACTTTGCGGCCGTACTCGGCGGTGCTGCCGGGGAATTTATTGGTTACTGATTGATCGATGCCAGACTCGGTTGCTAGAATTCCAGAGATATGATCAGTCGTTTCCGTACCGGGTCGGGCAAAGGGAGATGTTGTGTCACGTCCTGTTCCTCTTTCCAGGGCGTATACATACTGCTGACGCTTCCTCCAGAGACTGTTTTGCCTCCAAACCCACTGTCTTGGGCACCGTGCTTGGATTTGGCCGACGCGAGATCGCGTTCCGCTTGTTTGGCAATGTCCATGAGGTCTTGACCCTTGTATAGCTCAGACATGATTGGTATGTATCTTTCGGGGTGTTTGCTTGAAGAGTATTTTTGAATAGATAGAAGTCGTGTGACTATGGTCCAGAGTCGTAATATTATAGGAAGATAGATCCAAAATCTGTGCCATGATGTTTTGTGCCTGAGTTTGCATTGAATTATTGTGATGTCATTGGTTGATGTCATGCTGTAAAGCACAGGATGGAGTCCATGTCCGATATTCACAGCCTTGGTCTAGCCTCATTCGGGCTTCGCAAGGCTGAGGGTTCAGCTGGGAAGCATTGCTGGCTGTCCGCAGTGAAAGAAGGTCTGGCAGACGAATGGCGGAGGGTGGGTATAGCAGTCCTTTCACTTTTGGTCCCAGATTCATCGACGTTGCTGCTCAAACTTGACTTCGCTCTGCTCGGAGGTTCTCAGATCGGACTTTCGAAAATGCTCACTTTCACGTCGCTCCTGCTTCGACAGGTGAGACTTGGTCGGATCGCATGCCAGGCATTCAAACTGCCGTCACAGTCACCTCCAAGATGCGCCAGCACTCTGACAGCAGCCTTCTTCGCTCTCATGGTTTCTGCGAGCCGCTGCCCCATCATTCCAGCCTGCATTTCTTTCGATCTCCATTGAAATCAGAGCCACGTCTACCCGTTTGTCCTCCTAGTCCCCCACCACACAAGATGGCACGTCAACCTGATCCCGCTTCTCTCAGTGCCCGGAGTCGTCACTCTTTCGTCTCTGCTATACCAAGGCCAAAGTCCGGCAGCTCTCGTCACGCTACGCCCGCAGGTGCTCGAAGAGACAGAAGGGATTCGGCAGCAGGGACAAGTCTGCTGAACATTCCTCGCACGCACCGAAAATCATGGCAACCCGAAGACAGTCTGCCACCTAGCTCGTTCCGAATATCCCAGCCTCAGGTCGCAACGCCCAGTAGAGAGTCATTGCTTCCATACAAGCAACGGTCTCATCATGACCTCTCTGGAACCCAACAGCAACTGTATATTCGAAACATGTCCACGCATTCCTTGGGTGGACATGACACTGTTGCAGCTCAGGATCATCTCAAACAGGGTTCCAGCACTACCGCCCTGCCAAAGTCCAAGACGATGAGTAGCTTGCTGTCTTCGCCCCGCGACACTATTACCAGGCGGCGACTGCTCCAGCCCCTCGAACCACCCTTACCACGCACGCAAACCTTGGGCAATATCTCATGCTTTGGTCCGCCACATGAAACTCCTTCTCCGAGAAAGCCAACTTCAGTTACCCTTTCCCCTCCAGAGCAGCATCACGATAATGCAAGTCAGCTCAATATCACCGATGCATTGATTGAAAGCAGGATGACAGAAAAAGAGACGGACTTAATGATACAGGTTCAGAGAGAGGCGGCGATCAACCGTGCTCGACTTAGAAATGCTTGTCAGCACCGAAACCCTCTTGAATGTGCTCTATCATCGCAATCACTAAGGAGCCCGGCCGAGCGTGCACCAACCCTCAAATTGTCGCTGAATGACGTTGCCAATACACAACGTCTCGAAGGCATGAAGAGGACATCGTCATCGGGGAGGCTCCTGTTCATAAACTCCACTTTGGCAAACAAGAACTGGCGAGATAGTGACATCCCAACTTCAACAACAATGACAACCAGCATTGGCAGCGTCAGCAGCTCGAATCCCAGCCAGCATTCCGACAATGATCCAAGACATGTGAGAGACTTCTGACTATTCTATAACGACTAGCATTGTTAACCACCAGGCAGGTGTATGTTGCAGAGGATGGGTCATACTGGACCGGGCGATATATGTCCCTGTGTGACCGATTTCGCACAAAAGAGCTCAATAGACCATCTCAATCACCCTCGGAGTCGACCGAAAAGAAGATCGACCATCTCTTCGAGAACAGTGAGAAGGTGCGTATGAACAGTGCGCTCAATGAGCTAAAAGAGCATTGCAAGACGGAAGAAGCCTTAACGAGCTTTGAAGACTTCGAGAACATCCTCCTCAAGAAGCTGGGAATATCGCGCCAAAGCCTGCATCGAGCTGGAAGCCTCGCATTTGGGGGCAAAGAGGCGGAGAAAAAATTGACCACTTCTGGGTCGAATGGGTTCAAGCCGTTTTCGTTGAACAGATCAACTTCTCCCGGAAATATGTCGACGCCGACGAGTCGAATATCAAGCGTCAATGCTGAGGCCGTGCTAATTGACACGTCCAAGGCGTTCTATGGCGATGGAACTATGACGAAAAGCAAAACCACAGGCAATCTAGCATCTCTCATCCCCCTCATCCCAAAGAGGCAGTATGTTATTGCGAGCAATTCTTCGCCAAAGTCGAATACTGTCCAGCTGGCTTCGCATAGGCGTAAAGCATCTTACTTTGATTGCTCCCCCGAAACTCGAGCAAAGGCGATGAGAGAGCGAGAGGAACGTGCCTCTCGCAGAGCAGCTGAGGCGCATCGACGGTCAAACTCACAGATGCCATCTTTGACCGTAGTCAGGAGTCGCGGGGGTAGCAGGGACCAAGCATCATCCTCCAAGGCTGTGAAGATCTCTGGGCCGGTCCAGCCTCAGTTCAGCTCTTCCTGCTCCAAAGTGGACGGCTCGGGAGCAGTGACAAGCTCCTTGAGTGCTGCCATGCTCGAGAGCGGACATGGTCGCCCACCACAAAGCACTGTGAGTAAGACCTTGCCGTCGCGAGTAGAGCTGGTTGAGGTGCCTGGAGGCGGGAAAGAGAAAGTGGTCAAATCACGACGTAAGGCCGAGAGGCAAACCAGCGGAGAGAGGGTCAAGACCTTGTTTGGAGCTGGAATGCGAGAGGTCAAGAAGATGGGACGTCGAGTCAGTGGGATGAGCTGGCCTGGAAGTAGCGACGAACTGGTGCCACCCAGGAGCGGGAGCAAGTGAGTAACGTGTTGGTCGAAGGCGTCATGAGATGGGCGAGGCCTGTGATATTGCTGCACCTAGACGTCTGAATGACGAAGTACGGCGGGTATCACAACTTGTTTAGACACTTGTATGCACAGTGCCGAAGACTATGCTGGTACCCAATGGATCTCCACCTGCACTTCTCTCTGGCCATTGCCATCATCAGCAAAAAGATCAACCTTTTCAAACCGCTTCGGAATGCTGTGTGCGTAAAATACGCTGCGGTTGTGATATGCGAGCACATTGATCCCGTCGCCGTTGTCCGCATAGGAAAAGATCCCCTGCACCTTGGCAGAGTTGGTACACTCGAATTTGCCGGTGGCAGGGTTGACCAGGCACGGGGAGTACGACGAGGAGAGGGAGAACAAAGCCTGGTGGCCGGGGTCGACCACGTCGTGCTGGGCGCGGAAGGTCGCGCAGGTGCCCGAGACGTACCACTGGCCCTGACGGATGAGACACCCCTTTTTCGAGGCCGTGGAGGGGGAGGGCAAGATTGAGTTCGAGTCTGAAGGGGAGAGAACGACACGATTTTGTGGTTGCTCCGTTGTCGTCGTGGACGTAGAGTCCAGGATGTGGATCTCCAGGTGGCCTTTGCCTGTGAACGGCAGGGCTGTGCTTGTGCTGGTGGGTGAAGACGTGGGGTTGGCGACGGAAGTTGTCTTCGTGGCCGACGGCGGGTCCTGGTCCCCCCCAGGCGTCTTTGGGAGGTATTTGATTCCTCGTCGCGGGCAGTTGGAAATCGCGCCGTCGGGCGGCACGGGCACGAAATGTCGGCGCACGGTGGTTGCGTTCAGGAACGGGGAGCGGGGGTGGTGGCTCAGGGCCGTGTCGAGGTCATAGTCTCCCGGACCGGGCATCAAGACTGGGGCTTCGGCTTCGGCTTCGGCTTTGGCGTCTTGTTGCGTATCAGACGTGTGTCGCAGCGAACCCATCACCGCGAAATGATACCACACCTCGTCCAGCTCGCCCCGGCGGTTACAGCGGAATGTCACCGGGTGGTCGTGCGCAGAAGACTGGATTGCCTCCTCCAGCTCCCGCAGCGTATAACGCTTGTTGGACGAGGGGAGGATGCCGGCCTCGGCGAGAACCGAGTACGTGTCGAGCGTCCTGAAGAGGGAGGTCGTGTGGACGAAGTAGTCCAGCACGTCGGGGTGAGGGTGCCGGCGACTTGGGGTGGTTGGAGGGGCGGCGGCGGCGCCGTCGTAGCAGTCCGGCTCGAGGGTCGAAATGCACGTTCCGTGCTTGTTCCACTCGTGGGCCCACAGGTGCTCGTGGTCGCCGTCGAGGGAGAGCCAGTACGTCTCCATGAAGGAGAGCAGGCCCTCGATCGTCGGCGAGTGATCCCCATCCTGGCCCTCCTCCAGAGCGTGGCGGAGCACAGTCCGAATGTCCGAGTGCGAGCGCGACGAGTCGCAGAAGGCGTCAAACCCTCCAGCACAGAGATCCGGCCAGAGTCCGTGGATGGTCCACGAGTTGTTCGGCCCGATGGGTGGCGCGGTGTCCCAGAATTGGGTCTGCAAAAAGTGTCCTGAAGGGTGATTGACACAGCACGTGTTTATGTCTTGGGGCGGCGGCGAGGGACACGATAGCGACGGAGGGTTGGGGCAGGCTGTGGGGTTTGACTTTGGGAGGGAAAGGATGTTGTTGTTGATGCCGTCGGTGGTGGTGAGAGGCAGGGGGAGTAGAAACGAGGACAGCACGGGGAGTTGGGATAGGAGCTGATAGAGAGAGGCCATAGCGGGATGCACGGTGAGAGGTAGAGTGAGAATAAGTGGGCGAGGGCAGATCTATCTTTCTGATATGTATATAAAAAGGCCTCCTTGATATTGAACGAGCGTCAGATCTGAGTGTTTCAGGGATGAAGATTCGAGGACCGCGAACTACGCGTTTTCCCCCCTTGGATATGACGTCAGCGAGGCTGAGGCGGTCACGAGGCTGAAGCCATCACGAGGCCGACGACCCGATGCTCATCCCTCCCAACACTTCATCCTGAGGGTACTTTGTTCCTCCTTGCTTTCTGATCTCGTCCATTATCTCCATCACACGGATCGTCTCCTTCCAAGGCATAATCTCACTCTCTTTTCGGCCCGCGGCAATGTCGAGGGCAGTATTGTCTGCCTCGTAGAAAAACCCCCGGCCGATTCGAGGGTAGTCGTAGTGCTTGCTTTCAAAGTCATTTTTGGAGTGCTCTTTCCGTCGATGGACCGTAAAGGACAAAGGGTGCGACGGTGCTGCGCCATGCACGTCGATGTACCCGTCTGTACCTTGGATACGGCACACCACATCACCCATGCCACCCGACATGGTAGTGGAACTGACGATTCCCTGCCTTCCCGTCGACGGATACTGTACCAAGATGCTCGAGGTGACCTCAACTCCATGCAGATGGCTTTGCGTTGCAAGGATATTTGGCCTCTCCGAGTTTGCAGGGGTGTTGGGATCTAGGGCCAGGAAAGCCCATGTTAGAGGGTAGATGCCGGTATCCAGCAGCGTCCCCGCCCCGAGCTTAGGGTCTTTATACCGGGAGGTGTCTGGCAGGCTAGGGATGTGAACCAGCAGGCTGAAGTCGGAGGACATACGGAAGACATCCCCAATAACCTGATCCTCAAAGAGCAGCTTCCTCAACTGGGCCACGAGAGGTCGATGCCGTAGCCACATTGCCTCGTGGACATAGACGTCCTTTTTCTTTGCAGCATCAAGCACCTCTCGCGCCTCGCGGGCGTTGATGGTGAACGACTTCTCGCACAGAACATTCTTCCCCGCGGCAATGGCATCGAGACAATTGCCTTTGTGAAAGGAGTGCGGAGTCCCTATGTAGACACAATCCACGTCCGGATCGGAGTAGACCTGGTCATATGAAGCATAAATGGTCGGTGTTGCACTTGGGCAATGTTTTGCGGCAAAGTCTTTGCCCTTTTGCATCGACGACGATCCGATGCATTGGATGATGTGCTTTGCTTTGGCGTCTGGGCGGTCGAGAACCAAATCTTCGACGAACCAAGAAGAGATGAGGCCCGTGGCTGCAAGCGCTTGTCAGTAGCGTGCGCCTTTGTAGAGGGAGCATGCGAAGTGGCTGTGACATACACACTATTCCCCACCTGCAGGTAGGGATCTCGGCAGCCATAATGGACTCGCGGGTATACCGTGACGGGGAGATCGTGCTTGGTCTCGGTCAATTGAAGAAGTGAAGCCGCCATCATTCGTTTGGCTGCGTCTGTCCAGGATGGCGGGGTTGGGCTGTGGGAGGGCGGAAGGGGGTTCCGCAGGGAGAGACAATGGGTAAAATGGGGACAAACAATCCCCAGCCTCACTAGCACTTCGCCCTCCACATTCCCGCCAAACACCCCCATCACATACATGATCCACCTGTTGTCCCTCTTTCTCGAAGAATACGGATTACCGAGTGCAGCGCACACCATTGGAGACGACAGAGAGTCCACGCCGCGCAGACCAGTACTTCGTCCACATCAGCCACCGAGTCTTCGCTTGCCGACATCGAGAATCGAGTTGGACCTCCCGAACCCCTGTCGCCTTGATTCACACCGTCACACTGCCTCTCGGCGGCTATCTCGCGTTGCCGCATTACCGAAAAGTCAACATTCCGCTGAGACGCCTTTACTACATCACAGTGCAGCAAGGAGACCTCGAGCTAGATCTGCGCTTGCTGGTGTCGGAAATTCCCACCTTCAACACAGTTCCGCAACTCGCATGATCCTGGTCGTTGTCGTCCATCAGCCCTTAAGCCTGGCTTCTTGACTGCGTCGCCAGCCTGCAACGACGCCGTCCTGTCGTCAGACCCTCGATATACCTCCCTGCTGTCCTTAGTAGCCCACTCATACCTTTGTGGCTCTCACACGAGTTCTCCCGGGGTCCGCAGCCATGGGCCGCTTCACCACCATGATCCTTTCCTGCCTCCACAACCTCCTCATTCAACTCCCCCAGAACGGCTATCACAATATCTCGCGCGTCATGCAGCCCCAGATGCGAAGCCTATCTGAGAGTCTCACCATTGCGAACCCCGCTGCATGGCGCAATGCCGCCGCCCGCAAAGAGAACGGGATAGAGTTGCAGTCCATCGCGCCCAAAACCTCGGATGAGCCGCCCGTGAAGCAGGAAGAGGTGGTTGAAGGTTCTCAGGCCCGATAGTCCATGATAGCCTTGGGGCAGAGATATATCAGAACTATGAGGGAATTAGCTACAAGAGATTGCATGAGGTTGGATCAGGATGAGTCCGCGGAAGAGACGCCCTATTGTCGACAAACCTCGTCTGCCGCTTCAGCCACTGCTTCGCTCAACATCATTTGAGCGACAACCTATCTCACCCGAACGGATATCTTTGGAGACCAGGTCCTGGGGATTGGGTTCTTGGAGGAGTTCCCCTCTTGTCTATGGTCGTCTGCTCGTTTCCTAGCGCCCTCCTGGCACCGAAGACTCGGGATATTGTTAACCTAGTCGCCTTGAACCACCAAGGGAGGCGGCACAATTCCGATGCCTCAAATTACACAAACCGATGGAGGCGGGACCACGGGATGTCCACTCACCGTCATCCTTATCCAACGAAGGTGGCGGTTGAAGAAGGAAACACCCTTCCTGGGGCATGGCCGGGCTGGAAGCTTCCGCTCTCCACATCCGCCGGGCATAGCATGGGTCGAAAGGGCAGACGATTCTACCCGATAGTGTGCGGTTCGCTCTCTATCTCTATCTTTCGTCTCTTCGCTGGACGTGCACGGGACTACACTCCACCGAGTCTACAACGTTATATGGAACAGGACGATACAGATACGAGAGATGGACATACAGGGGTGATCGCCTCGACGGGGGAGAAGAGTCAATCGTTCGCTTCGACCCAGCCGGGGCACGCAGGCCTTGTGTCCCCCACCTTCGTCCAAGGGGGCGCATTGAGCTCGGAAAGAGAACATTTTATGTTACAAGAATAGACCCGGGATGGACAAAGAGGCATGCTCGATCTTCTGGACTGCTTTGATTCAAGCGTTCTGTACTGACTGCGTTGCTCTATACCTGGTGCATAATATTTGACTGCTGTACTGCATTATTGCGTTGCATTGCATTGGCCCTGCGCTGCACTTGTGCTCTGATACACCAATTTTCTTGAGCGGGCGGTCCTCTGTAAACAACTGCCACGACTGCACTGCACTGCACTGCACTGCACTGCATTGTCCTGTTCTATTACTGTACAATAGTTCCAATAGAAGTCTGGGGCACATCGATATCAATGCGTAATGGGTAATATCTCTTTCCCCCTCCGGCCCAAGGGATGCGGCTGTGCAATCCAGCAAAGGGAGATATATATGCACATCGTTCCGGATCAATCCTGGCCCTGACTTTGATAGTTTCACAGGATCCGTCTTCGTCAGGACAGACTCCCATTGCAAAGCGTCCGCTAGTTCAAGGCTAGCTTTCATCTGGTTCGATTCAAGCGAGGTCAAGTCGAGTCTTCTAGCTATGTTCTAGTCCTGCTTCACGGCGAGGCAGCTTCGCTACCTGCTCAATGCTTGCTATCCGAGAAACTACTCACAGAGTGGCTGCAAACCTCGACCCAGCCCTCATCAATGTCATGTCCACCGTTCTCCTCGATCTTCAGCACTCATTGCGACGTTTCATATCTCTCAGTCCGCTAGAACCATGGCCGGATCAGCACTCATACTCTGCCACAATCCCCCTTCCCCAATGTTAATCGTATGGCATGGCGCATAAAGTCATCCTCAAGCACTTGCGTTTCTGTCAATAACTTCAGTTGATCATCAACCACGAATATGTCGTCTCCCCTGATGATACAGCTGGGCAACGGTCTTTGGTTCCGAGTCTTCGGTGCGATAGCCCGATTCGTTGCTCACCATGCTTTCCCTGAGTCGGTCGCGTCTCCTTTCCCGCCCGGAATCACTCTCATAGCCATAATGTTCTGATTCACTTGATCTTGTGCTTGCTCCTCTGAGGTCCCGTGTCCCAGGTCGTAGGTGGAGGACACGTGCCACGCCCGTGTGGATTTGTTCTTCATCATACTCGTCTTGCTGCCGCTGTCTTCCTCCGTTGTTGTTGGCTTCGTAGGCTTGGTAGGGCTCAAAGTAGTTGGGTTCTGGTGGAGTTCTCGGCCTTCCACCACGGATGATTCGTTCAATGTCGGTTTCCGTCTCGCTGTAGGGTAGTCCGCTCGAGGAGTTTAACATATCCAATGCACAGATGCTTTTGCGGTAAACTTCACGATCACTGCTGGCGACGCTGTGATCCGATTTGTTTTCATCCAGGACTCGCTCCGTCTGGACGCCACTATCCGGAGAAGAGTGGAGATCGGAAACTTCGGTGATTTTGCTGAGCACACGTCGTGCTGCGGTTTGTCCCATGATTCCGTTCTTGAAGTAATCCGATGTGATCTGTGCGGCAAGCGGGCTCTCGACTGACTGAGCCATTTCGGCAACTCGAGCCGCCGGGAGATGAGGTCTCAGATACGCTGGTGGGTCAGGAAGCGACTTGTCGGTATCCATGGGAGATGCAGTCAGAGCACCGTAACGTTGTGTTGCACCAAGTGAGTCGGACCGTGGTCTGACGATCGGTGCCGTCATGACGGACTCGATCGAGACTTGAGAGCCGTCAATGGGTGTGCTCGGGGTCGTTAGTGCTCGTGGATTTGTATGTGTCTGCAGAGAAGGTCGGTGGCGAAGTGCGGCCCGGTCGACGGTGGGCGCCACCTCCTTGGATGAAAACCTCGAATCCGATGAGGGAAATCCGATCATGCTGTAGCTCGTGGGTATCGTGCCTTTCCTGTATTTTTCTTTGTCTCTCTCCATTCCGAAGAACCTCAAGGCCTTGGAGGCGTTGCTGTTCTTAGCAGCTACCGGAGCCGAGTCGGTAGACGCTTGTAGCATTGCGTGAGCCTGGGAGATGACGTTCTTGACATCCTCCCGACGGGCGAAAACTTCCTCGCGGGCACTACCCAGCTTTTGACGGAGGTTTGATATCTCGGCATCGCGTTGATCGAGTTCTAGTGTGTGCCTCGTCTGCAAGCTGATCATGGTGCCTTGCAGCTCTTCGTATCTTCGAACCATCTTCTCCGAATCCGTACGCTGCTGCCGGCTCTCAGCTATTATGACTCGACATTCCTGTAATTGTCTGCTCAGATCATCGTTTTGTTGTACAAGAAGCAATAGTTCGTGATCCTTTTCCTGTACGAGTCTGACTGCTTTGTTGTATCTGTCCACGTGTGCATCGAGGTTTTTGGATTGATCTCTGATCATGGCTCCCTGACCATGCAATACCTTGCGATATTCTCGGATGAAATTGCGCGCTTCGCGCAGATTTCCAACATATTTATCCAGAGTGTCCTCGGCAACGCGAACATAATCGACAGATCCGTGAGGCTCGTCGCGCGTGTAGTCCGATATTATTCGAAGAACTTGCAGGGTCCTAGGCTCGCGCATGGTATCGACCCAAGTGGGGATGTTGTTTTGAATGAACGTACCCAAAAGGCGCGTGACTTCGTGAACTGTATTTCGAAGTTCTGAGATTCTTCGGTCTTTGTCTTCAATTTCCTTGTCTTTCGCCGCCATTCTCTCCAAAGCTTCTTCTACCTGTCCTTCAAGCTCATTCAGTTGTTCGCAAGAGGCCTTGGTATCACGCTCAGCAAGCGATTCGGCGGACTCGACGATTTTGCGGTACTCGGCAGTGATCAAGCGTAGGTGGTCGGAGAAAGATTTGAGTGCCTGAGGAATGTCAGTGCAAGAGGAGTCTCCGAAGATTGCGTGTCTCACACTGCTCAGGGTTACCTGGTTGACGCTTGACTCAAGCTTCAAATTACATGCTTCGTTGAGCAGAGTCGTCATCTTCTGCAGTTGACCGCGCATAGCAGGAAGCCAATGCTGGGATACGGCCACATGGTCGCATTCGGGCAGTTTCTCCAGCAACTCCTCGATGGTCATTGCAGCAAAGGGCTGTGTGATTTGTGGATCTGCAGGGGCGCGGCTGCCGATGGTGTACGAAGGCATTGTGCTATGAGCGGATCGGTCGTGCTTTCTTAAGGGGGTGGTCAGATTTCGCAGAGTTTCCATTGTCGCGTCATCGGTAGACGCGGAGGTTGAGATAGTTGGCACAGAACTTATGGTGGATTCCTCGGTGTTTCTGCGAAGCAATCGAAGAGACGGCGGAGGTGATATCGGGTTTGTTTGCGGGTATCCTTGGCTTGCTAACAGAAGTGAACCTGGTAACTCTGCCGCTGTTGGTGAATAAAGCGATGTCGGGCTGGCGGGTGTCTCTGGCAGGGTACAGCCCGGTGTCGAGGGTGCGGCAGGGATGTACCGTGATGTTAACGGTGAAGTACCGCCCTTGATATCAACTCCCAGAAGTGAATGTTTACGTCGGTCGGTGGGAGTCTTGGGAGTCAAGAGGCCTCCGAGTCCCGACCTTGACGTTGCTGGAGCCAGACCTGTTGACAAAGTTGCAGCTTCACCACCACTTGCTATTTGCAGCGGAGGAGGTCGACGACGAAATTTGGACACAATCTTAGCTTCCATCGTGGCCGGCACTTGATCTCCAACTGCAGGTTCTGGACATACGAGGCCACCAAGTCCCCCATTGACCACCATTTTTGTGACATGAGTTCCTGCCTTTGAGCCCAATATGGACGCCATCGATGCGATCGAAGCACAGGAATAGGAAGGAAGATGGGAGTGGAAAGAAGAAAAGCCATTCTCTTTTGAATCTCGCTACGCTTTCTGATGGTCGGAGACTGCTCATGTATGCACCATGCGGAGGGATGCCATTGTCAACGCCATTCTAGGCAAGGGTTTGAAGCATAGACCGTCGCACCGAGAGAGCTTCGACAAGCTTATCCAGAAAGGGCGCAGAGAACGAGCCAATCAGAAAGTGCTGCTGATGAGCTTGAAGCCCCAAGAGGAGAGACGCGATAGTGCTACCATCCCCAGAGTCTTCTTCTCAGCCGCAGAGAGGCGCTTAGACTAGGCCATCACGAGGCCAGCACTGGACGAATGTCTCCGTGGCCCGGCTTCATGCGGGTGTCATGGTGAGACGACCAGTGGCCGAGGCGAGGATAGAGGGCCGCTCAATGCAGGAGCATTTTAGCCCTGCGAAAGAGGCCCAGACTGGTTCTGAGAGTAGCGGAAGAGGAGAAAAGGAAGAGGATGAAAGAGACGGGGAGGAAACAAGAGACAGGCTGCGTTTCCGAATCAGGACTAGTGGATTTTGCAGCACCCACGCACCCATTTTGCCGCCTTGACGACAATTCCACCAATTCCACCGATGTTTCCTCCATCAAGAATCTCGCCAAATCCCCAAGAAGACCTTCAAGAGCGCAAATCCCTGCATATTCGAACCTTTCTCCTCCTATCATCGTACTGGACCTCTGACATCAATGCTGTGAGGGTAGCCTAGAAATGGATCCCACGGAGCCAGTGAGCAGATCACCAAAAAGGCTCAAAATGGATCATGCACAATCATCGTCGGACCCAAGGCCTCGCAAAGGCAACGCCGGGAAACCCAAGTATCGGGCTCAGAAAACAGAGAATTCACGGGCTAACTCTCGCCGGCCCGCCGTCATCAGTGCGTCGGGCATCCACAGTGACGATGTTGGGATCTTTGTCACCTGTGATAAGGGTCAGGAGAAGAAATGCTTGCAAGAGCTATCTGACTTGCTGGAGGAGGTGGGTAAAGTGCCTCTCGTCATGTTCCACCAACTAAGCATGCCACCAGTTGTTTGCTGCTGAGTCAAGCACCCAACCTGTGGCGGCAACGCCGGACGTCCAGCCAGACAAGGACGATGTGGAGGTCGATATCGAGGCTGACATACGTGCCGAGTTGGACTCATTGAGATCCAAACGAGAACCTCCAAACGTCCCGTCAGCAAAGCTCTCCTTCATAACGCTCGACATACCATGCGTCTCATTTGTACGGTTCCCCAAAAATCCACCCTTCAACCCGGTCGAGACGGTTCGCAAATTGTGCCTCTCGGCCTCAAGCAAGGAAGAAGCTGGGCCGCGAAGTCGCTACATCAAGAGACTTACGCCGGTCTCTTTGATGCGCAAGACCTTGAATGACGGATTACAGTCACTTTGTGACGAGGTCCTTCCCAAACACTTTCTGATCGACGTCGACTCCGACGACCGCAATTCAAGCTCTAAACGCGAGGACGAGCATAAGCACCAACCATGCAAATTCGCTATCCGTCCGACAATCCGCAACAATCACAAACTTAATCGAGACGAAGTCATTCGGGTGGTCGCTGATAAGATCGCCACTCTTGGCCGGGGAGAGCACACTGTAGACTTGAAAGGTTATGACAAGCTCGTCCTCGTCGAAGTGTATCGAAATGTGATTGGCATGAGCGTTGTCGGGAACGAATTTGAGACATTGAAGAGGTTCAATTTGGCCGAGATCCATGCAAGCCACTTTGACGATGGTGACAAGAAGGGCACAAATGATCAAAGTTGAGCAAATGGCAGGATGTGTGGTGGACTAAGTGCGAGTGAACCGACGCTCAGAGTCATACACTGAGGCTATTTCTCCTCGCTGCTGACGATTCGTATTTTGTCGGAGACACGCTTCCAGAAGCGATGGGGCCTTTCAGCACTTTCTGCTCCACTGAACTGCTCGGGAGCCTTCATTGTCCCTCTTGTCAGCCAATATCCAGGGCCATGCTGCTCTATCACCTTATCGCTTCTTCTCAATGTGCCTCGAGCGAGCCAGAAACCTTGCCAATTTGCACGCGCTGATCTCCTAGTTGCAAGCTCCACCGGTGGCTTTGGCCGGGAATATTGCTCCAGCCACCATTTCCGGTAGCTGTTGCTGAACCTGATCTGAGGCCATGCGGGCGTGTGGGACTCGGCCCTAGACGTGGACTCATAGGGTATCGCGATCAGTGGTTCAGAGGCCTCAAAGGCCTCAGAGGCTTCAGAGGAATCATCCACAAGTGTGGTGCGGGTGTGACTCGACGGGGAGACTCGGCTGTTACGAGAAGGAGGCGACGGCGCTTTCCTGGGCAGCAAGTATGCGGTCGAATGCTCAAAATCGATCAAGAAGCCCTGAGCGTCGTACTGACCGGATCTTTGGGTAAGTTCTCGACTGGACGGCCATTCATCCTGCATTTCGACGTGGCGAGCAAACCCGTGGGACCCAGTATCAGGAGAGCCCAGAGACAACGTACGTTCGTTTGGAAAGCCGTAGGCACCGTCACCGATTGTGGTTTGATCCATCATGATGAATCGGGAAATGAATTTTTGGTCGAGGAATTAAACAACAGAGAGTCAAGTCGAGGTCCGAGAGCTGGCAATGAGGAGTTAGGGACAGCCTTGTCTCTCTAATGCGAAATCAAATCTAAGAAGCTCTAAGAACAAGTTCAAAGTGACAGCTCGCGATGGACCAGTCATAGAGTCGTTGGTTGGCGTGTGAATGGGACTTTTTCGCACTCAAACAAACAACATCCTTTGTGAGCGCGTCCCGCCCGTGAAAGTCAAGGAAGTGGGAACATCTTCACTATCACTCGAGCTAAAGTGTTAGTGAGAGATGGACAAGTGAAGCAAGTACACCAGACTGCAAGTCAGCGTTGGCTCTCAACAGCCTTCGCCTGTCGCATGCATGCTCGTCAAGGTCGCTACAGCTAGATGGGTATCATGACTTAGCAACAGATACGACAGGATGGATATCCTTTCTGACCATTATGTCGACTACAATGATTTCGACGACAAGCCGAGTTTAGGCCCAGATTGCATTCTTTGGGACGACTCCAAAGGGGTTAGCAGAGTCAAGGATGGCTCACTATCCAGGACTATTGCCCTTCACACAACACATCCTCCTGACTGGTGGTCACCAGCTCAATAATTCCTGATATTTGGCTTGCCTTGTTCAGGGAAAAGAGCCTTCCAGTGGTTGACAAACCCTTTCTTTTCCACGCATGGTGATCCAGCAACACCGTGGAACCATCAACTCCTATCCGCCTTTCCCGATTACATCCAAAGCAGCTTCACGCGAACTCTTTCTTCCCTTTCGAGCATGATTCGCGCTCAGACCAACACTACCAATAATAATACATGCATAGCGCCCCTACCAACTCCCCCGGCCGCGGACAGGTGAGGGGAGTCTTTGGCATTTCGCGGGCGTGGGGGTTGCAGGGCACTGTATCGACGTGCTCTGGACAACAGAACGTCCCCGCCAGATTCCCCAAGATCTTCGTCTCTTCTCCCTTGTACCCGGCCGGACAGCATGTGGCGCCTTGGGTCGAGAGCGGGGTGATGACGGTCCATTCGTAGCCCTCGTCGCAAGTGCCGTTTTCCTTCGCTCCGCGAGGCAGAATGTACCGTTCGGGTTCGCTGAGATCGGTCAGGGGCCTAGCGCTCGCAAGTTGCACAACGAGGAGGAGCACAAGGGAGACGGCGACAGTAGATAAGGATGTGAGAAGACAAAAGCTTTGAAGTATCATGTTGGATGCACTGCGCGAGATGTTGGAGATCAGGCTTCGTGTTGCAGAGATGCAGTAAAGAAGAGGAACGGGATGAGGAGTGCGATGAGATATCTCTGTTGCCTGTGTCAGGTCGACTTTTTCCCAAGTCACAATGCCGGGTTTGCTCGAGTGACTCTGGTGAGTAGTGAAGTCTTTGTTCACTCTTGGATAATCTGCGATCGCCCGGGCACCTATCAGACCTTGATAGAACCCGCGCTCTCGGGAAAAGAGAACAGAATATGATGTTTCAAAACCATGTGTTGTTGCTGGATGATATGGTAGAGTAGGAAATGGACTGCAATATAATTTCCCCCTTGTCCTTAGAAAACTCCCATGTTTCACCCGCCTTTGTCCCTCCCCAACCCGTGAAAAATGATCTCGATATACCCAGAAGAAAGTTGCGCTGCTTTTATGGTCCCATGAATGTCTTCTCAATTCGGCAGGCGCAGCCAAGGCACCTGGTCCGGCGTGTACTTGTAGGCCCTGAAGACTGCGTTGGCGGGATAGTCGAAGCCGATGTCCTCCAGCTCCGGCGCCTGCAGCTGCTTGTAGTCGGCGAAATGCGGGTTGACGTACTCGAGGCAGATCCTGCCGTCGGGGGTGACCTCGAACATGCGGCCGAAGACGGCCTCGGTGACCAGGGTGTTGCCGTTGCGCAGGCGCTGCGCGCCGCCCATGAAGGGCGTGAAGAAGGCGCACGGGAACGAGCGGTCGCGGTACTCCCAGACGATCTGCTTCGTATGGCGGTCCACCTGGATCACGCGCGAGTAGGTCGAGCTCTCGCGGTGGCGGAACGTGCCGTTGTCGAAGACCAGGATGCTCCCGTCCTCCAGCTCGCTGGCGCAGTGCTGCTGCGCCACCACGCTGCTGTCCAGGTGCCACGTCACCTCGCCGGTCTCGCGCGAGATGATGATCACCGCGGACACGCTGCGCAGGGACGCCAGGATGTTGCCGTCCCGGAGCGGGTGGACGCTGTTGATCAGGGGCCAGTGCTCGCGGGCGTAGTGCGGCTGGAGGGGAAACGTGGCGGGATCAAGGTGGTCGATGGCGCGCCAGTGGAAGAGCACCTTGCCGTCGTCGGCGGGGTCCACGAGCTTGATGCAGTCGGCGTACACGTTCCCATCCGGGGCCTCGGACGAAGGGATGCCGCCAGGAACTGTCTTGGCTTGTTCGGGAGTCAGAGCTTCCAGCGTCGTGTACAGGATCTGGCCATTGTCGAGATGGTGCTGGTCATGGTGGGCGAGAGGATCTCGATATTCAGAGACGACCTTGCCGTCAGGGTCGACTTGCATCATGACTCCGCCGCGGTACTTTTGCCACATGGGAAACAGCCTTGGCCCGTCAGGATGGACGCCGTTGTAGGCTAGATTGCCGTTGGGAAGGATGCGGGCGTGACGGCCAGGACGGTAAGGTAGGTTCCAACGGTGGACTTCCATTCCGTCATTGGCTATCAGCCGAACTGTGCCCGGGCTGGTCAGATGAGCGTAGAGGATATAGCCTGGGGATACGAGATCATGGTCCAGACCACGAAGGCCGACTCCACGACGCGTAAGTGTGTTTTGCTCCATGGCTCAGTGTCTGATGAATGGTGTGAGATAGGTAGATGTCCTATCGTGACTGTGTAATGAATGAACTGAAAGGCAGGGCATTGTAGGACGTCTTGGGGAGATATATACCATATGTGTTCCGAGGCAGCAGGTGCAGATCTTTCAGCACCACGGTGGATTCCGCCATTGACGATGGATACACCTCGATATGCTCTCTGCGTCCCTTGCCGTAGGTGATTGTCGTGAAGTTCATGGACCAATAAATGGACAGATCGACCTAAGGCAATCCCGCGGGCAGATCCGACACGTCGATCTCCCTACGGCATGCCGAGGGCGATATAGCAATCGCGATATCAGGACCCGCGGGTTTGCCGTCTTGGATAAGGACGATCCTATCAACACCTACGGAGAGGAGTCTTGTGAGCACGCAATGCTCAAGAAGACGAAGCATAAAAGAAACCTCAAATCCGCCCAAAATGTAACAATGGATCACAACGAGTAACATAGCTGCCACCCTTTCGAGACAGATTTAACCGGAAGCTCACCATCATGGAAAAGTACCCTGACGATAAGCCTTCCATGACGAAGAATCAACCCCATGATGTGGTTGAGGACTCCATGGAGGGCAAGGCACTGCCAGTCAAGGCCTTTTCCAAGTCATGGCTGACAGACATCCTTCTCACTGTCGAGACGACTGGCATTCAGCGGGTGACGGAGGATGAACGGCAGCAGAACACCAGCAAAGTGTGGAATGCGTGTACGTTCTGGTAAGTTGACCTCGCTTGCACCCAAGAGATCAAGAGGCTAAATGCTCCTAGGCTGAGCGCGAATATGGCCGTGGCAACACTCAACGTCGGGTCCGTGGGCGGCAGCTTGGGACTGTCATTCTGGGATTGCTTTGCCATTATCGTCGTGGTCAATGTCTTCAGCTGTATGATTCCAGCATGGACTGCAGGATTCGGATTGACGGGACTGCGCATGACGTCCTTCTCGTAAGAGCTTCGCTTACTGCTCTGATGTTGCATGGCTGACGCTCACAGTCGTTACTCCTTCGGCTATTGGGGCAATCTTCTGGTGGTCGTCTTCTCCATGGTCTCGACAACGGGCTGGAATGCCGTCAACTCCATCTCTGGGGCATCAGTCCTCAATGCCCTCTCCAACGGGAAATGCCCGACGTGGCTCGGAGTTGTCATTATCTGTACCACCGTCTGGGTTATCTGTGCCCTTGGTATTCACTGGATCCATCGCCTCGATGCTTTCCTCTGGATTCCCCCGTTCGTGGTTTGGTGTTTCACCGCCGGTTTCGGGTCGTCGCATTTCTCTGGAGACGCCATCAAATCGCCGTCTGGAGCAAACGGGGCAGCAGCATCGCTTTCGTACATCGCGGTCATATTCTCCTTTGCCGTGTCGTGGATCAACTGTGCTGCCGACTATAACGTGAGGATGCCTGTCAACACGTCCAGAGCTCAGATTTTCGTCGCAACCTATGTCGGAATCGCCGTCCCCACCATCCTGGTCCAGACCCTGGGCGCAGCACTGTATACGGGCACTGAGATCAACCCAGAGTGGAAGTTGGCGTTCAAAGAGAGCGGGATCGGAGGTCCCCTCAAAATGGCCCTGGAACCAGCTGGAGGTTTCGGAAAGTTCCTTCTGGTGCTTGCAGCATTGAGTGCGATTCCGGTAAGTAATCTTGGAGATTCCCCCTTAGGTTCATTAAGCTGACAGTGGCTAGAACAACATCCCCAACAACTACTCCTTTGCCATGCATGCGCAAAACTTTGGCCCCTGGGCGGCACGCATTCCTCGAATCTTTCTTGTCACTCTCGGCTTCATTGCCGCCATCATCGTCGGTGCATGTGCGGCTGAATTCTTCAGTGACACCCTTCAGACGTTCCTGAGCATCATCGGGTACTGGACCGTCATTCACCTCACCATCGTTGCCGAGGAACACATCATTTTCCGCGCCTGTCGCTGGAGTCAATACAACTTGGATGCTTGGAACCAGCCCGATCTTCTTCCTTTCGGCTGGGCGGCTATCGGAGCTTTTGGGTTTGGGTTCATGGGCGCAGCATTGGGCATGAAAACAGCTTGGTACACTGCTCCCATTGCTGGGTTGATAGGAAGCAAAGGCGCCAATGTTGGTCACGAGCTAACCTTTGCCTTCTCGGCAATCACTTTCCCACTCTTCCGATATCTGGAGAGGAGACACGGAGGCAAATAGGGACAGATATTCGTACCTCTACCAATAGAAATCGAACAGCCATCAGCCAGAAGTTTCTTCATTTGAATGGTTCCCAGTCCGGTAAAAAATCCCAATTAGTGGTGTTCGTTGGCTCTGGTCCAAGTATATCCGGAAACGAAGCCCAGAAGGACATGTCTGCCCAGGAGTTCTGCTCCTCAGCAGTCATCGGAGATGGCCCCGCGAGTGGACGCAATTTCTTGTGGAAAGCAGCAACGATGTCACCGAGCGTGAAGGCGGCGTGGCAGGAGAGACCGATAGACTTGAGCCAGGGCACAAGCGTCGCAATCAACGTGTCCAGCTCCGCGATATTGTGGGAGCGCGCCAACTGCTCTTCGTACATATGCAGAAGTCTGCAAAGAGTAACTGCTGCGAACGTGATCATGTGGTAGATGTGATCACTTAGGTGCTTCGTGCGCTCGTCTGTCGTTTCCATTGCAAGCGTCATGATTGCAGCAGAAAGACGAACCATCTCTGACAACAGAGACTCTCGAACGCTTGCGGATCGAGTCTTTAGGGATTGATCGTAGGCAAGCAGCTGGGCGAATCGAAATCCCATTTCAAGAAACTGTGACCGAGGCTGATCTGTGAGATGGCTTGTCAGATTGTGCAAGAGTTGCCGGTTTTCAGGAATTGTGCACCAACCTAGAACAAACTTCCAGTTCTGTCTCCATTGATGCAAGGCAGACTGTGCCTTCGGGAGATCGACTTCTGTCAAACAGCAGTTTTCGTACAGAATCCAGTACAGGGTAACTTCTGCCACCATCCGCGCCTCGAAATTCGTTGCATGATCAGAAGCCAGTATATCTCGGCATCTGTCGACTTGCGCCCGACCGACCATGGATTTACGCCTCGTCCCTACCGAATAGCTCCCAATCTCAGTCTCAGGTATTTGCGGGAGAAACGAAACCTACTGCAAGTGCACCAAGCAAAGGTGATTCCACAGTCTCAACAGTCCCAGATCACGCTTGGTGCTTGGAGAGCCATGAGTAAGGACATTTTCGAAGAGATCACTCGAGATGCAATGCTGAATGGCGAAACCGCTCAGCAGCCAGCTGTCGATACTCAACGGGACCTGGCCCACTGTGGTGGACCACATGCACAAGATGAGAGCTGCCTGGAAGAAGTCAATGTCTTGTGTTGTGGAGAGCAGTGCCGTCGAAAGCAGTGACTTCGACTTTTCAAACAGGTCCAGGGCAAGGCTCGACGCGAGCTCTTCGTTGGTGTGTCGGACAGCAATAAGACAACACGAACATAAAAGAAGCGGTGATCGTTTGACCTCCTCGAACAGGTCATCTGGAGACCTCAGGGTGTCGAAGAAAACCCAACGACCATAGTGCTCATTGAATCTGGTTATGTCCATTAGTGCTCATGTCGTCGATATGGTAGAGGGGTACCGACATGGTTAGTAGGGCTGCGGCCTGTTGATCCGACACAAGGCCCAGTATAATTAAGTCTGAGTCTCCCGTATCCGGTGCTGTCTGGGCACTGCGATTCGCCGATGGAGATTCGACGCCGATCTCTGTCGCAAGGTCTCGAATGACGAAGACTGGAGCCGCTGCCGTATCCTTCGCGATGTTTGGTGGTTCTGGCTGTTCGTCTATCGATGGGTGAGAAGTGAAATCTGGCACCGTTTCGTCGAGTATATCAATCCCAAGTCGACCTAGGATAAGGTCCACGGCTTTCTCGAGACGAGTGAGTCTGCAGAAATTAGCCACATAACGATACCACCCTCTTTTTTTCTATCAAACCTGGCGTCCTGCGTACGGCTTCCCAAACTGTGTGGACCGACATCGTTTGGGGATCTCGCCCTCCGCTCAGAGGCTAGTGAACACTGAGCACCCAGTTTCTCACACCTCAGACATGGGCCTCCAGCCAATCTAGACTCGTAACAGCGTGTCTTTAGTTTTCGACAGGCGGCACAGGCTCGAGCAGCCCGTGGTTTATCCGAGGACATGGAGCCTCTATGTGGTTTTTGGTGCATGGAAGTGCTCGTTCAAGGACTCATACTGGGCAAGTAGCGATCAAAAAGGCTCTCATCTTCAAACAAACCACGACATTCGAGAAGCCATCATTGCAATGGCAAGCCTAGCGGACGACACAGCGGAGATGAGGGAGTTGATATCAGCCGCACTTTGATTGGCCGAGGACAAAGCTCAAAGTAGCGTCAGATTCGCCGCTTCGCACGCAAGCTCCGTTGTCACTGCATCCTCGATGTTTTGATGGATCAAGGGCGACTGGAATTGTATGGCGTAAGATCACTCTGGTGATCCAAATATACCTCTTGCTATAGTTGATAGAATTGTTCTGGTTTCACACCCACCCTGTATCGAGCACGGATCTGGCCATGCTGAAGTTCTGGTGCTTGATCGCGGTCAATCAACTCCCAAGTGTGTCAATGTACTTTAGTTGGTGTCTCAGAAGGCAAAGAATATGCCGACAAGTGGCTGTGATAACAAGACAGGGGGATACGAACAAGGAGACACGGTGAGGACAAGGAAACTAGATAGGACTAGGTTGAAAGGCATTGTCACCTTCCACTGCATGTCCTTTTGTCGCAGCCTTGTTTAGAGCGGCGTCACTTCTTTCCGAAAGCAGGTCTCCCTGGCCTCGGAGCATGTCCCTGCTCTCCCTGCGTCTCCAAGTTATCTCCTACCCCAGGTTGTCCACCTCCATATCGCTCTCCTTCGGTCTCTATATGCAATGACTATGGCTGCAAAGAAGACGGCACCCACAGATGATGAGCTGCTGGCTCAGCTTGACGATCTGAGCACACAGGCCTCGACGCGTGCCCCGAAGCCGTCAACGCGAACTGCCCGACAAGGGCAACCGGCCCAGTCGTCACAAAATGAACAAGACCTCCTCGCTGAACTGGGAAACTTAGCCCAGCGACCAAGTAGCCGACCAGCCACCCCTTCTCTGAGACCAAATGTCCCGTCAGCTGCGGGCAGCAGATCCCCAAAACGAACCTCAACAGCCACCCCTCCTCCTGGCCGGACCAGCGAAGAGAAGTCGAGCAGCGGTCAGCGCAAGTCGGGTGATAGTACACGTTCGTTCCATCAAAGCTTTACACCAGCAACCACAACAACTGAAGAATCCGCAGAAAATGAACCACAACCTGAGCCGGCCCCAGCACCAGCCAAAAGCGGCGGTGGGTGGTGGGGTGGACTGCTCTCGACTGCCTCTGCCGCTGTCAGTCAGGCCCAGGCGGCTGTGAAGGAGATTCAAAAGAATGAAGAAGCCCAAAAATGGGCCGAGCAGTTACGAGGCAATGTCGGCGTGCTCAAAGGGTTTGGTATGAACATCGAGTGCAAACAAGAGTTCACGGGCTAACGGCTACGACAGGCGGCGACCTCAGAAACATAGCCATGCCAACATTTCAAAACATCCTGCAGACCATTGCTCCTCCTATCTCCTCCCACGAACGACTGCAGATCCATATTACTCACGACCTGTCCAACTATCCCACTCTTGACCCCCTCATCTACCAAGTCTTTAGCCGTGTTATGGCACAAGTCGAGGGTGGAGACTTGATGGTCGTCCAAAGAGGGCACGAAGCTGGACCGAAGAGAGATTCGAGAGAGATATCGCGACCATTAGGGTCCTGGCATGACGGACCCTGGTGGAGGAGTGGAGAGCGTCGAAGTATCAACGCGGTCAAAGGCATCATTGAAGGCACCAAGCTTGCTCGGGCTTCTGCTGAGAGCTACTCTGAAGAGTACTTTGCGACCAAAGGGGGGGTTGAAGAGGCCGCCAAACGAGCAACAGAAACGCTTTCCACCTCCAACCCAACTAGAGACAGCGAAATTTTCCTTGCGATTCAGGCAATCACACAGCCTGTGCCGAAAGACATGTTCGCCGCAGCGCCGAGTTCGGAAAAGGACGGGCAAGTGAAAGAAGCGAAGGAGGAGAACATCACTGAGGAAGTCATGTTCGCTGTCTACTTGCACGATCCTATTCACGGGATTGCCTTCCAAGCGGTCTCTCAAGCCATTCCCGGCCAATGGATCGAGTGGCTGGATGCTCCCAGCGGCGGAGAAGGCACCTTGCCCGAGAGCATTGAGGAGATCATTTCAAGTGGCGGAATCGATCCCAGAGAATGGGTGAGCGAATGGGTCGAAGAAGCACTGAGTCTGGCGGTTGGCGTGTTGGCACAGAGATATGTTGCGCGAAGAATGGGTGTAGGTGAAGGTGGACCGGGGAAAGGCAAACTCAGAGCCGACTTGGGCCAGCAGGCCATGGTTGAGAGCGGTGGTGGCGAAGCTGCTCGGGCGCTGGGAGGCATGTGAGACACGAGCTCTGTGGGCGTTACTTCAGTTGTCGAGATCATATACCAGGATCGGCGTTCGAGGTTTTCGAGGGTTTGAGTCGGAACGTATCAAGCATAATCATCTGGACGGGACTGTCCACAGTGGACGTCGTTTCGCAAGACTGTGTCCTCTGTACCATCCAAGATTTCGACGTAGACGTACTGGTGGCTTTGTTTGGCCGAATCCTCGACCGGTCATGACCACTAATATCCGGGTGTATAATTGTACCCCTTCTTTCGCAGGCAGTCGTTGCGGGTGCTGCGCCCGGAGGCAGAATGGGATCGTCTTCGCCTCGACCAGAGTGGTAGCAAGAGTGATCGGGCACATGGCTTATACTCGAACAGTGCGATGGATTGACGCGGTACTTCTTCCACGTATCAAGCCTTCTTTCCGCCCTTCTTACCCTCCTTTGCCTTGCTGTTGGCTGCAGCCGCGCCGTCCTTCTTCTTCGCCTGCCCCAACATCTCCAAGTGTCCTGCGCGCGCACCCAGCATGGCTTCTGTCTTTGCCGTAAGCCCCGCGGTGTACTTCTTGTTCAACTTGGCTTGCTTCAACAGCTTTGCCTTCTTGGGTGTTATGGTCCGCGAGCCCTTCTTGGTGATGCCTCCAGAATTCGAGAGTTTCGTGGAGGAAGGTTTGGGTCCCTTTTTGATTTGGCCTTGGGCCATTTCGCGAGGACGGGGAGAATTGTCTTCAAGGCCGAGGAAGGATGCAACTGGGTGCGGGGCAAAGTCGTCTCAAGCTGCTCTGAGATAGACGCAATATTCCTCTCAAGGTCCGCAAGACTGATCGTGGATTTTTCATAAGCGAGCAGGAAATCTTTAGCGCCTTGGCGGGCCGTTAAAGTCAGAAGCCATTTGGGATCAAAACGACTCTATTCTGTGTGCTCGGTACAAGTATCCAGACCCTGCCTCCCACCTCCAGGGGTTGCGGTCCGTGTGTTTTCTGTGGCTTGCCAGGAAGCTCTCAGGTTTCGGGCTTGCTTCCTTATTTGCTTTGGAGTTGAGATGAGTAGCCAAAGCGACAATGGCACATCTGATGTGCACTCGGCCAGACACATCAATCACTCGACTGGCTCGGGGCGGGCCTTCGAAAGGGATCAGCAAAAACAGGAGATTCCAAGGTCGTCGAGTTTTCTGGCACACCCTCCTGCGCCATTGCACGATGGACACGACAAAAGGCCATGCAGACTTGTACCGGGGAGCGGGGCAAAGACTACAATCTCCACCAAGGCGAAGTTGCTGAATCGCAGACCACTCATCACGCACGTCCAACATGGTCACCTAGATGGCTATCAAAGTGCGATCGAGGGTTCCACAGCCCGTATTCGACTGTCGACTGGGTACACCATGCATCCTAATGCAGCCACGACTAGTGACCCATTCAAGGGCGCGCTCGGTGAGTGCTGGAGACGCCAGAGGACGCTGGAAGTCACTCATGCAGAGCTGATCCCTGCCTCTTGTCGTCGACCCTGGTCCGCTAATTCGCCTCCATCCTCGAATGCCCCCCAACATGGCTCTTGCAACAGATATCCACCGAGCCACGTCTTGCTTGCCACGCTACTATTATCAAGGTCGCGAACAACCCGAACTCCCATGAGTCGCTTCCACATGCTCCTGCCAATGCGAATCTGTCTTCCTTCTGATCGAAGTCGAATCATCTTCAAGAGTGTTTCTTCCCTTTCGTCCTCTTAACTGTCTCTGTGGTTTTCTTGAACATTCCCCTGTACAGCCGCAGCCTTTCAACATGACTCTGGACAAGGTGCCGGACGCATCGCTGACTGCCCGAGAGCTGGCTTCTTTCGATGGCGTCGAAGACGATGGCTGTTACAACGATGTTGGTATCCTCGACAAAGGGTACACCACCAAGGATCAAAGGGATATGCAACGTTTGGGAAAACGTCAAGAATTGATTCGCAATTTTCGACCTCTTTCTGCTTTGGCATTCACTGCCCTGTTGCAAGCAACCTGGGAATTCCTGTTGATGTAAGTTGTCAACCAGCCAACCATGGCAGACCGCTCTCAGCCAACCATGGCAGACCGCTCTGTGCCACCCACTTCCTGACAGTCGTCCAGCGCGAACACTCAAGTTTTGGTCGATGGCGGCATTGCCGGATTTTTCTGGACCTACGTTTGGACCTTCATTGGTTTCGGTATCGTCATGACATCTCTGGCTGAGATGGCATCCATGTATGTCTCGATGTCCCTCACCCCTTACCATCAGTCTCTAACATGCCGCAGGGCTCCGACTAGCGGTGGTCAGTACCACTGGGTATCTGAATTCGCTCCACCAAAGTATCAGAAATCTCTGAGCTATTTAACCGGTTGGTTTAGCGTGCTAAGTTGGCAAAGCGGGACGGCGTCGGGCTCTTTCTTAACGGGAACCATTATCCAGGCTCTGATTCAGATCAATAATGCGGATTATGAGCCTACGGCATGGCAGGGAACGTTGTTGGTATTTGCCATGGTTCTTGTGCTCTTTGTTGCCAACACTTGGGGGGCACGCGATCTTCCTCTGATCCAAAACGTGCTCCTTATAGTACATGTCTTCGGATTCTTCGGTCAGTTTCCTCTCTGGTATCTCCTGAAAAGATCATCCCCTCCAAGACTCTTCCCCTGTTCAGAAACTGATAGATATCTGCAGCGGTTATTATTGTCCTTTGGGTCATGGCACCTCGAAACTCTGCAAAGGTCGCTTTTACTCAATTTACCAACGAGGGAGGGTGGTCAAGTATGGGCCTCGCTCTCATGATTGGGCAGATTTCGGCCATCTATGGATCTCTCTGCTCCGATTGCACCGCGCACATGGCGGAGGAAGTCAAGGATGCTGGTCGCAACGTCCCCAACGCCATGTTCTGGGCTTATGTGTCGAACGGAATCCTCGGCTTGGTACTCATCGTCACTTACAACTTCGCTTTGACCGACGTGGACGCCGCTCTCAATGACCCGACCGAATATCCCTTTATCTGGGTCTTCCGCCAGGCAGTGTCCACCGGTGGCGTCAACGCTCTGACCATCCTCATCCTCATCTTGGTCATCGCATCTAACATCTCTTTCAATGCATCGACCTCGCGTCAAACCTTCGCTTTCGCCCGAGACAAGGGTCTTCCATTCTCCAGCTGGATCAGCGCTGTTCACCCCAGACTCCACATTCCTGCCAATGCCGTCACGTTGACCTGCATTATCAGCTGTCTGCTCGCGATTATCAACATTGGCTCGTCGGCTGCCTTCAATGCTATTATCTCGGTCCAGGTCTGCGCGCTTATGTTCTCTTACACCATTTCCATCTCCTGCGTGCTGTATCGCCGCATCTACCACCCTGAGTTGCTGCCCAAGGCACGCTGGAGTCTCGGCAAGTGGGGAGTGCCGATCAACGCCTTCAGCATCGTCTACTCTCTGTTCGCGTTCTTCTGGAGTTTCTGGCCCAACGGCACCCCCGTGGACGCAGAATCCTTCAACTGGTCTATTGTACTGTTTTTCGGTGTTATGATCATCTCTGGGGTCTTCTACGTGATTCAAGGGAGGAAAGTCTACACCGGTCCGGTGGTGACTGTGGAGGGCAGGAATTAATCGAGCATGCCTACTGCACACCTCGGGGACATCAGGCTGGGTGTTTGAAAACGCTTTTCTGTTTTCAACCTTTTCGACGGAGAAATGCCTCCCATAAAGGAAGGCGGATATGCTGTTTTTGTCCAAATCAGTCACGGCGTTTTAACCGGGACAGGCTTCTGGTGATGCTCCCATACATCAGAGGGGCGCTTACTAGAATATGCGTGAAAGGCCATCCGCTATCATATGCTTCCAGTGTTACTTGCTAAAACCACCACTGCAAATACGGACTACATACTTTGAGTATTTGCTGATAGCAGAGCTCTCAAAAAGTCGAAAAAGCTCTGCGCTCTAGCGTGCGCTTTGAGGAAGAGGGAAAGGGGAGTCTAAACCATGGACCCGAGTACATACTCTCCCAGCCAGAGAAGCCCTCGTCTCTCGCGTGTTCTCCTTTCTGGGCTGGACTGGGCTGGGGTCGGGGTGCCATGCGCGCCCCCTTTGAACCTAAAAGCTCGTGTATGCCACTGTCTGACTTTCTCCCTTCAGCAAGCCACCGTGAACGGCCTCGGAGTCGCCTTTATCCTCGCTGAATTGCGTGCTCGTCACAATCACGAACCACCTGAAACAAGGGCAACGTGATTCCATTACCTGTGAAGGAGGAAGAGGGGTGAAATATGCAAAGGATGAGAGTTCAGCTATGTTTTGCTTCAGCGGAACAGAGTTGTTGTGCCGTCTCTTTTACCACTCCTACAATATGGTGCCTTGAAAGAGGATGGAGTGGCGTATTGATGTCACCCCCAACGTTCCACATCCAGTATAGACGCTCACAGCCGAGCACGGGGAACTGAGTCCTGTCATTACGCGAGGAGTCCATGTACGAGGAGTATTGTAAATGCAGGTACAGCACGGAAAAAATAAATATGCAGCACTACAGCACTCATCGCCGCCACCAGGGGTGTCCTGTGGCCCTGTGGCCCTTGGGACGAGCGGGTACAGTAGAGGCGCGACAGAGAATCAAAACAGGGATCATACAGAGCTGCGGTAAACGGAAAGTGTCTACCTGGCGTGCTGGGCAGCTGTGGGGTGTCTTGTTCAAGGTACAGAATGAAGACTCACGAGGAACATGAACTCCCACCCCTTTGTGATTTGACACTTTGTGACTACTTGGGCGGAGAGGAGAGGAAAGGGAGAGTTCTAGATCGATCGCTCTGTCAAGTTGTGCTTGTTTTTGCCTCGAAAAGCCAAAAGCTGTAGCCCCATCCACTTCTCTTTCTTCGACACCAAGTCAAAACAACTGTCACACAGCAGTCTGTTGGGGGTTCTCGAATCTCTGGAACCTAGTACTGTCAGGATTGGGGACTGCGGCAGCTCGAGGATGAAAAGATGCGGTTGGACGGCGAGGCGTTCCAGGAGAGAAGGTCCTGGCTTGTAGTCTTGTCCTTCCTCTGTCCTTGCTCGCTGGTCACCCACGGACCTAGGTTTGGCAGCAGTTGTGGTGGAGATGTCTGGTTGAGGTGGAGTCCCTACTCGTGCGTATCCTTTACGGCGCCTGTTCTTTCCGCCTTTGTGCCCTTACGAGGAGGTAGGTGGGCAGTTAGTACTTTACGATGTCCTCGCCGACTGCGAGTGAACTACTGCAGGTGGGGTATCCACCCTGCTCAAGCTTGTTCATCGTTCCCCGTCGCCGTTGATGATAGTGCGGATGGCTGGATAGATAGATGGGTGGATTGGATGGGAAAGGGGGAAAGGGAAGCGAAGGAAGGAGAATTACTACGCTCGGGGCTTTGGGAAACTTTGGTTCCGTGTTTCCACTGTCCACGATGAGGACGAGTAGGTAATAGCTCGCAGCACGAATACTCCTCCTGCTCCACTCCCACCTGACGACGCCGTTAACCTGTTCTCGCCAGGTCGGTTCTCCACTGCGCTGTCACCGATGTGGAGATGGGCCGGACGGGAGGAAATGGAGGAGGTCCAGATAAGCTACTCGCCGACTGCTCGTGCGTCCATCGGTCCTCCTGTGTAGCAACCCGCCTCAAGGACCTAATGGACTTGCCGCCTCTGTACAACGGCGAGGTAGCAAGGAAGGAAAGCGTTTCAGCATTGATATTCATAGGCACAGAGGTCCGGAGAAGGAATCCGAGCAGTCACATTAAGAAGCAAGCATACAGTCGCGTCAAATGCCACGGGGCTTGGACCAAGCCAGATCCTGCTATCTTTGATCAATGATCGTGCAAACCTGGGCAAGGGACTGCGCAAGCATCTACGAATCGGCGACCAGAGCGAGCTGAGAGTTTTTCGCTTAGTTGTTCTTCCTCCCCCCGTCCGCTGAAATGGCCCCCCCTCTTGACACTCAAACGCCTGCAGAAGGAACTTGGTTAACTGTTTGACTTTTTGTCCGGCGGTCCTGGGCAAAAATGCTAGTTTTTACCACATGCGACGCGTGAGCGGGAAAAACTCTACACAACGTGGCTTGCATGGACGGGGGCGAACAGGGTCTTTCGGCGGCGAAATGTTGCGTCCACACGTGCTCGTATTTCGACGAAGGGGGAGGGGAATAGGTAGGAGAAAGGAGAAGTTGGAAGGACGGATCTCGCTTGACGTTGCTTTGCGGTTTCCCCTTGCATGTAGTGACACCTATGCGTCCGTGGAAATGAGGGGCTATGCAGGTGAATACGATGCTTGCGTGGGTGAGGCAGAAGCGAGGAGCACGAGCACGTCGAGGTCTCCGTCGAGGCGGCCAGGGGCTTGCTGCACCAGCATCTGGGTGTCTCAAGATGACAAGAAAAGGAAAAAGAAAAGATGCATCGTGAATAGAAGCCAATAGCAAGTCCATCAAGTATCTGGGTGCATGTCCATCCAATCCCGTGTACCTGTTACCTGGCCGATGCATCGTATCCTTCCTATCCCAAGTCATCGTCATTTGTATACCTCCTTGGTGCTCGTACTCCATCGGCGACGTTGGTCAGCGCCTATGCACAACCCAACCACGGTATACATCAGCACAAAGCACATAGAGTAGATTGCCTGCGTTCTGAGCCCCGTTTCTTAAGGTCTCAGAGTTGGAATGAGCAATTGCTGTTCATTCCATCCCATTCCGTCCCGTGGTATTCCAACCCAACCCGATCCATCCGGTCCCGGCACCCAAGATACGTACTGTAGATATGGTTACAAGTCCCTAGAACTCCAGCGCTGTCATCGCCATCCAAAAGATCCGTTCCGTCTGTTTCGTAGTGTCCGCCCCCCTAGAGCGTTGTGTCGTGTCCACCAGCGGGGCTATAAGGGTGGTCTTCAGCGGTCAGAGACTGACGCCGCGCCCTCGCTGACGTTGCTCTTGTGGCTCTCCGCCTCTTCATACCGGATCGACCAATCTGTCTTGCGCTCAATGATCAGCCGCCGGCTGTCATGGCTGTGTATGCTGTCATTCCTGTCGTGTCCACTGCCGCTTCCTCTCTTCTCCTTCTGCCCCGTGGGAATGCGCGACGAGAACGTCGGCTGGGTAGGGTCGAAGGTGACGGCGTGCGAAGCCAGTCCGTCCGACATGACCTCGCCGGACCGCGGGACGGTCTGCATCTTGAACGACAGGTGCTCGCTGTTGTTGGTCGCGTAGTTCTTCCCCGGATGGCTGGTGTAGCCCGAGTAACCCATCGGCTTCTCGTAGACGGCCATGAAGGGTTTCAGAACCGTGATTGAGGCTGCCATCACCCCGTAGCCAAGCTGGATCTGTGTGCAGACGATGGCCAAGGAGAGGGACAAGCTGCGGTTATCGGTTAAGGTGGACGGGTTGAGGTAGTACAGACGGATTCCGCAGGCGGGGACAGCGCTGAAGGAAGGCATTGCATGTCAGAGGTCGGTGCCAATAGCCAGCAAGGATAATTACTCACAGCAACCGAAGAGCAAATGCAAACACCACGGTGGCTTTCTGAACCTTGCTCATGCGCAGGTCGCTGACCAGGTATCCTGCAAACAGGACAAAGACCAGCTCCGTGATCGAATCCGTGATGCCGATGGCGAGCCATCTGCCAAACTGTTTCCGAGAAGAGTCAGCTTGGAGGTCCTGATAGTTTCGGATTGGGATCGATCCACTACCGGAGTAAAGAAGGCTTGCTCCCACGAGGAGCCAATGCTGATCAAAAGGATCGACAGGAGAAACCAGCCGCCGCAAAGCCCGATGGTGGTGTAGATCGCGACGACATGTCCCCGTCGGCGTGTCAACCTCAGGAAGAGAAAGCACACGGCCAGCTTGGAGAAAAGCAGGACGATGAGGTAGAAAAAATCATTTGCATAATAGTACTGGGGTTCGCGCTTCAGCACATCTTTCCTTTCCCCGTTGACAACTGGTTTTCGTACCTTCTTGACCAAGTCGCTGTTGGGAGCAGTGCCCTCGAATACCTTCCGATGTCCCAGGCCCAGGTGAACGGCATAAAAGACGAGGGAAGTCTGGACGATGGAGAAGGCCCAGGAGGCCGTTAGGACCGTTTTTTTCTTTTGGTTCCACCCTCGTGTGCAGGTGTCAAAAGACTTACTGTGGCAGCCGTCAAAACGTGGTCGTCCCACTTCCACAACCTCTGCGGTACACGGATATAGATGCGGATCGCATAGGCGACGAGAACGAAGCATAGCGACAACGAGGTCAGGATGAGGATCAGGCCTGACTGATCTTCGGGAGATATAACTCCCAAAGGCTGTGAGGGGGCCATTTTGGAGCCGCCGTGTGTATAACGCGGCAAAGGTTGCGCAACGTTTTGGTCGAGCACCCGAAGTTGTCTTATTGTACCTGCATGACCGCCTTTGATATCAACCTGTTGCAGGGAACCGCCGTGGATGAAGATGGGCTTCAGCGTCTCCTGCTCCGGACCCAGCAAAGTGGATCATTGAACTTTCTCCGAGTTGCCCCTCGTGTCCTCCTGCCCGGGGTCAAAGATTAGGACTTCCCGCGATATCGAGTTCTCGAGAGTCGAGGTTCAGGAAAGGGTGGTGGTGCAATCCCGCGCAGGAGCCAGAAGCCACCAAATCCATTCAATGGGCTGGGGAGATGGCAGGATGGGTCTCAAGAAGGCTCAAGCAACAGGAGAACTAAGATTGGGAGCGAAACTTAGGAGTGGTCCTAGTTTCCTCCGAAATTCCACACCTTGTCCGAGAGGAGTTCGCTTGCTCGGCGCCTAGATGGATAGTGGTGGATGGCGGGTTCAAAGACAGAAACTGTTGATGGCCATTTTAGAGCATGCTTTGCAAACGGCCTTTCTCCCTGCGAGACAATGCACAGGACTTTTTTCGGTATCGAGGCCACCCGCCGACCCATCCCAGAACAAATAGCAACGAAGAGATCGTCGTTGTTTCTGAAGATCAGAGTGCCCATCGAGGGTTGCCTCCTGGTGTTTTCGAACTAGCAACTGCCACGTCCTCGTGAACCTGGCTGGAACAGGTGTAGTCTCATGTACGAAAGTGCACAACATCAAGGATGACGCGCCATGCACCCATCGAACTGAGGTGACCGTGCAGAGCGGAATCAAAGCCAATACACCAGTGGATAGGAGCATTAGGCATTCAGAGCGACCCTGGGCCAGAGGTCTGGCCAGAAGCAGAGAGGCCAGGCCAGCCAGTAACCAAGCAAAAGTAGTGCTCACAGACAGGACACCATGGAGGTCCATCCTTTTGGGGGTCCTCATCGACCGGAGAAGCAAGGAAAGGCCGCTGCCGACAGCGGATTTGCCTGGCTTCCGCAGACATGGGATTCTTACAAAAGCCACTCATCTTTCGATCCCTTATCCGCGTCGAATGGAGCAGCTGACAGGAGGGGGGGAGATGATTCGACAGAGTGGAGGGGCTTGATGGTGTGATGGAGGGATGTTGGAAAAAAGCAACGACTAATGGTGGAGTTTGTTGGAGCTTGCATTAGGCTTGTCGCAGAAAAGCTACACCGCCAACAGTCTAGCCAGCAAAATCTGGGGGGTAGCCATTACACTTGTTTCGCAAGCTTGTGAAGGTTGCCCATGTTTCACTTCGAATAGGAAATAATGTAGATGCTTGTCTCGCCAATAAGTGGAAAGCAAGATATTGGGGAGATTAAATTCCAAAAGGATAAAAGGTTGGCAGCATAACTAAAGATCATGGCTGGCTCTTCCCCAACCTACAGTACATTCTCACTTCCATGAGATGTCGATGTTCCGCACTCTTCTCTGGGAATAGAGCACCATATCCTGCATCCACACCGGCCAGTTTCTCAGCCCCGTATTGCTTTCCTCCGTCCTCGGCATGAAAATCTGCCCGCTTCTTCCCGCCAAAACCTGTTCCACGACCGCGTCGCTCACGTTCGACGCCGGATCACACTTGATCCCGATCTCCTCCAACTTGGCTGCCACCGGTTTCACGATGCCGGTCGCATGCCAGGACGGATGGACGGAGGTGGTTTGGATACATTTGCCGTTCTCGTAGTATCCTCGGAGTTCCGATCGGAGGCCTGTGCTCGGAGTCAATCTCTCGGGGAGGCTAGGTCTTGGGAGTGCACGGAAAGCTCACCTTCATGGAGAAAGAGGGCCCCAATCTTTGTACAGCAATAGTCTACGAGGCCTGGCGCTGCGAAGAAGCTGGCCATTGATGCGATGGTCACAACGTGGCCTTTCTTTGCTCTCAGCATCCCAGGTAAGAACTCCTTGATCAAAATGAAGTGGCTGGCGATATTGACTTTGAAGATCCTGTCGGTCAACTTCGCATCACTGTTTATGACTTTGGTGCCGTTGGCTGCAAGGTTCTCTGGTCAGCTAACTTGCGTTCTAGAGGAATAGCAGATGACTGCATAAGGCTCACCAATCCCAGCATTGTTGACAAGGACTGTGGGGTCTCCGTGCTCTCTGCGGATGGTCTCCGCTGTCGACTCTATCGCAGCAAAGTCGGTCAAGTCGAGTTGGTAGTAGTCGACGCCGGGAACTAAAGCATGCGAAGTGAGCAGTCTCCCCATGATAGGGTTACTTAGAAGACATACGCTTCTTCAACTCCTCTGGAACTGGAGAGATATCCAGGATGACGACTCTCGCATGTTTCGAGAATCCTTTTACCATTTCATACCCAAAGCCGGAACATCCTCCGGTCACCACCACGAGTTCCGTCTGCTTGTCCCATTGGAAGGGTGCACCTGGCTTCGTGAACACATGCCAGTGGTTGAGCGCAAGTTTGGTGAGTGTCTGATTGAGCTTTCGGACGAGACCGATGGCTAGGAGATACTTCAATGACTTGATGAGGAGTGCGATACGCTCTGGGGACAGGCCAATGTCACCCAATAGCTTCAAGAGACGTGCGCGGTATTGAACAGGTGCCCTGGTGAGAGCAAACAACACAGTCCCGGTCAGAAGCGGTTCGGTCGAGGCACGGTGAACGAGACGGAAGGGCAGAGTGAGAGCACCCACGGCAACGCGGTTGGCGCGCTCAAGGGGGCCTGGTTTTGCCATTGTTCGGGACTAGCAAGCCACAAAGCCGAATACGTGAAGATATTGACGGCAGGATGTAATCAAGAAAGTCTAGAATCCCACAGCGTCAAGCATATTTATGAACGAACGTCGAGCGGGGTTTCGTCCATGGTCGAGTGTTGCCGTCAGTGCCTAGCCGGCAACCCAGGCAAATCCCAAGGGCACAAGACGGCACAAGACCCTGGGCCGATGCACATTGAAACAACTTGGTGACACCAGACTCCAGTACTCGGTGAAAACGGCAGAAGTTGCCTCGGTCGGTGGTGCTAAACGGGTTGGCCTGAACCCTTGGCCGACCAATAATGATGGTTGGAGTAGTGGGCCTTGGTCGCCCTGACGTCCGGCCCCGTGTTTCCCCGCAGTTTGGTCAAATGTGGGACTAAGCCTAAACCGGGTATTACCACGCCCCTCCACCAAGCACGCAGGGCGGATCAAACATGATCCTTTCGCCGCTTCGATGGGATATATATATATACTTTATATACACCCCGAACTGTGCTTCTTTCCATGAACAATTTCATTCAGGAAACGGAGCGAAGCCGCTTTAATCGCGCACGTGACGGAGCATCGGGGGAGCCTGGCCGAGCACGGGAGAGCGTCGAGGGAGTCACAGCAGAGTACGGGGAAGCCCGCCCGAGCACTGCGCGAGCCACAGAGAGCTTGCCCTGATGCCAAACTGCGGAAGACAGTTCGGGCTCAGAGGTCCCCTTTGGACCCTCGGCTACAATTGCTCAGCTGTACCCTCATTCGTTTCAGCCAAGCCTGACTGCCTGTATGATGTGGCGCCCTGCCCAACTCCAAGAATCTAGAGGCCCATTTGGGCTCTCAGGGTCGACTTCGAGCCCATAAGGAGGCCATTTTGGCAACCAGGGGTCAATTTAGGTTGCCAAAGCGCTCACCGAGGGCTTTGTGAGAGCCGCCAAGGGATTTGGGGATACAATATAGTCAAGCTGCGTTCCTGTTTCCACCATTTATGAAAGGGAGTATAGGCAGTGGATAATTCGTCATCTTCTCCAAGGGGTAGGGCCCGAAAAGTTTTCACTGAAGACACATTTACAGTACATCAGTTGTTGCAAGTTGGAATCGACAAATGGATCCGGGGCTGCTCCAACTGGCAAGCGTGAATGTCAAACAATTCGTCTGAATGTCTACTTGAAGTCTCACTAAGACAGGTGCAGATTATTTGAAAATGGAGGGTACTCAAAGTTGCAATAGGAGCTTTCTCAAGGCGAGCTACAGACTGGATCTACATACACAGCAAGTGACTCCACTTTGCAAAGGTTCAGATGTCCTGCTGCTCTCTGCATGCAATGAAATATTGCGCCACAGGCATGTGATTGCGAGCCTGCCAAGGCTGCCAAGCGTTATAAAGACGTCGAACAACTTGTACCAGTCTGACGGTCCGCTAGGACTCTTCGAATAGCAACAAAGTCCTCCGTAAAATCACAGGCATGTGCCTCAGCTGTCACGTGATGCATTCGCGCACCTCAAAACCCTGTTGCGCGCTGCCAACCAACTTAGATCGTCAATCAACCAACCTTTCATCAACTTGCTCGCTTCACGCCTTCAAACGGTTGGTTCCTCATGAAAAGGGGACCTTGCTGAACAAATAAATGTGATGATAAATACTAGGTAATGATGAACGACTTGGCAGCTACTGGATGTGGAGCTTGGCTGTGGTGTTTTCCTCAGCTCGACTTTAACACCATGATAGTCCTCTCACTCACTTTCATCACCCTCGAGTAGGCCTCCAAGCATCGAAAATTGCTCCTGCTCGACTAGATGTTTAAGTCTAGCTCCACGAGCCCCGGATGCCAAAGCAGCCTCAACCATTCCATAACCTCCATAAGCCCAACTACCTATAGCACCAAGTCCAAAGGTAGCAATCCCAAATATGGCCATTCCGGCCATTGCTGTGAGGTGTCTCCGGGTCATCATATATGCCAACTTGTGTTCCTGTTTCCACCATAGAGTCCAGTGGAGGTCATGAAGCGCCTGGAAATTTTCCTGTCGGGAGCTCTCTTCCAGAATAAGAACTGCAAGGTATACGACGAAATTTTGACTATTCCAGAGTCTTTGGTCATAGTATCCGCTGCTCCAATGATGCCATAATTGCGACTCTAGATGAGACGTCAGCATCATAAAACTAACGGATTCGGGGAAAGACATGGGTGCAATACTCAATAAATCTATTTGATTGTCGCCCAAAGTGGTCACACCAACCGCTTGCCACGCTTCAAATTCAGAAGTATCGATGTGCCGCAGGTCTCCTGGGCACTCAAAGTACTTGGCATTATTCGTGAAATCCCTCTCTTTGGGTGGTAAAGGAATGCCCCGAAACACGCCAAGTACCCATCGCCGGTTTCCACGTATGTCGTTCATGCTCTCAATACCGGGAAAGGGGCTACCTGGAGTTGTGTTCTTGAACATGGAGGTACCTTTGTGCCGAGAATATAGAGACCATTTTCCAGGCAAAACGGCGATGAAAACGATAGATGATTGTGTTTTTGACCCTAGTAGATGTTTAGAAGTGTAATGCATTAGCCACGCTGGCAGGAAAACCAGGTTAACACGAACCTCTCACCCAGCTATATTTAACTTCGACCTTGTCCCCTTCCTGGATCGATTCCTTTCGGATGGTGCGAGACACACTTCCCAACTTCGACAGGTCGAGCTTAACCTCGTAGTCTTTAGCCGTCATTCTGGCTTCCAAGTTACATTGTCCATTGCGTGAGGTTGCGCAGTCTTGAAGTTGCGTGGAGAAGCCTGATTGATTAAGTATTCCTAAGCCCAGGTCACTAGGGCTATACGTCACATGGATACACGTGTATCCACTCAACGCCGCTCAAGGCAAAACTCAGCGTTGTCAGGATGCGACTCCTCCGACTCCTTGCTTATTAAGCGAATACCAATGAATCGACTCATGAGTCCACTCCCTCTCCTTGATTACTCAGCGAACGGCAGCTCCTAATTGGTTAGAAGATAGTTATTCCGTTCCGAGTGCCTTCTTTCGAATAGTCTCTGAGGGCTCTCCAGATGCCTTGAATCCCTGAATCCCCCATTGCTTGAGGCATTGCGACGCTTCAAAGGCCTCAACTTGAAGACTATTACGGTCGTATGTGAGCGTTCTCTTTGCCTGAGAGAACGTTCTCTTGATCTCTGCGCTCATCGCAGGTACGGATAGTGTCACGGTCAGCTAGGTCATCCCTGGGACACATTAAGCCATTTTGAGATGCGCCAAGACAGCGCGCCTACATGCTGCTGTTCGCATGTTAAGGAGGTGCGTCTTCTTTTAGCACTGCGAATAATCACTGTACTACCCCTACCTGTAGCTACCATCTGGCAATAGCTCACGGGTTAGGTCACATACCTATCAGTAGATGTAACTGTTGAACCACCCAGGGTTGTGAAACTGGTGTGTTCAGTCTATGAATGTGGCGTGAAATGCCACGTATATATAACACAGGTTGTCGTAGGCTGGTGCCTGATGGAAGCCCCTAGAAGTTCCTTACTTGGGCTCCAGTAGGCACCCATCCACAGTTCAACAGTAAAAACGGTACCACAGAAGGTAGGGCTGTCACGGTTGGGGGGTTGAGAGGGATCACGTAACACTGCCCGGGACACAAGTGAGGGTAGGGAATGGCTATGGACTGAATCCTGTCTGTCTATCTAAGGTCTTCAAGCCTCTCTTTATGCTCGTCGTCCTCCCCGCTCATTCTCTCGGCGGGTCGCCGAAGCTCGTCGTCCATGCCGTGAGTCTGACTTGTACACCTCGTATACCTCAAGGCACGCCGTGCCGTGTGCGCCATTGCCGATGCATCGATCGCTGAGACCCTGCTGCGTCTCTCTTGCACCCATGACAGCCTTGTGCCGCGTGGCATAGTCATCGCAATAGTCGTGGGGTGTTGGGTGTTTGTAAAGGATCTCCACCGTGGGTTAACACTAGCTGGAGTAGCTGAATATGATCAATTGCGTCTATCTTAGAGTCCTATCTAACAACGACTCAACGCCTAGCGAGGGTAAAAAGGCTAGCTCACCCGTGAAGGGCAGATGAGATGTTGAACACATGAGCATTCATGTTGTTGCACGATCCCTAATCCGGAAATCCCTGCAACACCAACGATCGACAGCCTTGACGATCCTGATAAAGCCTTGTCGTCGATCTCGCCTTGTTGTCATGCTGTCCTATCAATCAATTCAGGTGGCATCGAATGCTCTGAAGGACCTAAGGCCCTGGTTTCTCTATCGTATCTTATATACATGTTGCTCAGGGCAAAACGAGGGTATTAGGGAGAGTTCCAGCTCTGATCCCTTGGAGAAAGGCTCATGCAAAACGAGTGTTAGATATCGATGTAAAACGAGCGTGGAAACGTGTGAAACGTGCTCAAAACGAGGCATGCAACACCGAGTGTTGCATGCATGAATGCTTGCATTCCAACATGTCACCTCAGTGAGGCGAAACAGCCTTGTTTTCACTCCCTTCAACGTCATCGAACTTGCCGTCGTCATTATATATGACAATTACACTCATTTTGCGCCTGTAGGTAATGTATATAAATTCAGAGAGAGCATCAGAGAATGAACAGTGAGTCATTTTGACAACATGAGAATTCTTGTAGAGCCTAACCCCTCATTGCATTGAGTTGCCCTTGGCGATTCCATGATCTTTCCATAGTATGGCCATGTGCCCAATTAGGGTCCATGGCCATATGTCCAATCCATGCATGTCCACGAGATCTTGCCTGGATGGCCCTATTCGGGTGGACCAGGTCAGATTCGTGACATTCAGCTATCAGGAATGCTCCACTTGGAAAGGTACATAGATCTCGAAAGAGCCCGAACTACCCTTCGAACTTTTTATTTCCCGTCTTCTACCTTACCGTGCATTAAGATAGCAATATCAAGGACTTTTCAACCCCTCGTACACTCTCGAATCCTCTCGAAATAGTCTTCTCGTTCCCGTCCCTGATAGAGGAAGAGAGGGCAGTGAAAGAGAAAGAGAAAGAGAAGTATTGTCTTACAGAACTAGGGGGTTCAGTTAACCCGGTCCAGCAACGTTGCAGGACATCCTCTCAGACATCCCACCTCTCTCATCAGGGCTGAAATGGGCTATCGTAGATATGATCGAGTAAAGTTACCACAAGGTTAGGTATGCGCAACGTTAGCGCCTGTGAGACTAGAGCCCGAACGGGAACCTCACTGGTAAGGGAGGGAGCACGGGAGGAGCGGACCAGGGTCGTGAGGGAGCAGAAGAGAGTGGAAGGGGAGCGGGAAAGAGAGGAAGGGAGAAGGGAGCGGACGAGGGAGTGAGTCGACTAAATAGTCGTTAGCGGGGGAGCAAAGCGACGGGATAATAGTCAGCGAAAAGTCGTGTAGGGTGATTGTTCGGGGGTTCTATATATATATATATATCCCGAACAACCGTCCCTAAGGGCTCTTCCGCTGGCAAATCCCCTGCCGCATTGCTCCCGCGTAACGACTATTTAGTCGACTCGCTCCCTCTTCCGCTCTCTTCTGTTCCCTTCCTCTCTTTCGCGCTCCTCTTCCACTCTCTTCTGCTCCCTTACGGCTCTGGCCTCTACCATGATCACTACGGATCGGACCACCGAGCAACCTACTCAGAATGGAGTCTCCACCCGAAGCTCAAACCAGATTCGGAACTTTAAAAGAACTTCGACCGAGCTGATTGGGAGAAGATTGGTGTTGCGCCTTGGAACAGTTGCCGTTTTGCAAGCGCTTCAGGCGTTACCTGATTGCGCCTAGTGCTAGGATGCCTTGCGACATTAGAGGACTCAGGAGAGGTCTTCCTGGCACCTAGTATTTTGTATATAGACGATCAGACCTGGCCTGAGGACAGGAACAGGGAGACAGACCGATCCATGACCTATTCACGATCCTGCTAGTTCAACAATTGGACTAGCGGTGCAAACATTAATGAATCCGTGGCCTACAATCAGTCCCGACACGGGTCTAGAACTCGCCGTAGAGAAACTGGTGAAATTGACCACGAACGGCTATCGAATAAATACACACCTCTTATGAGGCTATCACCATACTCCAAACGATAGTTTTACGCTGTAGCTTAAGTAGCAGCAGCGAGAGGTTAATCGAGCACGTCGGAAATGGTAAGAAAGCTGCGCGATACGTAGGTAGTGGAGATCCATACACCGTATCTTCTAAAGCTATAGAATATGACTCGTCTCAGCGGAGACAGTCCTTCTATACCTTCTGTAAGTTTCTTCACTCCCTTCCGAGTCACAGCTGCGGAGGAATTCCTAGGTAGGGCTCAAGCTAAAAACCATAATTATTGGGCTTAATGAATGGTGGAAGGCCTACGCCCGGTCTTTCGTAGGGAGGCTTATGGGCTTATAACTATTTCCTCCTCCCGACCTGTTCTAAAGGCTGGGACTTAAGTAGCTCTGATACAGCGTAATATCTGTTAGTTCTGGTAAGTTTAACGGCTCTATCATAGCCCCCCCTCTACGTCTTCCCGCTTACCGAGATAGCGTTCAAGAGTACCTAAACCACGTCTAGGCGGCCGTATTCTAACGCCCCTTTAAGGGCAGTTCTCTCGTTCTTTAGCGCAGGAGGAGTACTAACGTCAGCGCTAGCATCGTAAAGTAAGAGAATAAATTTTGATATGCCCTTAGATCGCAGCGCCTTATAATGCCGTTAATCCTCCGTCGATGCCGGCCTCAGCATTCACTTCCGCGCCGTTCTATAAAAGAAACCGGGTTAACTCTTCATTAGGGATATCTTAACTATACGCTACTTATAGTACCGTCCTGCCATGGAAAACGGCAGCTAGGGCGTTAATGTATGCACCTTTCGCGAGAAGTTTCTTAACTAACCTTAAATTTCCGACCTAGGTAGCCGCTTAGATAGGTAAGCGAGCCCCTTTCCCGGAGCCGGGAGAATTAATATCGGCGCCTACGTCGAGTGCTAATCAAATTAACTCGTTATTCGCGGATCTAAGGATAAGTCCGGTTAGGGTAGAATTCCACTGGTAACACCTTCGAACTAGTAGTCCGTCAATTAGTGAACCGGCTTTAATTAGAAGCTTAAACATTTCTTCCCAGCTGAAATTTGCTTTCTCGTACCATTCTCTATAAGCGCACACCTTAAGCAGGGTTCGTCCACGGCTTCGATGGCTCTGGCCGTCAACGTTCGCTCCATTTTGCAAGAGAAATTTGACAATGTCGATGTGACCTCCTTCCACGGCGAAATGGAGAGCCGTGAGGCTGAGTATGGATATCGGCCTTTTCCTAAACCAGATATTCAACCATACGTATGTTTCCGCTCTAGCACGCCTATTGTATTGGATAGTGACCCTCTAAATCCCGCTCATTTAAGGAAACTCCGCTTCTAATATGCAATTTCACTCCGGTAAAGTTACTATTCTCAATCGCCGTTACGAGGGCATCGGCCCTAACTAGATCTAGGTTATTACATTCCGAAATTAAGAGATTTAAAATGTCAAGGCGTAAATCAAATGCAGCTATCTCTACGATAGCGCTAGTCGAGATAATATCGGCACTATAGTCCAGAAGGAGTATAGCTAGCTCTAAATCGTTATCTTTCACTAGTAATTTTAAGAAGAGACGTATTACTATACTTTATATTCGAGTCTACTCCGTATTTAAGGAGGGTGATAGCTACTGATTAATGACGTAAGCTTTAAAAACCCTCACTTATTACTTTCTCTAGTAGCGAGTTCGGACATAA